TATCACGATGAGATTGACTAGCGGCCTGCCAGCGCATGGGGCTATATTCCGGCGCTAGTGCATTGGCTTCGCGGCATGTATGTGGATCATTATGCAGAGTATCCGAGATGAAATGCAATACAGTAACCCAGTGTGTAGTAAGTATACAATTCTACAACCCAATGAGAGCTCCCTAAACCAGATGTGGCACAGTCCATTCATTTCCGCAACGGCAGATGCACCGCAAGCCTCTTGAGCACCCCCCCGTGAATGAAGTGCATTGCGCTGCCCTTCGTCGCCTCAGCTTCTGTGCACGTCTGCTTCGCTATGTGCTTTCCCGCTCCGTTATGCTGCTCCCCATCCTGCTCGTCCAATACTGCAGATGCAGACGGCATACGCGACACGGCGCGTCCAAGGAGGGCGTGCGTCTCGTGGTAATCTGCAGACGCTAGTGAAGCTTGTGAGCCGAGCGGTGACGCGCATCGCACGCTGACGGCTGTGAGCGACTTTGCGCTCGTCCCGGTATCTGCGCGCGAGCATAGCGGAGATGAAGTTCTCGACGCGGACTTGGCAGGGGCGAGAACGGAGTTCTGGCGCGAGGACGCGGGGCTATCACAGAGCCCGGCGTCAAAGATCGTCGAGCGCTTGCAGTGGTCGAAGTCGGGCCGCGCAGTGTACGGCGATCGGTCCTCTGGTGCAGGGGTTGAGGTCAGTTCAAATGTATGGGGTGAGAGAGAGGACGGCAGTGGATGCGCGCGCACCTGTGTGGACACGTGTGAGGCTAGCGGTGTCGAAGGTGTACTCGCGTTCGGGGGCGGCCTTGCTCCAGGTCGTCGTGGGGTGGGGAGAATGCATGGCTGGTGGTGAGTGGTGAGTGCTAGATGGTGGGATGGCACGGTGCTATTGCTTGACTGCAGATCTCGAGGGCGTCGGGCGAGCTGCTTCTTGGAGAGGGTCTGTTCTGCAGGGTGTGGTTATATGTGCGATATACAGGCGCATAGAACCTGGAGGCCGCGAGGAAGCTACATATAAGAGATCAAAGAAGAGGGCATGTATATCCCATGTACAAGACCATGCACCGCGATTGCCACGCTGCACGATGACAATCGGGTGGGACCACGGACACATCAGTTGGAAGCAACCCCTGTTGGACAGTATGCATAAAGGACTATATCGCTTCAAGATCCTGGACATGAAGTGTAGTTATATTTCGTTACCGCGAACATTTTGATGTGAGCGCTCCTGCGGAAGGCTCAATGGGGTGGCGTGTAAGTGCAAGGAGAATAACATGTGCCAGTGGGCAAGGCGTGTGGGGAAGGACAAGCAAGCCATTGCAGCCATAAGGCGGTCGCCGTTCACGGTAGCTCTAGCTTTATGTGTCAGGCGAATCATAACGAAAATACAATATTGCAGAGGGAGGATACGGCATAGGCATTAGTGTGGCCGTAGCAGTCGAGCGATGACAGCGAGCACATCCTGCCCGATCGCGATCGGGCGATGCAGCCGGCTGTTCCCGCCAAATTGCCGCACATTTGTGGGCGGCTGTGGTTATATTGTACTCCGCCACATTGTCTTGTTCTTTACACATACTGTCAGGGCATCATGAGTGTGGTGAAACCGTTCGAGGCGACTGACATGTTCAAATTCAACCACATGTCAGTTGTCCTAGACGCCATGTGCACACACGGTATGATTGACGGTTGACCTGCGTAGTAATTTGGACCTCTGGACAGAGACGGTATGTCTTCTTCCATGGAACATCTATGCAGACTGACATTGTGGCATAGTATGGCATCAACATACACCTTTCCTATCTTGCGTGCTGGCACGACCTGTGCTCGGTGGAAGAGTCGCCTAACGGCTGTCTCATGAGTTATAGTATGCATATGCTCATCGTACCTGTCTATGCGCATATTCTTGGTTCTATTGTTACTCGATACACGTTCTTCATCCAACCCCTTACTCCCCCTGAACTCCAAATTACGGTCCTGGGAAAAGCTGAAGGGACCGGCGTCGAATGGCACGGGCACGTAACTGTGCTCTCTGTCGCCCCAGAATACTGCCGGCTATGCCTGGCGCGCAAGATGACGGCCCAGCTGGAGCGTGTGTCGGACGAGACGTACCACTCGTTTCTCGTCGACCTCTATGTCCGCTGCACCAATGCCATTGCCATCGGAATGTACGTCGTACGAGGGCCTTGGCTACAGCGTCTACCGTCGGGTGAGGGAGTACTATGGGAGTCTTGGCCTGGGGCGCAATTCTAAGGATGAGGAGGATGCATTTAGTGCGTGCAATGAATGAGTGAGTGGATTAGCGTGGCTCTGATGGGGTGCATGCGCGCGTAGACATGCGAAAACCGCTTTCAAGAGATTCACTGCGACGGTCAGTGCGGAGTAATGGCCCGGCGGATGATTGTCGTAAGCGCACGAGATGTATCATAACCCCTCTTTATCTCTCGCTTTCGTTACTTCATTCTGTCTTGGTTCTGGAGACACTGCTCATCATCTCGATGTATTATTAAGATGGCCTGATTCAGGACCCCACATGCATCGCTACAGCGATGGTAAGTTCGCTGATTTTTTTTCTTTTCGGGAGGATGTCTCCAATTGCCGCGCAGCTTTCGTTCGCTTGTCATTCGCCGGCTCAATGATGAAATTTCATGGCATATTGGAATTTGGAATACAATGGACTTTTAATATGTTCGCCCTGAAAGTCGTGGCAGGCATCCTGCTCATATCATCAGTGGTAACAATCAGAATCATTGGCGTCACAAGCGTCTCGCTCCTGCGGTGAGACTTTGACTCCCTTTTGTTTGGCTGGGAGAGTGAGCGGCTTGTCGAAATTCGAGGTAAGTGCCATCGTTGAACGATGACTGCTTCGATGAAGTTTAATGGTCTTGTTCCTGAGTAGCCTCACGTTCTGCACACAAGACAAATATTGAGGCTGCATCTGCGGCAACAGCAGCTATGTGGGATCAAGCAGAGCGGCATCCATGCGTGAGGTCGTATTCCTTTAGTCACTTGCGTTCTTCTATCCTGGTCTAACTACCATTAGGAGTACTATAGATGTAGTAGTGAAGGAAGAAAGATAGGCGTGTCCGCCCAAGGTGGGTGCTCTCTCCGGCCATTGGCCGATAATCCGAAATGCCACAGCCACACGATGACCTTCGGCGTCGTATGCAAAGCGCCTGCCTGTCGTACACCCACGTGAGTACCATCATTATAGCGATAGCATGTGGGGGACTTTCAGCGGATACGCCTATCGAATTTTCAATCATTGCCATGATGGCTGAGCTAGACATATTACAGTTCGGTGATCGCAGTCTGTTCGGAGTATTTCTTAGTATCGTCATAGTAGGTCCCCATTCCCGAGTAAGGTTCTATCTCAAATACTATGACAAACGTCAAGCTAAGCTCCTAGACAGGTCGAACTTCTCCCAAACATCGGTAGTTACCGGTTTCCAGTTAACAATTGGCGTATTATTAAAGCCACCGAATATGAACGTTGAAACGTCCAAGTTGAGAAACGTCCAAGTTGAGAAACATCCAAGTTGAGGATCAATCCAGTGGACCACTCGAAGCAGGTCGGGATTATGATGGAGTTCTAACAGGAAGCCCCCACCCTACGCCAACCCTCAGTCTTATACAATCTGAGGTATAATGTTGTACTGCCGTATACATTCATACTCCCTCCGCATGGCATAAAAATTCCCTGATGACTGATTTAGTTCTCTGATTCATGTTTGACTGTGACTCTCGCTTTCAAGGTATAAATTTGGCTTGACTACGAACCTCTTAACGGTTGAGCGTATCCGACATAAGACCAGAGGCAGCTCCAAGAAAGCGTGGCAATTAGCGTGCGACCTGCTGAGACACGAACGGAGTCCAATGATCGCACCCAGCGGGACGCAGTGTACTTGTCCGCGTGTCCAATGGGCATGAGATGTTGAGAAGTTTTACCTAGAAAACGCATAGCCATGATAGGATCAAGTGCTACCAGTACTCGGCTCGCTGAGAGCGACATGAATATGTTCCGGGCTTTCATGGAATCGGTTGTAGCGCTCACGAAGGTCCGGCACGTGCCGGCGGTGCTTGTTGGGTCCTGCCACTGCGCAACTGAATCGTGGGATGAGCCGTGGACAGGCAGTGTTTATCGCTGAACTTCATTGTGCTGTGTCGTCCCGTTCACATTGAAACTCACCCCTCGCTCTAGGCGGTCTTGTTCCTTTGCACATACAGCTTCAGTATTCGAGTATAGTACATGAACTCTATGCAGTTCGCCACTATGGGACAGTTTCCAACTCCTGACAATCCTGCGCGGTCTCGATTGCAGATGGTATGTCTTACAAAAACCTGTAACGTTCTGTGTTGCTGCATCTCGGCGCCTGATGTGCACTAGCCACGATCTGCCAATCACGGTGAACAGTCGCTTGACGATGATTTCGGAAGCATACTCAACGATCTTGGAAGTGATATTGACGCCGCAAGCCTCATAAATTTCCTCCGAGATGTCTGCAAACGAGTAGGCATTGACGAGTTACCACTACCGGTGGTATGTCTGTTTTTCTCTTCAGTGAAGATCTCATACTTTTCTGTCCAAAGGCCGTCAATAAGCAGCATATCTACGAGCTTCTCCTGTCGGTCACAGAAAGCACCGAAGTGATAAGCTGGATGAAAGGGCTGAAGGGAACAGATGCTGTGGTGTGCGTGCGGGTTCTAGACAAGGTTATGAGTGTGTCTACACTGTATGACAACTGCCACTTACTACTGCTTATCACATCAGGTCACCACTGAGGCTGGTGCTACGGGTCATCGCTTTAGATGTCTGCTTGATATCATTGCTGGCCTATGTACTCAGATGGAGACCCTCCCGCCTCTGTATTGCTCGGTTCCGATCAACGTGACGGACAAGGATTGCATCGATCTTTCGGCTGGCTCTATGGTATACAAAGGCTCTTACAATAGTGCCAATGTATCCGTAAAGGTCCTGCTAATACCGGACAAGAGTCGGATTCAGAAACGAGGCGAACATATTGAGGTATGTGCATTTCATCCGGCCACGTCCAGATGCATAGTTTGACCCATCAAATCTAGCGCGTTGTCTTAACGAGGTACGAGCGACGTCGGATCTAACGACGTTCGGTCAGAGCTTCAGTGAGTAGAATATCGACTCTATTACTGTACCTAACGACGTTCGGTCACTTTACAGGAGATCAGTATATGTACAGTACTTAGAGGTAGAAAAGGACTTACGAGCTTCAGTGAGTAGAATATCGACTGAAGCTTGCATCGTGAAAATGACAGGTATATAGCGTGCCGTAGTAGGGTGAGTCACCTGTATCTATGGTGCGCGGGCTAAACGAAGAGGACGGGGTATTTACAGACAGGAACAGGGGCGCCAGGGGCGCCAGGGGCGCGACAACATCACGCTGATCCCGACGCGATAATGCGACGTCATGCGCGCGCATATCCACGCGGGGCGTACGGACGCGCTTGTCCGTCAACACGTTGTACATGAGGTTGTCTTCTGGAAGTACCTACGACACCCTAATGTTAATTCGCCGTTTGGCGCACATCTTCCTACCTCCCAGTTGATATCTCCCTGGGTGGATAACGGGAATCTGTACGACTACACCTACAATTTCCGCGATGCAAACAGGCTTCGCTTGGTAAGTGAGAATTCCCCTATCGGGTATCGCTTGATTGACATTGTGCCTTGTAGCTTGTAGATATTGCGTCCGGATTGGAATATTTGCATAGTCTAGATCTCGTCCATGGTGACCTGAAATTCGTACGTCTCATTGATTTCAGTGTCGCATTAAAGGCTTATCAATGATGCAAATAGAGTAGTATACTGGTCACAAAAGATCACCGCGTATGTCTCACGAGCACCAGTCTCACACGTTCCACATCAAATCTTTTGAAGTCGACGCCAGAATCATGCGGGAACAATATGTGCATGGTCGTACCCGAGCTATACGATCCTAAGCAATTCGGCGAAGTTGACACTTGGGTCACCAAGGAATGCGATATATGCCTGCGACTAAGAGACAACTTCTCTAGATGCTGACAGGCGGACCCCCTTGGCCAAACCAGTCAATCTTTCGAATCATTATTAGGATAGTTATCAACTGTGAACGCCCTCCGTTACCCAGCAGCCCTCGAGACTACCCAGACGACCTTTTCAAGTTGATAGAGCAATGCTGGGATCAGTATTCTGCGAATCGCCCACATATCAGTGAAGTTGTCGAGCGGTTGAAGAGAGCTGTAATAGCACCGCATAACTAGTTATTATCAACTGATGCAAGGTGAGCATATCATGAGTACAAGATGCCCTCACTCACAGCGTCGGTCAGATAACTGAGTCGTCTCAATGTTGCGGGAAGGGGTATTGTGATTTCTAACGGACATTGATTGCCATCGAGATTGTTCACATCCTCCGAACGGCCATGTACGGCCGCCATGCCTCAAATGAGATAGTTTTCCGCCGTGATGGCCTGAAGTCGTCACGGCGGAATACCTTCTCCCTTATAGGCATCAATGTGTCATAGTATATTATGCTCATGGGATGGATGTTCCACTTTATACTGTGGACCCTTGGGATCCAATGCGGCAGGGGATGCACTCAGCGAGATGTGCTGTGTCACAGTCTCGTTTGACTTGTGTGCCTCGGTTCGTCCCTGTTTGGCAATATCACCTGGTGATATCGCCAAAATGATAGTTCGACATTTCTCTCAGAACCTGTATATCGATCATCTGACCTCCACACGAAAAGGACGGTGCACACCTTGTAAAAATATGAAAGCTGTTCTCTTGAATAGATGTCATATTAAACAAAACACATCCTTGCCTCTAGGTCTTGCTCGGTACGTATACTACACTGCTCGCTTATATTCTCAAAAGCTGCGCGGTGTTTCCCTATTCCACGTCCATTCCGACAGTATTGAGGTGATTCCAGATGGCAGGTCGCCCATGATCATAGTGATCCTAAGAACACTGCGGACCGATCCTCCGTCTGGTGAAGAATATTCATGCGCTTTAAACCTGCTGGCCGTGAATTGCATAGGAGTCAGTGCCATGGGATAACATGCGGCCCTTATACCTCACACGCATTAGATTGGCAGCGTCAGCATGGTTCATAGTGTTATAGTCGATTGTCAAATTCGATTGCATCTGATTCGCAGCATTTCCTCGTGTCTTATCGGACAGTGACAACACCCCAGTTAAAGCAGGTGCTACATACGGAGGGCCTGGTACGCTAGTGGTAAGTCGTTCGTACTTGCTCCTTGCTCCATTTTGCACTGCTCCCATTCCCGGCGCGATCATATCATCGTGTCTTGCTAAGTTCCTTTGCGCGCCTCGAACAACATCCCTTCGTTTATATACGATGATTTTTTTTTACCGTCATATCCTGCCTTGGTGCGCCTGCTGACTGCCTCCCATCATGGCACGTCTCTGAGTTACGAGACACGTATGCGCGCACACACGGCATGCCGGACGGCCGCCAGGATGCTCGCACGTGTGTAAAACGGACGTCAGACCCGCGAATCATGCCAGAAATGCCGGTCCGCTCTGAACACGTCCATTTCAGATGGCCGTGCCGCTTATGGGGGCTGCGTCCACCGCATAGATACACGCATACATCCACCCTGCCCGCCGCCAACAGCAAACACAGCCGCCGCAAACCACTCCTACTCCTGGCGCAGCAGCGCCCCCGCGGTCTGGTTCCTCACCCCCTGCACGAACTTGAACGCGTCCGTGCCGCCCGTGCCCTTCGCAGGCGCGCCCGGCGCACCCGCGCGCCGCGACGGGCCGAGGATGTACAGCGCGACGATGCGCACGTGCTCGTCGCGGAACACCTTCAGCGCGCCCACCGCCGCGTTGTACGCCCCGACGAGCGCCGCGTCGCGCGACGCCTGCACGAGCGCGCGCAGCGGGCGCGGGCTCGCGCCGAGGTGCCGCAGGAACGCGCGGTGGTGGCGCGGCATGTACGACTGCATGCGCGTCAGGAACGGCACGGCGCGCGTCCCCGGCGCGGAGCTGAACGTCGCCGTCGCCGTCGGGGGCACGGGGGCGGGCGCAGCGGATGCGGATGCGGGCGTGCCGGGCGCATCGAGGAGGAAATTGGTGTGCGAGTACTGGTCGACGCCGAGGAAGACGTCGAGCGCGTGGATGAGGGCGCTCTGGCCCGCGCTGGGCCCGGAGAGCTCGAGGGGCTGCTTGAGCGCGGGGTCGCGCTCGAGCCCGTCGAAGACCCAGCGGCGGCGCGGGTCCGAGTCGGCGCCCTTGAACCAGGGGCGGATGTCGTGGTAGAAGGTGGCGGGGTCGCAGCCGTCGCGGACGGCGGCGAGGATGGCGGTGAGGTCGGCGGTGACGCGCGCGAGGGCGTGCAGGTAGGCGGTGATGCGGCGCACGGCGGTGGCATCGCCGAGGAAGGCCTCGTCCATTATGGCGCGCATGAGGCCGAGGGCCTCGACCCCGCGGAACTCGATGCGGGCGGAGGCGAGGTAGAACTCTTCCTCGTCGCGGGTGCCGGTGAAGAGGGTGAGGCAGCGGAGGTTGTCCAGCGCGGGCGGGGCGAGGGGGCGGTCGGACGAGGGCGGGGACTTGTAGGCCCAGTTGTAGAGGACATCGTCGGAGTAGGTGAGGACAGGAGGAAGCTGGAGCTGTGCCGAGACCTGGAGGAGGGGCAGGGTGATGGGAGGGGGGATGTGTATTTCGGTGATGGCGGTGGGTGTGGAGTGGATGTACAAGTGCATGAGCCACGCGAGGACATGGTGCGCACGGCGAAGCAGCAGCTCAGACTGCTTCAGTTCTTCGATCGACAGAATCGGAAGCTGTGTTTATTATGAGCGTGTGAATCTGGGAAATGAAAACGAGAATTGACCTCTGAGACGCGCGTCCGCCACCGACCAGACTTGGCTACATCCTCCTCCGCCAGATCATCCTTTTCCGCCAGGCGTAGTCGCGACGTGAGCGCGTCGTCAAGGGCCGTCTCCCATAGCTCCCACTGTTCCGGAAGGCGAGTCAGCGGCGGCTGTGGGGGCATAAACCCGGTCCGCGTGTCGACATCGAAGTCGTGTGCGGCGAGTGTGGACGTGTCCGTCGTTCCGACCGCGACCTCGCCATGGTCGGGACGCGGAAGAGCGAGGAAATGGTCGAGTGGGAGTGTGTTATGCAAGAAGTCCATGGTGTTAGCGAAATGGAGAGGCGAGTGAGAGACGAGAGAGTATAAGTAAGCGAGGAGCGCTATTTCGGCAGAGCATTCAGTCAGCAGAGGGAATGGTGAGAGCGACTCGAAATTGGAGTCCAGCCGGAGCAGTTTGACGACGGATCGGGCTCCAGGCACGGCGCATGGTTGCCGAGATCATTTCGTGAGCGATCGGCAGCGGGTCCAAGATGACTCACCCCGTCGCGTCGTCTTTGCGTCATCCCGACGCCCGATGCGTATCCTCATATCTGTGTTTTGGAATTTTGCTTACCGGCTAGCACCGACATATGTAAATTCCCCGTCATCTGGCAATGCATCAACGTCAACACTCGGCTCCGATAAACTCACCTGCATCTACATCCTGCTTGACATATCCCAACTCAACTGAAGCCTATAAATGATGTGAGGTAAACCGACAGATTGCCAGACCAACATTTAGGTTCTAGCTGTGCGCTCCGATACCGCTTGTAAGCCCTGGTTGTGGTACTTATATGCAACACGTGTCCGGGACGGATCTCACGCGTGAAGTTTGCATATACCTGGGTCCCGGGTTGACTGTGTTTGCACAGAACATGCAACGCGCGTCATAGCAACAAGCTCACTCATATTGAGCAGAGGTGCGGACATAAGTCTTGCGGAGAATTTAGGAACACCGGCGCTGGAAGCTCATCTTTTCGTCTATATTCACGGATGCCACATCTCGGCTCGAGTAACCGATTGCAAGCTGCCTACACACATGCTCAACACTACTGATCCTATATGGCTCCCGGCGGAGCGATACCACGTCCGAGTTGTCTTCAGATGAGAGACTCTTGACTGACGTCACTGTGGCCGCGTATCGGCCCACTAAGTAATCACTTTCTTAGGCAACGTATTTCACCCACAAATATTATCTGTGCCGGAAGAACTTCGGTGTGGACTAAGAATAAAAGCATCGCTCAGGCTGTAATCAAGCGTGCTTCGGCACCGGCTCGGGACCTCGCTGCTTCCACCGAAGCACAGTCCTTGTACCGTCGACGCTGCGCATTGGTTCACTGGTGCACTCTCAAAGAACACAAGCTCTAAACTAGAATGGCTGTGCAGGACCCTCGGAGCGGCTTGTCATCCGGACAATGGCTCCAATCGCTTGCGACGAGCGATATCCACGCTTTGGACATTCTACCATCTGTCTTGAATGTGGCTCGATCTCGGGGCTGCGAAGCTCTCTGAAACCCGGCCTTCAGCAATACCGTGGACGCCTCGGTCTCGGCACCTCTACTCGGAGCACATCCGAGCGGGCCAGTGATGCATGCGGCTGGCGAAGATTGCTTTTCCTTGTGCCGCGCAGCCCGTTTTCGTCCGGCGGGGAAGCGCGGTAATCTCATATATGCCAAGTGCACTGTGGGTGCGAAGCCCATGGAGCGACCGGTGATCAAATCTAGATGTATATGCGACAGCATCACGATCAAACAAAAGTCGCACCTTCGCTCAAAGGTGACACCAAATCGCAGAGAATGCGCCTGGTGGGTCGCAAGAAGGAAGCCGGACAAGCCTCTCGACTGAAAGGATGGTCAATGAATATAATTATCCTCAATCCACGGCCTTTATGATCAACGCAATGTTTGCCGTCTGACCTCGAGTCTCTAGGAACGTCACAGAGTGCGATACACCCGTTTGCTCTCGTCTGCCTCACACGCCGCTTATACACTTTTTCAGGACCTGCATCTCAGGTATTCGCGGGAGCCTCACATGCGCCACTCGCGTAATCGCCGCACTCAGAATCCAGCATAGCGTTCTGCGAATGACCCTGGATGCGGGACAGGCCGAATATATAGCCGGTTCGAATACAAGTCACCGCATGTCGCCTGTTCTTTTTTTGCTTACCGGCGCTCCATAGAATGTGTCAATCCCTGGTTCCGGTGCGTGCGCTCACCATTACAGAAAGATGCGTCAAGGTCGGGTATGCATTGTGACTTCCCTGCCTTGCATTTGACAAAACCACTCGGGAGATGCCTGTCACACCGACCACATTCGCGGGTGCGCTTCATGTTATGAATCTCACTCCGCGCTGAGCGGGTATGCGCACGATGGAGCTGCCCGTTGAGGGTATTTGCTCAGTTTGAGCGCCACCGACGCTACGAAGACTACTGAGTACCGCAATAAGGCGGGGATGTGAACATACTCAAGACTTGAGCCAAATCCTGCACTGACACGCGGACAAGGCTCAAAGAAGACAGCCTCAAAGCGGAGAGAAATTGCAGGATGCACGTTGAATTGGTGGGGTTGCGCCATCACGCCACCCGCCACTGATTCAGCATCATGTCAAAGCCGTAGTATCAGAGGCAAGCTAGGCACAGGGTGATTTTCCGTCGACTGGGCCGTTGAGAGCCCCTAATGAACTTGATAGACGCTGATAGCCGTCGCTCGTGGTCGGTAAGCCGCATGCTTATCTCGACAGCTGCGTGGGCATTGTTGGCGTAGGTCCAAGCTGTACAAGACCCAGCTTGCCTTGGTCCGCGCCACAGGCGGCGTACCATCAAAGTGCATCGTAGACGCCACATTTTCTCGGGCCGTCGCCATGGGTAAGGCATCATATTCCTCGCTTAGATGAATGTTCACCCTATATCTCAGCCGCGCAAGATATAAATACCGCACTCCTCTGAGTGACAAGAGCGCGCCCCCATCTTGCGTCACCACTCACGAACTCTGCACTGCTCGTATCAGGAGGCCAAAGATGTTCTGGGCCACGAGAATCGCCATGCCATCTCCAATCCTGTACTCGCCGAAACCCAGCCCTACGCCGACGTTGGTCAACGTACCCGTTACGCTGCAGCAGCTCGCCTATGACTATCGGACTTCGAGTTCAGCAACGTCACTGTCACTGACGCCAATCGCCGTTCCACAACGAGCTTTTATGGGTTGGCCTCTGCAGAGTCCTCGGCGGTCGATGTCGCCACTCCCACTCGACTGCCTCGCTCGCCCCGTCGCGCAGTCGCCTCGACCGGGCGCCTTGAAATGCTGCATCAAATTCATTTATACTGCGTGCCTCTGGATGGGATACTTCGTGGCATGCATCGTACTAATCTTGCCTGGGGCGGCGCTCCCATATCGTGGCTCCCGCGTAGTCCAGGTCATTGGACACGCCAGCGTGGGAGCCGCCTGGTCTCCCGCGTCCGCGATATTGGCACGTGCGATCCTATCAAGGCCTTTCCTCGAGTACTCTGCGACTACGGCCGGGGGGGTGAGCAGCACTTCTGCGGTCGGAGGAGTGTTACTTGGCGCAATGCTCGGTATATCGACGTTCTTCGATAAGAAGCCAGAAAGGTCGTATTGGGCCTGGATGCTGTTAGTCTTGGCTATCATCGGGATCTTTGGACAGGCACTTGGTGTTGTCATATTCCGCTTCAAGGAGCCGGGGGCTCTGGATACTTACCTTGGGCTCCTGATAAGTATGCTTGGTGGGTTGATTGTGTGGGTGATGACGGCTGTCTTATGTCTTTTCCCTGACATATTGAGTCCTCGTCCATGCCCTATGGAAGAGGATGGCGGATGGCGCAAGTTCTTGCCTTCTAGATATCTCATGTACCATGTTAACCAGACAAACTGTTAGTCTACCAATACTGGATGTATCGAACGCCAAGCGGTATATCGCATCTTTCTTGCCTATACACAATAGTCCATAATCATACTACAAACGTTCCGAATTCCTTTGGCCAAGGAGCCGAAAATCAAGAAAATGAGACAGTAGCGATTCGACGGTGTCTGCTAGAGCGTGCAAGATCTGCGGGACAGCGGAGGCGAGTCAGCGACAGCTGTTGGCATGGACCCGGTCCGCATGTCGACATCGAAATCGGGTGCGGCGAGTGTGGACGTGTCCGTCGTTCCAACCGCGAACTCGCCATGGTCGGGACGCGGAAGGGAAGGGTGAGGAAATGGTCGGGTGGGAGTGTATGCAAGAAGTCCATGGACAGCGGAGAGTGAGAGACGAGAGTATAAGTAAGCGAGGAGCAGAGCATTCGGCCAGGAGAGAGGGAATGGGGAGTGTCGAAATTGGAGTCCAACTGGCTCCAGGCACGGCGCATGACTGCCGAGATCATTTCGAGGGGAGACGCGGACGAGACGAATGAAAGTAGAAGTCAGCGACTTTTATTGATCTCCGTGAAAATAGTAGAACTCGATCGTGGGACTTCCGCTGAGAAGTAGAAGTCAGTGTGGCGCTCCCCGCCCGCCTCAGCCATATATGGTAGTTGCATGCTCGCGCGCTTATGACGCTTGTATCTCTTCATCGTGCATTGCATTCGTGAGCGATCGGCAGCGGGTCCATAATGACTCGCTCCGTCGCGTCGTCTTTGTATCATCCCGATTCATGTGCTCGTATATGTTATTTGTGCAGTCACCACCGACGTACGTATATTTAAGCTGATTTGGCACTTTCAGTTGTCTCAACGTCTCCGGAGCACTGTTCCTTGTATATTGCATCGCTGCTACGAAAATTAATGCTGGGCTCCATTAAATTCACCTGCATCTACCTTTCCATAGTGAACGTGGTCAGCCCATGGATGCCGCAAGCAGAGGCTCCACACGTCTCACGTCAAATGGAAACCTAACTGAAACCCGTAATTGTTGTGAAGAAAATCGACAGATTGCCCACATCATCTAGACCAACATTTAGGTTCTAGCTGTGCGCCTGGATATTGTATGTAAGCCCTGATTAAGATTACTTGAGTCTTGATACTAATATGAAGCACGTGTCCGGGACGGATCTGATTGCAATCATTCGCGAGAAGTTTGCATACTTATACCTGGGTCCCGGGTTGATTGTTTCTGCACAGAACGCGCAACGCGCGTCATAGCAGCAAGCTCACTAATATTGAGCAGAGGTGCGGACACGAGTACTGCGAAACGTTTAGGAACACCGACGCCGGAAGCTCATCTTTGTGTCTAGGTTCACGGATGTCACATCTCAAATCGAGTCACTGACTTCAAGCTGCCCACACACACTCCCAACGCTGATAATTCTATGCACCTTATGGCTGAGCGATACCACACCCGAGTGTCCTCAGATGGGACTCTTGACTGACGTCGCTGCTATCGTGTACCGGCCCAATAAGTAAGCACATTTTTAGGCAACGCGTTTCACCCCACAAAAATTGACTGTGTAGGAAGAACTTCCGCGTGGACTATTCATATTCATAAAAGCATGGCGCAGGCTGTAATTAAGCGTACGAAGGTCAACATCGTCGATGCCGCGCGTCGGTCTACTAACGCACTCTCAGAGGACATGGGTGCTTAACTAGGGTTAGCGTAATAGACCCTCGGAGCGATATATGATCCGGAACATGTTTCCAATCGCGAGCTGCGAGTAATATCCACGCTTTTGACATACTGCCATCTGTCTTGAATGTGGTTCAATCATGGGGGCAGCGAAGCCCTCTGAAACCCGGCCTTCAGCAATACCCTGGACGCCTCGGTCTCGGCACCCCCATTCGGAGCACATCCGAGCGGGGGAGGCGAAGATTGCTTTCCTTGTGCCACGCAGCCCGTTTTTGTCCGGCACGGTAGCGCGATAATCTCATATATGCCAGGTGGAGGTACGCGGTGTGGGTGCGAAGCCCACGGAGCGACCGGTGATCAAATCCAGATGTATATGTGATAGCATCACGATCAACCAAGAGTCGCACCTTCACTCAAAGGCGACACCGAATCGCAGACTGCGCGCCTGATGGGTCGCAAGATGGAAGCAGGAAAAGCCTGTCGATTGAAGGGCGATTATCCAATTATATAGTGAGCAAGATCTGTGCGTTGGGACGGCCAGTGGATATGAATATTCTCAATCCATAGCCCTTATAACCGACACCACATATATAATTGCCATCTGACCTCTAGTCTCTAGAAGTGTCACAGAGTACGCTACACATGTTTGCTCTCATCTATATCACGCGCCGTTGATACACTTTTTTCAGGACCTGCATTTCAAGTATTCGAGGGACATGCGCCACCCGCGTAATTGCCGCACTCAGAATCCAGCAAAGCGTTCTGCGAACGACACTGGATCCGAGACAAACCGAATATATATCCAGTTCGAACACAAGTCACCGCAGGTCGCCTGTTCTTTTCTGCTTACCGGCGCTTCACAGAATGTGATAATCTCTGGTTTCGGTGCGTGCGCTCATCATCACAGAAAGATGCGTCAAGGTCGGGTATTCATCGCGACTTTCCGTTCCGACAGATCCGTTGAGGGGATGCCTGTCACACCGACCACATTCGCGGGTGCGCTTCATGTTATGAGTCTCACACCGCGCTGAGCGGATTTGCGCACAATGGAGCTGCCCGTTGGAGGTATTTGCTGAGTTTGAGCGCCACCGACGCTACGAAGACTGCTGAGCACCACAATAAGGCGGGGATGTGAACATACTCAAGACTTGAGCCAGATCCTGCACTCACACACGTGCAAGGTTCAAAGAAACCAGCCTCAAAGCGGAGAGACATTGCGGGACGCACATTGGCGGGTTTGCGCCATCATGCCACACGCCACTGAAGCAGTATCGCGTCAAAGCCGCGAGATCAAAGGCAAGCTAGGCACAGGGTGCTTTTCTGTCGACTGGACCGTCGCGAGCCCCTAATGAACCTGATAGACGCCGACAGCTGCGTGGGCATTGTTGGCGTAATAGGTCCAAGCTGTACAAGACTCGCCTTGATCCGTGCCACTGGCAGGGCGTACCATCAAAGCGCATCATAGACGCCACATTTTCTCGGGCCGTTGCCGTGGGTAAGGCATCATATCCTTCGCTTAGTCGAATGTTAATCCTATTGTCTCAGTCTCGCAAGGTATAAATACCGCACTGCTCTGAGTGACAAGAGCGCGCCCCCACTTGCGCCACCTCTCACGAACTCTGCACTGCTCGTATCAAGAGGCCAGAGATCGTCTGTGCCGCGAAAATCGCCATGCCATCTCCAGTGCTGTACTCGCCGAAACCCAGCCCTACGCCGACTTTGGTCAACATCCCCGTTACACCGCAGCAGCTCGCCTATGACTATCGGACTTCGAGTTCGGCAACGTCACTGTCACCGACATTGGTTGCCATTCCACCACAAGCCTCAGCGGCGATGTCGACCGACGAGGACTCCGCAGAGGCCATCCCACAAAGTGGCGACTCGATATACCTTCCGCCGCCTGCCACCGCCATGCGGCCGAGCCCCTTGCAGACAGCAGACGTCGCTGAAGGCACTCCGATCGTTTTCGACACACTGATCGCGCTGCTCATAATACCATTCGTTGTGGCTGCATGCTTTCTTGTCCTTCTCGTCTTCATCGGGGCGGCGGTTCTTCTTGTAGCCGTTATGGTGGTAATCGCTGTGGTGGACTGGGTCGGAGCAGCTTTGACTTGCGCACTTTCATATCGTGGCTCGCGCGTAGTTCAGTTATCTCTACACACCTGCGTTGGAGCCGCCTGGTCTCCCGCGTCCGCAGTTTTGGCACATGCGATCCTATCAAGGATTCCCCTCGAGTCTTCCGCGACTGCTGCTGTAGGGGTGGGTCACACGTCTGCGGCCGGAGGGGCGCTACTTGGCGCGGTATTCGGTATATACACGCCCTTTGGTCGGTCCAAGGAGGAGCCAGCACCGGCGAGGTTGCGTTCGGAATGGTTATACTCAGTCTTGTGTTTCATTGGGATCTTTGGTCAGGTTCTTGGGGTTGTTTTGCTCCGCTGGAGAGAGCCGAGCATTCTGGATGAGTTCGGAACGAGTATCTTTGGTGGGTGGATTGTGTCGGTGATAACAGTTGTCATTTTGGTCATTTTCGAAAAAATGATTTGTGAGACTATAGACTATGAACCTGCTAACGAATGACGCAGATCCTTCGTCTATCAGGTTTCTTGTATATCATGTTGACCAGGAAAACTGTTAGTCTACAAATACTAGATGTACGAACGCCGAGCGGTATATCGCATCTTTCTGGTTTACACACAATATCCCACAATCATACTACAGTCGTTCTGAATTTGTTTGGCTAAGGAGCCGGAAAATCGCGAACAACCAAGTAAATGAGAAAGTAATAGCGGTTCGACGGTGTCTGCTAGATCTAGAATGTCCAATATCTGTGGGACAGCGGTGATCACTACACTGAGCCGGGCTATGTGTTTTGTGCCCAGTGTTCCTATGAGCAATGAGTGAAGGCGCACATAATGAAGTTCAAGTTCGCTGGGACTGTCACATTGTACGACTCTGGCCTGTTTGGCTGTTAAAAACGCAAATTAAAGGGTCCTTTCTGGCCAGCATTCGGCATTTGGTAGGCCTGTCGGTCTAATGGTTTGAACAATGTTGAGCAAGAACAGTGCCTTAGAGAAGTCAGGTCTTTGCTTATACCTGGACCTTAGGAGTCTGTATAACATACCGAGATCATCCAATGCTGTGAAACGAATTGCGCATGTTCATATTCGTCTTTGACGACTTCGCCATGCGCCGACAAGGGAGGACGTCGGAGGACGTACATCCAAAGTTCAGAGTTCCCGCGCCGCCAGATGTCGCGCTGTCGTATTCGACATTGATGTGTATTAGTGATCCGGGATCCGAGATAGATCGAGTGTCCGCTTATATGCAACTTACCGTATGTCGCGCAACCTGTTGACCGGCTTTAGAGAAGACACTGATCCCATGTCGGTGGATTCACAGCCATTGTGTATAGTAAATAGTACAGTAGTACGTCGGGATCTAGGTAATCATCATGATGCCCGGCCTTCGCCATTCAACAAACGTGCGTACGGGCATTCATCCCCACTTTAACAGCTTGAACAGAACTCAAACATGACAAAGCTGCTCATCAAGTCCTAGCAGTAGTATTGACACTTGCGGCCTGCTCATTTAAACCGATATCGAAGACTAACGTTTAAAGTTACGCTATGCCTGTATCGCTTGCCCGGGCGGTCGTTTTTGCTATGCCCACGCCAGAACCTGATGAACACCACTCGGCCTTGAAAGTGCTCCCGCTCTGAGTGCCTAATGTACACCGGGCGGTCGGACAATGGAAGACCTGCACACAAAGCGCGCCCGCAATTCGTGCAGCTCCAGGGATCGTCCCTCTGTAACTTAGGCCCTGGCGTCGTCATCTAGGAGTGTCGGAACAAGTTCCGATGTAGCCAGATAAGCAAGGCGCCGGAGCGCCTACAAGAAAAGTGAAAGTCCAATCGTGACGCTGGATATTGAAGCATCTACGAAAGATCGAGCATGGGAGCAGGCGGAAAGCATTTGTAACATACCAGGACAATAGGCCAATCATTACTCACCGAAGACGAACCGGAGTCCCTGTAGCGTACTTAAATGCGCCAGAAGGCGGGCTTCCTCCTCACAGAAGCTAGTGGTTCTCTCGATGTTCGGGAGCATTGATTGCCTTGGAGACGTCGGAGTGTTAGTAATTTCGGAGTATCTCAAACGACGCTCAATTGTTAGTCAATGAGAGTAGCGTACGAAGAGCATGCTTCACCGTGATGAGAACTTGTCGTATGAATGTTCAAGTTCCTACGCGATGAGAAAATCTGCCACTCGACAATGCAGAGCATTCGGTAACATGCTACAAATCAAGCACGAGTGAAGGAAGAACGGGCACGGAATCAGAGCATGTATGCCATGTGTATCAAAGGTGATTCCTCGACGGAGGTTACGGACAGAAACGAGGTGGAGCGTTCTTCGGTCTAGGCATACCTTGCATTGTCCACGATCAGGGACACATGCACTAATCAAGGGGATATGTTCAACGCGTCTCTGCCTCCAAGCATCCCCTGCTGATTGACGATTCCTCAGATACGAGCCTGACCGTGAACTAGCGGACACGTGTGATGCAGGATGTCAGCCTGAGTGGCACGTACCTAAGCGCGACCACCGGCTCTACGTCACGAAGGCTACATCGCTGGGAACGCCGAGTCTTTCAAAGTCCTGTAAACGGACGCACCTCTGTGTACATCCGAGCAAGCGAACATCGTATTCTGGAATGTTAGGGCATTTCATAGGCCGTGTTGAAATGCAGATAGCAAAGACAAAAAGTGTGTGGTACAGGCTTTTTGTTTCGTAGCTTACGGGCGTATGGTGCGGTCGATAGATCTTTTTGTGTTGCGGAGAGTGAGTCAGGGCGAGCAACTTCGCGAACGCACACGAGACAATAACGGAGGCGATTGGCTCGACGCGTGATGCACGCAGACAAAAAGACAAGAACTGCATCGGCGATCTCGCGTGCCCGATAAGGAAACTCAGTGGCGCCCTTCCTCCACCGCTCACAATTAGTTGGAACTTTGCTCATACCAAGGCTAGGCGCGCTCGCCAGACATGCTCACCACCGACATGGGTCTCATATATAAAATACACGCAAAAATGGCCATAGCGACAGGACCCACCGGTGTTTCAGCCACATCTCCTATACTCGCACAGAAATGGCCACCGCATACGCTCAGCCCGCTGCTGCGAACTACTTTGCTGCGCCGTCACACCCACCGCCGAAACAACGCGGATACAGGGTGTGTGATCAGTGCGGTGCCGTAGAGCAACCCACGTCTGCCCGCTTTAGACTCTGCGGTGGATGTGTGAGTCACTGCTTCATGCTATGCCTAATCGTACCCCTATACTGACATATGTTTTTCCTAATTCAGATGATCACCCAGTACTGCGTAAGTCTGGACTGCTACACTATCCCAAACCTTGTCTCTGACTCGATAACCAGTCCCAGGATTGTCAGAAGATGCACTGGCCTTCCCACAAACAGATTTGCCAACACACATCAAAACAAGTGTCGGCGATGAAGCAGCCCGGAGACATGGACGAGAATCTCGTCAAAAACCTTAGAAAATTCGTCTCTGCGCATTCAACACTAATCGGTTGGGCGGGGTTTCAGGCGCTCCAGCTGAAGCGTCTCCCCTCCAACGTCCGTCAAAACGCCCTGCTCATCGAGCTCTCCTATCATCCTTCCGCATCTGAATCCGTTCGGAGGTAAGCATTCTGCTTTAAAGTACATCCCATCATCGCTAATTACTCCCCCTCGATCAGATTTTCCATCAAGGGCACCCATATCGTCCCACGGACGTATGTCACCGACAACGATCCTCTCGTGGGCGCCGACATTCAGCGCCGCGAGGAGCGCTGTCGCCGCAGTGGCGGTATTGGCACCGCAGTCATCCTCATCCAGTGCAGTGACGTCAGCCAAGTCATGCCAGTGGAAGTGGACGCGCCCAGCAAAATATCCTGGGATTACCGGGAGGACTGGGCAGACACGCTCCGGCATTTCGTCGACTCTGGTCGGATAGACTTCAAGCCCATCTCGACAACCCCGAGAGGGTGAGCTTCCTTCCAGAATACTGCCTCGCGCAATCAGCTGATAATGATTATAGGATTGTCTACGGATGAGTGATCCGTATCTTCGACCCTTCGTATTCTGCGCGACGTGGATCGTCGTTTTGGCCAGCATTCCCTTCTGCTTCCACTATCTGGGATCGTGTTGAAGCTCGGATTTCTCCTACTGGTTGCTCCGGTGTGCATGAATCGAGTCTTATCGTCATGCTGTGTATCGTTATACCCTTCCGTTTGCTTTCGAGATTCGTTCGGCATCTAAATTATGCATAGCATCTTCTTGGCGCATTGTATAATACGCATCCAATGGATTCCTCGCTTTTCTGTAACACCATATTCAATCTTCTGAGGCTCTTCCATCGCAAATCTGACCGATCTGCGTGTATCTCAATTTGTAGACGACATATGGTGACGAGTTCATTTTGACTGACTCCCAACTAAGGTTGATACTGATCTCAGAGCCGTCGTCGCTCGTCACGAACTTCACAATGAAGACGGTACGACGACTTATCCTCCCGCGACCCCGCCGCTTATTGTCATAGATCCACCTAATCTATTCAAGCTAGTGAATGCAAGATTCCGCACGGCCGAGGCGCCGTCATTTTGGACATCATAATTACTGTTGTACATGCGTTATTGCCGTGCGGAAACGCCGCGTCCTGCTTTCACGTATACGCTACATGACTTCTACGCATACACCTTCTCGCGCCAGCCTGGAAGGATCTGCGCCGTCTCGTACTTCGGGTCCGAGCGAACAATGTTCTTGGTCCTCTGCCACTTTTGCTTGGCAAAGGTCCACTCTGCATTCGCTCTAAGTATGAAGCTTTAGATATTTGGGGCAGGTGGAAGCTCACCCTCCATAGTCGGGACCGGGTTCCCGCTCTTCTCGAAGTCATTCTGGGTGTACCCTTCACGCTGCAGAACAGGCGAGTCTTGGACAGTCGCAAGGCGAACATTGTTGTTCGGGCTGTAATGACATATGGTCAGACCACTTGAACTATTCCCCCTGAAGGGCTATATTCTACGAACCGCTGGAAGTAGAGGAGGCCGAGACGGTCAACATGCTCCTGGTCCTTCGGAGGTGATACCACCCTAGGATGACATAGTGAGCTGGATTAAGAACACCTCGCATCTGACTTCAGAGCCTACGGACCTATGGATCGTGCTCCTGACGTAGCCGCCCGTGAGGAAGGAGAGCGCATCGCATGCGTTAACAGTCAAGGTACCGTCCTGAGGCTTTACCCACTTCCACTCGCCGGTTATGTGATTCTTGATTTGCAAAGCTGCAACAGGCTGGCGGAACAGAAGAGTGAATGTTCCAAGATCTGCTCGAACGTACGTAAATGGGCACAGCCTCTTGCATGTGGGAAAGCTGCGACATACCGGTGTGGCCTTGGACCCAGAGCTTCCCGTGCTTCAGGTTCTCTTCGGGAGTGTATTTGGAGTACTTCATGTACCTGAGGTGATCCTAGCGAGGAGACGATAGGCATCAACGTGTGTTTTCATGATTTCTATCGTTCAACTGACCTCGCTCTTCTCTTCGTATTTATGGAGCTTCAAGAAATAGTCCTCGGGCAACTCGAGAGCATTGGCAAGCAGAACATGGAGAGGGTCCAACACCTCTTTATGCAGATCCTGTGACGTCATACACATCAGGGTAGAGCGCGTGGCAGACATGGTGCGTTACTTGCCTTGGAAAACTCTTCGATCTCTGCAAGGTGCTCCTGGATTAGGACAGGGTGGTTATGCGTGAAGTATCCATCGAACTCTGCGAGCACAGATATATCATCTGTCTGTGAGGCATCGGACAACTACTGACTGGGAATGTTGTACATCTCCACCCGGTCGCGCAGGCCCGAGACAGGGTCAAGGCTTATGAGGATTAGAACGGAGCTCTTGTTGTTCATGATTCTAGCTTACATTCGGCGACCCGCAGGGATATAGCCATTGAATTTGCCGTTATCTGTGAGTTTCCCGATGAGCTCAACATTCAACAGACAAGACATTGTCTGACTCACCGAGACCCTCTGGAACATACTTCAACTTTTCCTCAAGGGGAAGCTCATAGAAACGCTTTCCGAGCGCGAATTGGCGGTTTACGCGTTCTTGGGATATGTTGAAGTTCTTCACATAGAAGAAGCCAGCTTCGCGCACAGCTTTGATCAACGTCTGGATCAACTGCTGTCTGCCTTCAGGCGTGTCAAGAAGAGCGAAGTCAAGGGTGACAAGTTCTGCCCATTCAAGGTCTTCCTAAGCGCCCGCTGGGTAATTAGACACAATTCCTGTTGATGCTAAGCACTGATGCTCACCTTTGTCTCAGGAACAAAGTTGAAGGATCCAAGTTCGGGTACGGCGACGGGCATGATGCAATGCTTGGCTTTAGGTGTTGCGAAGAGGGCTGTAGATTCCACAGTAGTACACGACCCACGGTCGATACCTCTTATGTACTACCATCACACGGTACAAGACTGTTATCTGACTCGCCGACGTGCTGATGGTGCAGGGGTTAGCAGCGAGGTCAGGCGGTGAGGTGGAGAAGGTAAATGTCACCTCATCGCCAGGTTCGATGGTGCAATTGCGCTGTTATCGGGTGAAGTGGGCGACAATTTCGAGCTTCGATTTCGTGACATTGAAGCACCTTGGTGTGGCTTATCCACGCAGCCGAGCGGCGAGAAATCATCAAAATGCAGGCACGGACCGTACAAGTGGATCTAAAATGGAAGAAGACTGCCGATCGCGACATAGGATCTATATATACTGCAATAGCAACGAAGCGCAATTTGCACATAAATTATCCCTCCACAAGCGTAGAATTGCTTCCGTGGTATTTCCGTGGGGTTCAGAAGTCACTGACGGACGAAGCGTGCTGGTCGAGTCGTTCATCCAAGCTGCCTGGTAAGAATAGAAAAGGGGTCCTTCATTGGAATGCAAGTTTGTGATCGTCAGCACTCGCCGCTAAAGAGGTCCGGCGGCAGAAAGTCCAGCTGATGATGATTCAGCTGATTCCGCAGCATCTCAGCGACTTACATACCTGTCATCTCTGCTTCGTCGAACACTCTCAAATCCCGGCTCACCGGGCTCGGACAATACACAAGGATCGGAAGAACGTTCGATATCAATTCGCCAGGCCTCTATCGTGGTGTTGATGTCCAAGATCGATGGCGTGCCCGAGGGCGAGGCGTCTGGATAGATGAGACGTACATTGCGTCTTCGACCGGTGTTACCCGACGCTCACGCTGATCTTTCAAACAAATTCAGCAATTCGACCTTTAGTATGATACATACCATGAGAAAAATAATGGGACAACAGAGGGATCTGGTGACTTCGCAATCAGGGGTACAAAATTCAGTTTCCGAGGGTTCATACAGAACTCTTGACATTCCACAACAAGTTCACACTCGAAAATTTTCATTCTATTTGTGTATCTAGTGGACTGCACATAGATAATTTACATATTTTTCCGGAGACAGCTAGCTAAGAAAAAACACAATTCATGGCAAGTGTTTCAGTGACCGGTGGTGTTTCAGTGACCGGTCCTATACTGTATCAAAATCGAGAATGTAGAGCTTTTCAGCCCTCAGTCGTCCACCGCGAGAGCTTCTTCGTGCAGTACAAGGACCTGCAAGTAGTGTTGTGCGGAGGTCGAGCTACACTATTGTATGTCACCCGGGTGCATTGCGTTACTGCCAGATTTGCAAAGACAATAATCACAAAATCTATATGGAACTCGCCTCGAGTCAAACACAAATGGCAGTAGAGCCTGGCCGTTGGTCCGAGTAGGACTTTCATGCCTACCCAAAAAAGCGAGCTTGTTATTACAGACTAAGAACCGACATGAGCGTATCGAGGCATAGGGTGACGTTGCTCAGTCGGTTCATGAGCCACTGCAGAGTGCTGGTCGCGGTTTGGGTTCATTCGATCGTGCTACGTTCACGACTGTCACGCATCACACTGTGTCACAACAGTCACGACACTGTTTGTACCAGATTCTTTTAAATTCGACGGGTTTAGACTTCATACAACGTAGGTACAAGTAGTTTGTACCAGATTCAAGAATCACATCTAAACCAGCTATCATGCTACATCATGTGTAAATCTTCTCGTTCCAGCCCGGAAGTATCTGGGCCGTTCTAAACTTGGGATCGGACAGGACGACATTCTTCGTGCGCTGCCACTTCTGCTTCGCAAACGTCCATTCTACGGTACTTATCAGTGGAGCACTAGGCACGTCGATGACGATCACTCACGTTCCATAGTCGGAACGGGATTCCCTGACTTCTCGAACTCGTTCTGAGTATATCCCTCCCGCTGCAATACAGGGGAATCCTTGATTGTCGCAAGCACGACGTCGTTGTTCGGGCTGAACGGGAGGGTCGGCTTCCATATTATACGAAGCATCAGGAAACTACCACATACCGTTGGAAATACAGAAGACCGAGGCGGTCAACATGTTCCTGGTCCTTGGGCGGAGCATGTACACTGTAGGGTGTCAGTGATTGAAGCCGGACACGCTCAAATGGAGACATACCGATGGATCGTGCTCCTGACGTAGCCTCCCGTCAAGAATGACAGAGCGTCACAAGTGTTGACGGTCAGGGTGCCGTCCTGCGGCTTTACCCACTTCCACTCGCCGGTTACGTGGTTCTTGATCTGTAGCGCTGCGACAGGCTGGCGGAAGAGCAGCGTGAATGACCCAAGATCTGTCGTATTTGCGAACATAAACGCCTATAAATCCATCGAGATTGACAATTGGTACGCACCAGTGTGTCCTCCACCCCAGATCCTGTTGAGCTTCTCGTTTTCCTCTGGAGTGAACTTTGTGTACTTCATGTACCGGAGATGGTCCTACGAGGCTTGTTAGCCTTCGAAGAAATTACGCCAAACACGGATGTGTCACCTCGCTCTTCTTCGAGTAGTCATGGATTTTGTTTAGGTAATCCTCTGGAAGTTCAAGCGCGATGGCGAGCAATTGATGTAATGGAGTCAGGACCTCGGTATGCAGTGACTGTGACGGAGAAGCATAATTTAACCGAGTACATAATGTCCCTATCAAGATAGGCTCACCTTGGAAAATTCTTCGATCTCAGGGAGGTGGCTCTGAACCAGGTCCGTGTGCTCGTGCTTAAAGAACCCGTCGAACTCTGCATGATTAATATGAGCAAATAGGTTGTGATGCAGATCAATATAGAGGTAACTGACTCGGAATATTGTAAACCTCTGTGCGACCTCTCAGGCCAGACACAGGGTCCAGACTGCTGGAGGTTTAGTAGCGGCACCAGTAGCACAGCTTATAACACACATTCTCCGACCAGCTGGGACGTAACCGTTGTACTCGCCCTCATCTACGAAACAGAAAGTTGATTGTTGCTGAAGCATGCGCTGGGATGAAAGACGTACCAAGGCCTAGAGGGATGTACTTGAGCTTCTCCTCTAGGGGAAGCTCATAAAAACGGTTCCCGAGCGAGAACTGGCGGTTTACGCGCTCTTGAGAGATGTTGAAGTTCTTGACATAAAAGAAACCGTCCTCGCGCACGGCCTTGACCAGCGTTTCTGCTAGCTGTTTCTTCCCCTCAGGCGTGGTGAGGAGGTTGAAATCCAGAGTAACCAGATCAGCCCAATCCAAGTCTTCCTGAGGAGAGCTCGTCGTTTCGGTCTCACTAGATATTGTGCACGAATATGCTCACCTTCGTCTCCGCGACGAAGCTGTAGGAGCCAAATTCAGGTACAGGGACGGGCATAGCTAATTTGCTGATTGAGCAGGAGGATAGGTTTCGACGATCGAGACGCCTTCTGTAGAGATATACCCTGGCAACTCATGCATGAGAAGAACTCGAGGTCATCCGGTCTAGTCAAGGAACGCAGGACTCACCTCAGGCGCAGCTCCAATGGTGCAATCCACACTAGCAGACTTCCAAAATGGACTGAGTAATCCGAACTGGAAACAAAGTCCGAGCCTCGTATCTCGATTCGAATTTCAAGCGAAATAGCAAGCTGATAATGGCGTTCGAGGCAACAACTTCAAATTCGACAACGTGACAATGCGTCAACTGTTCGCAATTGTCGGCCTGCCAAGACTATTTCTCGTGTTTAACCAGGGCAGCCACTCATTGTATAGTCCATTGGAGACATATCGGAAGCCTTCTGGGTTCTTGCGGAACTCAATAATCGGGTGTATCGAACAAGCAGCAGAAGGCTTCCCGCGTGAAGCACGTCAACGAGCGTTATGTTCCGACAGTAGCTGCAGATGAGGCCCTTGTGGCGTTTAGAATGATGAGTAGCTAGCATAGGGGGGCTGTGAGGAGACATCTACAACGTAGAGGACCGCTGAAACTTGAGCGCTTGAGCGACCTCGCCATTCTTGGCCGGAAGTTCCCGACGCTATTGATGGCGTCAATGATGACTGCGGGACCAAATTATGACGTGAGTGCAACCTGCATCCTTCATCAGGATGAAATGTCTCGGTCCCTGCCTCTGCAGGCAGTCTCTCTATGGCGCACATGCCACCTATCACGCCAAGGAGCGCAAGCATCAATGTCTGCAATGTATGCAATTGGAGTTATCAGCTGATAGGCCTAAACGCCAGCTCTAGGGCGTATTCGTGCTCAGTCCCCATTCACGACTTCTTTTGCGTGCTTTGGCTCGTGACCGTTCTTCAGAATGCTCGCCCCAAATGGCAGTATCGAGTCTTTCCGAAGCGCTTCCCTGCGTTCCGGTATTTGCAAACCCACCTATCTTCCCCGAATAGCTTATCTTGTAAATGATGCCATCCTGCTCCTGGATGAGTTTTGTGACACCCATGCAGTGAATTAGGCTCGCGCGGCCAAGGGCTCGTTCTAAAAGCCTGAGCGTGGATCATGCTCAGGCTGCCTGTCCCGAGCCTTTTGTGTCCGGGCTTCCCAAATCCTGTGTGCTGCTCAGATGGCCGACAAGCCCAAGAAGCGAGCGCTGAAAACCTACATCTGGTGAGTTCATGGTCCTGCTTTGGCTCTGCTCGGCTGAAGGTCTGTCCAGGGACACATGGGATAAACCACCAGAAGAGAGGCGGTTCTTGTTCAAACTTGACGCCTGCCTCTTAACATATGCGGCGCTGTCATATTTCAGCAAATAAGTCATTGATTCGCGTTTTGTTCGGATGATCGTCTCATTCATGATCGATATATACGTATCTCGATCAGCAGAATGTCACGGTACGTCTAGTCGACAACACTATTTTCATAAAGTGCGGTGTACTTACAGATGCATAGAACGCGTATGTCTCGGGGATGCAAGAAGAGTGAGTGCCGTAGCTCATGGATTCCCAGTATTAGTCTCTGACTTCACCGAACAGCCTTGGCCTGTGAGCTGAGCCGACGTATCCAAGACGGTGACATTAGCTGACCAGCAATGACAGACACGGCAATGAATTAAATTACATCACGACTGCGTGGACATGTGGATATGTCATTGGACAGATTCCCTCAAAGTATGCATCATCTGAGGTCGCTTCATCTCTGCAAAGAGTGACTGATACACTCTCGCCCAGTATGCTGATCACAAGAATCCGCCCCTCGCTATGGGTTCGTCTTTATTCGTCGTCACAGTGCGAGACACCTCGTCTGAGACGTGTTATTGCTCCAACCAGATCCCGCTTATGGAGGTGATTTGGAGTGTACTCACAATGACACTGGCTGCGTCGAAGAACTTCAGCACACTTGTGGCCATTCGGTTCTTCGTCGGTACGTAAAGCACTCTGTCGCTCCTCACGCCTCGCAGGACTCGCTCAACTTTGCACAGGCCTAGCGGAGTCCACGTTCTATCCCTCTATCCAGTACGTGATTGGTAGCTGGTACAAGCCTGAGGAGCTTGGTAAGCGGGCGTGCATATTCCATGTAGGCGACTGTTCGCCTCCATATTGAGTGTGTCCTGACGCTCGGGGCTGTCAGACTGCAAGTGCCTTGGGTCCAATGTTCAGCGGCTTCCTCCAAGCCGTGCGTTGCGTCTCACACATTATACACTATCCTTGACCACGTGTATGATGAAACACAGGGCGCATACGATGGCTTGAACGGCAGATTCGGCCTCGCGGGATGGAGATGTGTGTATTCAAGCACCTTGTTGTACCTATCTCTTCGAAACTGATATGGCATTTCAAGGGCTCTTCATTATTGACGGAATTATCACCGTCCCGATCGCAATACTGGGCTTCCTCATCATGCCAGGTATTCAGCACATCGATTGACACCCACCCCATACTGAAGGCGTGCGACAAATAGACCTGCCGTCTAACACACCGCCCTCGATGTTCTACACTCAGGCGCAGCTCGAGCTCGCTCAGCGCCGCATGGAGGAAATTGGCCGGAAGCCTCCAGCGCCGTTCACAAGGAAGAAGGTATGACGCAAGCGAAACCGTCCAGATCATCGAATCACGGCGAGCTTCACAGATTATTGGCTTCTTCCAGACGTGGCATCTGTACCTGCTGACTCTCCGTATGTGTCTCTGACTTCTGTGATCACCCCTTCCATGACTGATCGGCGAGCCCTGCCACAGTGTATATTCTGGTGCGCTAAACTGGCTCAAGATGCTGTGCATGCACGAACTGACCATCATTCCTCTCGGTAGTTCAACAACGGTGGCAATCCCGCATCCTCAATGATTTTCTGGTATGTAGAATTGTTTACATACCTTCTTTCTTACACCGAAGGCTCACGTCAATTATGTTCGCAGGCTGAAGAGTTTCAATACGCCTGAGAAAACGGTGTATACCGTCGCACAAATCAACACGTACCCAATCCCCATGTATGCGGTACAAGTAGTCACCAGTCCGTTTTTTTATTAAGCTTTGACGTTCGAGAATGCTGAAACAGGATTTTCCTGTAGCACTTACATGGGCATGGTGGTCGGATGCTGTGAAAGCCCGGTGGCCTCCAATGGTACTTGCGGGGGTGCGTGTGATAGCTTGCCTTCATTCCCTTAGATTAGCCTCATCTAAGGCTGGGACTCCAGCTATGGAACATGGTCAATTGCATAGTGCTAGCAGCAACCCCCCTGTACACGCACATAGCAAGGTGCGCGCCAATACGCTTGTCTGAGTACGTCGATCTGACAACTTCGCAGGCGATGGGTATTCTACTACTTTGTACGTTCATTGTTCTGCCTGAGGCATGAGCACTCCCATTAATTGAGGCTACAGACGATAGTCACCGGAGGGCTTTCGGGACTGATTCTCGCGTGGGCGAATGAGTTGACAGGCCATGACAGCGAGAGTAAGCATCTCCTTTTCTGCGACTAAATTGGCCTCTCAGCTGCTTTACAGAGCGTGCATTCGTGGTTGGCTGTTGCAATACCTTTGCATACGTCGTTCAGACATGGCTTCCGATGTAAGCCCTGTCGGCCCTGCCCTAGTCATTCGTATATGTATGACTGATGCTACCTTCCTGGTAGTGTACTCTTCCCGCAAGTCGAGCAACCTCGGTACGTCCCCACGTCTGCTTTCTCCATATCTTGTCGCTCATTGTATGAGGACTGTAGCGTGTTCAAGGGCAATGTCGCGACGGCGGGAATCAATTTCGCGATGGGTATGCTCCCATCACGCTTCGCTCCCATCGACACGCTGACTCGCTCGCATAGTTTGCACCGCCCTCACAGTGCTCTTCCTGTCCCGCCGCGATGAACGCCGGGCCGCAAAGAAACAGGGCTTCGGAGGCGAGGCCACCTCGAGTGACATCATGCTGGAAGGCGATGAGAATGCAGACCCCACCAAGGTGAAGACGCAGGAGTCAGACCTTGTCGTCGAAATAGAGGAGCTGAGGGCGTAGCGGGCGCGGATGACGATGAGACGAGGTCAGGTGGTGCTGGCCAGCTGTTAGACCGATATGTGTATGCGTGGCATCAACCTCACCGTATGACTCTTGTTGTGCAATGTATGATATTGAAGCGTGATGTGCCATGTTACAAGCTTTGGGCGCACATGTTGTGCTGTACTGGATGAAGACATCAAACTCGCATAGATGCGAACTCATCACGGTTAGCATGTCGTGTGGGATCAAAACTCTTTTGTCCTTTCTTTCCTCTTGTCCCATCCTCAGACAACGTTAATCCTGAAGCTGGAAGCGCCGCGTCTAGCCTGCGGCCCCGAGCTCTCTCACCTTCCCTCTCGCTCTTGCCTGGACGCGCGACGTTCGGAATCAGGCTTTATCTAGAGCGACCGAGAGTCGTGCGCATTATTGGATCTTTTTACTATCTCTTACAACGTACCGTCACCCGGGCACATATTAACTCGCCTAGATCTTCTGGGCATATCTTATCTGATATGATTGGACCATGACGGTTCTGCTCGCAGAGTTTGGGTTTGCACGATCCTCTTGGGTTGGTGGCCTGCGCCGTGCACACGAGAGGATAGGATCTTCGTCTGCATGTTACGACGTCTCTGCACCGACATTTCCACGCCAGCTATCATATGTCGAGACTTATGCATTGCATAAAGCACACTCCGACAAGAGGATGGGTCGTCCCGGGCCGGACTGGACGAGCCCCTCGGGTGAAATTGAATCCAGTTTCCTTCCTCCTTGACTGCTCCTTCCGCTCACCCGCTAACTCTCTCTCGCCCACCACATCGTCCATTCATCATGGCAGCGCAGCTTCCCATTCCGGTCTACACAACCCTCAGCGACGCGCTCGGTGACCTGCAAACGGCTACCGTGCAAGCGTGAGTGCCCCCCTTAGTCCTGTACTCATACATGGGCTCATACCGGGCTTCAGCGAGCGATGGAACAGCGTGGTGCAAGAGTACGAACAGCGGTTTGGCAAGAAGCCCGCATATATCGCGCGAGCGCCTGGCAGAGTCAAGTACGTAAAACCTACTCCCCCCATTCACCGCGATCGCTCAACGATCGACACGCCGACCTCAGCCTGATCGGAGACCACATCGACTATGTCCTCTTCGGTGTCTTTCCCGCCGCTGTTGAACAGGACATCCTCATCGCGTGCGGCCCGTCCGACGCCAATCCAGACGCACACCCCGGCAGCGTGGCCGCGCACAACCTCGACCCGCGATATGGTCCGCAATCATTCGCCCCGATGTTGAAGGGCGCACCGATCCCGTCGGCAGAGGAGCAGCAGGAGGCTGCTGGCGCGGTGCGCGCTGAGAGCTGGTACTTGGATATCAACAAGCGGGAACTGCGATGGGAGAGCTATGTCAAGGCCGGGTACTACGTGCGCCTCCCCGTCCCGCCGTCCACATTGAGGGCTTCTGACAATGCGTAGGGAGTGTTGGACCGGTTCTTCCACCCATCCACGACCGATGAGCGGCCGGCTCCTGTCGATCTCCTCGTCACTGGTTGTGTCCCTGCAGGGTCTGGTCTTTCCTCTAGGTATGCCCGCGCATCACACAGTTTTGCAGCGAGCACGCTTCATTCTGCCATTGCAGCGCTGCCATGGTCGTCGCGTCGACCCTCGCATTCTTGGCTGTGAACGACAAGATATCCGGACTGACGAAGGGCCAGCTCGTCGAGATGTCAATGGAGAATGAGACGCGTGTCGGTGTGTGCTATGTACGCTCGAGGATGGCCCAATCTAACCTACAATATACGGCAATTAGGTGTGAACAGCGGAGGGTGAGTCCTTGCATACAGCCTGTTCATTCATACATCCTGTCTCTAGCCCAAACATGTGCATTAACCTGGACATAGCATGGACCAGGCAGCTTCTGTGATATCGATGCCAGAGTCGGCGCTCTACATCACATTCTTCCCCTCGTTGTCTGCTGAGCCCATCCCACTACCGACCCCGCGCACGGTCCCCGGCGCTGTATTCGTCTGCGCAAACTCGCTCGTAGTTAGCGATAAGGTCGTTGGTGCGTGCTGCACCGCACATTAATCTGACATCCTCTCACTTTATGATGACGGTACTCCAGGCGCGAAGACGCGGTATAACCTGCGTGTGGTTGAGACGCTTGTCTCCGCGCGTGTCCTTGCCCGCCATCTCGGAGTCGCACTTAAACCAACCGAGCGCCCTACGCTGCGCGAGGTTCTCGGCCGTTGGCTTGGGTACACCGAGGCGAAGGACCAGTCATCCGATCTCGATACCGAGACGCTGAGGGACGGCCTGCAGCGTGTGCTGCCCGAAGTAGAGAAGCTGCGGCCGGCACGGACCGACGGGCAGCTGGGCGTGACAATGGAGGAGATGATCGAGTGGAGCGGGCTCGAAGAGAGCGTGTTCCGCGAAGTGTACCTCTCGTGGGTTGACGGTGCGTGTCCTCCCCGCTCTCATCATGTTCGCGTTGGGTGCTGAGAAGCAGGCGTGATCGATCAGTCGAGGCGACGCATTTCCAGCTGTTCAAGCGCACGAAGCACGTCTTCGAGGAGGCGCTGCGCGTGCTGCAGTTCCGCGACGTGTGCCTGCGCGCGACGGCCACCGCAGGGGCACTCGCGGAGGGCACGCTACGCGAGCTCGGCGCGCTGATGGATGCGTCTCACGATAGTGCGGCGGTGTTGTGCGAGAACAGCTGCGCGGAGGTGGATGCGCTCGTGCGGGCCGCGAAGGACGCGGGTGCGTACGGCAGCCGCGTAACTGGCGCGGGGTGGGGCGGGTGTACGGTGTCGCTCGTGGCGGAGGACGCGGTACCGGCGTTCATCGCGCACATGCGCGAGGCCTACCCGCCGTACCGAGGGCTTGACGATGGGGCGCTGAGCCAGGTGATCTTCGCGACGAAGCCGAGTCGCGGGGCGTGTGGTGAGTGTGCCTCTTGTTGCGTTGGCATCTGAGTGTGTGCTGATGGGTTGTGTGTGTAGTGTTGAAACTAGAGTGAAACGGGCGAGAAATTCTGAAGAAGCGAACATCACGTTATACGATAGTACTCTAGACGAATCTATTCGAAATCTTTCCCTAGAACAAGTTTGTAATGACTCGTGTCATCGGCACAGTCAACACGATGGAAGCTCGAGATGATAAGAGCAAGGGCTTTGTGTTTCTCTGATACATGTCCCCGTTACATGTCTGTAAACTATCTTTGTATCGACTCTCGCAGAGCATCTTCAAGGTCCTGAATGCATCGTGATTTCGCCTAAACCGTCCTCACATTTGTCTCGTGCTCAGCACCTGTTCAGATTCATGACATCATCTTGCGTTGGCGTTGTAACATGGACATGTCTTTACTTTGTATCATCAGCATCCCTACAAGAACGGAGCCGCTCTCATATCCCCCGTGTGCCCTGCTTTCATTGAGGACTCGGTCCTTTCCGCCTTGGCGACAAAGCAAGCGACTCCCGTGAAATACAAAGGAACTTATCAGAACTCCTTAGCCAACACATCATAGGGCAGGTCGCGCACCACAAGGACTGCTTTTACTACAGTCTCATGGTCAGTCACAGCCCATCTTGCAAGCAGACTCAAACATGGGCCGAGATGGTCTATGAGACTGTAGTCTATGAAAACTGGAGAAGTCTCGCCAATAAGCTGGACTGCTCCTTTTTCACATCCTCAATTTGGGTCACCCAAATGGACGACGTGAATAAGGTATGATTGTATCAATCTGCAGACCAGGCTTGTTTCAGCAGCATCACGACAGAGCTGTTAAACACAGCCATACTGACAGACCTCTGATGGACCTCTGTTGAGTTCCTTTCATCTTGAACAACTCCAAGTTGTTTGAGATGGTCAGCGCCCAACAGAGTCCTGGTTCTGACTCAACTTAAGCTGCTCCTTCTTCATATCTCGAAGTTCAATGGTGATATTGTTGATCTGCAGATGGAACATTTGTAGTGGAATAGATAAATAAGCAATGGTCATACTGACCAATAATTGTTGAGATCCAAACATCTCATATCTTCCCGTGGTTCTGTAAAGTCGATTCCAGGCGCTGCGGCCATAGTCAGTGGCATGATCTGGCGTATCGTCTATGGTGTTTTAGCACTTAGTATGCGGACGGTAGCAGTATTCTTCAACACTTACAATAACATGGAGATGGTTGAGGCACTATCGTACCGCTGGTCGTCGGTCAATACAAGACGGGGGGAGCTTGCTGGCGGCCGGAGTGGTTCCGCGACGTGTGCCTGCGCGCGGCAGCCACTGCGGGCGCACTTGCAGAGGGCACGCTACGCGAGCTCGGTGCGCTGATGAATGCGTCGCACGCCAGCATGGCGGTGTTATGCGAGAACAGCTGCGAGGAGGTGGACGCACTCGTGCGGGCCGCGAAAAACAAGGGCGCGTACGGCAGCCTGTGAAAGAGATCAGTCAGTCTTCGCAGCGCTCTAAACTAACTTTGTACGTTCGAGGGGATTGAGGCGACGAAATCGTGGTGGTCGACATGATTACACTTCATTTTTAGCTCTTGCAAGGCAACGTGTAACAGGAATGCTGGCCGTGGCCTTATTTTGTGGACAAGGAGAACATTACTGTAAAATGGATACTCTTCAGGACGCAGGTGCTCGGTATTAGATCCACCCAGGTGCAGTTCTCCCAAACCGCTAGTTGCAGGCCAATAAAAGAAAAGACCATATTCAATACCGTTGTAATGCTTTGCTAGCAGAGTTGATATACGCCAGCCTGTCATGGTGAAAGGGGGAACGAGGCAGGTGTACAAGGGTCCATCAGTAGTCCGAGCGTGGTGTGTGGGACTCGAGAGCGGGTCGGCGATGGCGTGACGGCCGTCTTTGACTTTTGTCGAGGGCATAATTTGCCCAAGCGCCAGCATATCCTGACTGCTCGTGTGGACACGGAACTCCTTGCATATCTGAAGATTGTCCGGGAATCGTCCGATGACGGAAGGAAAAGGATGATGTCGTAGTTCAGAACGAGCAGGCTACTCGATTTCCGAGCAGCATCGTCCTGTAGATTACATATCCCCTACCCGAACATCCACTAGTAAGCGGAAAATCCTAGCAGATTCTGGCGTACGACATATTAGTCCTTCGCGAGCGCATTGTTCAAGTTAGAGGACGGAAGTGAGTTTCGACTCTCGACTCTCGCGCTTGAGCGTGACGCTGTGCGTGATCATGAGCACATGATGATGATCATTTGTGTGAGCGGCCGCTGCGGTTGTGAATCCGTACGGATAACCGACACGGTGACACAGAAGTGGGTTCCGCTTGGACGTAGCCAGCTTTTTCAAGGTATGTATCACCTTCTGTGTCTCAAAATCTCACTCGTAAAGTCAGTAGAGTTATATCAGAACAAACTTGTGTAGCAATATGTCCCACTTGTCGGGAAGCGTGGGCCCGCCATTTGTTGCTGGACAGCGGATCACAATACAGGATCTCCCAGATCGTTATCTTCAAGGAGATACACCGGATGTCATTATCCTATGACTACATCACTGCTTACCCGACTTTACTGGAGGCCGATCCTGATTATCTTCAATACGAGCTGAACCCCGACCTCATTCATAGGGAGCTATGGTGGCCTCATGCGAATAGTGTCGGATGGCTTCGTGCGGACAATTTGTTTCCTGGCGCTCTCATCTGTGTATGTTCGCATTGGATGGATGTTCTTCGACAAGTCTCCGTGTTCTGGACACGCCTCATCATCTTCGTTGATGATGACCCGACCCCCCTCTCAACCCTTCAATTGCATCTCTCCCTATCTCGCACCCACCCACTGGAGATTAACATCCTCAGACATTCCTTTTCCTGCGATGACCCTCTCGAGCGCTCCCGGGTCACTGCGGTCATGAGAACACTTCGTCCTCATGTTTCCCGCTGCAAGGTCCTGCGAATGGCGCTGAGGCACCATACATCACTGCCGCATCCTTGCATCGACATCCATGGTTTAGGTGATCAGCTTGAAGTCCTCCAGCTCCAGGCAGGCGATGAGGATGAGGATGAGAGAGTCGAGAATTGGTATGAACCAGATCAGATGCTCGGACCATTCAGTACTGCCAAATTGGAAATCCTGAACACAGGGTCGAATATCTTTCATGATGTGTTTGTGGTTCCAAAGCAGCAGCTGGTTCTTCTGACCGAGCTGACCATCAATGGGGGTGGCGAAACCCAATACCGCGATCTCTCCGTGCGGATGGTGGTTTGCTTCGTTAACGAGCTCCCGAAATTAAAAAAACTCAGTCTCACATCACCTCCTGTGTACTGAGGAACCGAACTTACCACCCCCGCCAGTAAATATACTCGACCACGTGTACTTCATGGCGATCAACGCAAATGTATTATCCCAATTCTTCAGGCTGCGGCACAACATCATAGGCTTCGAGACCCAATTCATCAGCTGCGATGCTGCCCCACTCGACACCTCCAGCATATCCGACTTGACAATTGGTTATATGACTGCCGAAAAGGACATTCTGGACTATCTACGGGAATGGGACTCCTCTGAGTGTTGCAGACTCGTCATTTATGACTGTCCCAACCTCACTGCCAATATCCTCGACAACTTCTGTCATCCACTGGAAGATCACGACGGGGAATGGCTGTGTCCGTACATGTCGGACCTGGAGATCGACTGTCCCCATCTATCCAGCCGTGACGTTCGACGCGTAGTCGAGGCTCGACACGAAGCTCATGCAGTCACCGGTTTTGTTGCAGCCGACGACGCTCACTTCGTCGTTATGTCCCTAGAGAGTTTGCGCGTAATACAGGGAGCGGACAAGCTCTATGAAGATGACAATGAATGGTTCAAGAAGCATGTCGAAGATTTCGAATGGACGAGTGAGAAACTTGAATTCGGCGAGGACGTCTGATATTACTCGCGTTGTAAGTCCTTCGACAGAGAGGATCATACCTAAACTCATCACTATACAATGTATGCACCCTCCTCATTGCGCAGCAACGTCAACCGTGTGCCAGTGAATCACGGACAATGCGCGTTTCTCGACAACAGTGGATGTAGCTGTCACATCAGCGACTGCGAGTCATATTGAATAATCGAACACTAGGTAGTAGTGTACATTGGACATACGACACGCATGGAATACAGATATACAATGATCAGCTACTAACGCCTATCTATTTCAACGAGAGCAAAGTGCGATGACGAACATGAGGGACCAGGATGCGCCAATTGCATTGATTCCAACTAGATGCACCATATCAACCACGCTCGATATCCGCCCTTGTAGCGCAAATGCTCCGAGCGCTTGCCCGCTTCTGCCCACCATACTCATAATTCGGAAAGCATTGGATTACCCTAGGACTGTTCCTTCATGCGACTGCATGTTATTAATGTGGACGCACAGTCGGACTCGGCCCTACCTGTTTCGAACGGCGGCTGTGCCCGAGGGCTTGATCTCGCGGCGTCTATGTCAGCCTCTTGCGTTGCGCCGGCGATCCTGAACTTGAAGGTGATGGAGAGATCACATCTACCTATGGCTCATGAACAGGCATTAAGCTTTGCGCGGGTGATAACATCACTGCAGTGACACCGCCCTTTTCAACGTCTGCACAGATACACGTAGCTCATATGGAGCGGCCATCGGACCCTTTGCGAGTCCCTCGCAGGACGTACCCTGACAACTCTCTGCGGGTTGCGGGCTGATGCAATTCTCTGCTGATACACATCTCATTCTGCTAGGCCACCTAAACATATCTATGTCGGTGCCGGAGAAGTTGTTGCAGTCATTACGTTTCACGCGCTTTTGACAAGGACTGACTGAGCGACCAACTACATCATCCCGTCCTTAATATCACAGACAAGCTTATACATGGATGGATTTCTGCGGATGTCCCGAATACGGGTTTTTTCGAGCAGGAGCAGCCGAAGCATGTATATTCGGCATGTATGAGTGCGTACTCACTATATGCTGTCAATCCACTATTCCTGACGTGTGTCCTCGTCTCCCTTCGCACCTAACTTTGAAATACGAGAACCATTGTGAGTATTTCTGATATTTCAGCTTGTTAGTTGTTGGTCTCGTGTGGCTTACGTGTGCCTTACATATCTTTTTCATTGCCTCTAGCAGAACGTGCATGCCATGTACTTCCTGAAGTCAGTTCCTCAGCTGGACTTTGCATGAGTATGAGGGAGCCGAGAGGCTAAGCACGTCGAGCCTCATACATAGAAACATAACAATCGCTCCGACGTGCAGGCGAAGCGAGGTAGAGACCACAACAATAACCAAACAACTATGTCTACACTTAATCACCGTCGTCCAAAAGCGGTAGGCTTTGCCATCCCGGTCACACCTGGGCGCAACTTGTCGCTCCATGCGTTGTATCTGCCGACTCAGTTGTCACTATCGCCGGCTCAAAGTTTTGTGCAAGTTTGGCCTGCCATGGAATCCTGGGGTCGCTGCGTCGAACTTTGCCTCAAGCGCTGACTTTGCGGCAAGCATGGACCTACCGGCTGATCGGTGTTGAGATACGCAAGTGAGCCACCACTTGCCTTTTCGACGCCTGACCGCCGAGGTTGATTTATTTTGCTAATTGACTCACTGAACAAACCCGACAAGCGACTTCTCCTGACTGACGTACAGGGTGCGATGTCTGGTCTCTGGGAAGAAAGTTTACTCACTACAGATGTTATTGTCAAGCATGGCATGAGTCGAACGCTGCGGACACGACCATGTGGCACGGTGGTGGCGAAAAGCGACTCAGGTACGAAACCTACCCGGGGATGGTTTTATCAGTATATATGTCCACTGAAGTGATTGTCCTCCACCCCACAAACCCAACTCTACCGCGCTTTCTAACGAGTAACTACCGTTCGCTGTCTCATTTGTTTTTGGCGCTGTTCAAAGACGGTATGTCTGTGCTTATCCTCCGGATGGTCTAACGTCGACAAGCACAATTTCGCTGACATGTTTTTTGTTACTATCTAGTCTCCTGCTTTTGTCGCTCGCAAAATGTCACAGACGATCGATGATTACACCGACACCATAGATTTGACATTCGATGCAAACCTTAGAACTCCCGCGGAAGCTCGCATGTTCTGCGATGATATGAAACGTGAAGGGTATACGCGAACGCCATACTTGAAAGAGCTCCGTCTGTCTGCCGACGCCTGCTGGAACATAGACGTCGGGCTCTTGTCAGATCTGCTATTTTCCACCTGCAATTTGCGGTTGCTTAGGCTGGCTCATAGCGAAGCACTGTTCCAAAAGGACTTGTCGCTCTCCAAAAACATCGCATCGCTCCACACCCTCACAACTCTCGAACTGTACGACGGAGGCCTTCATACGATCGAAATGTTTACCACGATGCGTAGCAAACTTCTCCGAGTTGTCCACATCACTGACCGGAACGATCCAACGCACCGCGTTTATAATTATGCGCCGTTCTTCAGTTGCGGCGCCATCCGGGGTCTCAAAACCCTCGTTCTCGACTCCCTGAAGTGCGACGACAAGACCTTCGGCTCCGAGGGCCGGAAGCTCAAATTCAAGTCGGTGGAATCACTTACCTTGAGCCGCAGCAAAGTGCCCATGAATGTCTTTGTCAAAGCGTTTCCTTGCATCAAAAGTCTGATTCTGGCCGAAGTTACACCGAGCATCGAATATCGTTGGCCCTATTTGTGCAGCCTCGCCGTCGATCTACTCAGCTGTTGGCCTATCGCATTCAACGTGGACCACCTGATGATCACGCGTCTCGACACAGCTGAATCTCGTGGATTAATCGAGCCAATTCTACAAGCTGTTAAGCATATGATGCCCCACGTCTTAACCTTGTCCCCGCAATCGGACATCGAAGATGAGTTTTGGAACGGCCTGAAGGTCTCCGTGCCAAGCGTCGTAGCGCTGCAAATACGCTTCGATGATGTTTTAGCCGTCAACGCTAGGACGTTGGGGAACCGGCTAGTGAGTAGAAATTCACAAGTTCATCATTTTACATACTCCTGACGCTGTTTCAGGAGTCCCTCCTCCCAATCATTTTGTCATCCCAGTTCAAGATGTTGAAGTTCAGAATACAGGTTTGGGCGGCTCAGGCTCCTCACCCTTCCGTTCATGCACGGGCCACCGGCAGCCGCGTTTTTACACGAATTCACGAGGTCTGTACGACGTTGCCGGACAAACTTCTCCTCTCCATTCATCAGCATGCCCTCTCGCTGGAATACCTCGTTTTCGAGGTGTTTGAAGGTCGATACATGAATACCGGTGTGAACAGTGCCATATTCACGCATAGGTTGCAAGTCACCAGGGACATATCCGGCGGCAAGCAGATCACCGAGCTGACGTCCGCCAATGACTCTGTCCTACTTCAAGAAGTCTTGCGTGATGTCGACTGTGAGTACTCTAAGACTCAGTGGCCAGTCCTCTATCAAACTGACAAATGGTGCCAAGGTGATGCTCCGGAGTGGTAATTAGGTAGATTCAGCGGCATTGCAAGAGATGTGGATGTATGCTCTCGGACGGACATGTACAGTTGCTTTGTCCTGTCTGGATAATTCATGGTCGTGACAGCCCCCCTACGCTTGTGCGAGTACCAAGGAAGATGTCTGTCGACTCCCGTATCTACTTTAGCAGAAGCACTCTCATCGTACGAACAGTGTCCTCGTCTCCACAGTCCACATTCAGGCCGTCATTCCGTTCTCTCTCAGCTCTGCAAACCTCGGTTCGATAAGGGCTATGTCATTCGTAGAATTGACTCATCTTGCAGCGTACAGAATATAATAGTAGACCGATCATTACTAGCAGGAGCTCTACATTACGACGGGGCACCTCATGACTATGGTGCTCGAACGAAACATAATACGCTGTCAAAGAGGCTAAAATCTGACGCCACTACGAGCACCCAGCTCAGCGTCGTGAAGCACTGCCTATCGCAAACCACTCACCTTTCCACTAATGGCATGTCATTACCACTACCCCGTCGGATAACCACTGCGCAGTTGCATATATGTCACATTTACGGTAGGGAACATTATCGTACGACGATGCTACTGTACAACAATGCATTCATTTACTAGCAAATATGCATCTACGGTCCGACCCATACGAGTACAATAGGCGGTGGAACAACAGACAGTATAAGACAAAGAGTATACACGTGCGGACAGGAAAGGAAGGAGTGATGCTGGCGAGGCGAGGATGCTATGGTACTTGTTGATACAGGGCGTTGCGGCGCAACATCCTCCGGATGTGAAGGATGTGCAAGCGTGCCGCAGAACAGATGCAGAGCGAGGGGTATCAAGCGAATTACATGCAAAAGAGGATGAATGGTACCCATGCGGGAGGCCACAACAGGAGAGTATACACACGCAACACGATCCCAGGTGGACCGAATCAGTGCAGATACTTCTCGTTGAGTGCATGCACCTCCTTCGCGAGGGTTGGCCAGTTCAAACTGCGCGCGAGCTCGGCCTTGAGGAGGTCCTCGCTGCCGCCAGCGCGTTGTTTTGCGAGCTTGACCTCCCAGCCGAGGAGGTTATACAGCAGCCGCATGTTCGGCTGTATGAGGACGGAGAGGCGACGGGAACGGACGATGAGGTATGCATCGACGAGGGGCAGCCCAAGGTGCTTCATGACATACGCGATCTACGTGCGCAAAGCGGGATGAGCACCACGGCATCTATACGGACGTAGAGGGGACTTACCGTCACGGTAGCACTGCGCGACACACCCACACGGCAATGCACGAGCACCTTTCCGCCCTCTTGTCTCGCCTTGTCGATCCACTCGCATATCGGCTCGAGCTGGGGCTCCAGGGTGTCGATCCCGTCATCGCACACGCCCTTGATGTCGAGGACCTTGATGCGACCCTCACGCTCCTCGATAAAGAGAGAGCCGTGACCGCCAGGCCCTTTGCCAGGGACAAATCGCGCGCCTGGGTTAGAAGTACATGACGGGAGCGAGCTGGACGCCTCGAGCGCAGGCGGCGGGACAAGCGCGCACTCGCCCACAGAGACGACGTGCGTGATGCCGAGCGCATGAAGCATATACGCGTTCGATGCATGGTTCCTTCAAATACATTCGAATCGTGAGCAATCCTAACACCAGAACTGAAAGACTAGACACGTACAGGTTGCCGAGGTAGAGGAAAGGCAGCACCCGGCTGGGGAAGCTCCCGTCAAACCGCGGGTCGTTGAACCACATCTGGTGATCGCCAATTGACGGCCGCACAGCCACGGGCGCGGGCAAAGTGCTCGCGCGGGGCCGTCCCATACCAGCGCCCCAAAGCTGCGCCGCACCCGAGTCAGCCTCAGACTGCGATCTCAGCGGACGCATCGCCGGCCCATCCGGGCGCTGGATGGCTGGGGGCACCGCGAACGACACAGACCGTGCCGCAGGACGGGCAAACGGTTTTTGACCCTGTGCTGCTTCTGCTGCTGCATGGACGTCCCGCGCTATCTCCGTCGGGCTCTCTACCTCCTCTCCCTTGAGCGCGCCCTCACCCTCCCTCTCCCTGCCCAGCCCCAGCACGACACCGCGTCCTCTGCGCACACGAGTGCCCTCACTGCCACGGCGCTCCCGCTCCCTCTCGCGCTCGATCTTACCCTCGAGGCGCCGCAGCACCGGCAGGTCTGCGGGGTACACGAAGAACGAACGGCGTTTCTCGAGCTGCAGGGTCAGGTACGCCTCCGGCAGCGCCATCTCGCGCAAGTACATCAGGAGGCTCAGCGCAAGCACTGACGACTCGGTGTACCCGTCCGCCGAGTACACCAGGATCTTCGTGGGGCGCGTGCGGAGCGCGATGCGCTCTTCCCACTCGCCCTCGGTGCCGTCAGCGCCAGAACCGGTCACAGACGTTTGACTCGTCGCACTGGACCCATTTGACGAGGTCATCGACCCGTTTGACGAAGTCGGCGACCCGTTTGGCGAGGTCGCCGACGACGACGACGAAGATACACTCGATGTCGACGGGGAGGGCAAGAACGTCGCAGAAGTCGAGCGCGTCCGCGTATACGCGCCAGCAGGCGGCGCACCCCCTTGTGCCGGGAAGAACGACGTCGGGAACGCACTCGGTGGCGGGAGCGAGCTGGGCATAAAGCCCGCCGCGGACTCCGCGCGCCGGCGCTCGCCCGTCGCTCTCTGGCTCTCCGTCGAGGGTGCGGGTGGGGCGAGCTGTGCGCGCGCCGCGGCGAGCGTTAGGGGCGCTGGTGGCTGAAGGAGGCTCTCCAGGAACGCGAGGAACGGGAGCAGCGAATTCATCGTGCCCACGGTGCTGGGCGGCGAGCTCGGGAACGGTAGGTGGATCACAGCAGCGGCACTTGGAGGCGGGCGCGGCGGCACGCACATGCGCGCGGCATCCGCATCACCGACACCAGCAAGGTCCGCTGCGCACCTCTCCGCCCATCGGCGCTCGAGCGCGCCAAGATGGTCCTCTGCTGCGCGGACGTGCGCAGAGGTGGGAAACGGCGCAAAGTCGTGGCACTCGATGCAGATGTCGTAGCCGAATCCTTGCACGGGGTCGTTCGTGCGCCAGTCAAACGCATTCTCCTCCTCGTCCTCGTCTTCAGCAGGTGCGGAGGCGCCGCGCCGCGGGTGGATATGGTTATCAGGCGGGAGCGGGACGTCGTTGGTGTTGCCGAGGAAGACCTGGCCGACAGAGGGTTCCCAACGCGTCGCGGTCGTCGAGCCGGCAAGTGCGTCAGGGTCGGAGAGGTGCGCAACAGGGTCCGCGACGGAGACGATCTCAGACGCCTGCGTGAGGTCCCGCATCTCCTCCTTCTCGCGGCACGCAAAGTTTACGCTGTTGGCGCGGTGAAGGCGAGCGGCGATCTCCTCAACGCTCGGGTGGGCTGGGTGTGCCTCGCCTTGAGCGTGCGCGTCGGTGCTATCCGTGTGTGCGGCGGGGACATCTTCTGTGCGCATGACGAGGTGCGGGAGCGTCTTGAAGATCTCGGCGGGACTAGCATCAAGCACGAAGACGTTGTATGTAATGAGGTCGTCCGCAACGTCGGGGTACCGCTCACACCGTTCGGCACGCTTGGCCTCGACGGCATGCTTGAACTTCTCCGCGAGGGAGAGGGCGGCACGAATGTCGCCTTTGGGCGAGTAGACGACGATGTCTGAAAGTGTTGCAAAGATAGGCTGTAGGACCGGCGATCAGCAACAGTGCTCTCCGCTTCACACCAGGAACCGTGCATTTCACATCGCACGGCTAAGCATCGCTGTTGAACACAAATGCACCATGCAGGCGACCCGATGACCCCAGTCAACGTACACATCCGCTTCGCCATTCACTCGCATCATCGACGGATCAAGGCACATCCACAACGACACCAGCAAACAGCACGTCTCTCACGCACGCACCATCCTTAGGCACCTGACCGGGACCGAAGCAGGCTAGCACATAGCCTGTTGAACACCTGCCACCTGCGCCGCCCAGATGCGCAACGCCCGTCCTTCGCTGCCAAACATCACACAAGAGCACAAGAGCGCGCTGAGATCAGCTGCCTTTGCCCGTACATCACTTTCGCGGTGTCAAATTGAGCGCGGCAAGGGCAGTTGATCACAACGCCAGCGCCCGCTTCCGCACGCTACGCACATGATCCCGAGGCGCGCACCGACCCCTCGCGCGCACATCCACCACTACGAGCGCTCGCGTAGATGCTAGTCCATCGGCGCGCAGACTATGCCAGGACGAGCAGGCTTGTCCCGGGACAGTGTTCCCACCGACTATTATTGCATGGAGGGAGAAGGCAACCCGGTGGGCCGGGCATGCAGGGTCTATCATTGCGGCACGATCATAGGAGCCGGGAGATAAGGGGCTGCTGCTGCGCGAACGCAAACTCTGGTGCAACAGCCTCCGCCGCCACCTGGTTGAGGTGCGCAGATCGTCTCCATCATCCAGCTATGTGTGCGCTCGCCAGACCCAATCTATAACAGGCCGGATCCTGGCAGGAAGGAAGGAAGGAACCCGGACGCGTAGTAGCCTCATGGCAACGCAGGCGCCGGGAGGAAGAACGCCACAGAACGACGGGGGACAAAGGAGAAGACACGGAGATGGCCGACAGAACGACAGGCAAACTCACCACCTGGATCCCAAAGTTCCGCAGGCTGATCCCCTCGGGCACGCGCGGCTCGACGAATGCGCACGACGCCGTGCCGTCTTCGCCTGTCCGCAGCTCCAGCAGCTCGCGCGGGCGGAAGCTCGATGTTAAGACTGTCGGCGGGGTGCGTGGACTGATACGGTGCAGTAACGGGGAAGGAGCGTCGAGCGTCGGTAGTGGCTTGGCTGTGATCTCTGCTGGCGCGCACGAGGGCGAGTCGAGGTCCGTGGGGACGTCGATGTCCATCATGTCGGGCATCTCGACGGGGATGCTCTCCAGCGAGTCCGTCAACGAGTCGTCATCGTCGTCGTCCAGGTCGTCATCCAGGTCAGCGTCGATATCCGGCGTCGAAGCCGGCGAAGACGCCGCACCGGGGTGCTCGTCGTCCGCGGCGACCCAGACGAGTCCGCGGAAGCGGGGCACGGTGTGTGCCTGGGGCGAGGCGACGAAGAATGCGTTCTGGGCGTCGTTGTCGCCCTCGAGGCCGTGCAGGAACGGAAATAGCACGCTGTCCGGCGCATGGCTGGTCAGGTAGTCGAGATGCATCTGCGCGAACTGGGTGGCGGACAGCGCGCGGACTGGGGGGTGCGGGGCGGGGCGGGGCTGGAGAACGGGGAGGGCGTCGAGGAAGGGGTGCGGGTAGACGAGGCCATGTTCGTGGGACGCAGGCGGGGCGGCGAGAGACATGGCAAGAGTGATGAGAGGGAGGAGGCAGACGCGGCGGCTGGTCGCAGCCAGACATCCCTGCGTTATGGCCCTCTCAGTTAGGCGCGCACGTACCCGACCATCTCAGATCCCACTTATCTCCACGTGACTGCCGCCGCTGCCCAGCCACCATGTCTGGAGCAGTCCTCCCGGCCCCCCGGATACTCCTCCCCATACTCGGTCTAGCCGATATCCATGCTCCGCTCAGCGGGCATCGCTTCCACCACCTCAACATTCGATATCCAAATCCTCAGCATTTCTACCGAGCCGTTTAGAAACAGCTGCGACATTGACTTGAAATTTCTCCCGCCTTCTTGTACTTGTTGCAGAATGAATTGCAACGCCTTGTTTACCCCGACAAGCATTGCCTGATCCAGTAGATATTATCATTACCGAGGGCGGCGCATGTCATAGCGCACAAAATCTAAAGGGAAGAGTTTGGTTTCTCTATCTAGCCATTGTGCACAGTGATGCGAGAGTCGGAGACAACGCCGCGGACCCAACGTAGTGCCCCCGCGAGCTTTAGGACAACGGAACCACCGCGACCCGTTGGCGCACCAGTCAACGGGCAGGGCCAGCCCAGAGCAGGGGAGGGTTGCAAGGACGAGGCAAATAGGCTGGTCATGGGATCCCCGTGCGAGCAGGAAGATAGAAGGCCAACGTAACAGGAGAAACGCGGCGTGCTGAGAAGGACAGTGCGTGAGAGCGAGCGCGCTGCGGACCTGGCGTCGAGATATTGTATGTCCCGCTCACGTGAAGATGGCGAGAAACAATGTGGGATGACATAGTCGCTTCAGGTTCCTTGTATACTTGCACACTTCCTGGAGGAAACGGATACCTCAGTGATGTCGCTGACCGCCTGTTACGCGGACGTTGTATTCTTCTTCTGTTCGGAGGAACATTCTCGGGAACAGGTTGCAGGCGGTCCAGAGAGGAAAGTGTCCTGCCAAATACATCCGCGTTGATGAGGAGACGCGGACCCCAGGACCCCGCCTGTCAGCCAACGCGCCTCGATCGCCCATCACCGCGCCTGATTCCGACCCCTTCTTTTGGGCGCAGATAGCCCCATAAAGCGGCACCTCTTCACCCCGCTTCGAAATTGGCACTCCAGGTGTCATTATCAAACCTTGTTGCTCGCTGGCACACGAGGCTCTGGCCTGTCACTTCCCTGCGTCCTCCCCGCTCGTGCGCTGAGCAGGATAGTGCCTTCCCAGGCGTGCGTTTGTCGGAAGCCATCTCGCCGTGCTACTAGCTATTGCGGCCCCTGTATTGCGTCAGGTCGCGTCGGATGCAGGTCCTCTCACGACCATCCGTATCACAGCACTGCCTTCGCGACGCCGTTGTATCAGCGCGAGAAGGTCAGGGGACCCATCCGATCCACAGGACCCGTCCGCCTCCTTTCTCTCCGTCTTGGCGACCTTCCGCTCCTCTCGATCCACCGCCACTAAGCACACGGATGCTCGAGTCTCGACGTGCCGCGCCGGGCAACGCGCACCAGGCGTCGGTTGCGAAGGCAATCGCGCGTTATAGTTATATGACGATCCGCGCTGGCTCGAGGCAGGCACAGCGCTCCGCAGTGCGCCACCGCTAGGCTGGCGTGCGGCAAGAGCGACCCCACAGCCTGGCGGTCATCTGGGCCCCTGTCAAAGTCAAATCATGCCGGGCATGGAAGTGCGCTTGCTCCATGCCTCACCCGGCATCTTTATCGCTCGTCGACTTGTGTTCTCTCACGCGGGACACACCTCGTTGCAACGCGCGACGAACGTTGCGCTGCATAGCGCGCCCAACGATAAGGTGCACAGCTATCGACGGTCTAGCCTGTGCGCGGTACACAACATCATACATGACCACCTTCCAAGCCGCATTTCACGCAGACCACTCAGTTATCAAGCAGGGCCCTCGAGTGAAGGCGGATGTGCATCGACATCCACTGCGCTCCAATAGGCTGTCGTCATCCCCCATCCCCTGGCTGTAGATCATATCTGAGCCACAGCGTGCTACGCTAACCCCCTTTGCTCTGAGTCCGCCCAGGAACAACCTACAGCAGTCTCATCCGCTGGAGCCGCACCAACGCCGTTGGAGTAGGAACGCAGCGCCGCGGCTGTCTCCTACCCCCGTAGCCCGCCGTCTGGCTGCGGCGCCAGGGGTCCTCGCCCCCAGGTCTCAGTAACTCAGTGTCCGCTGCGCGAACGTTGTCGCTGAATGGATGTCACCTCATGATCTCCGTGGCCTTCCCCGCCTCGGACTTCGGTGCTTCGCAGCTTCGACAATGTATCGCGCAACCAGTGCACGCGACATGCCCCCCATACCGTTCCCAGGGCCCCCCTGGTCTCGTGAACGTTATTGCAGTCAACGATGTCATATAGCCTCTCTCGCGTGCCGGCCGGTGAATGTGGGTGTCATGCAGGTCCGACTTCTCTTCGGACTTGGCGCACACGAGAAAGCCTTCACCGTCCCTCCGCGCAGCCCCCCACAGGAAAGCAGAAGAATAGCCCATGTGAAGACTTCGGAAGGTCTTGCTCGTCCTCGTCCTGAGCACCTATCGGGGTTCTAGATGCGCTTCGCGCAGCAGGCCCCAGACACAGAAGTCGCGCAATACGCCGCCTTTGCATCGTACATAGACGACGATGTTGCCAACCCTGCAATCGAAATCGGCACCGGCGGAGTCCCTGATCCCGAATTTGAAGTTCAAGCTCGCGGCGACTCGACTGTCGGTTTGGCATTTGCATTTGCCATTGCCATGAGGGGGCGCCCGATCGCGCCTGCGTGTCGGGTGCACATTCAACGCAGACTCCCGAGGCGGTCTAGACTCTGCATAGAACCGCGGACGCCCGACGGTTCCAGTCCCTGACGATAGCCTGCCCGCTCCCACAGATCGCAATCTGGCACTCAGCGCTCAGCTCTGCGGCGGAGGGTTCCGGCTCAACTCTGCGCCCATGATAATAATTAATATCCACGCGATCTGGCCCCCATCTGCGGCTGTCGTCGCGGACCCGTCCTTCATTGACGTTGATGAGGGATGGATGCATCAACAAGTGGTTATCTCGAGGCATGCGTCATGCATCATGGTTGTGGTTTGTTCAAGCTCGCATGCATGCGATGGTGCGCTATAGCAGGCTGTTGACATCTTATCTGCGACCGGATCTGGTGATTGCTGCATATAGGACAGGTGCAGGCGCTGATTCCCATTAAAATGTTACCTCGTTCCTGCTTGGGGTCTTGACGATCGTATACCTGACCCGCCTGCTGCAGGTTTTCGTGGTTGGGGCAGGTGTTCAAAATCGAGGTCGAGTGAGTGATAGTCTTCGAACGTTCTTGTGTGTGGCACATAAGAGAATCCATCGCTTTGCTTGCCCACTCCCGGGGCTTTTACGAGCTATCACAGCATAACCAATGACGATATACCTCCCTCGCAAACGCTACAGATAGGAACATAGCGGCGTTCGGCACTCGGGGAGACGCGCCCTCCGCCCTCAGAGGTTGCCCGCGGCAGCCTTATATAGTATTTCACGCCAATGTCTCGATGTTCGCATGTTTTGCCGAGGTCTACCCGTCGCTCTCTGCTTCCCAAATCAATGGCCCACACAACGAGATCCTTCTGAGCATGATGGATATATCGTGGATGACCGACCACGACGGCGAGAGGACGAGGGGATTACAGCACATGTCTACCTCATTCTGATCGGCCACCCGTTGTCTCTGGACCATTACCGACTGATGTCGCGAGCTTCTGCCCCACCTTGCTCTAAGGTTGAATCTGCGTGGGGAGGCCGATCTCTATCGGTTTTGCTGCAAGTCCAGTCGTCATGAACGAGGCAAGCTTTAATCCCAGGAAAGCCTCGGAAGCGCCACGGAGGACTTCGACATTATCTTAGCGCTGTTTGTCGTTTGTACCTCTTGATTCAAGGGACATGTCCCGTGTTCAGCCAATTGCATGCACGCCTGAACGTCCCACCTCTTGGGGCATGGCGAGGTTCCTGCTGCCAATGGACGTTGTGATCAACTCGCGAATCGCCACGCGCCTGCAGCATCGTAATTCACGTGACCAGTAGCACGACTCCCCTCGCAGGCTGCTGGTCGGTGGTGACGCAAGCGTTGAAAGCTGCGAACTTCGAGCTACAAGAGTCCGCTACGTATACTGTAGGTATGTTGTATATCAACCGACTAAGAGAGACTGAAATAGCCTAGTTGTCTCGCTGGGATAAGTATCTTAGCGTTACGCCCGCGGCCCGGTCCATGACGGGCCACGGCTATGTCCTTGAGATACCTCTAAAGGATGTACTTCAGCATGTATAAGCGATGCATCAGTCTCTTCCAGTCTTCTAGGGGCACGGCATTCCAGTCATTAACTCCTAAAGCTCGCTGTTGTATGTGGGTGTGGCGGTGTAAGTAATAGCTCCCGGTCCACATAGACTTGCTTGTCGGCACCGCTTGGCCCGTGCGTCCAGTGCCTCTTGGTGGCACTTCGTGCTCTAGTCTGATGGCGGAAGCTGCCATGTGGAGGAACAAACCGCTCAGCTTCTTTAGGGCCATGCACGAATGTGGCGTCCTCTGTGCACAGCATCACAATAATGGATATAAACCCTCTCATTCCGAAATTCCAAGCTCACCCACATTTACTATCATACCCTCGGCCATATCTGTCCTCTAGGAACCATGGACCTGGCCGACATGAGACCCCCGTCGCCGTCCCATATGTACCTGATGCCAATCCAACAAGATGTGGAACCGTCTCCCTCCGTCCGCTCATCCCTGTCACGAGCATCCTCCATGTTGTCGGTCTCCTCCTACAACAGCACCGCGCCACTCATCCTCCCTCCTCCAGCTACGTCGCCACCTCAACCCGCAACGCCAGTGGCAGGCCCGCTCAGGCGGCTCCTCTCGTTCGCGCGCGACTCTATACACGGCCACCATATATCGCTCAAGGAACCGCTGAAGCGACTCGTCTCTTCCGTGTGCCAATACGTCTCTGCAATCATACGGCAGCTCTCATACTGGGCTCTGATATTCTGCGGTTGGACGGTGGCCTCATGCGCTATCGGGCTCATCTGGGTCATTTCAAGCGGATACGTTGGCTGGTTCCTTATGTCCAAAGAAGAACCGTACAAGTCGGCCGGCACGGGGTACTTCGCCGCGGGCGCCGCAGGCGGTGCGATTTTGGGTGTCGCCGCGGGCTACGTCGTAGCGTGCTTACTTCTGGTCATCGAGTGGTCGTCGACGGTGTTTCTGACGATCGTCGGATTCATCGTCTTCGCTGTGGGAATAAGTGGGCAGGCACTCGGAGTGTTTGTGCTGCAAGGGAAGGTCTCGGGGATGGTTGATATGGCGCACGCGGTCGGAGCGAGTGTCGCCGGCTCTGCGTTCGTTCTTTTCGGCGTATTCGCTATAGTCGGTGCCTGTACTCGTGAGAGTCAGTAGACACTGTGCAGCTTGCTTGGTACCGTATGCAACTGCAATATTTCTCGTGTGTCGGACATATGGTAGTGCTCGATTATGCAATCAATCGTTTGGGTCTCCAATCCGGCAGCTGTGTGGCCCTTTGTCCAAGATAGAGGTTTGACCGGGATGCTGCCTTTCAATCCAGGTTTCTCTTTTGTCCAGTCCAACAGATTCGATAGATGCCACTTCGCCGACTTAGAGTTATCGGACACATACATCGTGTCTAGACACACATTCGGGTGAACTGGGCGCTTATGGATGTCAGGTCCAGTTTGGAACTGAACACGAGCGATTAGCCGCCACCACTCCGGAACCACCTCGACTTGACCTTGACCGTGCACACCCTGAATTATTCGACTTAATTGGGGAAGTGTGTGAAAGAGATGCTAGAACCACTTTCATCTGCCCCTGTTGCGCGACTAATCAAACTCATCGCGCTATTCATCGGGTCACTCAGGCTCGGAGATTTAGATGGGACTCATACGTGTCATGAATCCCTTTCCTCCCGCAAGAGCCTCGATCGCCTGGAATTTGGGAATCAGTGCAAGGACTATTGGTCATTGCTGGTCATCCGTGGGCAAACAATGACTCGCCTCGGAGGTGAGGCGGATGTCTTCGTCGAGGATGATTAAGGCTCTCCAGTGAGGAAGTTTCTAGACATCATAGAAGAGCTGAAATTTTTAATACAACCCTTCTGAGTTCAATGTATAACACCCACGCAGATGTAAGTCGGCAGCTTCGCGGTTCTGAATGGTCGCTCGCAAATAATATGCGTTGGCATTCCATGAGACTAAACACGAATTATCGGAGAATGCGCGAGACTCAGCGGACATCAACGAGCGAGTGGCAGGCTCAACAGGAAATCAGTCCAGAATGCGGCGATTGTCGTTCGTGTTCTCATTCAATGTGGCCCAGCAAGTATGACATATCATCGGTAGTAATGAACCGGCCCGTATATTGACATGCCTCGTTGAGCTTTTATTAGGTTTCATTCACCGCTCTATTGTTGACAGCTTATGTCAAAATATGCAAGTCCCTTATTCCCTATGTTGCACTCACCCTTGCACCCATACGGGTCAGACGGCACTGGCCCGAGCAGTGAGCACATATGAGCAATATGGCTTCTGAGGCGTCATCAAGCTGACCTGCGTTTTCGCCGTCGATTGCATGCCGGACTGTATACGCACGCCTCGGCGATTACTAAGCATGCGGCAGCGTTGGCGTATCCAGCTCGTATATAAGACGCTGTTTTTTGCTGGAAGCCTCAGTACCACTCACTCACCTCATAAGAAATGCCAATGCCATCTTCTACTTATCCCACGCGTCAGCTTGGCCGCAGCGGTCCGCACGTCAGTGTGATCGGTTTCGGCGCCATGGGTGTGTCGGTTCTGGCATTTGACATGATCGATCGCTAATCTGCCATCAACAGGCCTCGGCGCCTTCTATGGCAAACGTGCAGACGAGAAACAGGCTTTCGATACTTTGTCCTATGCCGCAGACAGGGGTGTAACATTCTGGGATACCGCAGACATCTACGGAAACAGTAGGTGCCAGTGTCACCTGCTGTTTTATGATTTCGTTACTCACCTCAACCGCCTTGTAGGCGAGGAAACATTGGGCAAATGGTTCGCTCAGACAGGAAGGCGATCCGAGATTTTCCTTGCCACCAAATTCGGCTCTCGAGACCTCACACCCGGTGCAGCGAACCCGGACGTGCCAAACAGCAAGCCATCCTACATCAAGCGCCAGATTGAGAATTCTCTCAAGGCTCTGCAGACTGACTGGATCGACTTGTATTATCAGCACCGTGTTGATCCAGAGGTGCCAGTCGAGGGTACGTGCTGTTACGCCTATGCACTACGCATATCTGAGCCTTGTCTGTAGTCGTGATGGAGACTCTGCGTCCCTACCTGGACAGCGGCAAAATCAAGTATATTGGTTTGAGCGAATGCAGCGCCGAGGTCCTACGTCGCGCTAAGAGTGTTCCTGGAGTTGGCGAGAAGCTCATCGCGTGCCAGATGGAGTACAGCCCTTTCGAGGTCGAGATTGAGAAGGACGGGTTCCTCTCCACGGCCAGGGAGCTCGGAGTGTCTGTCGTAGCCTATTCCCCTCTAGGCCGAGGTAAGATACATTTTCAGCTGTACAATGAATTAACTGACAGTAATACAATATAGGTTTGATCACCGGACAGTGAGTGAAGATTAATTACGCACTGAACGAGACAGAAAACTCACCATCCGCAGGTTCAAGTCAGCTAAAGACTTCGGCCCAGACGACATTCGTTCGTGGTTCCCGCGCTACCAGGGAGAGAACTTCGCAAAGAACTTGGAACTCGCTGATAAGTTTGCTGCTGTGGGAAAGAAAGTCGGAGCGACGCCTGGCCAGGTTGCGCTTGCCTGGATCCTGGCAGAGAACCCAGACTTCGTCCCTATCCCCGGCACTAAGACCATCCCGCGTCTGGAGGAGAATGCTAAGGCCGCGGAGGTCAAGCTCTCAGCTGAGGATGTCAAGGAGGTTCGGGAGGCAGTGGATGCAGCGGATGTGGTTGGTCCGCGTTATCCGGCCAAGTTCATGGAGATGTTGGCAAAGCCTAACCTTCCCCTGGACCAGTGGAAGGGCGAGCAGTGAGCATTTGATCTGTGGTCATAGGCATGCTATCGTCGACTGGGAATCTTGAATAGTATATATCACCGAAACTGCAAATTGTAAAATAAACATTCGTGCACCTATACCAACTCGATTTGATGAGATTAGCTTATCCTTCTGAGAACTGCCTTAATACTGCCTTCGTATCGCCGCAGGCGCCGAATACTCGTATCTGACGTGCTGCTTGCCCGATAAACTCCCTGTGTTCAACCCACCAAGGGAGGTGAAATTGATGGTTCCAGGTGATGAAATCTGCTTACGGTTAATAATGTCTTAATTATCGATTCAAACAACGTGAATTAGTACCAGATACTACTAGTAGCTGACTTTAGTGTTCATGACGAAGTCCGGATTTAGTCTTCAAGAAGGTCTCCAGAGGCCATGACTGGAGTTTAAATTTTGTATATCCTTAGATAGGATATGCCATGATATGAACTGACGTTGAGACTGTATGCAGTTGAAGACAAGCTCGAGGCGACGCGGGGAGTGTGACGCACGCGTCGATAGAGGCACGTGGTCGCGTCCGCTTTTCGGATCCGAATTGATTCACTGGTCAGCGTCACCTTGGAAGGAGACCGTCATCTCATGCCTTTGCTTCTTGCACAAGAACGCTGATTACACTGCGTCGACTCTGTTCCATCACTCCCATTTGTCTGCGAAATCCTAGCTACATCCACGCGTCATTAAGTCGGCCAACATTTACACAGTTTCAAGTTGTGGCTCGTGAGTTATGACTGATTTTGGTAGTGGACACGGCCGTTCTGTTTGAGAGCGGCTTTCCAGTTCGACATTCGTGGTCATTGTTGCCGAGATGCAAAAGGTGTCCACGTCGCTTATTTACGTAGCCAACGGTGATGACGCATTGCGGACTACAGTCATCTATTAAAACATGAGAAATCTCATACCGTACCCAGGCCCACCGTATCCGCACCCATAAGCTGGATAGGTCACATCATACTTGTAAAACGGTTGACGAACCCACCATCAATATCATGCCTACTCGGACATGTGAGGCGGGCATGCCATCATGCTCCTCATCGCAATCTTGCACTCCGAAAGCACGAAAGCAGGAGCTTCAAATCTCAGCCGGCCCACCTCAATTGCGTCGTCAGCTGCACCGCAAGCTCATATTGTTTCTCAATAAAATGAGCCCGAAAATATATGCAACCCTGATGTCGAAACTCGACTAAAGTCTGCGCCAAATGAGACTGAGGGGTATGGGAACTGCGGTAAGCGATGATCCTTGATTCGTAATACAACTTGTATGCTGACTGTATGCGCATCATAAAACTTCCGAAACAACACACCTGCGTCAGATGACGAACCTAGTAGTAATATTTCTGCAGCTACCAGCCCCATCGTCTCGGGGACTGAAAGAGCTCATCGGCGTGGTGTGTACTGCCCCGCCCCTGCGTTATTGTCCTTGCGCGCGGCGCGGTGGTGTGCGGTGCTTCGGCCGATGCGCGCATGGGGCTCGTGTGCACTCAGCGTTTCTCTCGTTCATCTGGATTCGCGCCTCCATCCTTCTGTCAGTCATGTTGTTTTTTGTGTACGTTCTCCAGGGGCACGAGAATGCGTGGGTCGAGCCCTTACCGATGGTCCTGTCGTAGATGATTGCGCTCTGCGGCATGGGTAGGTACTTGGCATTGTGTCTGCAGCGAACGGTGCTGACCGTTGTGCATAGGGGCCTCCTCAACGTTACTCCTGAGTGCATGGTGCAGATATCCAGGTCCTGAGTGTGATCGGTGCGCTGCCCGTCTCGGACATTGCGGCGCATCCTAGGCATCGCTCAGTGCATTCGACTGATCAACCATCAAGTCGCAATACGCGGATGCGGCCGCCTTGCTCATGGTCTCCGTCTTCGACCCTACGGACACGCCATTAACGAGCACTGTGGACCCCACGGACACCGTGAATACGTTCGGACCCGCGAACGTGTCGCTGCAGCTCTCGCATATGACGTCGTGATCGCCAACATGAAGACGTACACGAGCGCGCACGAGCATGTGAGTGAGCGATGGCAGATGCGCAGGTACCAGAAAACTTAGCTAGAGCAGGTAAAACGAGCGCGAAGGGTAGGTGGACGAGGTACGGGGTACAGGGAGTGTTATTAATGCAACGTACTTACTACTCACATGGAAGAATGCCAGCGAGGATAGTCGCGATAACACGATATGTGCTGATGTCCTACACAGTCGACTTGAACATACTTGCACAGATCGAGACACACCGATGCAGATAACGGTATGTGCTTTTGCCATTTAGCATGTTACGAAATGTGCTGGTATGTGATTTGGAGCCCTCAGACCGACACATATCAGCGTCAATGAGCTCAGCTCACTGGGAATGACTCCTGGCTGATGATATCAGCCTCGGACCTCGTGTATTTGTAGTAATAAGGTGGATACATGCTCCTGAAGCAGTGGGAGTAGGGTACGATGGGCGAATATCTTTGGCTTGTACCCTTCACCTCAATATTGCCATATCTGGAAGGTTAGTTGCCGCTTCAAGTAGTCCGCTTTCGATCTGCGGCAATGCTCAGAAGCCATGGCGGAGTTGTAATTGTAAGATGGTGCAAAATATAAGTACATAACATGATCGAGTTGCGTACACACTCCCCTCTTTTCCTCCGCACGACTCCCTTAACACAGCGCCGATGCAGCACTTCAGCGACGCGTCCTCCTAGCATTATGTCAATGGTTCATATAGGCTAGTGCTCCTGTCATGCACATACTTTGCGCACGGAAGGAATACCACAACTTGGTGACGTTACGTCGAGCTTACACAGTCCTCGGTACCACCAGCGGCTACTAGGTGCTCCCTATTGGTGAAATGACAGCAAGATTTCTAGACACACTGTTCACTGCAGCCACTTGCATCGCTCGAGGTGCTAAGGTGTGCGGACATGTGTGACATGATGTCGCTTCTATTTCTTCCCGTCTTCCATTCCTAGTGTGCAAGCACGAAGTCGTCTTTCGAGGCTGAAGTTCTCTCCAAAGTTGCCCCAGTAGAAGCTTCCTCAAGAACAGATAAAGGTTGGTCAATCTGTGGCGTACCCCTCCTTCTGTTTAGAAAGATCTGCTCCATTGGCTCCACGAGTCGTAAATTGAAACTCATCGGCAAGTGCACGTCTCCAACATCCTCCCGAGGAAATCTAGATCATGCCTGGGTGTTCTATTTGTGTTGCTGATCTAGTGGCTCTTCAGGGCATCCGTAGCCCACCTGCGGCATGAGGCCGTCACTTGGCGTCGCTGTTCCACACGCATGTGGACGGGGCTGGAGTGGGCGGGGCCACGGCACGTCTCTGCGAGGGCGCGTGGCAGATATAGTCGGGATCAGACATGCTACAGCCCAACATAGAAGACCCTCCGCGACGACGCTCCTTTTTGACTTCAAGCCTGTCAGCGATAGTCACGACGATCGTCGCCTGGCTAACGGTAGCACGTTGCGTGCCTGGCCGCTGTCCTAAAGTGGCATTTCCTGTGGTGTGTATCCTGTCTTCTCTACGCGAACTTCTCTTCCCTTCATTTCCGAGCGTCGATGTGTTCACAGATCCGTCAACGAAGTTTCTGGACTAATGTGGCTCTGCCGTCGCGTATAACACGCGCAGGGTCATGTCGTCCACGCACGACACACGCGTGCACTCTCCCCCCGTCTCCCACTCCACACAAGCCCTGTCGCCGTTCTCTCTGAACGCTTGCAGCATGTACTGCAACGAGTATGTCGAGTGCGTCATCCCACTACACTTCTGGATCCGGCGCTGACGCGTGTCACAGCTTCCAGTACACCAGATCACCCTCTCCGACGCCTCCCCCGCACGCCTCACTTTACAGCAGAATAGAGCGGGAGTTTGTGAGCAACAACTTGTTAGCATGTCATAGAGTGATCGCTAAGGCACATCACCAGTGCACCAATTTCTCGTGCTGTGGGCTTGTGCTGGCGGATTTGCACGAGCTCCTCGATCACTTCGAAGAACATCACGTCGTCATGTTGAGATGTGATGGCCGCCCTGTTCATCCCATTGACCCGGACGTTGTCGCGGACGACGACTTTACCTCGTGCCACAGCGTCATCCTCAGCTACCCGCAGCCCGATCCGCCTGCCGTGCCCGAACCTGGCCCAGACCCTTGCGCAGTGCTCGCATCTCTCATACCCCCCGCACCGTCACAGCTTCATCCTATTGAACCCTACCTTGTTGCATCAGACACGCGGACGGCCTCCCACTCCGACCGCATCCAGCCACTCTGCATACCACCCTCGCTACTCTCAATAAACCCGCCTGTGACCCCGGTAGAACGCGCGCCCCCGCGCAGTGCACCACCACGCAGTGACACGGGACACGCCCCAGCGCGGAGTAAGGGCGGGAGTAAAGACAAGATGCCGCAACACCTCACGGGGCACACTCGTGTCAGTGCGAAAGCGCAGACGCTTGGCGGATCCGAGCGTTCGCCCCACGCGAAGAAGCGGGCGCGTGAGAAGGCGTACAAATGTCCGGTGAGCTTGCCGTTCGCTTCCCGTCTCGTGGCGCAGCGCTGACTATCACGTTTCATCTCCTGCACGACGATAGAAGCCCGATTGTTCTAAGGCGAGTAATTTGTGGACGTATGCATGATGAGCCAAACTGACATGGGCGCGTGCCACAGTCGTACCTCAATCCGAACGGGTTGAAGTACCACCTTGAGAAGGGGACATGCACGACAGAATCGCATTCAGCGTCCGATTCGTAGCTCCTTTGCGATGGGATCTCCGTACGTCGGGTCTTGTTGCATGAATGTTCTCATTGTAGCACTCAACCTCCTGTTATGTGCCCAGATTTCCACTTCCGTTTCAGTACTTCCGCGCTCGTGTATATTGCTCCAGTCCTTGCGCCACTCCGCAGCGATTGAGAAGGAAGAACTCACCGCCACGAGTCTGCGGGGTCAGCCGTCTGTCCAATAGACATAGTCCCCGCTCGATCTGGGTAGGAACCAACTATATAGAGCTACCCGTCCTAAAGTTGCCCGGGTACACTTACCAGCCCCATGTCTCACTCCGAAACCATCGCGCCGTTGATGTCCTCGACATTTCCCACATCGTGTTGGACAATCTGCGGTCCCGTGTCGGCGCCGGCAGTACACTGGCTATTCGAGCTTTGGCAGTACCACATTTGTTTGGAGTACGACCACCGTTACAAGGCACGATGTTCCTTCCCTTCGGGTGTAGTAACCTTATATGTATGTTGTATCTTACTCTCCGTGTATTCTTCCGTCTCGCACTTCGCCGACTAGACGCTGCGGCTTGACGGATGCGTTTGTAGACCGCAAAAAAGGGTATGGCGATGAAGCTTCTGACTCCATAAGATCTGACCCGAACTGCCAGTAGTTTGACGTGTAAGCTATACTGTGAGATTGGGCTGAACGAGTTGAGGTCGGCATATCGCGTATCTGCGGTTGTGACTGATGTACATAGGCGGCCGGCGGCCTGTCGCCTTGCATCAGGTCGCAGCGAAGCGGGTCGATAAAATCGCATTGCCGCCCAGAGGCGCTACTAACGTCGAGGATGCAGGCCTGGCCTTGCGGGTGAAGAAGGCACACAGGATTCCCAAGGAGACCTAACCCGCGGCTGGCCGAGCGAAGCCGGGAGGCGCCGTGCTCGGATGCGGAATAATGGCGGGCTCACGTTGGGGTTAGCAGAGGTGCCCCGCACTCGTGTGAGCTTATACCGTAAGTTTGTTCCGGTGAGACCGCATAGTTGCACACTTGGCGAGGGAGAGGGTTACGAGGCACATAGAGTTAGACGCACTGCGGAAACCCCGGATGTGTTTCGACGTATGTCATGCTGATACATGGAATCCTATCACGCGGTGGTATGTACCCCACGGGCAACTCCCCGCCTGTGCGGTGTAGCGCGTCTCTGCTCTCGAGCGGTCAGGCGGCGGTGTTAGCGTAGAGTGCGTGTCAGTTTCGGAGGAAGTGCAGAAGAACGCGGTTCGTCTACAGGCACCAGCACCGTTAATGAAATATGACCTCAGGGGCCGGGAGCTGAGAGAAAGACCCGGCCATGGCTGGGGGGATGTGGGATGTGGGATCCGTGAATGCGGACATGGGCAGGGGCGCGGGTTCTGTGGATGGTCGCCCGAGAGGGCAAGGGAGCGGAAATGGGAAGAATGCGTGACACAGGACGAGCGTGGCGACAGGATGGCTGGTCATGGGGGCATCGGGGAGACAGGGAAGACAGGCAGCGCGCGCGAGACTGCCCGAGAGGCGGGGAAACGAGGGGAACGGGCAGTCAGGGCAGGACACATGACGCCCTGGCGGTTGCTTGCTTGCTGCGCGCCGCAACGGCAGGGGGACCAGACGCCTGTTGCTGCTTTTCCAGCCACAACGCCCCGATTGGGTGGCCATGGCACTTGCCGGCGGGTAGTGCGAAATACATAATCTCGATAGGCACTAGCACTTGCTCTGAATCCGATGCAATGCAAACGGGATTATGTACGGGAAAGCCTGTCGCGACGCATTTGGTCGAGCGATGTCGAGAACAGTCTGCAGGTCCCTCGATGGCATTCAGCGAGTTCAGGAAGCGATGTCAAGAGCAGCCACCGGTTGCCATTCTGGGCGTTCGCGTATTTCCCGAAATTAACGTGCAAACAGGGGTAAATAGGACGGTGCGTGATTATGCGGCTCCCGGGCCGCCTAAACCTGCAGCCCAAATGTTGGGAGGAGATGGCTGAAACGCCCTCTCTCCGCTGCCTCCTCCGCCCTTCATCACCAACGGCCATCTGCGGCCTCCTTCTCCCCTCCGTTCACCATCCCCCACGACGAGCAGCACCCTCTCCTCGTCGCTCAGGCCCCACCAGTGCACGGCGCCCACCACTGCCGATCTGGGCATCTCTCGGAGCCGACGGAACGAGAATCGACCCTTCCTTCGAGGTTACTTGCTACCTCGGCGGTCCTGTATCAACGCCAGCGCACTGCGCCGACTCACCTGCGCAGCCGCGCTCACCGTCCTTTGTTTCTCCTTTGTTCTGTAGTACCAGTCCCGCGCCGACATGATAGCGCATTTTCCGTCCCCCGTTCTCTCCGTCGCTGCCGACGTGATCCAGGGGCTCGAGGGCGAGGACGCCCTGTACAGTTTGTGGGCTTGTGGGTGTTCAGGACCTTCTGCATTGCCTTATATACTGACCAATAGCCACAGTATTCACGAAATGCAAAGAGTCGCTCAAGGACGGGCGTAGGCTCGAAAACATCTCCTGGCGTCTATGGTACCGTGAAATCGCCGCGCAACAGTCCCTGTCGTCCTCATCGTACAACGAGAAGCGGTGTGCGTCTCCTATCACGCCCGTATCGGAGCACAACGACGGTTCGTCGTCAAACTCGTCTCTAAATTCTACTAGCGGTTGTACTGACAAGATTCGACCTCCAGCAAAAGATCTGCTTTCCCCGACCCTCGGGGACAACACAGCAGACGGCGTCCCCCCACATTCCTGGCACGGCGATGTTCCGATGGTATCTACCCCTGGGCGGCGCCTGAGCACTGCCAGCGCTCCGTTCGATCGTTCGGGTGGACACGCCAGCGTCGCTGTGGGCAGATTCATCATTGACATCCTGCCGGGAAAGGTGCAGGTACCGGAGTACACCCGTAGCACGCCTACGCAAATGTCGCGTCTGCATGCACCTCCGCTAGCCCAGCCACGACCTGTCGTGTCCATCACTCTCCCCGGAACACCTCCGGCGTCCACCGCCGTATTTCCGCGCGTCATTGTGGTCAATCCAACACCGCACCCGACGCCTCCAGCCACGCCTAGCGATGCTCGAGGGCCGGCGACCCAGCATTCGGCACAAACCGCGACGCATCTCGCGCCACCACCCCTTGCTTCCACTTTGATTGCCGCGCCCGCGCCTGTTACGCATGTGAAGCCATCTGTCATGTCCGCCACAAGACCGGGTCAGTCATCGCAGCATACAGCGTCGCCAGCACGTGATTTGCGCGCGTGCGGGGACGACGCTACTCTGAAGCCGTCCGACCGGCGGTTCTTCCTACAGGAGGCGGCCGAGTCACCCGATCGCGACTCGCTTGATGGTGGGTCTCGTCCGGCTGATGTGAAATCCGAGGATGGGCACGCAAGGAGCGCGAGTAGTGCCGCGTCAAGCAACATCAGCAGCGTGGGCGGCAAGCCTACGGGATGCGCGCCGAAACGCGGTGCGGCTAAGGGTCAGGGTCGGAAGAGCAAAGAAACTCTGCGGCATGCTCCGGTCCGCCCCATGGCATCACATCGGCCGCAAACACAGGCGCACCGCGAGCGACAAGCAGCACAGCGCAAAGCGGCCAATGGGGATGCGAAGAAGACGACGTTTAACATTGGTTCCACGTCCTCGAATGGTTCTCGCAATGGAAATGCTGGACCACCGCCCGTGGTTCACACGGAGGTCCCGGCTACGCGTCCACAACCACAACCGGAGCCTCAGCGGGCGGCGAATGGCACCGTGGCACCATCACGACGACCTGTTGCCGTGAGTACGTCGTCGGATTATTCGACCGAGACGGATGATTCGGAATGGGCATCCGAAGACAACAGTGCAGATGAGCGCGAGCGGGAAGCGCGGAAGCGCGAGGAGTTGCGCCTACGCGAGGCCGCGGAGGAGGCACAACGGCAGCGCGACATGTTTGCGAAGGCCCCACGGCGGTCGTACTCGAACCTCAATCGCACACAGTCAGGACTGCTCTCACAGCTGCTCAATCCGGACCCGCACATGTTTCCGCCGACTCACCCTTACAGCACGCGAGGGGTTTCGTCGCAGGACATGTCGCAGTTGAGGAGGCAAGCTGCGCCGCATAATCTTCCAGCCAGCAAGGGCAGTGTGGCAGTGCCCATGGCCGCTGCGGTCGTCGCCCGGGTTGCACCGACCAACGGCGCGACCACCGCTACTGCACGTCCGAAGGGTCGGCCACAATCTGCGGAGCTCGAGGAGGATAGCGACAGTGAGGACGAGAACCCGGACAACGCAATCCAGGTACCGCACAGCCTTGCGCAAAAGAAACTCGCTGCACTCGCCGACCCGAATCGTAGACGGAACTCCGACCATGGCCCACCGCCGTCGGAGGCAGCCGTGCGCCCTCAAATCCCCTCGGTTGCAACGGCGCCAATCGCGCTAGGGCACCCCTACAATCTTCCCGCGCCTGCGCCGCCAATGACGCCCCGGACGACCCGGCGGCAAATGCTGGCAACTGAGCTCTCAGAGAGTCTACGCCGGAATTTGTTATGGGAGCGGCAGGTGTCCCGGAACAACTTGACACGGCGCGGGGGTGGTGTCCTCGGCAGCAACCTGCGCCCGCTTACGGCAATGCATAGCAATAGTGACTCCTCGAGGAACGGTGGATCGGGTAGCAAGAGCGGTAACGAAAGCGACGACCGCAGGAAGGCAAACGTTGCGCGCAACCGTAGCTGGGCGGACGACTACCATTACGCCGGCTGGTGATTGTACCCGCCATCCGTCGCTTGTCTGCTGCATCTCCTTTTTTCTCGTTCTCTTATCGTTGTTCGGGTTGGTGTACGATACGTATCACATCGGGTTTCCTAGTCTGTCTCGCTCATTTCTCATCGAACGGTCTCATCGCATGCAATGGGAATATTGCAGGTATCATAGCTCCATGCATGCACAATACTGTCCGGTTGTCCCTCACATCTGCACTCATCATCGCCTCCTATCCTCTTGCTGCATCATGCATTTATGTTATAATGTGTACCAGTAACCCGCTATCATAGTAGTACATAGCAGCTAAACGGATCTTATATTCCCATTACGTCGCACGGAAGTGTGCTCAAGACGTGTGAACACCACAGGTGCGCTTCTTTGCTGCAGGATGGTGTCATTTGACTGCTGTGTTGACCAGGCTCGTTCGCACACCACCTCATGCTCGCTTTTCACTGCTCGCCCTTCCATTCGCTGAGAGGGATGCAGCTCTTGCCGGTGTGCACCAGGGCCGCCGCAGGGTACCGCTCACCCACGACGCCAGCGGCCTGGACTGCCGCACGCAGCGACTTGACGTCCTCCGCCGACAGCTTGATCTCCGCGGCCTTCGCGTTCTCTTCTAGCCGTGCGACCGTCTTCGTGCCAGGGATGGGCACGAAGTCAGGGTGCTCGGCCAGGATCCAGGCGAGCGCGACCTGGCCGGGCGTCGCGCCCAGCGCGTCGGCAATAACGCGGAACTTGTCGACGAGCGCGAGGTTCTTGGGGAAGACCTCCGGCGAGAAGCGCGGGAAGTTGCGGCGGACGTCGGTGGGCTCGAAGTCGTCCGGGGACTTGTACCTGCGGGCATATTAGTCGGCGTCTACTGGACATTGAGCGATTGGACGCGCGACGCACCGCCCTGTGATCAGGCCTGCAGACAGGCTGTCAGCGACGGCCAATCGGGTGGGCTGGAAGACGGAGACGGAGGCGGCGTACCTCGGCCAAGAGGAGAGTACGCGACGGTGCTCACGCCAAGCTCGCGCGCGGCGGCGACGAAGCCAGACGTCTCAATATCAATTTCGAATGGGCTGTACTCCATTTGCGCGGCGATGACCTTCTCTCCCACTCCCGGGACACTCTTGGCCCGGCGGAGCACGTCGACGGGGCATTCGCTCAGCCCTATGTATTTGACTTTCCCGCTCTCGACATAGGGGCGCAGCGTCTCCAACACGACTGCAAGTTCTAGATGAGTTTGTGCCGATTGTGCACGCGCGCATGAGCGCACTTGCCTTCGATCGGAACTTCTGGATCGACACGGTGCTGGTAGTACAAGTCTATCCAGTCGGTCTGGAGTCTCTGGAGCGAACCCTCGAGCTGGCGTTTGATGTAGGAGGGCTTGCTGTTGGGGTGCGTCGGGCGCGCTGCGCCTGGGGTCAGGTCCCTAGCGCCGAATTTGGTGGCCAGGAATATCTCTGAGCGTCTTCCTGTCTTTGCAAACCATTTCCCCAGGGTCACCTCGCCTGACGCCGCTCAATTTAGTCGCACACAAGAATCACGAGTGACGCACTTGTGCCGTAGATGTCAGAGGTGTCCCAGAATGTTACGCCTCGATCAGCTGCATAGGTCAGGGTTTCGAAGGCGTCTTTGTCGTCTGAAGGCGTGCCGTAGAAGGCGCCGATACCTACAAATTGTGATAGTGAGAATCGTCATGAAAGATGCTCTCGCTGCATCCAATCCTCAAGGCCTCACCCATGGCACCGAACCCAATTGCACTGACGGTGGGACCATTGCGGCCAAGTTGGCGAGTAGGGTAAGACGTAGCTGGCATTTGGATTTCAGTCGACCTAATACCTATATACTGTCAGACTGGCGACGAATGACCAGAAGAGTCGGGGACGGTGGTGCGCGAATTCTGGTTGTTTATATATGGTGTCTTTTTATATCGGTGAGGATAATCATATAGCATGTCAGCTTGCTCTGTAACCCAGCCGGAGTTCCGCATGGCTCAATGAACTCATAGTATGATTCATACCATGTCGAGACGCGATCACGTGTACCGTGGTGGGGAATCGCGATGTTCCTCCCGTATGAATACTATATGCAAACTTCATGTCTTATCAAGGTTTTGACTGACGGGTGGCAATGGCGGCTTGTACAGGTCGATATCAGCTTTGAATATGTCTTTGCCTTGCCCGGCTCGAAATCTGATAACAGCCGACATGTACGGGACCAGTGCGTTCTCTTCGCGACTGGTGGTATCGTTTTAGAGATTCATGGATACGCAGGTGAGCGATCTAGGGAAATGGTTCAGTCAGACGGTGCTCCCCAATGTTTCTTGCAACCAGAATCGGTGGACGAGACTTCACACCCGGAGTCGGCAATGTCACGAAGCCTAACAGCAAGCTGTCGTACATCCGAAGGCGGCTCGATAGTTCTCTCCGAACGTGACGTACTGATCAGATCGACCTGTACTATCAACATCATGTTGATCCTGAAGTTGCCACCGAAGGTTCATTTAACTTGAAACCTTCTCCACAAAATGAGATCCGTTAATGAACTCTGAATAGGCGTGCTAGGAATTCTACACCCCTACGTCGAAAGTGGTCAATTATAACACCACTCCGACGTAACTTGCGCTGGCCTGAATACGTGCTGAATACCAGGGTTTCATTCCAATCTCTGAGACGAAATCTGTTATGAGGCCGGAGGAGAATGTGAAGGCCGCAGAAATCTACTCACTGCTGGAGGACGTCAGAGAGAATCACGCTTCAATGCAGGCAGCCGATGTACAGGACATCCGCTACGCTATTCAATATCAGCAGTATTCTGTTCCTCTGAGTGGGAAGGAGAGTAGATCAGGCTCGAAATGTTTCCTACGTGTTTCCATCGTCTAGGTCTCGATGAGCTCGGTACACATGAAGCATTGCGCTGCCAAGTAGCAGATGCAGACTCATGTCGCCCTCAATATGTAGTCTGTACAAGTACGGATGCCCGAGTTCGCACACCTAGCACGTTTGTGGAATTCTATCCGTTTACCTTAAGTCGATTGGACGTTGAACACGCTGCTATGACGTATCCGTATAGGATGTCTTAGCTAGCAGGAAGAATGTTGGTGAAGGTATCATGTAGGATTTGTATTGTGAACATTGTGTGCACGGACGCAAACTACTTAAGGAAGGTTCTGCCACTAATATATCAATACTTGTAACATAGTGTGTACAGGGAATACAGACAAGCTTGGACAGCACAGCATGCAGAAAACATAAACGTCTAAATTTCATCCCGGTGGTCTATTTGGGCCCAGAGGGTTGTTCATACCATTGTTCATCCCACTTACGTTGCTGATGTACGTGCCCCAGTCGTCCCATCTGGAAAACGATGAGAAATGATCGAACCCTGTAGCGCAGACAACTCACTCGAAGCCGCTAGGTGCATTCGACCACATAGCGAGAGTGTTATCCGGGAACGAAGATTCGGCTGACTGCGGAGGCGCCATCACGCCAAGATCTTGCATAGAATCTTGCAATGTCTGCAAATCCGACCCGATTTGCGACTGGAAGCTATGTGATTCTGTCCCCGCGATCGGTGGCCCCATGGTCGAGAAGATTGAGTCGTATACATCCGTGTTCGGCATTGTGAAGATCGAGGCAAGCGAAGGGTCGATGTCGTTATTTAACCCACTCGGCCCAGCCGTACTAGTCGATGGACCGGCCTGAGAGGACGGGCCGGGCATCGGTGAAACTGGCGCCGGTGGCGTGAACCAGGTATTACCCATCGGCGAGTCGCCTACACTGGACAGCGGGAAGTTAGGGTGCAACGGGATCCTACCAAGCTCATCGCTGTGAATGGGGAGGGAAAAGTTATTTGCGTTCGTGGGGTCTGTGGGTCCCTGATAGCCGTTCGGATGATGGAAAAGCTGCTGGGGTGAGGAGGTCTGATATGACTGCCCCATCGCATTTGTATCCCTCGAGATGCGTCTTGAACCCGCAATACTTCGCGGTGCGTGTTCTACATTGGCCTGGTTAGTCGGAGTGCTTGTGCGCTGTGCGGGCGGTGTCGGTGCGCTGTCCATCAAAGATATCGACGACTTCGGACTGTCAGAATCCCGGTCGCGTTTGTGGCTAGGAGGCGTGTTCTGGGGGAGCGGCAGATCTCCCACCGAAGCCAGCTCATAGAGTATGTCCCTGTCAAAGAGATTTGCCCTAAGTGGTGATATACGCGCAACTAGTACTCACCACAGGCGCCCCGCAGGATGATACCTGGTTGACATCTTCAGAAGATGGTGGTGGCTGGAGTCAAAGTGCACTAACCGAGGTTCCAGAGCTTTCAGCATCTTCATGCACTTATGCACATCTGCCATCTCCTTCGCAGGGTCAGTCGACAGACCAGACCGTTTACCGCCCCAGATATTCAGCAAAAGAACGATCCCACACGTGAACAAGGACATCTAGGCCGATATTTAGTCTCCGATCGGGGCTTGGCGCTCCGGTGACGCGTACCTGATTATGATACAGTGGAATACCCGTCCGTTTGTATTGGACATCCAACACATGCGTACATGAGCGCGCGGCATTGGTGCAAATCGCGAGCGACGGGAATGAGAGAGGCGACGGCTTGCGCGGCGACGGGATGAAAGGCCGATGAACTGAGATCTGCAGCTGATAATAGCTTGCGTACAAGATTGCCGACTGGTTCAAGAAGACAAGGTTTTCTCTGTTGGGGTCCCAACGTACTGTGTATGACGCGAGATGTCAATGAAACTGAGCTAATCTAATTCGGGAGCTTGACATGCACGTACAGTGGTCAGGCACCGAGTCAATCCATTTGTTGAGCGCGGAATCTAGCTCGGCGACTATATGCTGTTCCCATTGTTGGCCAACGAAGCCAAGGAGAGCTTTCGACTTGTTGATCGAATACTACAATCACAGAGAACATCAAGCAGGGCTCTCATGGGAACGCGGTTCTGGGGCCGATGTCTCAGCGAACTTACGATCGTGCGCAACGCAAACGCAAGAATCTGATTCAATCTAAGGAAACAGTTGAAGAACGTCACAATCGACGCTTTACCAGACGGCTGCTTCCATGCAAGATTCGGGTCTGGGTGGTTCCAGTACTCGTCGTCACACTCTGTCGGCAGGTCCAGATCAAAATCCTCGTCCTGGATCGCACACGGGCGTCCGAGAGCCGAGCTGATCGATCGATCCATGGAGACTAATACCCTGCACGAATATAAGGTGGCGTCGAGGGAGATTAGGGGGACGACACACCAAAAAGCGCGCTTCCAGAGTTCTTCTTCAATCGTGGGTGTTGCTGTATAGACCTTTTTACGATGCGCGCCTACGTCCTGCGCCATGCGAATGCCTACACCGATGATGGTCCAACACGCCTGCGGCGCCGACGAGCCTTGCAGGAAGATCGCAGTAAGCTAATTGCACGGCACATATCAGTTAGCCACTGCGCAGCTCAGCCAGCAAATGTTCTCGTGCACTTACACAGTAAATCTGTAGGTCGTACAATCGGGGTGGAGCGAGTAATGATTTGCGAATCATCTGGACCTGCTTGAACCATTCCCAGCCGCAAGAGAGTGGGCTGTCCGAGAAGTCGCTCAAGTAGACCCGCTTATCTTCCGTGAAGCGCGCGCCGATCGCGCACACAAGAAGCACAGTGGACCCGAATCCTTCGTCGCGTAGATGTAAACCATCCCTGATATTCTTTTCGAACGAGGGGCGATGTAAAAGAGGGGTATAAACGTTGACCTCGGTGAAGAAGAGATCTATGAGCATGAACATGAGGTCATCATCGGGGAAGTTTTGCGACGCGTGCGGTTGTGGCTCGTCTTGTAACTGTGCCGACAACCACTATACATGCGAGTGGACGTGAAAGGTCAATGCGTCAGTATATCCAGGTATCTGATGATGAGGTAAAGCGCAACAAACCGGATGGAGACTCCAATGGCCGGGTCGGCGGCGACGGCCCTGCAGTAGAGTAGGATGTGACACAATTGTCTCACGCGATTCGGGTGTCGGCATCCCAGAATAATGTCGTTTAAGATCCATCGCAGTCTGAATGAACATAATGCTGCTCGACTTGCCGAAGAAGCGGAGCTGTGTCGGGTTAAGCTGCATTCGCTTCAAGCTGTGGACGAGAGAATGCTGCGCCATGACTTCGTCGTCGCTAGGCTCCAGTTCATCCGGATCTGTAGGATGGACAACAGGGGCTCCTGTGGAGGAAGAGGCGATGGCAGAAGCTGCGACGGGCGTGCGATACGCGACCGCTTTCCCACCAGATTTCTCGGCCGCATTGCGCTCTGTAATCCAGGCATCCCTGTCGAAGTGGCCACCCAATTCTTGTGAGAAGTCTGCGTCGGGACAAAGCTACACAGCCCAGGGGTTAACAGCAACGTCGATTGGGAGCTCATGTAACTTACCTTGTTTAAGAGTTTTTCCATCTTCTCCAGTCGCGTCTCGAGGCTTTCTACATATCTGAGGGAATTGGAGTCTTTAAATCGCTTTTTCAATCAGCATATATGAGGGTCACACACACCCTTTGGGCGGACCCCGTTTCTAGTACGATGCATGAGCTTGACTTTCAAATGAAAATAGAAATTAGGGCTTACCTTCGCGGTTTCGATATAGGTGCATTCGTAGTTGTAGGTTACACAGTTTGAGCACCTATTCTCGGGCATTTGGCCTCCGTCACCTGAGGCGATGATGCATAGTAAGCGCTGAGGCCATCAAATCCGCTCGCGTCTTACATCGTACTATATTGGTATATGGTCAGCGGCCTCATAATTGTGCTACGTGAGGATTTACATACTCTTCTTCCGTCTGCAGACGTCGCACGCGCGTTGGACCCTCCTCTTCTTCGAGTTCTGAAGACTCTCACTGTCATTCGGCTCGTCCTCCTGCGAGGACATGGTGCCGGTTTGTTTCTCAGTTTACCAATTCAGGTGCACAGTAAGCACAGATTTTGACTTTAATCGAGCAGGTCAGACGAGGGGAACGAAGACGGGAAGCGAGTGTATTGAGATTGGGAGCGCGGAAGGTAAGAGAACGGAATGCGTGTGTACTCGGCAAGACATACCAAATACAGCCCGGCTCGATCGGCGTCGCTAATTTCCCACGGTCTCGCAATAGGCCGTCGCATCTGATTTCCGTTCATCATCTTCTTGGCGCTTCATTCTACTCAACTCACAAGACGAGCTTTTTTGTTGTGCACTGATTTACACGTCCTACCCAGGTCTGCGATATAACTGGCACCTCGCAAGTGTCGTTTCTTTTGCACCTCGAATGCATGTCGTGAGTATCAACCTAAGGACTGATCTGCTTGGCCCGGGCTCATGTGCCGCATCCAGTTTCATCCGCGTTTCTCGATATCCCGCAGCACGGTCGGCATTGCGCAGCTATGGGCGTCGAAATCTTTGCTTCTCTGTACCTTTACGCCCGTCAGTCTGCAAAAGCAGCCCGCCATTCCGGTGCCGAAGTACAAGTCGATACAACACACTTGTTGTTCTGCATCTGCGGCGCAGTAAATCTGAATTGTTTCGAGGCGAGTAAAACACGTAAGACACAAATACTGTATGCTGGGTTGCATAGCCTCCCAGGCCGCGCAGAAGCGAGAAATCCTTTCGAACGTGTCAGAGCAGTGCCCCGTGGCGGCTGGTTCCACCGCATGATGAATGATCAACCAGTGTGCTATCGGTCCACGACTTATCCCAATAACGCAGCAGATCAGTGAGTATTGCCACCCTGCATGTTTGAACCCTCTCGCAGATCGCGGTCGATGTGATCGCCGCTTGGCTGCCTGCGCTGCTGCATTTTACCTTAATTGTTGCGAGGACGGTGTCCACAGCTAGGAACTATCGGCGTTATTGTCTTATCGATTCTTCCATTGACTGCCGACGTAACGCCACCCATGACTCATGCATTGTTCCGTCAGATATGTACAAATAGTTCCGAATCGTTACCATGATATAAGACACCAATTCAGACCACTCCGACGGCACTGCTCTAAGGAAATTATGTTGTCCTCTGTGTCTATCCCTGTGTCTATTGCAAGCATAGCCCGCGGCCACCACTGCTGCCCGGTCCTTCTTTTAGGTGAGTGAGCCCCAAGGCTATATCCGTGTGTTCGTCAGAAAGGAGGCATTTGAAATTTGTCGGGCTGTCGGGCTGATGACAAACACGACCCCTTCCCTAGAATCATTTGACCAATAGCTCGAAGCCACGGAGCTCCTGGATATGCGCCCCGCCCGTCTGGACCCCACTACCCGCAGTTGTACCAACGGACCATATCTAAGAGTATAATCAGGGTGTATAAATTCTTGATCATGCATCTCTGCCTCGACAGCGGTCTGTACTGTGGTTACACACGGGTCGTGATATATTTGCGACCTGTTATATTTCTCACAGGAATGGTTTGAATCGAGAATCAGGGCCCAACGAAGCCATAATTTGCCGTCTGTCAGAAGTCGGCCTGCGCACACATCAAGTTATGCAGCCCTATTGGTATGGAGTTGGTCGTCGTTAGATCACGGCACACTTGCTCAGCATTGTCGCCAAATTCATTTTATGCAAAACCGACGAGACTAAGAGGAAATACCAACGGGCCATCGTATCGGTACTTATTTTGCCCGCCGTTAGGCCGTTGATGAACCACGAAACAAAGTCCATTCATCATTTCAACACAATCGATAGCTCGTTGACATCGTCGCACAGCTGCTCTAGCGTCAACAGTTCCCTTACTTCCTCCGTCACTATCTCCAACTTATTCAAACGCACCCCGATGCTCGAACGCAGTTTTAAAACATCCGATAGCAGATCTGCAAGTACGTCCCAGCCCTCACAGGATATGGCGTGTATACACGTCAAAGCCGGACATACGATGAATGTGCCGTCTAGCGCATTGACTATCCCTAGCGCCTGGAAAGGCCCCGCAACGTGCGTGTGATGGCCCCCCTCAATCTCGAGGACTTCCAGAGATGGCATTTGCTTGAATATTCTGCGCCAATCCATTGCACTCAGACGCAGGGTGTTGTGCCGGATAGTGAGACGGCTTAACGCGGGAAACACCAGAAGGTCACCAAGGTGATCGAGGGCATCGCCGACATTGACGTCAAAGGCTCCCCGAAAGTTCCGCCACGCCCACATGGACATAAACCGGTCGTCTGCTGACGTGAGGCGAAGTAACGCCGCAGCGCGTATACAAGTAACTTTGAATTGAGCCGCAGTGACGCGCGAAGTGCTCGGGTAGAGGGCGCGACCGCGCTGGTGATTGTCTAGGCGGTCATTCGGGTGATGTAGGAGACTCACAGATATTGACGCGCTAGTGGGTACCGCTAAGCAAGAGGCTATGCGTGCTATTGAAGAATACGGCCCACGCAGATTCAGATACGTCAGGTCGGGAAGATGAACAGTGGTGAATGGGGCATCCAACGCAGAAGGCTGGCTGCCATTATCTTGTGTTTCTATTCGCAGGTGCCGGAGCATTTTGCAGTGCTGTATGCTCTGAAGAACCTCGTCGGCGGACTGGAAAGAGGACACCATAAGATCGATATAGACCATGTCGCGGTACGGTCGCCACGGCAGCCATACATTGGGAGCATGCATTGTGCAGAGCACCGGAGTGTGGTTACTGAAGAGGGATGCTGCGACAGGAGTCCTTTGAGGCAGGTGAAGTTGATGAGAATACGCGATGAGTATAATCTCTGAGAGTCGGGGTGCAGGGTAAGTGAAAGCGACAAGTATATCACGCATGTGGCGCCTTGCCACGTTAACGACGCTGAAGGAAACAAAACGTCGTGTATGTTGCGCCAACAGACGAGACATTTCCATCAACGAGCCAACATCGTCCGGGCGTGAGGTAGAGCCACAAATGCGCACAGATAGGCTCATGTCCTGCGAGCGTGACAGGAACTCGCGTAGCATAGGTTCGCAGCAATCCAAGTAAATGCTGATTTTTGTCCACAACCTAGGAGATGTGACTGCGATGCGGCGCCAACGCGAGCACGTATGGGTGATTGCTAGCCAGCTCGTCTTGGATTCCAAGGAGAGTTGGCTCAGTAGATATTTATCTTGCATTGGAGGGCTGAGGGCAAGAACACAGAAGATTTCATACAGAATATCGTCATTGAGGTGCTCGATATACGTGGCCACTGCGTGCTCTGGAATCAGCTCTGGAGAGTATGAGAATCTGAGACAAAAGTTGAGTTGTAATTCATTGCGTTATGTTTGGAAAGTCGTTATGGCGCGACCTCACCTTGTTGCCATCCCAGTGAGGATTTTACCTGACCTGGCACTGTCTTGAGACTGGTAGCGTCGAGTGACCTTGTGCTAATGAGGGTCGCGACGTAAATTGCTCGGTCCAATTTGGGAGGTCCAGACAGTGGGTGCGTTCAAAGTTGCCGCTTAAATGTGGCTGAATGGACTTTGGAGCGCTCATATGTGGCTGAAGGTCGCACGGTTGCTTATGACTAAGCGTGATGAAGTTGTGACCTGATCACGCAAAGCAGCCAATCAGGTTGGCGCTTTATGCAAGCGTGACGTGCCGTAAGCCAAAATGGGAGCGCTTGCGACAAGCAGTCATTTATTTGTTCGAGGAGGGGAGATGAGATCCTTGTCGCCTTTTTTCAGCGACATTTAAGCGGCAACTTTGAACGCACCTAGTAAGACGCGATTTTGCCTTATGTAGGCAGGCTCAGCTCCGAAACGCCCGTCGCTATCTATGCACTACACAACATGGATGCGTCGTGTTGCATCCTCTGAAGGCTCGGCATGGCAACCCCCACACCATGTACTGTTCATCCAGGCAGATTGATAGACATATCCGATTTCTGCAAGAGTCAGGAATAGCTAATAAAGGGGTTCTGCGAATTGTGAGACAGTCAAGTAGTGGAGGGAAGACAGAAAACACATTTACTTATTAGGAACACATCATATTCCTCGAGCAATGTTGAGAGCCGTAGTAGCAGTGGAGAGAACCTCAGAGAGGCGTTGGTACCAGGGGATCAGGACTCGAACTGTTTGGCATTGTTGGTCCAGACTCTGGCCCAGGTTGATACCCCAAAAGGATGATATCATGGGTTTGCATGCTCACGATTGCGCGCTGGGGAGGTTTGAGGTTTCGAAACAAGTCCGTGCGTGTAGAAGAAGCAGGGATCATGCCTCTAAACCTTGATAGCGCCTGATCACTAACTTAACTTACTAATCCGGCCTCCTTTATGAATGCCCTCCGAGCATTGCTGACATTTCGACCGATGCTCGCCATGTCGTGTACTTAAGGCATCGAGACAGCCCTTTCCCTCGATACGTCATCTGAAGCTATCCACAAACTGCACCCGTTGCTTTTCCTGGTCCCACAAACCGGGACCTACGATGTCATCTTCCAATGTCAACGGGGAGAAAGACGTTTCCGACGCTCTCGTTGGCCCAGACAACATGGATGCTTCGATACATACATCCACGCGGGAGATAGTGCAGTCAGAATCTGTCAAGGATACGACACCTCGGGAATATGATGCTTCGACCTCTGACGTACCCGATGGAGGCCTTGTTGCATGGCTCCAAGTTGCCGGCTCATTCAGCCTGTTCTTCAATAGCTGGCAAGTACCTTCATCGAACCCGTTGCTGATGCTAATCCCTCAATTCTATAGGGGGATTGTCAATACGTTCGGTGCCTTCCAGACATACTACGAAGTGGGTCTCCTCAGCAACATCTCCCCATCCGCAATTTCCTGGATCGGATCGCTACAGGGCTTTCTTCTTCTTCTGTTTGGGGTGCTTACGGGTCCCGTCTTTGACATGGGATATTTGCACACTCTCCTTGCCATTGGAACGTTCTTAATCGTCTTCGGCTTGATGATGACGAGTTTGTCGACCCAGTACTACCAAGTCCTCCTGGCACAGGGCGTTTGTATGGGCCTTGGGTCTGGTTGTATTTTTGTACCAAGCGTTGCGATTGTTGCCACCTATTTCAATCGCAAACGATCCTATGCAATCGGTATCGCGGCAAGTGGTAGCAGTATAGGTGAGGTGGTGGGCCTATTACGATGCAAGCATGTCTGATTCAGGCTATTTTCGCAGGCGCAGTCGTGTACACTGCGGTCTTCCACCAATTGCAGCCGAGGATTGGGTTCGGCTGGGCAACGAGAGTCATGGGCTTTCTCGCTCTCGGCACCCTCTCGATTTGCTTCGCCATCATGAGAATTCGCGTTCAGCCTCGCCAACGACGGCAGCTCCTGGAACTTAGTGCGTTCAAGGAACCCCCATACGCACTCTTCACCGCCGGCCTCTTCCTCGCTTTCGCTGGCCTCTATATTCCCTTCTTCTACATTAGCTCATATGCGGGCGGAAAGACCGGTGCTAACAGCGAGCTCGCATTCTACTTCGTCTCCATCCTCAATGCCTCTTCCGTGATCGGACGACTCATACCCAATTTCTACGCGGACAAAATCGGCCCGCTCAACATGCTCCTACCATGCATTGTCATCTGTTCCATCTTGGCGTTTTGCTGGATCCCGATTCACAATGTCGGCGGGCTCGCCGCGTTCGCCGTGCTTTATGGATTCTTCTCAGGGAGTATTGTATCCCTTCCCCCATCCATCATCCCTACGCTTTCGCCAGATCTCAACAGGGTAGGGACACGAATGGGCATGGTGTTCGCCTTCGCTGGACTTGGGTTGCTCATCGGCACGCCGATAGCCGGAGCGCTCCTGAATGTCCACGACCACTACTATGTCAAGGCGCAGATCTTTTGCGGAGCGGTTGTATCAGGTTCCGTAGTCTTGATGACTCTTGCGAGAACGCACAAGGTCGGGACCGCTCTCAGAGTGAAGGCTTAGGCGACGGTGCGATTCTCCGAATGGTGAGGTCAAGGTGGCAAGTCACGCTCATGTTAATAAGCTCCATACCGACTTCAGACTGTATAATTATAGGATGATACGGAATACATATTGCTTCGTATGCACCGGCGTAAGGTACGACCCGGACGACTCTCGTATATTCCTAATACAATGAGCTCGGAGACAGGTACGCACCGCACAGGCACAACATGTATAGGCTTACTTACGCAAAGCTCAGACGCTGGGAGACCATCCCGCCGAACTCTGTACAGGCAATTCCTGTTTCTCCACCGTCCCATCGTCGCACGTGGCATCCTGGTAGCTTCTTACACCTTTAATTGGCACGTCAAAACGTCAGAATTTCAATCTGCAGCTCTAGCCCCTAAAGCCTAATTGGCATGAAATATGTATTACACAAGGCTCCGCTGGCCCGTTAATTGGCGCAAGAGGATGCCAGAGCCTCAGTGGAATGCTTTGATTTTCTGTCTGGCTTTTACATTTCTATTCCTGGCGTACATATGGCTTCCTGGATCACTTCGTCGAGGACCTCTTAGCCGAGATGGCCATATGCATTGCACCCTTGATCATTCAGCATTCTTTCTGGAACCGAAACCTGTGTGTTTGCCATACCAGAAACCCCAGCCTGTGTTTCTAGACATCCGTCATGCGGTTTGGAGTCACGTAATAACTCTGCACCCATGTACCTGCAGGGAAACTCATAACGGGATATGTGCGCCCCAGCCGTCAATCATACCCCGTCTTGTCTTGACTCTTGACAGGTGTCCTTCGCTCAAGGGCACATGGACCCTGTCTTTGTAATTGTTACACCCGTCGGCTCCCTCTAGGATCCGATTCCGCAGGCTTTCTTGGCCCCGAGACACTGGGAAGTGGCTAGTGGTTTGCTACTTGCAAGTTGCCGTCGAAACAAACAGGGACGACTTCATTTAACCAATAAGCCATGGCCGTGGCTGTATTTAAGCGAGGTGCCTTTCGGCACCAGAAAATTATCAACTCTCCTCGTCGCAGATCCCCGACCACCTGAACATTTGCAACCTCAAGCATGGACGCTTACCTCCACACCTCCCTCATCGGTGGCACTGACGGCGAGCTATTCAACGACGTTCTCAAGACAACCAACGGTGACGGCAAGTCACCCGACCTTGACTCCGACATAGTGTTTCTGACGCCTACCATAGGTGAACTCATCCTAGACGTTAATCACCCAATCGCCCAGATTACCGTTTCTCATGGATGGATCGTAAGCACATCCGTCTCAGTAGCAGAAATTCGTCTTATGGTGCTTTCAGGTTGATGGCTTGAAGGTCACTTACAGGGTGAAGTTGCCCGGCGTCCAAAATGTTATCGTCGAGCACGGTACCCAGAAGCGTGACGCTGTGGTCATCGACTTGAAGTGTACGTTCAACATGTCTCTGTTTGCTTTGAGTAGCTCATGATTGTCCTGCAGCCACTGAGATCGTCCTCGCCGTCTACGGACGCGCTGGATACCAGGACTATTATAAGCGCAAGATGATCAATAGCATCAACTTCTTCATCTTTGACCAAGAGACCATCACCACACGCGTTGCAGGTGTACGTACGATTGGTCCACGTTTCGTGTTCCTGCACTAATATTGCACATTTCGCAGCCTTTCGGAAATGGGAACCGCTCCAACAATGGCACGTCATTCCACGTCTCGAACGTGATGGCCTTTGGAGGCTACGCCAAGCCCGCTGAACAGTGTAAGCAGTATTAAAAAATCGCTTTTGCCTCCTCTTATATCATGATCTAGGTGGTCTGGCTGGCTTGTCATTCTATAAGAATTTGACCGTGGAATAGATGACGCCCTACGCTCTTCAGACTGCTACTCTGTACAATTGTATATGCCTCGTAGAATATGTCTATCTGCCTCACTATCAGCCGTGTGTTTTGGGGAAGCTCCATGCAATGTGTGAGGTACCATGTCTCTATTATTGGCCCGCTGCTTATATCGTCTCTGATGCAACAATTTGCTGCACCTGCACACGGACATTCAGCTTCGTGGGCTCTTGTGGCACCAGTGTCATGGTCCCTCGCGAGTGCAATCAGTGGCGCAAGCAGGCAAGGGATTTTTCGAGGGCAAGCGGCCGTCCGGCTCCGAGTCGGGCCTCACCGCCGCGGCCCCATGTGCCGCGTCGGTGCCCCCGCATCCTGGGTGCTCAGCAAGGATAATATGCGAGACATCGAACTCGTTCACTGAGAATTCTAGGACCTTCTGAGCGTTGACATAGTCTCCTGTGAACAGAATATAATACGTCTCAGCCCGCGCACGCTCTAGTAGATATAACCTTCGGGTTTCGGAATTAAACGGCTGCCAGATCTAATCTGATTAGAATTATAAGCCATTTGGCAAATAGATAAGATTTGCAATGCGCGAGTTCTCACTTGGCGCGAAACCGCACGCAATCCATGCCATTTATTCCCTCGAACATGCTCTTCGTTCTCTAGTTGTCCGGACGTGCTGCATGCACCCGTTCCACCATAGCTCATCAGAGGCTGCGCGTAGTCGAGCATGAATCCTCTGCTTCGTCCAGCAACATCGTGGTTGTCCTCCCAGTGCACTACCTCGCGCGTGCTTGTGTCAGGTTCACTTCGGGGGTCTCTCTCGCGATGTTCAGCTCTCCAACGACTCTCTTATACGGCACCGCACCGGAATCATGTGCCTCTGCCCCGCTACAACTCTCAACAGGCTCCGCAGGCAACCAAGACACCAACGGTAACGCCGTCCAAGCCACCGCCAGCTTCGCCCAGTCCAGCAAGCCACACCGTTCATGTCAGTCAAGCAGAGCAGCGGAGAAAGGACTGGAGTATTGTCAAAAAGCTTGCCGAGAACATCTGGCCTAAGAACGACTGGTCGACTCGCGGGCGAGTAATCTTGGGCCTCGGGCTATTGATCACAGGCAAGGTACGAGCAGGGCACTGAAGTATTCCTGGACGCGTAATAACGCATCCAGATCAGCTGCTGAACGTGCAAGTCCCGCTGCTATTCAAGCAGATCATTGATACCTTGAATGTCGACATCACGGCTGGCTCGACAGTATGGATTGTTGCAGGCTCACTGATTGCGGGTTGTACGTGATCTTTCGTACACGACAGCCGAGATAACTTGACGCACGTTCCTCACGAGTCCTTAGACGGATTGGCTCGTGTTGGTGCAACACTTTCCGGCGAACTGCTCAATGCTGTTTTCGCCAAGGTCGGCCAGAGCGCGGTTCGGAAGGTCGCCCGGCAAACGTTTGAACATCTGCTAAACTTGGATTTGCGATTCCACCTCTCGAGACAAACAGGTGGCTTGACGAGGGCGATAGATCGTGGTACGAAGTGTGTCTGCCCTGCCAATTCCGCTTTTTGGACTGGTAGTAACATATGAAGTGTAGAGGTATTACATTCATCCTCTCTGCGATCATATTCCGCATCGTGCCGACGGCACTGGAGATTTCTCTGGTTTGCGGCATTCTGGTAAGTCAACAGGAGTCTGAGCTCGGTAGATTGTTGACATTTCAGATACGCGTACCAATAGTCTTATAAATTCGGGTGGGACTTTGCCGCGATCACACTTGTCACAATGGCCGCGTATACTTGGTTTACAGTGCGCACAACATCATGGCGGTGAGTTCTCCTGTTGGTGCCGCTGCATATACTGACCTTTACTGTAGAACGCGCTTCCGGCGGGAAGCAAACTCTGCAGACAATAAGGCTGCAACGGTCGCTGTCGATTCGCTCATAAATTATGAGGCTGTCAAGCACTTCAACAACGAGAAGCACGAGATTGCTCTATATGACAAGCATCTCTCAGCTTATGAGAAGGCGTCGGTCAAGATCTCTACGTCGCTGGCTTATCTCAATTCCGGGCAGAACGTGATTTTCTCGACCGCGCTCACGGCGATGATGTTCTTGGCTGCTCAAGGCGTAATCAATGGTTCGTACGGCATGGTGATGTAGGACATGATTTATAGACCAATTGCTCCTTCATGTAGGGACTATGACCGTCGGCGACTTGGTTATGGCCAATCAACTAGTTTTCCAGCTTTCACTACCACTCAACTTTCTCGGCACAATCTACCGAGAAATGCGTCAGAGCTTGCTGGACATGGAGACCCTATTCAATCTGGTGACAGATAATCAACCGCCAAAGGTATGTCTGTTGCACCTGTATCCTCACGCCGGTGCTCATCAACTGAATTCCTCCAGGATCACTCTAACGCACAGCCACTCCAGCTCCGTGGCGGATCCATCCAGTTTGAGAACGTTAGTTTCGCATACCATCCCGACCGCTCCATCTTCCGCAACCTTTCGTTCACGATTCCCGCGGGCAAGAAGATCGCACTCGTCGGTCCGTCCGGGTGCGGCAAGTCGACCGTGTTCCGACTACTATTCCGCTTCTACGAGCCGACCGGGGGGCGAATTCTGATCGATGGGCAGGACGTATCACAGGTGACGTTGGCGTCGCTGCGAGGCGCGATCGGCGTCGTGCCCCAGGATACGCCCCTCTTCCACTCGGATGTGCTGCAGAATGTGCGTTACGGGCGGCTCGATGCGAGCGACGAGGACGTCTTCGAGGCCACGCAGAAGGCGCACGTGCATGAAGCGATCATGCGCTTACCGGAGGGTTACAAGACGAAAGTGGGCGAACGCGGGCTGATGATCTCGGGCGGGGAGAAGCAGCGGCTGGCGGTCGCACGCGTGCTGTTGAAAGACCCGCCCATACTATTCTTCGACGAGGCTGTGAGTCCCCTATACAAGTTGAATGCATCGGGAGATGCTGATACGCCCGTAACTTAGACCTCTGCGCTCGATGCGCACTCCGAGGCAGAACTTATGCGAAACGTCAACACTTTGCTCACAGAGAAGAGCCGCACTAGCATCTTCATCGCACACCGTCTGCGGACTGTAGTAGAAGCAGGTCCGTTCTGGCACAGATAATTCTGCGGATCGACTATCTGACCGCTCTCCACAGATCTCATCATCGTGCTTAAGGATGGTGAAGTCGTAGAACAAGGCTCGCATGAAGAGCTCATTCGGAAGGGCGGCCTGTATCACAGCATGTGGCTGGAGCAGGCATACCAAGAGCAGAGCGTTGCCGAGCCGCAAGACACAATTGCCTGAAATCACCGGTGCATGATCTCAGTCTACAGTTCGTATGTACATTGCATTCGTGATAGTCCTCCAAGCACAATTCGAGTCAATGATCCGGGGAATAATTAGTTCGCGTGTAGCCTAGGTCTTCTTCCTCACTCAATTCTTCCTCTCAGCCAACTTAACAATCCTTTTGTGCCCTCTCGCTCCCATACTCGCCGTTGTGGTATGCGGAAGCTATGAGATATGCAAGATCAGTCGCCGCTAAGCTCCGGGATGGACCTTACAACACTTACATATTACCGTCTACGAGGAACACGTCGAGCGGCAGCAGACCTAGTTCAGCGGGGAGCTTCCCTATCTCGTTGTCTCGTAGGTCAAGCTCCTCAAGGTTCCATGCAGGGCACTCGCGATTGCCCTTAAACAGCTCGGCAATACCCTGGAAGCCGTCTAGTTCATCGATGTGATTGCCCCGCAGGCGAAGGTGCCGCAAGCCTTTACGCTCTGGTGCCGCAGAGTCCGACGCCAAGATGATACTCGACAACGCATCCTGAGACAGTGCCGCAGAGGTCAGTGCATTGTAAGAAACATCTAGCATACGCAAGCTAGGGAAGAGCTTCGCCAAGAGGGGCAAGAGCGGTTCGCTGGTTCGAGGCATCGAAAATCCGTCTCCTCCATCGGGCGTGGCACCCGATCGTGTGACAGGCACTGTGTCAGAAATATTGCATCCTTCGAGAGTCAACTCTTCGAGGACCGGCAAGAAGACGCCATCCTGCGGAGGGAGACTGAACAATGGGTCTTTGCGCCGCTTTGACAGATTGAGAATCTTGAGCGTTTGGGCAAACGGCTGAACGGCAATGACTGATAAAGGGAGCGTTGGAGTTGGGATGGCGAGTGCTAGGTCCGAGGTAGTGGACACTTTTCCTTTCGGCACGGCCTTAGAGGTGGGAACATGGGAGAAGGAACGGGCATGTGGGGCCTTTGGAGGAGGCGCGGATAAAGGTAAGGTCAGTGTACAAGTTGTCGCGTTGTAGAACTGTGGATTCGATAAGACTGACGATAGCGATGGCGGCGAGGGAGACTCGGACGGCGACACCTGTGCTAAAGCAGCAGGCGATGCTTGAGGAGCTGGCTTGTTAATAGCTGCTGCCACCGCTGCGGCAGCCCGTGCACGTCGCTTAGCACCCTCTGTCAACAAACCCTGCTCGGCTTCGATCTCCCAAGCTTCCTTCGCCGCTACAGCTGGCTTCTTTAGCGGCGAAGTAGGGCGTAACTGTGTCGACGCAGGCGCAGCAGACAAGGCTGAAGATTGCGCTGCTGCTGCTGCTGCTGCCCTTGCCCGCCTCTTTGCCCCCTCTGTCAAGAGACCTTGCTCCGCCTCCATCTCCCAAGCCTCCTTAGCGACAAGCACTTTGGTCGCTGCATGTCCTCCCTTTCCGCCTGCTCTGCTGCCAAAGTCAATGCCTTCTTCGATAGCAGAGTCTGCGACCCGTGCGCTTCTTAGCTTAGCTCTGCGCTCTGCTTCAACCTCCCACGCCTCTTTGACAACCCGCTTGCCCACAACGACACAGAGGACGCCTTCTCGAGGCTCTTCGGTGGTCACCTCGAACTCGATCGCCTGGCGCAGCGCAGGAGGTCTCAGCGCAGCTTCGACTGCGGGCTTAGTGACATGTGTCTCCTCCATGTCAAGCAATCGCAGGGACGGGAAGGGGGTTGTGACCTTAAGCGAGGAGATGATGTCTATCGGGAAGGAGTCGTTCCCGATCTCTGCTCGCTGTAGGCGCAGCTCGCGTAGCCGCTCAAGGCGGGCAAGAGACTGCAGGAGCGAGGCGCAGTTGCCCAGCGGATTTCCAGATATATCAAGCTTGGTGACCTGCGTGGGGAGGCTTGGTTTGGCCTGCGAGTACTCGTGGTCTATCGCAGATGCGGAGAGTCCGTTATACGAGACATCGAGACTTGTCAGGCGAGGGAGCGGCGCTGTCGCACGCGTGATGCTCTTTGAGAACCAATCTCCGCGAGAGTCCTTTGTGCGGCCCAGTGGAGTGGAGCCTGCGACATCGAACGGTGCGCGGAACGGAAGGAACGTAAGTTGGTTGTGGGATATATTCAGTGTGGTGAGGTGCGGAAGGGCGAAAAGGTTAGCTGGAAGTGATGTGAGAGCGTTGTGGGAGAGGTCGAGGACTGTCAGGGCCGTGAGGTCGGCGAACGCATCGGGTAGGGATGCAAGTTTGTTGCTATGAAGCTGTAGAACGTATGATTAGGGCGCGAACTTGCACAGAAATGGGAAGGCTCACGTCCACCGTCTTCAGAGAACCGAACATGGATATCTCGGGTTGAATCTCAACGATCTCATTAGACCACGCCTTGAGCACCTGGAGGTCTTGTGCTTCATACCAAGATGGCGCGTCTGAGCGATTTCCTCTCCGACGCGTCGTCGCAGATATGTCATCGGCAGTGGAAGTAGTGATTGATGGTTCTTCGGGGACAGATTTGAGAGGCTCAGGTGTTATGCCAAGATGGATCTCATATAGAGCAGATGGGATGCATGGTAAGGCACGAGCAACAAGATTGAGACTTCCTTGAGAAGAGACCTCGAATTATAGTCATCACACAGTGGAGGTAAACGACGGCAGTGTGGACGTGTCAGGCAGCAAACACATTTGAGATATGCTTAGATTCGTGGTCTTCGTGATTGAGTGTCGTAGTCTCATGCTACTCCATTGGAGGAAGTGTCCGTATCCTCCTCTTTGAATCTCAGGCTGGTGTACTTACTTTGTTGCCGACGAAGGCTTATGTTGCAGGCCTATTGTGCGAATGCTGCCTGACAAATCTACAACGCCCTGAGACACTCACCTGTGCTGCGCGCTCGTTCTATAGTCTCCTTAACAGACCACCGTCCCAGATCAACCTCTTCGTCGCCCTGCTTCTTTCCTGATGTCGGGAGAGCGTCCTCGAACCCCGAGAAGTCGTCCAGCCCGCCATTCGTGTTGTCCGCCGGCGTCTGGGCTTTCTTCGCTTCCGCTCGTTTGAGCGCAATCTGCTCCCTTATGCTAAGCTGCGGTTTTGCTGGTAGCGGCGGTTCATCCACGGGTGGCGGAGCCGTACGGCGCACGGGTGACCTCGGCGGCGCTGGTGACTTGGGAGGTTTAAGAGAGTTCGTGCTAGCCTTCGAGCGCAACGGTGTGGGGCTGGTACTTGGTGTTTTAGCCCTGCTCGGGAATGTGTTCACCGTCAGCCCCGGCGACGGCTTGCTGGGGGAGCGGCGGGAGGAGGGCTGAGGAATACGAGACATGGTGCTGTTTCGGAAACTCAGACAAGTCGAGCAGCGCGCGTGGTTGCACGTGGGACGTGCTCGAGAGCGACCCCGATTACTCCACGTGGCGCAGGCCCCGGGGTCCTACTTCCCCGCGCTGCCATTTCGGGATCGTGCCAGACGTCCGAGTCCACAAGCTCTCGCTGTAGGTCGACTTCAAGACATTCCTCAAGGCCCCTCCGCCCCTTCACTCCATGTGAGTCTCTCAGAATGCTGGTTTATGCCGTAGAAATGCATGTGTGGAACTTTGGACCTACATGAGGCGTCGGAAAGGTTGGATGGTCGCTGGCACTTATGGATGATGTGATACATTGGGACGTGGAATCTGGTGAGCAGGAGCTAACTTGCATGCATTGTTCCAGCCGGACAAAGTGCGATATTCAGTCGCAGTGAGTACCTTCATGCTGCCGACCCATGCATTAGCTGACTTATTGGACCAGCTTCCGACCTTCGACCGAACTCGCCCAGCATGATCATTTCCAAGCCCCACAGGCGCATAATTTACGAGTCTCTCTTCAAGGGTGCGCCTTTTCGGTTCCTTCCATCCGCATGGCCAGCTGAACAGTCGTATCCACGCAGAGGGTGTCCTTGTCGCCAAGAAAGACTACAACGCCCCCAAGCACGAAGAGCTCGATGTGCCTAACCTTGAGGTCATCAAGGCCATGCAGAGTCTGACATCCAAGGGCCTCGTCAAGACGCAGTTCTCCTGGCAGTGGTACTACTACGCCCTCACCGCCGAGGGTGTCGACTACCTCCGTGAATGGTACGATTTGGGTCACTTCTAGCTGAGTTCGAAAGGACCTCATCCAAACACTCCCACTCAGGCTCAACCTGCCCGCTGAGATCGTGCCCTCCACACACAAAAAGGCAGTTCGTCCCCCGCGTCCCGCGACCGTCCGTCCTGGCGGTGGCGATGGTGCCTACCGCGCGCCCCGCGGCGACCGTGATGACTACCGGAAGAAGGAGGATGCACCGGGCGAGTTCAGGCCACGGTTCGCCGGTGTCGGGCGAGGGGGTCCCCGCGAGTAGACGCGTACGTGCGATCCGATATCTACGCTGTGCACGCCGAGCACACGGAGGATGGAGGCCGATGGGTGGTGCGACTGGTGGGCTCTTATGTTGTGATTATGATCGCTCCGTGCTCGTCGTCGCAAAATTGTAGTATGAGCATCCCATGCCTCGCTTATGCTATTTTTCGTCATGCATCTCGATGTTTTTACTGCGATGTTCATACAAATGTGTTCAACTGAAGACATGAACTGTATTCCTAGGTCGGTCTCGAGCTCCTGCGTGCTCCCTGTATTCGACGATCTGCTTGACTGCCGTACTTGAGAATGCAAACATCAACCGCAGCCAGACGAAGCGCCATCTTCGACAGCTCACCTTGAATCTCCGCAATCACCCCCTGCATCAACGAAAAGCGAAGACTTCATGGCGAGCATTGTGTTCAAGATATCCGTCACACCTGAATCCTCCAATATGCCTTGCTCGTCAACATCCACACCACTCGCGCTGATGCTTGCAAGCTCCCGCTGTGAGCTCGTGAGTTTCCACTTCGCGAGCTCGCCGTTAGGAGCAAAGGCGGTCCGCAGAACTTCCATTGCCTGTCGATGTTCACTAGACATGTCTGCCAGACTTCCATAGCCTTCCAGACTGGGTACGAACGTGAGATTGTCCGCTAACAGCCATATTGTTTCGATTCCCTGTGCTGTTGTGGCATTGTGGAGCAGCATGCTAAGTGTATTGACCAGCGCGTGCGCGCATTCAGTAAACGTTGTGGAAAGAAGCTTTTCATTGTTCCAGGTGACGGCGAGGTAAGGAGTCGTCGACGTCATCCTTTGCGCGAGAGACCAGAGCTTAGAAGAATACCCTATCGGTGCTTGAGGTGCCGAAAACGCTTGCAGACCATGCACGTCCCAGTGTATTAGGAGAACGTCTGCGCCACTGTCCGAATCAGGGTCAAGCTGGATCAGAGAATCCTGTTGCAGGTCGAGGAGGCTCTCAACCGGCGCCTTCGGAGAGGCGAGCATCGCAGACAGTTCATCAGCCAGAGCAGATACAACCGTCTCGTTGTTGTCTAGAGTGCGCCAGACGTCGACGGGAGCCAGATGCACAGACACAGGTTGCTGAGAGCTCAGGTCCAGCCGTCGGAATCGAGACTTGAGGCACTGTCCGCTCTTCGCCCGACGGTCTTGCATGCCGGCGTCTATGCCCACTTCCACACGCAAGGTGTCATTAATTGTCGCATCCTGAGTGGTTTTCTCGTCGACGTATATGATCTGGCCTGTCGCCGCTTGCGGACGCATGTCCACCCAGGTCCGGAAGTCGTCCATCGTCATTACGCGACCTCCGCCCAAGCGCACCGCGCTGGCGATGTCGAAGTACACGCCGAAGTCCCACCGGAAGCATGTCCCGACTCGTCCACGGCCGACGTTCGGGAGGACGAGCGTGCGATTGAGCGCGTGTGCGAGCGCAAGCAGCTGCGTGACGTGTGCCTGCGCGTGTGGCTCGTGCTCCGCGATGAGGAGCGGGAGCAGGAGGCGGCACGGAGCGCGATTGCAGAACTGGCGGTCAATTTGTTCGGTGGTGTACGCGGGCGATTGGAGCGAAGACTTGAGTTTGCGGGAGCCTGAGTGCGTTTCGGGCAGAGCGGTGACCATCGGCGGCCAGCGGTGCTGTTCAGCACGGACACCTTGCGGGTATCTTGATGTGGGCCGGTGGTCCATTTCGTCTTCTTTATGTGCTTCTGCCAGTCGTTGGAGAACTTCACGATCGACACGGGGAACTGGGATTAAGTGCGGAACGTCTTGGTCGTCTTGCTGTGCGCTGGAAATTAGTGACTTGGCCCATATATCTTCTGGCGTTAGCTCAGTGTCTAGAGAGACCCCCGTGGTCTGGCGAGGTCCGGAGCGCAGCTTCCAGAGCAAATACATAAAGGCCAAGAGCACCAGAAATAGAGCCAAGGGCACCTTGAATGGACGGAACCCCAGGCCAGCCCTCCAGAACTTGCGCCGAGAACGAGACGAAGTGCGCATCGTGTCTGCGGCCTGGCGGGACTGGGCCAAGTTGGTAGACACTAGGACAGGTGATCCATTGGAATAGAGAACTCTGCCGTGCCAATCCACCTTGGCGACTTGCCTAGGTGTGCTGTGGCGAGAGCGTAGCATTGGTAGATAGTGTCCTAATACTGGAAGTTTACTCGCTATGCGGCTGTGAAGACGAAGCAGCGGAGCTTGGAAGGACAGAGGCGTGAGAGACACGAAGGCGCGGAGTCCAGCTGACGAGCAGCGGAGCGCCCAGACATTGACCTTCCCGAAGTTGTACGAATACTTCCTCCTGAATAAAACTCGCGCGTTGTCGCACTGAAGCTGCACAATGTAATCCGGGCTAGGCTTGCATTGCACAGCTTCCTGGGCTTCCATTTCACTAGGCGTGGCGAATAGCGAAAACTAAAGACATCAGACTCTCAAGCGCCGCGAGGAGTGTCTTCCCTGCCTTTGGAGTCTCCGCTTTAGTCCACCATTGACACATCTCCACGTCCTGTGCGCCAGTCGTATTGTACTGCAGTGGTCCACCACTAGCTTGTATTTGTGCTACTCCTACACCTCCTCGAGCCCTTGTGATCAAGCCGGTGAGTGTCAAGTGGTCCCCACCGGAATGTGGCCACAGCGATAGCGGAAGTTCCATCGAAAGAGAGGTCTGACCACTGGACGCCGTAGGTGCTGCTTAAGTGCATTGTTGACACCCAAACTTTGCATTCCAACCAGTACTGCCCGTCCAAACTCTCGAGGGATTTACCATGGTGTGTCTTCTCTCCTCCCGGACAATCCACGTTCGGAATACTGTGTCATTTGCTGACCGCGACCGATGCAGCCTGCTCGAACCGCACCCAGGGTGGCCCCAGAAGAAGAGACCGAAGTAATAGACATCTACCTCTCTGATATACTTGGACGCCTCGTGAGGTTCATCGCCTACCTGTCGGTATTCTGCGTTATCTGTTACTTGTCGTGCCAAACCGCCTTCGTCGCTCTGCCCGTCATTTCTGCAGCGATGTATGCCTTCTATCACCCCATGTTCGCGCACAGCATTATCGGCGGCATGAGCGCCACCATATACACAATCCCCTACGTCCTCACTGTCGTCGGCTTTTATCGCATCTGGCATCACGACATGCGCAGCCCCGCTCTCAAACGGTATCCCTGGCCCGTCCTCGCCTCCTCACTGCTCGCCGACGCGGCAAACACGGTGCGCGTGGCGCTTGTCCTTGCACCCGTCCTAGTGTTTCTCTCAGGGCATGGGTTCGACCACTATTGGCAGCGTGCTGCGGACGACGCCTCCCTCGCAGGACAGCTTGCGGCTACCATACTCCACTGCCGGGTCATGTTCAGGTGGATGCCCGTCGCCTGGAAGGGATTTGACTTGAAGCCACCCAGTGACTAGGGGCTAGTTCAGATCTTGAGCAAGAGTAAGCCCAGTCGTTTGTTACTTCCGTGTCTTTGAATGACGTGCAATTGTGTTTTTCGCTTCTATACAACTGAAGTGATGGGTCTTCCAAAGGATGCCTGCATGAACGGAAGCGTGGCGCTGGCGAAACCTTGTTTCGTACAGCCTTGTGGTTCAGGTTCGTCCCGATAACCACTACTCCTTGTTCCTTCGAGCGGCAGCTCGGCCCGTGTCCCTTACAGAATGCGTATTTTCCCATGTCATCTTCGTGCTTCCCTTCGATGCCCATTGTATACTATTAGCGCTGTACCACTACTCGGATCAAAGTTTTCCTCGTAACCCCTCGTCACCCTGTATCGCTCGTCCCATCCCACCGCTTTGCACGTCTCTTCTGCTTTTGCTGTGTTCTACTGTGTGCCTATTTATGACAACCCCTCCTATGAATGACTCCTCTTACCGCCAGTCCGACGCGAATCAGGCCGATACCCTGAGATGTGCCACTATCGCGACCTTCACGTTCTTATCGCTAACATGAACTGGCCAGCTTCATGCACGGAAGTCCCTGATGCGCAGTGCGAAGCCCATATACCGCTCGCATCCTGTTCGTGGGCATGCACCTTGACCGACTGTCGGCATGTGGTCATGTACTAACTGAATCTCACAAACTAAGCTTATGCTCGTCTAGCTTTCCTTGTATAGTATCGCGGTGTCCATATAATATGTAAGCACCCTCGAATTAACAGCATTCATTTTACGTTTACTCGGCATGCTGCCAGCGCGTGACTATTGACCGGCTTCCTTCGGTAAGCTTGGGGCTGCAGATACGGCGTGCCGCCTAGGCATGAGGCAAGACACGCTCATCGAAGAACCTCTTGTGAACCGTTGGGGATGGTCACCTCAACGCGGACAATGCATGGGTTTGATACACGCCAAGCGCAGGTGAGTGCTTCAGCGTTGCTGTACGTCTTTGAGTCTGATAGACGTCATAGTTGCATGGTGTGCTATGCGCCGCAGGGAACCCTAATGGTTGACATAACCGGAAGCTGTTTCTGCCACGTAACGTGGCCCCTTGGCTTTTCCGACTTCACCCGAGATTATACTCATGAACCGTGCTCTCTGAATCGCCCACTTAGAAGCCTAGCTGTGCAGGAGGTGATACCGCGCAGCAAGTCCTACGAGAGTCACACTTTGTAACATCTGGTAAAGTCCACGTATACTTGCGACAGCAATCAAATAAGAGTCCTCAACTAATTACAAAACAGGAGCAACAGACGAATAGGTAATGGACAACAAACAAAATCGAGATCGCACAAGTCAGTCCGCATCCAGTTACACAACTCCCTCAATCATCCCTTTGGTAGAAGAGTGACAGCACCCATGGTCCCGCGACAGGGAAGCCGGTCACACTTGCTATCAGCGCGTGTCTCACATCCAGCCCTCCAGATTCTCCCGCGGGCAGCATGATCACTCCGAGTGCTTGCCCAAAGATGCCGACTAGGGCAGCCAGCGCCCCTATGACCAGCCACTCGAAACGCCTGGGGATCTCCATGCGAACTCCGACTATGAATAGCAGGATCCCGCTAACAAGCCCCAAGACCGCGCCACCGGCGGCGCCTGCAGCCCATAACCCCCCGTCGGCGGAACGATACGGCTCATGGCCACTCAGGAAGCCCGCGCCGAAGAACGCGCTGAACATGGACAAAAGGATCCCGATGCCGCATGGGAAGATTGCGCAGAACAGCAGGAAGTATGCGTCGTCTTCATCGGGGAGGCGGATGTATGAAGTGAGGCGCTTCAGTGTGGCCTTCGTCTTCGCGTACATCGTCTTCCCGTCGGTCGACGAGACGACTGGCTGGGGGCGGATGTACGAGGCGATGCGCCTCACTATGCCCTTCGTCCGCGCATTCAGCGTCTCTGCGCCGATCGACGAGGTGACTGGTTCGGGGAGGAGGGGGTCTGTACTGTCACTTGACGAGAAAGACGAGATCGACGAGATCGACCGCTTTCGCGCGAGCGACTGCTTGATGGAAGGCTTGCTGGCGGACTCGTAGGCTTCGATGTCGTCAAGGGACAGTGATACAAGAGTGGCGCCGTCCATGATGTCCGGAGGTGGTATACGAGGTGAGGGTACTTCTAGTTGTGGATGGAGCGGGGAGGATGTCGAGGAGAGACTTATATATGTGTGTCGGCCTGGTGTGAGAACACCGCCACAGGTAGGCCTATGCACGGCCAAAAGACAACAACGGAGAAAGCCCTGCCAATGACACGAATATTTTGCGGTGGCCCGTTATTAGCTTGGTGTGATTATTGTTGGTAGTCACGCTCACCAGAAAATGGTGGCTATTTCAGGTCAGTTCGGGTGTGCAATATGGAAAATCTGGGAGTCAGTCACTAAGTCTAGCTGTGAACTTGAAGGACGTTAGTCACTCCTTCAGTGATCAGTTATTGTCACCTGCCCGTTTTTGTTTGTTTTTGGTGGCGTCTGCTATTGTAGTACGTGCTTTGAGCGCGTACGCAACCTACGCCACTAGGCTTTGGCATGATCGCTTTGACCACACCCACGCGCCACATACGTATGTCGTGTATCAATTGAATCTCACAAACGGAAGCTATTCTCGTTTAGCTTTCCCTGTATAGTATGGCGGTGTCCATACAATCTGCAAGCACCCTCGAACACACAGCATCCATTTCACATTTACTCGACATGCTGCCAGCCTGTGACTATTGACCGGCTTCCTGCGGTAAGTTTGGGATTGCAGGTACGGCATGCTGCCTAGACACGAGGCAAGACGCGGTCATCCTGTGAATCATTGGGGGTGATCACCTCAACGCGGACAATGCATGAGCCTGATGCACGCCAAGCGCAGGTGAGTGCTTCAGCATTGCTGTACGTCGTTTGGTCTGATGGACGTCATAGTTGCATCGTATGCTGTGCGCTGCAGAGAGCCTTAACGGCTGACATGGCCTGTTGTTTCTGAATTCTGTCACGTAGCATAGCTCCTCGGCTTCCTTGACTTCACTCGAGATGACGGTACTCGTGCCAAATCGTGCTCTCTGGATCGCTCACTCGGGAAACAGCTGTGCAGGAAATAATACCGCGCAACAAGCCCTACGGTAGTCGCACTTTTTGACGTCTGGTGAAGTTCATCATGACATACTTGCGACGGAAATTGAATAGGAGTCCTCAACTAATTTTAAGACAGGAGTAACTGACGAATATGTAGTAATGCACAATGAACGGAACGATCGAGATTGCACAAGCCAGTCCGCCCACCACTCGCATCCAGTTACGTAACTCCCTCAATCCCTCCCGTATAACCCTTGGCACCAGACTGATATCATCATAATAGCCGTTCCAGGGAAGCCCCACGCACTTGCTTTTAGCGCGTGTACCACATCCAGCCCTCCAGATTTTCCCGCAGGTAGCATGATCACTCCGAGTGCTTGTCCAAAAACGCCAGCTAGGATAGCCAGCCCAGCAATGGCCAGCCATACGTTACGGTCGCGGGTTTCCGTGCGAAGTCCGACGGTGCCTACCAGGATCCCGCTAACGAGCCCCAAGACCGCGCCACCGGCGGCGCTTGCAGCCCATATCCCTCCGTCGGCGGAATGATACGGCTCATAACCACCCAGGATGATGAAACCGAATAACGCGCTGAAAATGGACAAAAGGATTCCGGCGACGCACGGGATGATCCCGAAGAGCAGCACAATGAATGGGTCGACTACATCGAGGAGCGAGACGGCCATTCCGGGAGAGCGGCGGATGTACGAGGCGAGGCGCTTGAGTATGGACCTCGTTCGCGTGTGTAGCGTCTCTGTGCCGATTGACGAGGCGACTGGCTGAGGGAGGAGGGTGTCTGTACTGTCACTTGACGAGACCGACAAGAGAGACAGCTTTCGCGCAAGCGACGGCTTTACAAAGAGCTTGTTGACGGACTCGTAGGATTCGATATCATCGAGGGACAGTGATACGAGAGTCGCGTCGTCCATGATGTCTGGAAGTGGTATACGAGGTGAGAGCACTTATAGTTGTGGGTGGAGCCAGGAAGTTGTCGATGGGAGTTTTTAAATGTATGTCAGTCTATTGTAAAAGAAAACCGCCACAGGTAGGCCTACGAACGGCCAAAAAACAACTACGGAGACTGCCATGCCAATGGCACGGATATTATCTGTCAAAATACATGACAATAGTCGACACAACACAAGCCCTCGTTCAAGTGATCCATTATTATCTTGGTGTGATTATTGTTAGTAGTCACGCCCGTCAGAGGATAACACAAACCGGTTGGCTATTTCTAAGTTAGTTAGGGTGTGCATATGAAGGAGGAATCTCGGAGTTAGTCGCTAAGTCTCATTGTGAACTTGAAGGATGTTAGCCAATCCTTCGAGGATAAGTTATTGTCACGTGCTTATGTTTGTTAGATCCTCTAACCATCAAAAAGGGCGCTCTATTGTAGGCTGCCTATAGGGGAGACAACATCTCGCTGTCGTTATACCGTGACTTGCAATGCGGTAAGCATGAATCAACTTCATTGCAATAAGTCTGCACAGCTGTGAGTCACTTCTGCCAGCGCGCCACAAGAGATGTAATCGTTCTCTATATTCATGAATGCCTTACTTTTCAAGTTCGCAGCTTTGCATCATATTAGACTCGGATTCGGTGAATGCCGTAACGGGCGCTGCCAGTCTCACGACCAGGAACGTCTTGACACTGCTACCATGACACTATGGCGCCCATCGCTATGCTTCATTGACAGGTAGACACCAATCAATTCAACAACGTGGATGTGTGTGCCCGGTAAGTATCTCCAGCCGGACAATATTCAAATTGCATCATACGGGTAAGCATCATTCGCAAAGCAGTTACGGCTGTGGCAGCATTAACAAGCCCCCAGGCGGCACTATGCTACCAGCAGATAAGTAGTTTGACAGTAGGGATGCTACATATAGCCTAACTTCTCAGACATGTCTAGACAGCGACAATTATCGCTAATACAGTATACTGCTTTTCCCAAAAAATGGCTGACTCCGTGGATATCGGCCACACATAAAATCTATAAGGCGATTGGCATCCCACTGTTGAAAGCCTAGTGTAACTCCTGTCTGCATTACAAAATTGCACTGATATTTCGCATTTGGCTCACAACCCACTCAATCTCAATAGGCCCACGCCGTGAGGTATATATACTTCGTTGTGTCTCGGGGAGAGCCAGATCTTCATCTTGAGCACCTTCACAGATTAAGTCCTGGATTTAGCCTATCGCTATGCGCTTTCTCTTTATCATAACGTCTCTTGTGGTAGTTTCCATGAGTGCTACCGCTGCTGCCTTACCCGTGACAGAGGAGCTCCCGGAAGAATATTCGCCGCCGGTCTGCTCCTCTGAATGCTGTCGCCAACATTGCATTGATTGAATCATCGTGAGTCTTATATTCTCCTCAGCGACTGGCTCTCATATGCCTCGCTAGATGAACGCGATAATAGGCGCGTCGCCTAGCTCAGAATGTTCATGGAGCGCAGCGGAGCTCACATCGGGTTTTTGAATAGGACACAATGGGAAGAGGGGGGGTTGGGGGGTTGAGGGGATTATATGTCACGTACAATGGGGAAAGCCACACCTTGATGTGACACGTTGAACAGGGAACATACACATTGGCAGCAAATCTGAACATTGTACTAAATGAGTTCGCTTTGTTTGAATCAGTCGCACTCGATCCAAACTTGGCAGACCTTCGCGATGCGGTGGCGCACACTGTAGCCTCACTGCCTAAGCTCCGTTGTCAGCGCTGTTTCCCTATTAATTAACTCCTGCAGTAATCACAAGTAGTGATCCGTCCACCTCATGTCGACGGCTACTCACACAAACGCCAACGGCGCGCGCTGCAACAATGAGCAATTCAGACGGAACCCCTGAGGCTAGGGGCTGTTCGGGCCATCCTATCAGGGGCTGTGCGGGCTATTTTACTAAAGGCTGTGCAGGTCATCCTACTCCAAGGAAGAGGGCTCGTAATCCACCGTCAGTACACGCTCTTCGGGTGGGAGGCACAAGCCACATCGCACCGATCTGCCAACCTGTGCCCATGCACCAGAATGTGAGTCGCAAGAGCGGAGCTGGTGTTCGAGCCAAGACCTTTGTACTCCTTCCGTAGATAACTAGAAGGGATTCGGGGAAGCAATAAGGATGAACGATGAACGACTTCGCCTTCATCGGACGCACTGTGTACGTTCTCGAACTAATTATTCTCACCCAATCATCTGACACAATACAAAAAAACGGGTTCGGCAGCCTGCTCCGCCTCGAGCGAGAGGTTGATTGTAATGTCTGGGCAAAGCATGGTGGTCTGGAATGTTGTATGCACGATGTGTATCTATGTACGTCTCGTCCTGCTTGCTTAGCCACAACAGCTTCGATGGACTACGCGATCGTCGCGAGAAGCGGTATTCGGGAAAGCTCTTCATTGCACCAACAGACTACATGACCGCCCCGAAGCCCGATGTAATTGTGCTCACTCAGCTACCAGCCGTGTCTACGATACCTCGCTATTCGCCCTTCGCCAAGAGAGCTGAAGCTCAAGTCTGAACTCACACGGTGCTTCGAGAAAGAGTGGGTCTTGGATGCCGCAAACAAGCAACCAGAGCGCGCACTCGCCATTTTGTACTCGAGCTGGGTTGGCCCTGTTTCCTATCCGAATCGGTACAAGCTGCAGTTACTAGCGAACTCTATGGCCTGTCGGCGTACCTGTGGCGTCTTGACACCTTTGTAGCGTCGTCGCCTACAGTGGACGCGCTGCACGAGGTGCTGGCCGCGAGTTCGAACGCTTCATTTGGCGGTTCCATCTACCTTGATGACGAGGCGGTAGAGCTCCTTGGTGACATGAGAATCCGGGAGAATTATCTGACATGGGACCAGAGATATTCGACAAGGTGTACTGATAATCTTACGGGAGCTTGTACTGCATACATGGGCGGCCACCCGGTGAAAAATATAGGACAAGTATGTTGGACGTGCTGACTCTGGTCAGGCGTGTGAGCATTCAGAGTCTCTTGGTGATATTTACGTCGACATTCATAACAAGCGATGAAAAGAGTATAACGCACCAGTTCTAAAATTGGCTTTTTGTGATTGACAATTGAGTCTTGTCGTCTTGGCGGTCCGGCCATAGACTCATATTCAGGTACGTGCTATGCGTGGGCAGTGTCCGAAAGGTGGGACTCCGAGGCGTTCTTCAAGTTGGATGCCCAATGGATCGCACGCCGACAAAGGTAGGGACCACAGCAATCAAGCATACGATCGTGGCGAGGGCCATATCGGCGACAGTCGTCCACGAGAGAATGGCGGTGGCATGAGCAACGTTCGAAAGTATCTTCCTGAGGGATGACAAGGATGGTCTTTCGTCTGTACTCCGCGGATCATGTGAGCGTGCTACCCAGCTTCATCATTAACGTAGCCTGCATCTCTGGAGATGATTCTGGTCCCATCCGCCTAAGCAATGATCACTTTGAAGTGGCCATATGCCTGTACGCTCTTTGACTTACTTCGATCACAACAGTGATCATGCTGCCCGCATTGACATCTAACCAATGATATCCCTGCCCTAAGCTAATACCAGAGAATGAGCGGCGTGCATGCAGGCCACTGGCAAGGAAGTACGTATGGTGTGTGCTGAGTGCTGACCAGTGCCAGAGAGAGTACATTTGAAATCGATTGCTCGGGGCTTGCCGCGAGCGAGATCTAATCGCTCGCAGTGCGATTGGGAGCAAGTCCAAATATTAATCTTGCTTCCTACTACCTTACTCGACTTTATACTCCGTACCTCCTCGCTGTGCTGCAATGTCCGACTGGGGTACTTTCGTCTCTGACTGTCTGGAAGGACGCTTCTCACGCTTGCATGGAGTCTAGAGGCATCCGAGGATGAATCTCCCGCGCCTGCTCCCTCCGTGCCCGCGGTCAAGAAGCCCGTGAAGAGCAAATGGGAGGGCGAAGATGAAGAGGACAAGGGGCCTGTGGTACGTCTCGCATACACAGCCTTTCGTGAGGGTGCCCTCAGCTGATTAATTGTTGCATTCAACATCCAGAGCGACTGGGAGGCCTCCTCGGACGAAGAGGAAAAACCGAAACCGTCTGCAGCGCCTGTGGCGGCGCCAAAGAAGAAGGGAACGCTGAAGGCGAAGCTTGCAGAGAAGGAAGCTTTGAAGGCAGCGCAAAACGACGACGACAGCGACGACGATGATTATGATGAGGACGCAGTGCTCGATCCCCGAGAGAAGGCACGCCGGGACAAGGAGAGGGAGCTCAACGCGGATCTGAGCAATGCAGCGGATCTACTCGGCGCTGCCGCCCTCGGAGGCAGGTCTCCTCCTCTCTCCCGGGCTCCTCGACGCTGATCCGAAGCGTGTCTAACTAGGCACGTCCTCTTCGGAGCTCGACTCCCTCATCTCCGCGCAACCACGGACGAAAGAGGACTTCGTCGATCTCTCTAACAAGATCATCGAGTACGTGATCAAGCGGCACCAGAGCAAGCCGCTGTATGCGGCGTTCCTCGAACACCACGTGCGCGAGCTCGCGATGCCCTTGCGTGATGTCGAGGTACGCAAGACGGCAAGCGTGCTCACCACGCTTGCGAACGAGAAGCAGAAGGAGCAGCGCGACAAGGCGTCGGGTAAGAAGAAGAACCCAAAGGCGGCGGCGAAGCCTGTTCTTGGCGCGGCAAAGGTCTCGAACAAGTGCGTGATGTTGATGCTGAACCACGCGCGCGATATCTGAGCTGATTGCCCATACTTTGCAGGCTCGATACATCTATATATGACGAGGCGCTCGACGACTTCGGCTCGAATCCTGATGACTTTATGTAGATGTAAATTGGAGCTGTATTCCATATTGCGCTGATTGCTTTGTATCACACGATGTAGTATGGCAGCGTGGACAGATAAAAACAAATACAGAGGAACGTAAAGACATGACATCCACTGCCCTAAGAGGCATATCTTACTCTTCTCCTTCATCCTCATCTCCACTACTGTCCTCGTTGTCGCTGGAGACACCGACGACACCGCCACCAGTTTTTTCCTTCAACTCCCTGCCTGCCTGTGCAAGCTTGGGGCCGAGGGCTTTTCGCGCTCCAGCATTCGCGCCGACGTCCCATATTTGCATCTTCGCTGCAGAACCCGCCGCAGCCAGAGTGAGCGGGTCGTCGGGCGACCACGCAGTTGAAAACACCTTGCCCTGGATAATAGTCCATCAACTCGGGCTTATGGAACGCAGCAACCGAACTACACTTACAACGCCGAGATCCCGTGAGATGACCAGGCTGACTTGGCGTTTCTCCAAATCGGAATCCTCGACCACGTTCCATACCTTCACGATCTTGTCTGTGCCGCCTGTGGCTAGGCAGCCACGTATATGTGGATTGACGTCCAACGCAGAAGCAGCACCATCGTGAGCGGCAAGTGTGAAGCGGGCGGGGGACGGCGAATTCATGTTAGAAGGCAGTGTTCTTGCATCGAAGTTGAGCACAAGACCGTTTTCGAGGGATACCTGCAAGCATTACCCATCATCAATTGTGATCCGCGCGGGCTCTCGACAAGGTAGCACTTACGTAGAAACCGTGGGCTTCCCATGGATCCCATCGTATTGCTTCTACATCAGCACCGACCATAGCGACCACCCCGGCGTCTGGTGCTCTCGAGTCAAACGTCCGTACTGTCCGATCATAGCTTCCAGTCAGGAGCACTGTCGGCTCTTTTGAATTCCACTGTACTGCCTGCACTTTGTCCTTGTGGACGTCGAAGCTGCGCAGCGCACCCTGGCCCTCCTCACCCACCCCACTGATCGTCGGGTCGCGGTTGAGGTCCCACAACTTCACTGTGCGATCTGCTGACGCGGATGCGAGCAGATTGCGGTGCGTGCGATTCCACGAAAGCGAAAGCACTGCATCGACGTGATGCGCGGCAGACGCTGCGCGGTGCTTCGTCTTTTTGCGTTTCTTCTTGCCCGTGCCGAGCGGCGTCGGAACGTGTGCCGCAGTCTTGTCCGGGCGACCGAGGACCATGTCTGGATACATCGCCTCGACGACGTCAAGGGACCAGATCTCGATCTCGGGCTCGAGCGTACCGACCGCGATGTAGTTCCCGAACTGCTTCGCGGGCGAGCCGGCAGACCCCTGTGCAGAGGGCGAGGTGACGGGTGGGAAGTCGAGCCACTCAAGGCAAAGAGGAAAGGAGGGAAGCATCAGGTCGTGGTGCGCGTATAGGTTTTCTTGGGACTCGTCGTAGACATAGATCTCGAGTTGAGAAATGTCGTCTTCAGTTTTGGCGGTTACGAGGAGATTGTCGGTGGGGAGGACCTCGAGCTCTTCCCGCTCGACTTCATCATCCTGGAGGGATGTAAGCTTGCATTGGCGGATACAACATCTACACTCACATCTTCTTTCAGTGTAATATAAGGATCCTCGTCGTTGTTCCGATAATATGTGAGACCCTTGATGTTACTGAACGGCCCCGTCGCTGAATCAAATGTCAATGATAGAAAACCAATATCATTGAAGGTGAAACAGACCTGGCAAAACGTCGTTATCGTCGTCGTCATAGTCGTCGAGATTGTATTCGGCGAGATCATCGTCGTCCTTGCTGCCCTTAGCCGGTTTTGATACGGGGCCGTCTACATCCATCGGTGTGTCCTCGTCGATGACATCTTTCTCGGCATCATCATCTTCACTTCAAACTTGTTCACTTGGGACCTCGCCAGGGTGATAGATACGAGACCGACTCACTCGACCCATGCGCTCTCGTCCTCGTCTGCATCGTCCGCTTCCTCTCCCTCGGCGCCCACGCCCATCAGGCCTGCTGCCTTGTGCGCCGCCTCAAGTTCTTTCCGGGCATCTTCAAGCTCAATCCGCGCCAGAGCACTGACACGCTGCAGCTCTTGATCATCGAGTACATATTTTTCCGGGTGCTGAACAGCTACGCCTCGTTTCACCCTGCGCATGATAATCAATCATTCTGCTCATTGTACTGATAGAATGCATGATCGTTGCGTACCACGACACGCAAGAGATGAGGCTACTCATCCTGGCTGCGCAACCTCGGGATGGAAGAGAATGCACAACCTTGAAATATTGTTTCGCCTATTTCGCGATCGAGTGAGATCGAGCGCGGCGGGCACGTGCCTGATGGGATCTGGTCGCGGGCACGTGATGGACGCGACAGGGCTTTATGACCCCGGCCACGCGCCTTAAGTTCAACTTCAGCCACCGCTATAAAGCAACGCTCAGCCCCTTCCACCCCTTTCCTCTGCCCTCACCCCACTCCTTCGTTTGAACGTGTATCTGTCACTATGAATTTGAAAAGTCTTCTGCCTTCTCGGCGGGTGCCTTCGGCAACCTTTCAGATGGTTACGGGTCCCGACGAGTCTGTTCCGAATGGCAAAGAGAATCAGCCTTCGCCCGCAGGGGATGCAAATACCAAGCCTTCGCGCATTGACAAGGGCAAGAAACGTAAGGGAAAAGAGCAGCCTACGGACGAGTACCCTACCGGGCAAGATTTCGAGGCGCTGCTGGTATGTTCGAAGTGTATTTATATGAGATCTTCGTTGTGGCGTCCTCCATACCTTGCCATCACGGATGACAGCTGTCCTGATGCGGCAAGGATACTAGACCTACCCCTGTCTCGTTGCCAGGCACTCTGCGGAGACGGTGCTTGGTGACAACGCATGTGTTCACTTGCATCGTCATCGACCCTAGAGGAATCGCCACAACGCTTATGGTCACGTCGATTGTATGCTAAGCTTACAAACTTCTGCGACAGAATGAGCTCCAAATTCCCGGTAATATGCGCGACAGATTAGCTACTATGGATCCGACAGTCAAGGCAGCCTTCATCAAGTCTGCAAAAGAAAAGCAAAACGTCTCCAAGCCTAGTGTGGGTCCTCTTACGCTACGGGGCCTTCGTAGGGCCCGCAGTATCGACTCCATCGAGATGCCTCGGGAGTCCGAGGGGTATGCTCTGCAGGGTACCAACAATTCGAATGACTCCTACGGACCCCCACATGCGCTTACTCATGATCGTGGCGTCTCTGTCGATGCTGCCCGACGTCCAGCTGTTCCTGCAATGGAAACGAAAGCCGTGAAGAAGCTGCCAAAGGACAAGCGTGGAAAAATTACCGCGAACACGCCAGAAGAGTGGTGCACTCTGCTGGTTAATGTATCGACAGTCACTCTTGAAGTTGAAGCCATAAAGAAGTTACTGATCCTTCTGCGGAATGAGCCTACTAGGTACGTCGTTACTCTTAGCAAGAGATTCAGTGTATCGTCTAACCAATCCAAAGCTGGACACAGACGTTCCTTCAAAACGGTGGTTACGCTGCACTGCTCTCTAGGCTGCAAGAGATATTGAACGTTGAGTGGCGGTCAGTAGCGTTCTCGTGGCCGCCTGTGGTCTAAAACTAACCCACCTCTAGAGAGGAACAGCACGACGACCAGATGCTTCACGAACTTCTGCGTTGTTTCAAGGCGCTCTCGACGTCTGAAGTTGGCTGTACTGCACTCCGCAGCTATTGTCCTACCCCGTACGCGCAATTGGTTACATTGCTGTACTCAGACAAGCGACCGGGCGATGTGGCATCCCGCCATCTGATTCTTGAATTGCTCCTTGTGCTTTTCGAACTGTACCCACCGTCAGCGCTGCCATTCGTAGGCGGCGGCGCGTCTCAGGCTATCTCCTACGGGCATGCACGAACCCTGTCCGCGCCTTGGGAGGCCAGTACCAGCATGGCAGTGACGAGCAACCTCATCAGACTTCCGGCGCCGCACATGTCGCTCTTCTCCTTCATCAAGTCGCTGCTGCTTACACCTGCCCCCCCTCCTGCTGAGCAGACCAGCCCTACAATCGAGCCGCACGAGTTCATCGAGAACCTCCATCTTCCCAGAATTTACAAGGCTTACCTTGAGGAGCTCAGCAACGTATGCCGGGACTATTTCTGGGTGTTCTGCCACGGGAAGAACACGATCTGGGCTCTTGACCAGGTTGATGAGGGGATGGTTCAGCAGCCTCGGGCACCGGGCGGCATGACCGGAGGTGTAGAGTTTGAGGCTATGACGTACATGGTCTGTCTTTTGCTAAGACACCTCATTAGGAGCGTGGGAACATTGACAATGTCTTTTTGCAGACGTCGCACTTCAAGTTCCTGAATGCCCTTGCTGAGGCAGCTGAGAGTCAGCGACTACCACCTAATGACAGTCACTCGGCAGTACGATTCCACACGGACATGTTCCTGTCGGGTATTGAGCGTATCATCGTGGTGAGTCCATAAAACGTCACCTCGACAACGTATTCTCAGCCTGTTGTGTGGTCTCAGATGGCTCGGAAGGCTTCTACTGCATACTATCCCACGCTACACCTTGAACTCGCGCGATACGTTGCTGCTGCGAGCCGCTCAGGCTTCGAACTCCCTTGGGCTACATCTCGGCTCATTGGCGCACCACCACCGAACATGTGTAAGCAGATACCGACACTAGTGGGAAGGCCCTCGCGACCACAGACCCCAAGCAACGTCCGTAGTGGGTCCGCCTCGGTGCCGAGTTCACCAACTAAAAGGAGCACAACTCCTGCTGCGCACCCCGTGCCAGGTGCGCGCAAGGTGACGCCGATGTTCGGTTAAACTTCAGCTTCATGCACAATAACGACGAAACGACGCCTCGGGGATGACTCGGGTATAGATAGACGAAGGCCGTCGAGAGGTTCGACGCGCTATCTATGAGTTATGGAATTACGAAACGGTTCTATATTGTGATATGTATCTTCTGCTGTCTACTAGCTTGTGTACTGCTGATTTTGCAGGCTGCTGTCTTTTTACCTTGACTCGCGGTCGGCTATGCATAGCTATTATCGTCTAAGCGTTCTCGTGTACTTGTACTAATTGTTGGGAATGTAATCGCATGCTGATTGCGAATGTGGGCTATGTTTAGTCCGAACACATTAAAGTTTTAAGATAGGCTCTTCAAGAGGAATACTCCGGGATGCCCGGGGTGCCTTGGAGGTAACTGCTCGTAACTGCACTAAGGCGGTCACTCGGGCTGACACTTTGACACCGATCCGCTCATTTAGACAAGTCCATATGGGAAGGGTATCACTCGACAGCCCACGCGATGCACCCTCCGCAAGGCAGAGGGACATGTAATCTGACGGAGTTCTTCCGCACCATCCAGGGAACTCGGTGGCGTCGCCGAATTATATTACATGAGAACACAGCGGAGCACGACATATAAAAGGTATGAGCTACAAGGGCTGTTCATTGTTCCCATCATGCCTTCTTCCACTGACAAGAAACTCATCCTTGTTATCGGCGCCACCGGGGCACAGGGCCTCGCGGTCGTCGACAAATTGCTCGCGCCTCAGGAAGATGGCTCGCCGTCTCCGTACGCCATTCGAGCACTTACTCGTGACCCCGAGAGTCGTCGGGCCAAGGAGCTCATCACCAAGGGCGTCGAGTGTGTAAAAGGCAGGTCGCTCGTCGCGCAGTCCCGTGGCAGCATTCCTGACGATATGTGCCTCAGGCCGTTTCGACCATTTTGGAAGTGTGGCGGCCGCGCTCGAAGGCGTGTACGGCGCGTGGGTCAACACGGATGGGTTCACCATCGGAGAGCCGTGGGAGATATACATCGGAATGAGGATATTCGAGCTGGCGAAGCAAGCCGGAGTGAGGCATTACGTTTGGAGCAATCTCGACTACGCATTCAAGGTATGATGGTTTCTGAAATCTGTCATAACTAGTTGAGTGGCTGACATATTCGCTAGTTGGGCAACTACAATGAGACGTACAGGTGCCAACACTACGATGCCAAGGGCCGTGTCGCCGAATGGATGCAGGCTCAACCATCCGCCGTGAGTGGGACCGACATGACGTGGTCTATTGTGACTTCTGGACCGTATATGGATATGCTCCACAACGTGTGTTTCGTCCATTGTAATTCTGACGGGTCCTTTACTGATAACCCGCCCAGATGATGTTCGGCCCTTTGAAGAAACGCGAGAACGGTACGATTGTCTTCGCGACGCCGGTTGGCAACGGACACGTCCCCATGATAGCGCTCTCCGATCTGGGTTTCTTCGCGCGTTACACTTTTGACAACCGCGCTACGACCTCCGGAAAGGACCTGCCGATCGCAACGGAGATGGTCGACTGGGAGTATCTGAAGACGACGTTCGAAAGGGTAACCGGTCAGAAAGTAGAAATTGTCTACCAGACGATCGACGACTGGATGGAGAACATGGACAATGCCGACCAACCAGTCGCGCACGAGGGCACGGTAGGGTTGGACACGACCACATGGAGGCTGAACTTCCGTGGCTGGTGGGCGCTCTGGCGAGATGATATAGTGAAGAGGGATATGGAGTGGATCAGGAAGGTCAACCCCAAGGGGCATACACTCGAGAGCTGGATGAAGGAGCAGAATTATGGCAACTACCTGTGGCAAAAGGCAGGCATCTTGAAGGGCACTGAAGACGGCCACAGGAGTACTGCACCGGGCAAGAGGCGCTTACAGAAGCTCTGATAGAGGCTTGACACTTAGCCTTTCGCTGCGTACCACGTAACTCGTAGTAATGCACTCACGCAATGACAGTTGTCCAATGTGATACGATTTCGTGGAGGCAACGCTCAACACATACTCACGGGCGTCAGGGGTAATCTCAGATCCTTCGACGACCAATTGTGTGGACCGACTTGACCGCGATTTCTGTTCTCCGTAACAGAGATACTGTAACAGCAAGCGCTAACAAGTTTGGATTGTGACGTCCACGAGGTTTTGCGTACAGTCAGCCAGATGATGACTTCCAAACGCATCGTTGCTGAAATGGACTACAAAGGTATCACTTGTCGATACGCGTGATGAGTCATCGAGGTACGACTGCAAGTTCTGCAACTCAGCATAAGCTCAACGCACTAACTCGGGGAATTGTACTTACAAGGTCATGTATGACATTATGACATCAACACGCTATGGGCGTTCATCGGTCTAATTTACACAACGCCGATAGCATCAGTCACCATGCAGCCGGCAAGGAACGCGAAACTTGCGTTGACTAAGCCAGCAAGGGCCGGCAGGAGGATCACAAGTTCGCTTGGGCCTCGAGCAGCATTCAGTAAAGCACCTTGGAAATTAGAAATGGTCCTCAGATAGGACTCACTTATTCTAGATTCTTGCTTATATTTCAGGCATACCGTCTCATTTTATGAGAACATTCAAGCGGGCAGAGCAGACTGGCATCCTCCACTACGTACGACGCAACCTGCAATACACGCTCAAGGTTCGTCGGTTAATTGACTCGTCAAGGAGACATGACCGCACTCACATGCTTCGATAGCTCGGAAGCTGCAATCAGGCATGAAATGCACGACTATGACGCAGGGGGGCGTGTTAGAGCGTGGATGTACATAGAGTCCCCCGCTGTCAGCAACACCAACTTGTCTTGTCCGTACGTGCACATGCTAACCCAAGTCAATTCTCTTACCACACGTTTCGCCGCCGCATGCTTAACACTCCATAGATAACTTTCGGGCCCGAAGCATAAGGACGGCTACTTCGCCTAGCACACTTTAGATAACCGTGCAACGACCTCTGGTAAGGATCTGCAGATCGTGAGCGACATGGTCGCGCAGGATTATATCCGGATAACGTCCGAGTGGACCACGAGCAAGAAAGCGGAGGCTCTCTAGCTGGGCATTGACGAGTGAAGCGACAACCTGGAGAACATCGGCCAGCGAAGCCGGTGTGGACATGGAAAGATAGCGTGCGTAGTTCCTCGTCGCTGTACTACGTTGGCAATGGGCTGGGTTCGAAACGTGAACCCGAAGGACCCCACGCTGGACAGTTGATGAGAGCGCGTAAACGCGGAGAGCGCCTGTGGGAGAGGCTTGCTCCAAAAATTCGAGGGCGGGTCTGCGCGAATCCGGGCGAATGGCGCACCAGTCACCAATGTTCCTATGCACGTCGCCATATTTTGTCAGTCTGCATCTGCTGCCTTGTAACAAAGCCAATCAATTACTCTGTCGATGCCGATCCTGGAAAACGTGTTCGGTGAACATAATCCTGTCAGTATGGGAAAGGCAATTGTTGGGCTTACCCCACAAAAGCCCATGTTCGACGCTCGGGCTTGAGAAACCAATCTAGCGACGGAAGACAAGTCTCGGAGTCGTAAATGATTCCTATTAGCGGCAGAACCCTGCGACCATGCTTGAGCGAGCTCGATCATTTTGATACACTGATGCGCGAAGACCCTAGCACGGCGCAATCTTGAGGATTACTCCGAAGGGACGGAACGCATCACCAGCGAAGAAAATAATCGGCAAACTGGCGCAGGCAAAGCAATACTTCCGCCCACGACGGAATATAACCTCGGAATTCTATAGATATGAGGGATGGATGCTATGTAACGCAAGACATTAAAGTTCGTACGGACACACGAAACAGCACACGATTGTCTATGCAAAATATGCGGGCCAAAAGCCAATGTCCGAGTCTTCCTGGATCAAGGATGCGGGGATGTGAGCAGGTATATCGATGCAAGCCGGAATGAGCACAGCGGGTAACACGTAAGGGGAGAGCGAGCGGTTGCGGGACTGGCGAGTGACAACAGTGTTAGAGGAGCGAGTATGATATTTAGGTAACGAGCGACTGGAAACGAACGAGAAGATGGCCAAGGAGCCAAGGCGATCGACAAAGAATCCAGGTGCACGGTTAGCGGTGGAAGAAGTGAACAGGAGACGAGGCGGCGATGGCGCGCGCAACAATCAAGACTGGAGTAGCCTATATGAGCGATACATTATGTGAACGACGACAGAGAACGGACGGACGGACTGAGGCACACAGCCATGTAGCAGGGCCCGGGACGCGACGCTCTCGGGTATCAGTATCGATGTTCCTCTTGGCCCTCCTGCCGCCTTCCGACGCGCACTCCTCCTGTATCCCTTCAATCATCCACAGCTCCTCCGCGACCGCGATCCGAGTGCCCTCGCGCATGCCGCCAGACCTACAATTATCCTTCCTACACGCATGGACCAGCCATCGACCGTGCTGCCTGCTACGGAGATCATACACCATAACCACCCGGACCATACGCGCCCCCTGGGCCAGGACTGACGGAACGTTGCATGTTCATTGGCGGAGCAAGCCCTGGAGCAGGAGACGCTCTTCCGCCCATGCCCATTGGCGGGGCAAACCCTGGAGCGGGAGATGCTCTTCCACCCATGCCCATGCCGGGGCCGCCAGGCATCGGACTCCGTGCTCGGCCCCCGATCTGTGTCATCGGAATTGCCTCGCCTTCCAGTGTATGCGGCACCGGCCCGCTGTATGGGTCATAGTATCCCGCTGAAGGATCATCACGGTACGGTTGTACGCCAACAATATTGGGATTGAGGTGGGGTAACGGTGGCACTGCGTATGGATCATGCTGCGCCGGATAGAGATCAACTGCGGATGCCGCAGCGGAGGGAGCAATGCTGCCCGCGCGGGAGTCGGGCCGTGTGAGGTTCACTTCGGATGATGTCTCGAAGCCTGCACCACCAGTACGGTTGGTTGGGAGGGCATGAGGGTTATCTCCGTGCGTGTTTAGCTCTGGCCACTTGATCCCATCGCCTGTAAACGTTGGTCAAAATCACAGTCAACGGAGCATATGTGCGAAGAAAACGAAACACCGCCATAGATGTAGGCCAACTATCCCGACAAACTATCGGAGTGTGTACGCGGTCCAATGATCCGCCACAATGTGACGGTGAGACGACCATCATTGGTGCAATGGACTTGCACCGGTGATAGACATACAATCGCCATTTACCAGCGTGGCGCGTGGACACCGTGTGGGCGGACTGACTGAGAATGTCCGTGGCATTCTGGAGGATCGTTTGAATTGAGGAAATTTAAATACACACCATCGTCATATTCGTCCAAGTAGCGCTTGCGGCTGAACTTGAACACCGCGAACGCAATCACACTCAGCAGCAGGACACCACCTGCGACAGACAGACCAATTATGCCACCAGTGCTGATACCAGATGACGAGCTGTTCGAGTTGTTGGCCTGACCAGCGGATGACTGCGACGATTGCGGGGCTGACGCCGAAACTGTTTCAATGACTGTCACCGCCACACCCTGCGAATTAGTCGAAACTGAAGTGGACAGAACGGAAGATTCGGCTCTCGTGGAGCTTGGCGGAGGAGTTGGCGAGGGCTGGCTGCTGGTGGTAGACGTGCTGGTGGACGACCCTGTGCTCTGAGAGGAGGGAGGCGGAGTGGATGATGCTGTTGATGACGTAGTAGATGTACCGGACGACGTAGTGGCTGTGTTGCTCGATTTGCTCGTGTCTGCGCCGGCAGTCGAAGAATGAGTGCTTTGCGACGACGCACTATTAGATGAGCTGGACTGTGTGGACTGTGAGGTATCAGTATTCGTATTGGCAGGCGTAGACGTGTCAGGTGGCGGCGGAAATAGGGTGATGCCGTCGCGGCGAGCTACCGAGCGTGCATGATGAGGTCTTGAGTCGTGCGCCGCGGCGAGAGGAACGAGCGCGGAGACGAGCGCGAGAAGAAGAAGGTAGCGACCGAGGGCGCTCGACCTCAGCATTGAGCCTGTAAGAGAGGTGAGGAAGGTGAGTGGCCTGCAGATGGCGCGGCGCAGGCTGAGCAGACTTCGTGAGGTCGTGAGTGAAGGGATACACGGGGATTGTCTGCAGGCAAACTGGGCGCCATGGAGGGGCGGGAATTTGCCCAGCCACCGCCCAGCATCACGTGGCAACCCTTGCCACGGCGACGCGCCCATCTTTCCTCCGAATCCCACCCGAAACAGGCAGCTTTTCGGCCCCAAAGTTCGTTATTACGGGTGGTAATGAAGGATGCGTCGGTTCCTCACTAACATTGACATAGAACGCCTATAGAAACCTCCTGTTGAGGTCGTTGTTTTCTCATTCCAGAATGCGGCAGTTACAAATTAGGGCAGCACTCTAGGAATGCGGTCAACCATTATTCGCAAGCCGACCTTCCCGTGTTTCGTGCTCGGTTCTCTCACTCGGCCTGAGGTTATTGTCGGAACACCGGCGGTTAGCTCTACAAAATGATGCATCGTAACTGCTTCGGCATGATACGATTAACTGCCAGACGTCTGCCCTTTAATCGATAGGCAGCTGCATTGCATCCTCATCATGCGATGCGTTGGGTACTCAGCAGTAGGAGGCACAGTTATACAGCATCTAACAAGTGTAACAGCTCGCGACCAAATCCACGTCGGCTTCTTGAAGGACGAATGCTTCCATCGACGCCGGCAAGCATCACCTCCGAGGTATGCACAAATCGCTTGTCTGCACAGTCAAGACTGTATTTTCTTGCAGCGCGCAGCTTTGGCGGAACATACGTGTACTCTAACGGCATCTGTCTGTCCGTGATGCTGCCGCCGGAACGCATGCGGGTTCTGATTCAAACGACCTCTGCCTTGTCGTATCGTATTTCGTGAAGGAACCCCCTCGCTCTCTTGATGTCTCGGATGTGTTCCACATACTATGCAACCGATCAGTGTCGAGCTCGACCACCACAGACACGAAATGATGCACTCTGGATTACGCCTCTTATCGAGCAGCCTTGTACACGCTCATGGTCCGGCACGCATGCGACCTATGTGAGCGTGGTACACCTCATAAACCACAAAGTCATGTCGGCTTACGATATTTCATTCGACGGCGCATCTGCATAGTTTTCAAAGCTCTCCACCCCCATCGGAGTCGGGCATCTTCGGGCACGGGCACGGCGCAAAACCTCGCAAAGTGCCGACACGGGCACCGAAGCCGCAGCGGTGCCGCAGGACACACCTCACGACCCCATTATAGTCCGGCGCAGCGAGTGCCGCTATCTCCGCCTGAGGATGTCCAACACGTAGTCGATGAATCGATGATAACGGGCGCAAGATGCTTATTGCATGCTTACGATCGCAACTGCCACTTCCCCGCGAAACTTCTCCGCTTCGCATCATGCCCCAGCGGTGACAGTCAGGCAAGCCGGAAACTGGAAGCAATGAGTGACAGGGACGGCAGTCATTGAAGGAGACGTGCGTCCGTATTGTTTGGACTTCTCGAATAGCTCGTTCCGAGGCAAGTTTTGACGCCGTTTCTGTAGGGTCGAAACGTACTTTTACGCAATGAACCCAGAGCAGTGCTGGCCGAACAAAATGCAGTTTGCAAGCGCTGCCCACAGTATTCAGCCGTCCGTTAGATGTGGTTGTGCTTCCAGTCATGGTCTTCTGTAAGCAACCCATAAAGTATGACCTTCTCGATTAGAAGGAGCGTGGCCATTATGTGCCTCAGGGTGTCGAGGTTGAAGAGGTGGTGATTTTCAGAGAGCGGCGGTGCACCGTGTTACAGCACCCCACGAACGACAGACCTTCTTGGGGATGTGGGACAGAAGCAGAGTGCTGTACTTCGTCGCTCCAGTACCTAGACCCTCGTCTCGCGACCCGTCAACCTTCCTCATGGGCTCGCAGTGCCTGGCGACATTGTGTGAAGAGATTACTGTTGTGTGTAAGCACCTGCTGGGAGATCTGGCGTTATTTAAAATGCTGTAAAGTATGGCAGTTGTGATAGCCCCATTAGTAGCTAGCTGCATAGCTCGAACCAGGTGATGTGGCCAGAGACACCAACAGACACTAACCCTAGACGGAGGACATGTGTGTTGACACCATCAATACGCCGGTGAGCGACTCGGAGCTAGCGCTAAATGTCATGTCTCAGATGTCACGTACGTATCTGGACAACAGTATGAGGTGAGCACCTGAATACTTGCAAATAATAGTGAAGATATATTCAACTTACTGGCAGGACGATTGAGGTACTCTATAAGTACTGTATTTCCGGGATTACCACGCCGAACGCTAATCACGCCACAGATCGACACGACTCGGCTGCCACATCCCAGTACATTCCTTCTAAAAGTTCCCTCAAATATATACTTCATTGTTGCAGCGCATCTCGTGCCCGGATAATCTCCGGGCTCCGCACTGACAATAGCCTCCTTGGAAACAAACCCTATTCGAGGTGTGCTAAAACAAGGCTCATGCTTCATCGCATGAGGTCATTGCATATCTCATTCCAGTCATCTCAGTGTATCATCAAGTGCACAGCATACAGCGCTACGTCTGTGCGCAGTTGACAGATCCCTTGATTCTACATCAAAGACGAATGACTCGGAGCTTCAAGTCGCACCTGTCACCGACTCTGGCCCGCATTGTTACGATTTGATGGATACGTCCATGTCGTTGAAGCGGAAGCCTCTTCCTTTCGACTTATTTTGTTCAATCAACAGTATTTGTGTGCTGTGTTAAATATGTGGTGGTTGCAGACCTTGTGCCCATATTATTCAGCATGCGGATGATTGAATGGAGAAGTGTTTTCGTCGTGCTGTGCTTATGTGTCTGACATGGCAGAAGTGCCATCATTCTTAGTACTGCGATGTCAGTCAACTGTTCCCACAGATGTCAGTACATTTCGCATCAGGGCCGAGGTTCACTGCGATCGTCAAGGCAAAGTCTATAAAATACCCGTAGTAGGTCGTCGAAACTTCAGCTCCCCCTTCGACAGACTCGAGCCCACAGAAGTCGGTACTGGTTGGTGAGTATAGACCAATGTACTTTATTTTGCGCCACCACTGACGGTGTGTACACTAGCCTGACTCCTGTTTCATTCTTTACGCATTTCTTGCCAAGTATCCGTTCACGACTTACGACATATCCTTTCTTTCAACCTACATCACGATGCGCTTCTTCGCCGTGCTCGCACTCGCAGCTTCCGCAGCCATCATACCGGCTATGTCCTTGCCGTTGAGGTAAGCTGCCCGTCAAGGTGTAATAAACCTGATTGACAAGAATCAATCAGTCATATCTATGAGCGTGAGGTCAACGACCTCTTTGCTCGAGACCCTTTCGATATTGAGTACGCAGAATGCGTCTCCAGCTGAACTTTGGCTCATATGTGTGATATACATAGGGCTCGCAACACTGGTCTTGCTGGTCTCATTTCCAAGTCAGTATCATTCCAGTTACCAGTGTTTTTGACGCGGTCTGGCATGATTTCGAATGTGGACCTAGTGCTCATGAGAACAACAACAACAGGAACCGGAGAGACCTCGATGACGAGCTCCAGGCGCGCGGCTGGTTTTCAATTATCAAGGACGGTGCTGAGCTAGCCCACGGCGCCTACGAGTGAGGACCATCATCTTTGGCGTTTCTTCCTTACCTGAGCTGCTCTGCGCGTAGGCACCACGAGGACAAGAAGAAGAAAAAGAGCCGCCGGGAACTCGAGGATCTCTATGAGCGGGAATTGCTGGCTCGTGAGCTGTCTGACCTAGAGTACGGACCACCTTCGTTTGTCACGACCACAGACTGCTAACAGACTGCTTGATGTAGGGCCCGTGGCTGGTTCTCTGTCATCAAGGGTGGCGCAGAGCTCGCGGACGGGGCCCTCGAGTAAGCTTATCATTTCTCTATGTACGAGTGCACACAGTTAAACACTATATTCGTCATAGCCACCACAAGGATAAGAAAAAGAATAAGAAGCAACGTCGTGAGCTCATCGCCGAAGAGCTTCTTGCGCGGGCTTACCAGTTTCCGGAATTACACATCGGGTGAGTATTATCGCTCTATACTTTGGCCCGCTTCTGACACCTATGGGTTGCTTAGCCTTCCCGTTGACTACGGTTGCAGTGGATTGCATGTGATCTGGTCAGCACCTACTCTGTGTTCTTCGTGTTTAGCAGCTCATCATGATACCCATGTAGCGGGTGAACGGTGTGAATCCGACGAGAGGTTCTTTGACTGACGGTGTAGATTGAGGTGGGATGTAGTTAGCTTCGTACCAAAAGCCATGTTTGGTTGTAACGGATGTGAGATGCTATGAATCGTGGGGAGCTCAAGATTATGAGTGATGTAGTACGGCGTGCACGACAAGTATTGAACGCGAGGTCTTTGTTGAAGATGGCCTAGAACCTATCTTCGGTCTTGGACGCAGAGATCCGACAACCACAGGGAGTCGAATGGGTGAGATATGCAACGGTTACACAGCAGCTTACATTACCTAGAACATGAGACAATGCAAGTCACATAAATTGCTACCCTCAAACAACATAGAAGCTCTCTAGAATCAAATCTGCTGCCTTCTCAGCTACGGCAATCGCCGGGGATACCTTGCGTATCAGCGAGCATTAACGACTTGTCCGCTTGTCATTGATGGTGGAAGACATACCGTGTGGCCTGAAGTGATCGTCGGAAATATAGACGCGTCCACAACCCTCAGCCCATTCACGCCGTGAACGCACAAAAACGGGTCTACCACACCCCCCTGCTCGCGCGGCAGCATGCGCGCGGTGCTCGTTGGGTGATACAGCGTCTCTACACGATCCCTGATTAGCTCGGCAATTTCGTCGTCGGACATCTTATCCAGAGAGTGATTGAGCAGCGGTTCGTCATCGCCCGCGGGGTCGACGACAGATGCCAAGGGCTCAGTGTGCACGATACGCGAGAGCAGGCGAGCTGCGCGGACGAGCACGGAGATATCCTGCTGCGTGGAAAGGTATCTGCGGAAACTCGTAAGATTGTGCTACAGACGTGCGTTCACGATGGTACCTACTCGGGGTCGATGATGGGTGGGTCGATTGGACTGCTTGACTGCAGACGGACTGTCCCGACGCTCGTCGGTCTATGACGGGGTCAGCATTCACTTCACGGAGCTCAGCTAAATTATCCGCAAACCTCAACAGAACGGTATGCAATCCGAAGTAATGTCCCGAGGGCAGGTGATGATCTCCGTGCTCGATGTACGACAGCGGCGAAAAGAAAATCTCGATATCAGGTGCACCGGGACCGGACGTGGTGTCCTCGGCGAGCGGGCCTTCAGAAAACAGCTTCGGGTCAGATGATCGCACGAACGCTGCCGCCTCCGCAATCTAGACAGGCGCTGCAATCGTTATGTCTGAGCCATGCACTGCGCGCGGGTACTCACATTCGACGACAATATTCCTTTCCCCGTAAGTTGGTACTGCAGCAATAAAGCAACCATCCGCAGAACATTCTTCACACTGGGATGGTGATGAGGGTTATCCGACGGTAGGCGCGACTGCCGAATTCGACTTCTGTCCATGAAGTGGTAGTCAATTACGGGATGATCCATGAGGTGGGACCCAACGCCAGGGAGATCGGCCACAACGGGGATGTTGTGCTCTGCAAGGTGCTCGACTGGGCCAACGCCAGAGAGCATGAGAATCTAGTGCAGAGTCAGGAGCAGAACCAAGGCAGCCTGTTTTCTAAGGACATACTTGAGGTGTATGGATCGCGCCCGCTCTAACTTAACATCAGCCCGCCAAATCGTATAGCGCACACTATAAAACTCACGATACGATGACTTCCTTACGCGCTGCGACCTCAAATACCTCACCCTGTAGGTTCACATACCGCACCCCAACAGCCTTGGGAAGCTTCTCCTCGCCTTTCTGCACGTACTCGAAGAGTATGCGCGTGACAGTTGCTCGAGTCGCTACCGTCAAATTTGCTCTTGCGAGCACCTCGGGCGTCAAGTACGATGACTCTGTTGTCACGCGACGTCCTCTGGAGTCAATGAATGTCACTGAAGAGCAGGGTCGGATTTCGTCGTTGCATGCCATCAGAGCTGAAGACACTCACTGGCCTAGGATACGAGGCCAGCGTGAGTCATAGCTAATGAACATCGAATTTACAATTTACCTTGCTTGAGCCAAGCGTTCCCTTGGGTGTGTTAAAATCTGGGTTACGTGTAACACCAGCATTGTCGCATGCATCGAGGAATTTCCTGGTCAGGGGAGAAGTGTTGCCAAAGTGGCCGACTGTCACGTACAAGCGTGAGCCAAACACACCATTGAAGCTTATCATAATTCACCTTGAACGGGACCAGCAGATCCTCTGAGGGACACGTCGACATGGGGATACTCCCTGCTTGGATGAAATCTTTCGAACTTGAGAAAATACCTATGCACGCGATGAATATATCATCGTGCAGTTCAGACGAAGGCTGCGGTACCTATTGAATTGCTCATACGACCACCCCTCTGCGCCTTCCTGCCCCCCTTGAAGTCTCGCCCATTCATCGTAATCTGACGGTGCACCGTGGTGGAAGCTGCACGACCCTGAGATACAGAGCGCATAGGGATGGCTATAGGACGCACATCATCGCGTTCACCGAAGAGCCTACACATATGATCACCAGCACATGGTTAAAGATGCAGTATTAAACAGGAGCAGCTACTCACATCCACCCAAGACCTTGCCTGATACACGAGCAATGTATCAACATACATACGTCCCGAGGATACCGCTTACCTCTTGGCCAGTACTTCTTCTTTGACGCCGCATGCTTCTGCGGGACAGTGTACAGGTTGTAATCATGCCGCGAGTGGAAGAACTGGTGGTATAGCGATGGGACCTGCGAGAACCGCGTCAAGCGGGAGCTGCACCCGCATCGTCAACACCATATCATGTCCGCAGCGCGCCAGCCGCGCACCTCTTGCCCGCCTCCAGCAGCAGCACCCGGACGTTCGGGTCCTCCGAGAGGCGAGAGGCGAGCACACAGCCGGCGGTCCCTGCCCGTCCGCACAACATCCATCTCGTCAGCGTCTCGCCGATTTACCGACACGGCCCATCATCCCCGGCCGCTGAAGACTGAAGAGCAGACACCATAGACACCCACCTCCGCCCACAATCACCACGTCGTACACGCCCCTGTCCTTGTCCTCGCCGCCCGCCGCCGTCTTGCCTCCCGCCACGCGCCGCCCGACACGCCCCGGCTCGTTGATGATATACGGCACGACGCCCCGCTTGGAGAAGACATAGTACCGCAAGACGAGTAACAGAGCACCAAGCGCAGCAGAGGAGCCCACAAGTGCCTTCACTCCGCGCGTATATGCGGAGAGCGTGCGCAGGAGCGCGAGGAGGCGCGCGACGGCTTTGGAGCCTGCCGGTTCCGCCATAACGAGAAGGTTCGTACACGCTGCACCTAGGAGATCCGAGACGAAACCCGAGTAGCCGTGCGGTTCCTACGTCCCTTTATGCTGAGACTCGAGTGCGTGAAGCTCGTGATAAAGTTGTGTCGAGAACATTGATCATGAGAACTGCCTAACGCCGCCATCCACCCGGATGTGGTCTTGGAGGCAGTCCGCGTGTTCTTGATGTGTCCAGGAGATGATATGTGGACACGACACTGTGAGGTTGCGTACATGCCGGCTGGGCGAGATTCCACAGTGGCAGTCCAGTTTACTATAGACGCTCGTCCGGACACACTTCGGTGACCATCACATATGTGCATAGAACTTGCATTTGTCTCATACGAAAATTATACGCAACATTACTACAGTGCGCCAGACAAAGTATAAGCGTTCAATTCCAGTCCAGTCAAACGGCAGCGTCCCGTCGACGTCTCCAGTCAAATCCTCGGAGGAATACAGTACACATCATACGCAACCTGGAAGACCACCATCATCGACGACCACGGGGCCGACACATAAAACCACTACTCCACCACCAGTGTCAACGCCGCCGCCGGACCACATATCTGTCCTTGGCGCACAAAAGCAAGGAATCGAAGAAACAAGTGTAAGAAGGTATAATGTACTGCGTACGATAAAGAATACACGGCATGCGCACGCCAAAACGTTCTGTGTACGGGAAGTGTCCGGGCACCCTTACGAATGCAAATGCGAATGGGATGATACGGGACGTGTGATGTGTGCGGATAGGTGTGTATGGTGCGCGCACCGTTTAGGAGAGCGTGCAGTTGGGTATAGTAATAGGCTTCATAGTGCGGCTGGCGGGAATACGTCAGCGTGCAATCATCTTTATAAGTCACTCGGACACTCACTTTCCGTAGAACAGGCCCCACGAACCCTGTGTGTACAGTGTTTAGAGGATATACAGAGAATATAACGAAAATCAACGCACCTCGACTCCACCGAACTGGAGTGCTTGCCAGAGCTCGTCTCCAAACTAAATACACCAGTTGACGTGAATATATCTGACTAACTTCAAGTGAAACGCGACGCACCTCGAAGTAGAAGTACTTCGTGCCGTTAGTATTCGAGCCACAGACGAAATCGTTCAGGAACGTCTGCATGTTTGGCGCGGACGCGATAGACGGCCCATTGCTCAAGTTCGACTCGTCCGTTGAGTTCTATCAGACCTATCATGAGCTTCCACTGCACACGGGAACCGAACACGGAAAAAACGCACCGTGGGCCAGCCAGTCTCGCCAATGTACATAGTAGGCTGGTTCGACACATTCTGCGCGGCGTCTACGTTTATATCCTCGAAGAAGTTATACGTCCAACCGGCGGCTTGTGCGATTGACACGTTCGCGAACCACGGGTGGACGTTCGAGAACTGTGTGTGCCAAGCCATCAAACACAATCAGCATCTGTCAAGAAATAAGGTTTCCGCAAGGCACGTACACCAAAGTCGACAGCCTCAAGGACCTCGGTGTTGAAGTATGCGCCCGCGTCGCCAGTGCCGACGGGGAGGTCGTAGCCTGCCGCCTTGAGCGTGTTGCGTGTGTCCGTGATGTTGGCGATGAGCAGCTGGGCACCCTGGTCGCCAACGGGACCATCAGGGTTTGTGCCGCCTTCATGCGCACCCATGTAGCTGTCCACCCGTCCATCAGAGCAAATAGCAAGACTGATGAGATATGCACGCACTCAAGGATAAACTCATTGCCGACCGCAACGCCACCGATGTTAGTGGTGCCGTATGTCTTGATCGCGTCCATGATGTAGTCACGCTGTTGCACGTACGGTGTTGAGTTGGTCGCAACGTTGTAGTTTGCGAGCCAGATGGTCATGTTGACCTTGGTTTGCTTGACGGCTTCGAGCTACAAACAGCTTAATCTGGGAAGCGTTCTGAAGGTTAAATTGGACACTTACGACAAGAGCAGACTGGTTGCAGTCAGCACCGTAAAGATGGATACGCTATAAAATAAAAAAGGTCAGCGGCCATGCAGTTAACTAGCCCGTATACATAACACACCGTGGTCAACTGGGACATGAGCTGCAGATAGCGAATGAGTATCGCTTCCCTCATACCGCGCAGATCAGATCTCTCACCTGAATGTCTTCAATGACCGCAGCTGCCCAACGACTATCAGTATCGCCCGCTCACCGCATATAAGTTGACTTACCAAGTGAGTTACCACAGTCCGGGAGCTGCGAGTTGTCCGGGGTGTATGCGATGCCATAGAACGAATGAAGGAGGTTCGGGTCCTTGATGAAGGTACTGGGGTCGTCCGGGTTTGTCTGCTTGACAACGCCATATGGGCCGACCGCGACACCCTCCGAGGTAGAGCCGGACTTGGAACCGCTCTTGGAGGAGGAGGAAGAGGAGTGGCTTCGGGTAACGAGGATGCCGACGACGACGCCGACGGCAACTAACACGAGGAGTGCGACGATTGAGCCAATAACCTGAAAAGTGTCAGAGTATGCCGCATCGGGCGTCCGGCGCCCGTGCGCCAATGTTCGGTGGAGTACTCCTCGGACCCTGTTCACCGTGACTATCCTCCCTCTCTGTGATGGTAAGAATTCACGTCGTACATACTGTCCAAATATCCACTACATAAATCCAAGGAGCCTACACGCGATAGAGGTACACCACGAAACACCGGCGCAGGACGCGTGCGCAATGAGAGCACTCACAACAAACTTGGAGCGGCGGTTGCTAGCCTGCTGCTTCTCAAGCCACTGGCTGTTGGCGTAGGCGGGCTCGCGGTAAGGAGTGCCGTCGTCGATGTTGCTGTATGCGGAGCGATGGCCAGGCATGGCGTCTGCTGTCCGGATGTTTTCTGCGTCCGCGCTGGTGAGGGGGACGGTCGAGTCCGATGGGTTAGGGAGACTGTACGTGGATGCGTAAGGATCGTCGGCGTCGTAGAGGCGGTGGGGGATCTGCCAGCAGGAGGTGAGCGGACGGAGAAAAAGAGCGAGACGCGAGGGACGAGGTGGTTGCTGAGTATAAGAATAGTCACGCACGAGAAGCTGGCCGCCATCGGCTGCAAGATCTCGCTTCGAATCTGGCCCCTCCATCATATCTTGCCGGTGTCCGTATCGTCTTCAGCGCGGTCCTCGACGGCGAGCACAAGGGCGGGTCAGTATGGACACGACAGCGGGCAGCAGGAAAGCAGCTGGCGAACAGCTGCGACGATGATGCAGCTTTTCTCGGGCCTTCCACGCCCTGGCCCGCAGAGGGGCCTATGGGCTGTCTGTGTGCCGTTCATCTGACGTTCCTGTTCGCGCCTGTTCTACAAGCGGCCGATCGGCCGCAGTCTTTCACTTGGCTTTCACGAATCACAACGACATCTCGACATGCCTCCGCAGCACACCCTCCCGCGCGCCGTGCCTGTTCCACCGTCTCCCTCCCGCCTCAGGCTCGTGACCACGTTTCTGACCTTGGTTTCTGCGGTTCAATCAAGAATACTCAGGCGACTAGCTCAGAACACTCTCAAGTGCCTTGGCTGCTAAATTTAGTGAAGTTTCATTCCAAGGAAGTTGGAGTTCTGCTGTTAGAGTTTAACACGCGACTCTAGAATGGGCCCCGGGGCTATACGCGCGCTACCATATATGGTTGTGCACCTTCCACTTTCTGCCGGTGACATCTGCCATAGCGATGACCAATACGGCACGGCAGAAACCTGGCAAAACCTCGACACTGAAGACTGAACATTCTACCCAAGGCACTGGCGGCATACACAGAGTGGACAAAAATAAACAGACCCCAATTGTCCAATGGGGTCTGATACCGAGATGTGACTGCAAACATACAGCAGTTCTCCGTGATTCAAAACAACACCACTCGATGCATCATGCTGGCGAATTCGCCAAGTACATCAGGCAGTCCCATGGACCACTTCGTCATCCTGTGATAATCCGCTAACGATGGGTATATTCACAAGTTGCCGTTCTGGATATCATGAATAGAATACATACATACTCTCAGCCGCAGCGAACTAGCCGGACAACTAACCCAGATAGGTAATAATTCATTTTGCGTGGGGAGGGGTGACGAACATCAGAGCGGAAGCGTCGGCGACAAGATTAATCGTATAAGAACACAAGCGCATCGCGCGCAAAATATATCGCTGATGTACAGAACTAAGGGTAGCATGGACAACAGATATTGGTATAACACGAAGAATGGTGCAGCAGCAGCTGTCAACAGTACCGGTATGTATGCACAGACGAAGGAAGCACGCACAAATACATATCCTCCCACGTAGCCGGGAATGGCACCCATGCCCTCGAGGCGTGGGCCCAGCGCACGGCATGGGCCAACCACACCCTCAGCCTGTCGGCGTTGCACCCGCCGTCCCGGGCCGTTTCCCGTGCGCCTGCTGTTGCTGTTGCTGTTGCTGTTGCTGTTGCTGTTGCTGTTGCATCGACGCCCGCTTCTGCTTCTTCTGCAGCTTCGCGCGGCGCTCATCCTCCGACAGCCCGTCTCGCCGGCTCTTCGACGACGGGAGCGTCCGGCTCCGCGTCACGCTGACGGCCGCGCTGTCCGCCCGCGACGGCGGCGTCTCCAAGACAGGCGACAGCTCTTCCGGCGCCGGCTGCTTGTCTGCAGGAACAACACACCTCTGTCACACACAGTTCGCGGAGCTGAGCCGAACCCGCGTCACGCACCCGCAGACCGCTCTGTCGTCGTGCGCCGCCGCGTGATGCGCCGCGCGGCCACCGGCCTCGACACGAGCTTCCACCCACCCAGCTGCTCCTCGTCCGAGCTCGGCGGCACGTCCACAGAATCCGGCAGTCCCGCGATCGTCGTCGTGCTGCCCGCGCGCGAGGGCGGGGGCGGGATGTCCAGCATGAACCAGTCCTGATGCGCGATCAGAAACTCGAGCACATCCTGGCTCAGCTGATGCTCCTGCGGCGACAATTCGTGACTTGGATGCGCAATCAGTGCTGGCCGGAAGATCACAGCAAGGTCTATAAGCCATCCCTGTCAGGGCGCGTGCGGGCAGCGAATGAATGAGTGGTCAACGCACTCCTCGCCGTCATTAGGTTCTTATCACACTTCCGTGCGAACACAGAGAGGAGATCCAGAACGTACAGCAGCAGATATTGGTTTGACCGTGGCATTTGACTTATGAGCTGCTTGTATGTCTTTATTATTTCATCCTGGTTGTAGGGCTTCTTGGCTTGCTTTGCATATCAGGTAAGGGCGACATGACAGATAGGCGCCCGTGCTCACCGAGCGCATCGCGGAACTGCACGCAATGATATGAGCTAAGGAAAGTAGGCGTCGTGCGGAGGACTTACATTATGGTACATACTGTGGGGTATCACGGATTCAGGCATCTGAGTGAGGTATCGGCGGAACACGCTAGCGACATCATGGGCGGTGTAATGCTCCTTTTTCCAGTCCAGGTTCTTGCCATACTATAACAAAGGTGGTTTAGGACGAGCGGTATGAAACGGGTTAGACACAGTTTGCGCACTCTAGGTGGGGATTCGAACGCTGCCTGCAACTCCCGCATCCGCTTGTTCGAACCATTCACGCGGAAAGTGCCCTCTACCTCCGTCGCTGGTACCAATGGTGTCAGTTTGGTCAAACCCGACGTATGCCCATGTTAGAATCACCATTTTCCTTCAGATATAGCCCGCTTTGCACCGCCTGTCAGACTGCAGCCTCAAAAGGCATAGATCCAATCCTAGACGCACCATTTCGCGACAACCACAGGAATGCTGCCCCAAACATACAGCTCTCCGTTCGCATTGGCCGTCGAAATCTGCACGTTCGCGCATTTCAGGCTCTCTTTCAGGGGTTTCCCGAATACGCCCTCTCCTCCTGCCGAACAGGCTGTCAGCGCTCCTATCCAGCAGACGAGGAACCTCCGGAGAAAGCCCGCCGTCCCCAACACTCCTCATGTCGCTGAGCAGGGGCCAACAGCCTTATCCATCTGTCGGCGCCCCTGGACATCAGCCAGCCCCATCCTTCCCAACACCCATGCGCCCCATCGCAATCAGCGAACAAGATGGGAGACTCACGCACCCTTCTTCTCTTCCGCCTCCTTTTTCACCTGCTGGGCAAAGCGAAAGTGGTTCCACCAGGCCTTCAGGTTCGCCTTTGTCTGCTGCAGCGCCGGCTCGTGCGGGGGGCTCTGCGAAGTGGTCATTGGAACTGCGGTCTGCGGGGTCGAGGGGCTCGAGGATAAGACGGCGCGCTCAGGGGACAGGCGAGCGGGGGCTGTGCTGTGATTGTAGGTATGTGCGGAGGCGGGCGGCACGTCTGCGGCCGGCGGAACAGCGAGGGTGTTGGCACGGCGGCGGACCCGAGGCAGGAGCCCGAGAAGCGGCTTGCGGCGGCGCGAGGCCAGCGTAATAGGTGCCTGTCGCGGATGGCAGACTGGGGGTGTCCGGCGCCGCCTGCTGGCCGTGAGTGCGACGACGAGGGGGCCTTATCCTTGTCCCTAGTTCTCCGCACGCAGGAATCTGTGTCAGGCCGCTCTGGACTCGGGCGCTGAGCGATGTCGGTGCGTGTGATTGTACGCAGCGGATTATTTGGGACGGCGGTGCGGCGTGAGAGCTGTCGGCGGTGTCAGGGCGAGAAATGCGATTTGTGAGGACAAGCCTATTTATTGCTGCTAGGTAGCTCGTCCGCGACGCTCTTTAGCCGACAATCGAGCAGCAAATTGTTGGCTGCGTGTTTGTGGATATCAGACTTCCCGGCGGGCTTCTCCTGGCCGCACCCACTACGTAATGTCTCGACTCGTTGGGGTCCTCCTTTCCGCAACGATAGTGTCCGGGCAAGTTGGCTTCTGCTGCATCTACAGCGGCTGCAAATATACGGACCCGATACATGCTAGATCCTGTGTTTCCATGCACCATCTATCGCTCTCGGCTGCCACGAGGTATTACGCCTGCGGTACCGGGGCATCGTTTATCAGGAAGGCCAGTTTCCACATTTGGTAGGGAGCAGACCCCGGAACCCTACCAAATCACTGCCAGAACATTTGGACGCCCAGAGGATCTGAGATTGCGAATATATCTCCGTGAGTGTGCCCGAACTCAAGAGCAACTTTAAGTAATCGTTGGCGCGTCGCTGAACATGCCTCAGGCTGTCGCATCAATGCCTCAATAATGCCCACGCTGGATAGCATTGCCCGACGTTGTGCTGCGGCATGCGCAGGTAATCCCATTCTGCACGCCTTCCTTTAAGACCACCGGTATGAAGTGGCCGTCGAGCCCAAGTCGTACTAAAAACGATCTCAGAAGCTGTGACGCGCAGTATGCGCGCTCGATGTTAGAAGACCCCGCATTCAATTGCCCCTTGATCGTGGTGGTATGGTTGCGGGATGCCATCCCCTTCGTCGAACCCGAAGGACTTCTGGAGCAGTTCGTTGACATCCGAAAGGCCAGTGATAGATGTCTAGATGCCCATGACGACGCTGAGTGCGCAACGCCGTGTCCCTATCTGCGCAATACGGCCGACATTACAAAGAGAACCCTCTGTTGTACACCTATGACGCACATGAGTAGTACGAGACCAGGAACTGCAAGTCTGATCAAGGTTCACCAAATTCTAGGCCATGCCGGTTTGATTGCACGCGCGATATTATTTCCTTTTTACACATTGCACGAGAGACAGCAGACCGATATATCACTCCAGGAACAAACAATCTGACAAAAAAGGATGTCATATTCGCATCGCGGCGACGCAGTGCAAGACTAGATACCGCAGAGCGGAAGATCATAAACATACTAAACGAAGACAAGATCCAGATAACGAGCGAACGAACATCTACCAGGCCCATGGCACAACACAGCCCGCAGCCGCGAGCCCCTAGCTGGCTACACCAGCCCCCGCCCGCCCATATGCACAGTGTCCCCCACCGCACGGACGAGCTCCTCCCACACCCGCAGCACGACCTGGCCCACCACGCCCTTGCCCTCCACGCTCAGCCGACGCCGCACCTCCGCCACCGTCCCGCCGCCACCGTTCCCCACCGGCCGCACCGCGGGCCGGCGCCGCCGCACGCGGAAGACAAGCGAGAGCAGCGGGAACACGAACAGCAGCAGCACGTACGCCGTCAGCCGCGTGCGTGATGCGCGCTGCACGATGGCCCCCACTGACGAGCGCAGCACAGCAAGCGCTGTCGGTGGGCGAGGGGCGAGCGGCTCCAATGACGGCGCTCGGGGCGCACGCGGGAGCGAAGATGCCGTGGACGCGGCGCCGTTGCGCATTGCATGACGGCCACGCCGCCGCTGATCGGAGCGCGAGCGTTGTCGCTCGACGAGTGCAGGCGTCACCGTGCGCGACGTCGCCGTCGAGGAAAGCGACTGTGACGAGCCGGACGCGGCAGCTGGTGTGAGGCGTGCGATCGCATGCAACGGTGCCTTGCCCTTCGAGCCGCCCGGATGGGGAGTGGTAGGCGTCGCAGTGTGTGTAGAGCCGCTCGAGGTCGAGGAGGTGGAGGGTGCTGGGGAGACAGACCGCGATGGTCGCGGGGTGATGTCGGGGATTGGTCGTAGGTGGCCTTTCGGGGTCGTCGGCGAGGCAGCGCGTTGCGCGGCTGCTGCCCGTGCACGTAGTGTGCGAACAGACGTGATCATGTACTGGAAAGCGATGTTAACAATCCGGAGACGTCGGAGACCGGATTCAGCAATTAAACACACGGCGCGCACGCGTAGGGCGTCCCACACACACGTCCTACGCGGGAGCAGCACACAAAGTGCCACCCAAGATCTCAGTACATCATCCAGAGTACAGTGGTCTCAGTCAACGGGTCGCCCATGGCACGCCCATGAGCGAACCGTTGACAGAGGCCTGTATTGTAATCTGGATTCTGGCGTGGGTATTCATCACAAGGCAATCCGTAGTAGCATTCCGGTAGCTTTAGACATAGACACGTACCTGACGAGTGTCAGCAGACAGCTCCCGCTCATACTGCAGGAAATCCTCCGCATAGTCCCAGTCCTCTAGTCTTGGCAGCACGTGCAAGCAGTACAGCTCGAGTACCTTGGCATATCCCTCTCCGTCGGCCAGCTCTGCTTGCCCATGGCGCGCGAGCCAGTCCTCAATCATCCCCCGGCCCACGATGGTGCAGCCTAGCTTTAGACTAGCCAGCGCAAGGGTAACAAGAATCTGCGCGGGAAGGAACGCAGATGTCGGCTTTTGTGGCGGGTATGCTGGAGTGAATAGCTGCAGGGAGCGCGTGTGTATAGTAGCAATAAACGGCTCAGGAGACAGCATAAGGTTCGCCTGCACGGGCGAGGGCAGATCATCTGAGTCCCTTGCGGGTGGTGACGAGTACAGAGTGGTCTCAAACGTGATGCGCAGGATCTCCCATTTCCGCCGCTGTGATGCTGCTGGGTCGGGTCCAGCTATTGACGGCGGCGGTTCTATCAGGCTGAAGGCAGAGGTGAGCAGCGAGTCGGTCAAAGGGACGTTGCGCTGCAGAAATGCCTTGGCAGCGCGGGGGTAGAGCGAGCGTAAGGCACTGAGGGTCGAGCCGACAGACTTTGTTGGAGAGACGGCCAACGAGGCCGACGCTTTGAGGCTGATGGTCGATGCTGAGACTGCCTCGGTTGTGGCAGTGAGGCTAGGCATCGTCGATGATATGTAGAGTCATGAAGGTAGGAGCAATACCGTAGGAACGGAGGATGTATTGGGGTAATAGAGTGGACTGCGGGCTACCGACGGCAACAGCCGGGGACATTCCTTTGCCGGTGTCCTTTTTCACGGGACTCGACTGAAATCAAATTCGGTCTTATGAACGACTCAGCGAGCTGCTATTTGACTTTAGAAACGCAACTCAAATTACATCAGGATTGTTGGTGGTGGGACAGGAGAAGGGCCAGCCTGATACACGCAAATGAAGTAGTAAGCTACAGCCGTGTCCCGGTCAATATCATGCACGTCTTGTATCTCTCAACGTCTGAACATAGGGAAGAGAAAACACGACATCTTGAAGTGAACCAGCTCGCCGAATATTACACATCATTCATGGTTGTAGATTGACACTGCAAGATAGACTACGTATTACGTACGAGGAGTCTTTGTTCGCTCTCCAGGTTGCGTGACTATGGTCTGGGAAGGTATGTTCTCGTAAGCTACTACGCAGGTGAGCTGCGTCGACATTACGCTCGCGTGACTCTGCCTGGGTTCCAGCGCGCGCACTCAAGCATCTCTTCTCCAACAAGCGTAGAAATTGTTTCCAACCTACAGTGTTCTTCATTGCGTCCCTTTCCAGTGGCTTGAGCGGTCCTGCTAAAACCACGATCCTTAGGTATGACTGTGTGCTCGTCCCGTGGAGAATGACGAATATTGAACCAAAGGATTGTTTTTTCCAAGCTCGTTTGCCATGTCTTACAGACTGCGCGAGCAGCAGTGCAAATCAACACTGCCTGTGCTTCTTTCCCTAGGTCGGAATCGGGCGAGGAACGAAAAAGGAGAACATTCACCCGAAGGCATTCAACATCCAGAGTTGTGAACATCGGTACGATTTTGTCATGCTGTCGATCCCTGAGATAACTGCTCATGATGATGCAGACGTCGGATCAATCTCACCATTCATTTTATTAGTCGATTCTAAACGTTGTTCATATTGATTGTGAGACCTTGCAGCAGTCACTGCCAATGAGGAGAATCAAGGCTATTGTACTTTAAAGTGGGCACTGCCGGTGACATGTTGCATATTGCCTCTAGAAGTACAGTTATTTCCTCGTCCATAGTCCTGTACTAAGGGCGCGTGCCAAATGACATAGTGAACAGTCGAGTTGTTCAGCGCAAGCTTCATATCAGCGACCTGTGCAGAGACGTAGTCCAACGTTAGCCAGCATTTGCCGTCGTTGGCATTCCATATGTTAGTATCGTCCAAGACGAGTCTGCGAGCGTTCGGGAAGAGTCGCATGAACCGCATGAGGGCCATATGCACGCAAAAAAGCATTTGTACAAAAGGCTGTATTCACGAATTTACCCATGATGCGTAGCAATTGGCAGAATGATGTACGTCATATACTCGGTGGTGTAAGGGGAACAAAATTGCCTCAGATACTCGAAGACGACCCCAGAGTTGGACCCTAATCTAGCCAAAAATTGTCTGTGCAAAGATAACAATGAGACAGAGCCAGGCCAGACAGCAGCTACACCCACCTGCTCTGCACCCGGCGTTGAGCGCACATGTGCTATTATCGCCTCCCCCTGAACAGCGGGAATGACCTCGATCTTACGACCTCCGTCCTCCCATGTTGTCCGCCACCATCCATGCATACCGTCAACACGCGAACCCTCTTCAGTGACAATTGAAAGATACCGCAGTGATGGAATGCTTTTCGCAATGACAGCCGGAATGAATTGACAGACAGCGCGAAACAGCTCGAAGTCCACTTCAGGTTCGGGAAGCCCACCGAGCTGGTGCATATCTACAGATGGCGTAGCACTACCATCAAGGGGGCTATGGATATGCACCTGAAGGAGCATGAGCTCAAGATTTGCGAGTATCGGAACAACTGTAGCCTGGAAGAATTTAAGCGGAAGTGACAGTCTTTAGGAAGGAAGAAATGCTCTTACCAGCCATGACATCAACTGTTCTCCCGACATGTGTAGATTGATCTCTAGACATTTCAGGGTGAACGGCGGTCGAGCCAACATCTCCCAGAAATAACGGTCAACACAGGCCTTCAGTTGCACAGCAAGTGCAACGGGTTTTGTGTCTCGTATTCCTTCCGCAACTGCTTCGATTCCCCCATCATCCTCGTCAATAGGACCGCCGGATTCAGAGCAACGGAGGTCCACGTAATGTACGGGACAAGCGACCTTCCACCATTCACTCTCAGTAACGGAATCGCATGTCGACTGGACAGTGATGCGGTCCAGCGAGGGCCAAGTCTCGCCAAGGGTGCCGTTGTCCTGCCACATGTCGAGAACGTCGTCTAAGACTATCGTGCGAAGGTTCGGTAGGATGCGCGCGAAACGGAGGAATGGAACATTACATTCCTCGAGCTCCAGGTGTCGAACGGAAGGGATGGGATCCCACGTGTGCAAACGAGATGGGACCATACTGTCCTCAACTCGGGGGCGCAGGTATTCCGCTCTGAATCCTTGTAGTGACAGACACTCCACATTACCCAAAGCCGGACTCCTAAATAGGGGCCCGTAGTCGGCTTCGTCCTCACTGTCACTCGCACCATCACTCCCGTGGTGAACATACCTCGGCCGGCTGCACATGAGGGGGAAAATCCCGATCGTCAGGCACCCACCGGTCCTCAGGTTAAGATCAACGAGATCCGTGAGTTCAGCGATCACCTGGCCCAATCGCGGGCAGAGGTGAATCAGTTGTTGGCTGTAACAGAGGGAGAGGTGCTTCAAGTTCCGTGTTTGGGCCAGCAAATCACTAAGCAGAGAAACGGCAGTGTAATCCAACCCTGAATAGCCTGTGTCGAGCGTGAATGCTGACAATAGCTGTGGTCTCCCGGGCTCGGCAAGCATGTACAAGCAGAACGGGTGTAGCTTGAGTTCCTCACGTATGCAGACCTCTTCGTGAGCTCTGCAAAAAGCGTGTGCACGGAGGGTTTTACATGTCATAGACACCCTGCGAGCGTCATCTGAGTGAAGAAGGGAGATTATGCGGTCAATGAGGTAGTCAGTCAGCTTGAAAAGACTGCTGCGTGAAAAGGTATATATCAGACGATTTGTTGTCGGCATCATGCTGTGGTAACATGAAGATGTTACTACGCCCTCGAAATCAGTCGAAGCATCACTCACTGAGGAGCAAGTCACTATAAGACTAGTGGTGTTCGTACTCGAGAGTTTAGCCTGTACTCGCGATGTTGCACGAGCGCGTCGTAGCCGCAAGTCATAGAGCGCAATAGAGGTGTCTGTGTGAACAATGGCAAACCATTTAACTGCGTCAACGGGACGCAAGTCTTACTTTTTCAGACTAGTCGCGCATCCATCCGTACACCTTTGATCATTCGACATACCTCACACCTCATTGTCACTGGGGCCACAACATGTGGGAGTCATGAGTATAATGCATGAGAATAAAGCTAGGGGCATGAATAGTATTAGCAATCCATGCAGGGAATGGCAGAAGGCGCAGGGGAGGCTCTTCCGAACAGCGCCAATCGCCGATCGATCTGGTAGCCAGGAAGGGTATCTTAGTAGGACGTTGGACATGGACATCCGCAGCCCATGCAGGTCGAAGGAAGCGTCTAATCTGTTCTCGGGAGACTAGATAAGACCTTTCTCACCCAGGCAGCCTGAGGACTGGATACAAAAAATGGGGGCCGCGCATGATTAAACACCGCCTCAAGAATCATTCAGTATGGTATACATGAATGACACACAAACCTAAGTGAGCAATACTGAGTACGACCATTGGTCGCTTCAACGTCAGGATCACAATGGTATCTGCTTGCAGATGGCCGGTCGGCGAGTAGATCGGTCGGAGTTCACGAGGACAATGGAGAACACGAGGTAGTACGCCAGGAGACGCATAATACAGCGCGCTCCATACTAGTACTTGCATACCATCACACGGGTATTTCCCAACCGACGAGTCTGGATCCAATCACTGACATAACAACATCGTCCTATTGGTAAAAAGGTGAAGTCAATCTGGTTTCATCAAGAGAAGACAGATGGATCTGCACGCACTTGGGGAAAATTACGCATCACGCCAGCATTTACAAAAGCACAACCCGCGTTGACATTCAGCATGACATGGATCGAGAGGCGTGTCACGTCTTGCAGGATTCCGAGTCACATAACACGCCTACCGACGTGACCGATGACCTATCGTGCAAGGAGAACACGGTCAAAGAATGGGATAACTTGAGGACAAAGAGATATTCGCTTCCCAACGCTAGTGGCAAATTAAGCCGAAAGTGGCGAAGCTTCGCCATTATTGTCTAACAGAGAACATACGTCATACTCCTGCTATCTGATGGTAGCCCTGCGTGTGTTGGAAGAAGGCTCATGTCGCGGCTGTCGACTCGGCACAATGTATGCCTGCATATACTGGACACAGTTAGCACAAAGCTCTTTGGAAGCGACCGTCTCCATGATCGTAGCAAGTGGGACGGGGAGTGTGCGAAGGATAGCATACAAGACTTCTGCCAGCCAGCACACGACATGCGTGAAACACTACAGGGCTCGTGTACCCTTGAGATAATGCGGACCAAGCGTGTGGTCCCCTAGGAGCACCTCTCCCACTCTGAGACATCTCTGTACCCTTGCAGAACGTGGTGGGAACGGTTATGAGGCTGCATTTTGTTGCCTTAACACTAGAAGACATGAGAAGCAACGTATCTGGCGGGCAATAGAGCTCATGACCGGACTGCATAATCCGCGACACAAAGGCGAGTTGTTCATAGCCGGGATCATCAAGGGTAGGAATCTACCAATATAACGGAAGCCTGCTGCTGCGGAAGGCGGAGGGTGCCAGTCGCCTACGCCACACTCAGACGCGCGGAAACATCAGTCACGAACGACACAATTGAACCGAAGCACGCTCACAGTCCTCGTCGGGTATGCCTCGGATATGAAGGCCGTTCGACTGGTGTGAGGGTATTTCCAAGAGCGGGCCCACGTCCTGGCAGTCGTCGTAGGTCCATGTCCTATCGTGGTAACACATAGGGATAGATGACGTTTGTCGTAAACGAACATAGATGTTGTACATAACGCCAGAATGGGGAACACAGGAGGTAGTCGTGATATTGCGCTGAAAGAACTGAGAACGAGTTGCGAGTATCATGCGCGAGCCTTATGCTAAGAGGCTTGGTGCAGCAAATCGGCTCGTAGGAGAATGTCACCGACCGTCGTGTGCTCTTATCCGCTTAGGACGAATAATATCCCTGTTTTACGTCAATATGATACAGGACTAGACCCTGAACACGACGTAGCTCCGCGTCGACACTCGTAGGAGATAGTAGCATCCAAGAAACACATGATTCAGAAAAGTGTCCAGCCAGTCCGCCTGTCGCCAGCAATAATTGCGATTGAGACACGATTCCATCCGAAACGGAACAGTGATTCACGCGCGCAAACTTCCCCAGGTATAAGCTTCTCATGAATATAGACTGTTCCATGTTCCATGTCATGGTTAAGTACCAGCCAAACACCCGAGCTCGGAGATGAGAGTAGAACGAATGCGGCTCAGTAACGGCGGCATTCCTGCCGTCAGCACTTCTGGCAACCTGTGTCAAGTGCCGACCGGTCACCAAACACGACGTGACATTTTTCACGTGGTAAACCGTAACGCGTCCGAACCTGGCGCCTGCTTTCATCTGCACTACGAACATCGCGGTGGCATTCTCCTCCACATGAATGGCACCGACACCGCTTGAATATGAGGTCTAATGGATGCAGCTGACTTGGTACCTAACCATCGATTTCATCTGCAGTTTGTTCCCCGCTCGTTTCCACGCGGGGGCGCGCGTCATGGGCGCGGCACACCAATGAGACTCTGCCAGTATCGCATCTTCCTTAGTCGGGCAGAAGCCTAGCTGCGTATCTTGTTACAGTGATGCTTGATGCGTCCGCCCCGCTGAACTCGCAGCGCCGAGCAGGCTGATCATTATAAACGGCTTGCCGTGCCTGCTCACAGTGAACACCGCAGCCAGCATGCGGCCGTGTTCGGATCGCAGACCCTTGCCCAAGCTGTACATAGAACAAAGCAGCTGAGTGAGCTGTGCATGCACAGGTTGGTGGTCCATTGCCCGCCCGCTGGATATCTAGCGAACGGGGACAGAACAGCAATCAGCGTGTCCACCACGAGGCATCTCGGATGGTCGCCTTCCTCGTTTTGTCGCCTCCTTCTCGCGATCTGGACCACTTGCCGTAGTCGAGCAGATCTGGTGACATCTTGACGCCGCCGCCTCGTTTTGGATTACTTCAAGATACATATAGCCGAGTGGCGGTGGGAGTTAGTCTTGCCGTCGAGTTCCCGAGCCTCTTGACTAACAACCACGTTCTGTTGCCTATCGTCTCTTGCTCTTGTACTCGATATGCCTGTAGCCGTACCGAAAACCGAGTATTTTCAAGTCCTTGATCTCAATCCCGATGATACCGGTGTTGAAGACATCAGAATAGCGTACAAGAGACTGGTAAGTCCAATCGACCGATGTCAGAGCAGGATCGCTCATCGACTGTTTGTAGGCTCTGAAGTGGCACCCGGATCGCCATACTACGGACAAAGAGGAGGCCCAACAAAAGTTCATTGAGGTGAGTGCCACTCGCTCCTTCATGTCTACGGCGCTAAATGCATCGGTACATCCGTAGATAAGCGAAGCCTACAGAGCGTTGCTGCAGGAGTATCAACACAAGAAACGCGGCCGATCGCCTCGTGCTAAGAGGGGACACCCTCCAGCGTCAACTCCCAGCGCTTCATCCTCTCAAAGTCGCAGCAGTGATAGCAGTTCCGCTGGCCCCAGCGCGAAGACGGCCGAGAGGTAAGATAAATTTGCAATGCCCGGATGCGTGTGCTGAACGCCATTGGTTAGACGCCATTCGACTCAAGCTACGTCTCCGCAGTCCTCTCCAAAGAGTAGACCCCGGGAAGACTTCGGAAGCACTCTCTCTGACCGCGGCTCATCACATCGCACCTCCACGGCACAATCTCAATCGGACGGGTTAAGTCAAGATTTCCCCGAGTACAACGATGATGTCCGCCGGCGCTCCACTTCCTCGTCATGTACAGCAGATTCCAAGGCACAATCATCATCCCCATCGCGCCCGGAAAGCTCTCACCCACGGTCGTCATCATCATCTCGCACAGGCGACTCTCCGTCACGGTCGTCTACATCACTCCCTAAGTCAAGCGAACACCATGTACACTTCGCATCACCTCCGCGCAAACGACCAGCATATCAACGATCTGAGGCCAGGTCAGTGTCTTTGACACTCTGCAACGTATTCCGCTCATAGCGTCTCTAGTGACCATTCTCGTACGACGCTAGGGCCGACACACAAGAGGTCCAAATTGGATGACGACCTGATTGACTATGAATTCATCAACTTGGGCACACCGATACCTCCCCTTCGCTCGTCGAGATCATCGAGCCGTCTTTCGGAAGACTGGATCTTCCCATTGCATCTTTCCCTCGAAGATCTTTATTACGGCGAAACTCAACACTACCGCATAACGCGCACGCTCCGGACAGGCACCACAGAGAGCGTGAAGGTCGACGTGCATATATCCCACGGCTGGCGCACGGGCACCAGGATACGCGTCCCTGGGGTCGGGAACGAACGCAAAGACGGCTCTTTCCAAGATATCGTATTTGTCGTCGAGGAGGAGCCGCACCCACGTTTCACGCGCGTCGACGACAATCTCATTGTGTCCGTGCAGATTCCCTGGGCTGACACGCATCCACGGGTGTTTGTATACCCCCAGCGGGATGAAAGCGAGAAGACCGGCTACGATGATGAGGTGTACGTGCAGGGCATCGATGGCGAGGAGTTTGCGCTTTCGATCCCGCGGACGCTCGTCGAAGGCGCAGACGGGACGCGCATCGTCGGTGCCGGGATGCCCGTGCGCAAAGGAGGAAAGATCGTCGGCAAGGGCGATCTGATAGTAAGGTATGTGATTCCTTCCTGGCGGCCAGTGGAGCTGCCATCGTAAGATCGTCGTCGCTGACCTTAATTTCATCCAGATGGGAATTCGTGTTCCCGGAGGCGGAGAGCCCGCAGCGCTCGCGGTGGCAGGCGCTCAAGAAGGCGGTGTACTGGCGGTCGTGACTACATAACGTGCTTGACGAATGGGAGGTAGACCCTTCCGCGTTATGACCTTATGACAGCATGGAGTATGAGGCTCAATGCGAGCGAAAGTATTCGTAAGTTCTGCGTATTTGCGTAGCGATGGACTACGTTGTACTGGATCTATTGTATCAAGTATATCATGTACATAAGCATCAGACAATGCGAACTCGATGTTATCGTTATATCGTTATAAGAAGCACATCGTCAAATTCGTGAGTCGCCGCGTGACTGGAAGTATTTTTCGATTTCTGTACAAGACGGACGTACCATTGGATTGAATCACTACCATCATAGCATGTACTTTCCATTCCCGGTAAAATGACTTCCGAACTCGCTTGTCCAGCATTCAACGCCGAGCCTTCGTTCTTTATCGTCAAGTTCTGTGACCTGCATGTGTACAAATTTCCTCACATGAACTTCCTCCTAACGCATACTAACGGTGATGCGCTAATACTTGGACAACATTTCTAGGACGCTAGCCTCGTGCTGTCTTAGCTCATATGTTCTAGGTTAACTAATCGACGTATGTGACAAAGACATGCCTTATATCTTCTGACTATGCGCATATACCCAGCAGTTGCTCAGCTTTTACCTGGGCGTAGGAACGTCAATGTTAACCACGCTTATACCCAAAGCACGCTGCCGGATTCACCAGCACGTTGGGGAATAGACGGCCAATCAGAGGTCGCTCATTTGTTGCGCACAGATAACAATGTGAGGTTCGCCGCCAAATTGCAAGTGCTTTCGATAGCAAGAACATGATGTCATGGAGGGAATAGGACACAAGCTACATCGCATCAATCAAGTCGTTCCCACCCCGCACCATACGAACTGCGCGTTCTAGGTGTGACTGGATTTCATTTGCCGCGTCGGTGCTATTTGTCGCGCGGCGTGAGCCGTCGTTGCTGGGAAGTAACAAATGAAGCGAAGTTCATGTCAGGGAAGGTAGCATATACGTTTAACATTGCTCAATATTGGACTGACACTGGCTTCTCCATATTAACCATATAGTCGGAAGGAACTAAAGATTCGTGAGAGTCGCAAAGGTGTGCTATTATTAGTCTGTTAAACTACCGAGTTCATAGCACAGGCCATCAGGTCAAATTGGCACCAAAGCGGTATTTTGTCACCAGGCCAATCAAAATCAAGCGCAGCTGGTGGATGATTATCTAGTCGTAGACGCCACAGTCGCGGTGGGTCTCCAGATAAGATTAGATGGGGAGCTGCAATTTTAACAAGGCCAAACAAAGCACCAAGCGCGCTTGGGGCGTCGATTTGGTGCTTCTAAACTCAGAGCTAGTACTGTTCACTCTGGACGCACCCTATGCACAATCACAACCTCTAACGACCTGCTATCATTATTGTCACGAATATTGTATGAATACCTATGTCACAAGTCATTTTACGCGCTTTGGCCATCCTGGCACTTGTGCATGACCTGCAAGCTGCATCTGAGCAAGCTGCCATTCCAAGGTGAGCTCCGAAATGTTTACTCTCGTGGGCTCATGTGTATTCTATTCTGTAGATGGGGCCAGGCGGCCACGCTCGTGGAGACTGTCCTGTTCATCCAGGGAGGCAGAACAGACGAATACAACCAATACTCGTACTCGTCTGCGCCTCCGACGAACGACATGTTTGTATTGTCTCTGAGCTCATCATTTAACCTCTCGTCGCCACCATGGCAGTATACCAGCGGCTGCTCAGATTGTTCATCCTCGCAAGGTCCCGCAGTCGCATGGCACACTGTGTCCCCAGTGAATACCTCATACATGCTACTGTTTGGCGGCGATCTAGGTCCCAACTCGGCGGTCACCGTGCCAGAAAGCTCAGACTCAGCCGATTTTGTCAACGTCAAGAATCCCCAGTCGCCGATATGGGATGACGAGGCAGATTCGTGGGCTGACGAGCCGTTGCGGCGAATGTACCACTCGGCGTCCTCTACTGGCGGCAAGGTGTACATCGTTGGCGGCGAAAAGACGGACGGCTCGGGTAGCGCGTTTTCCACGCACTATGTATTCAACCCCTCTGCACCCTCTTTCTCAGAGCTGTCTTCAACAAATGCGCCGCCTGGAATCTATGGGCATACCTCGGTCGTCCTGTCTGACGGGCGGCTGATTGTGTTCGGCGGCTATGAGCAGTCTTCCAACACGTTACTCCCCTTTAGCACCGTGTGGTCCCTGGATACCACCCAGTCCACTCCGATCTGGTCCACGGTTTCTGTGTCGGCCTCGAGTCTCCCCGATCCGCGCCGTGGGTTTGCGGCGACTCTGGTAGATGGCGGCAAGGTCGTTATTCAAGGCGGCGCAGACGCGCAACTGCAGACGTCGTACAGCGACGGGTGGATCTTGGACACGACAAAGTCGCCGATGGTATGGACCAGTGTCAGCGCATTATCAGAGCTGGGTCCTCGGCGCGATCATTTCGCCGTCGCCCTAGGTTCTCAAGTGCTGTTTGGGTTTGGTGAGTGCCGTAATTCATTACGTTCGCCGTTCTGTATCTTATGACGTACAGGATATGCTACGAACGGTCCTGCCAATGCGAGCCTGTACCTGTTCGACACTTCGAGCGGGTCATGGCTTTCTAGCTACTCCCCGCCGCAGGCAATTACACAGCCCACTACCACCACGCTTTCAGGACCTGCACCCACGTTTTCTGGAAGCTCCGACCCTTCTGGTTCCGGTCATGGGTCCTCGGGAACAGGGCCTGGATCGGGAGGAGCCTCGGGTACCACAGGATCAGGTGCGGACCCCACTGCCAGCAACTCGGGAAGCGGAAATGGCAGCGGCAGTTCTGGCTCTGGCTCGGGAAACGGTGACGGTGCGGGTACTCCAGTCGGCGAATCGTCTCATGGACACCACGCGACCAGCATCGCGCTGGGAACTGTATTTGGCATCCTGGGTCTCCTCGTGGGCACGTCGGCGGCGGTATGGTACATCAGGCGACAGCACTCGCGCGACAGCTTCCATGTATTGGAAGGATCAGACGACGATGCAGGCGGCGCACTTCCTATTGCGGGCAATCGCGAGAAGGCCGTCGTCCAGAACGTCAGGAGCAAATTGGGGGCGTTCGTGCTGGGCTTTGCGCCGGTCCGCCACGCGCAGCGACGCGACATGCTCGCGGATGAGGACACGCGGCAATTCGACGTCCCGTACCACGGCGTGCGTCGGGAGACCAGCAGCAGCCGCTCTTCGTGGACATCGGTCTCAAGGCGGCCCACGTTGGCAGATATGATGCACGAGTCGCTAGCGTCGCTTCGGTCTGTCGGTGGAACCGTACTCGCTTACGCCTCAGGCACACGCGGCATGAGATCGAGGGAGGCCAGTGCTGGATCAAGGTCTACGACCGCCTGGTGGGACAAGGAGCAGTCTTACGAACCATACGCGGACGATGCTGCTCTCATCGTCGAGGATTCTGTACTTTCGAGCACGCGGCGTACCCGCCACGGCGGGCAGCTCTCACAGGCTACTGTTGCTTCTTCGGCCATGATCACACCATATGACGATCCCTTTGCCGATTACGAGGTCGAAGATGTTGAGCCGCCCGCAGACTACTATCGCTATCTCGACGCGGACGAGGACAGTGACGACGCGCAGAGCGTCCCTGCTCTCACGGACCCACCTCCGCGTCCGTACGCGTCCATCGCGTCCATTCGGGGGCCAGCAGCCACCGCAGACCTCACCCGCCTGTCGCCTGTGCCCGAACGTGCGTCCGTACCCACGCTGTCCTCCAACCCGACGCTCTCCGACGCGTCACATGCCTCGAGCTCCCACACCCCCGCTAACGCCGCCAGCGCCCCTTCGCGCAGCTCGCATTCCCACGAGCGTGCGGCGCCGCGCCAGTCCCCCCGCCCGCGCCCGTCGTCGATCATCGACGCGAACCCGACGCCGGCGGAGCCCGTAAGCCGCTCGAACAGCTGGTGGGCGCGCCTCGCGAAGACGCCGCTGCTCGAGCGCGTCGCGAGCGACTCGGGCAGACGGCAGCCGCGGCCGATCGAGATCCGGGATCCGAACCCCCCGCCCCGTCTCGTGCCCATCGAGGAGTCGACGCATTCATATGCGGACGAGACGTCCCCGCATGACCGCCGGGGACAAATGTACTCGATTGCGCACGGCCGCTCTGCGTCATCGCTCCAGACCACGAAGACTGCAAATTCGGAGGTGCTCGAGAAGATGGGACGGACCATGGACATTGTCCAGAAGGGCACCGTCAGCTCGCATTCCAGCGGCCCGAGCATGGACAGCATGGACGACCCTATGGTGCAACCACCGTCAGGGCGTCCACCAGCTATTACAATACCCTTGGGCGGCAGCGAGGGACCAGGAGTCCACGTGCGGCCCATCGTTGAGTCACCACAGGAGATGAGAAGCCCGGAATTTGCCCATTTGAATTTCTCGTCGCCTCTAACTGCGCTGCCTGGACCACCGAGACGGACGTCGGGACAAGTGGCGGTGCGTGTGCAGGCTTACGAGCGTCGGTTATCGTTATCTCAGCAAGAAGGACCTGCGAGACCGACAGCGTCTGCTCCCTCGAAAAAGGACCGGGCGAGTGTATACGGCGTGGTGCCCAAGTCTCCTCTTTTCATCGCTAATCCTGATCATCACGCAAGGCCATCGTCTGGTTCAGGATCGAGTGCTTGAGGCCCGAGACCGCATTCTGATTTTTTGGCGTGCACCATACCGCTCCCGCTAGATTTTTTGCAGGTTGATCGTGACTACTAACCTATGGACGACGTTCTGCCCGCTCTCTTTAATGACGGTATATCTGTTAACTTTACGAATTTTACGAATTTTCTGCGGCTGTGATTACGATGTTTACGACCCGCATGAACCTGTTGTTGTTTGTACAAGAGCTGTACGTTCATCAATCACCACGCACCTGTAGGGCAGGCTAGAAGGTATTAAAAATTGTAACCTTGTTTCCCTGATTGAAATTTTCTGTGGCTTCTGTGCCTATCGCCACGCCTAGCCTGAGCAGCATGGCCGAGCCTATGGTCAGCATCGTGAACACCAGGCGCCGGGAGGCAGACGCTCGGGATGTGTAAGTAAGAACGAAGGTTGGTAGGATGAGTAGTGTGCGTCTGGCGTGTTTGTGGGAGACGCTGGCGGAGGAGATCCGTCAAGGAGGCACCGTCACCGAATCTCAATCTGGGACTGCAATCTAGGGCGTAGCGCTGTTGTTCGCTGCGATACAACCGACTGCGGGGGCAGCGCTCGATCACGGGCGTCCATTTAATTGTCGAATATAGCGAGATATGTCATGCAGGGGTTCCGGGGGCGGGCGGCTGTTGTCCCGCTGTGTTCGGAGTTCATCAAGCCAGTACATACAGTCGGGCCCTCACGTCGGCTTTGTCAGCGTCGATGACGGCGACGGGCGGCTTATGGGATGCCCACGATTTGCCATCACTGGCCATGCCGGCGCGGGCCTTCGCCGAATGTGACAGCTTCCTCCGTGCCGGAGCGCCTGTCGAAGCCGCAGCAGGCGCGCAGCATCAGCCGCTCGCGTCACCACTGTCCTGCCTGAAACGCGCGATCTGCACCATGCCAGAATCGCGTCGTGCGGTGGTCAGACGGCCACAGGTGGCCTGATACAGCACTATGACATGCACATTGGACCACAGTTCCTATCCTCATAGTTCTCAAGACGATGGCAGATGATGTACACGGTGGGGGCCCACTGCCTTATGCAGCCTCAATTTCAGCGATGTACTTCTTCGACTCCTCGTCGTCCGAGGCACGCAGGATCTAAACGTCACACCGTGTCAGCGCTGGACGGGCAGGGGTAGCACCGTGGCGGTGTCAGCGTACCTCGAGCAGCTTCTCAACATACTTCGTGCGGGCTTCCTCCTTGGATACGCCCTCCACACTTTTCCATGCGTCCCTGCACGCGCCATCAGCACGTTCTCCACTATGGTATCAGGTGGAGGCCCGCGACGGGCGAAGGCCGCCACCGTATCACCAGGGGCGCTGCGCGATCACGCTCACCATTTGAACTTTCCCGTAAAGTCAAGCATGCCCGGGCGGGAAGTGTTTACATCGCCAGCAGTAGCTGCGCGCACAATCAGTAGCGTTCCGGCCGTTGATGCAGCGCGCCCCGACCTTGTTTGTAATATTTGTAAAACTGCCCGGAGCGTGAGCGTGAGACCGTGTGGGGAAGACAAGTGAGCACTCACGTAAAGCTGGTCTTCCTGCGTCGGCTTGACGGGGCCGTCCTTGGGCAGACCCTGGATGATCTTGACGGCTTTGTCGAACTTGGCCTCGGAAACGGACATGATTGCGACGGACGATGGGAGTGTGCAGAGGGTCGGAAGATTATGTGGTCGTCAACGACGATGGACGTGCGATCGATAGCTGCTGCCAAGAGCAGTGGACTGGGCCAGAGTCCGCTATATAGCCCGCCATATCGAGAATATGCGGGCGAGCAGAACTCTGGGGACGATGCGATGGGGGAGATATGGGCTATCTGATGGGGCACCAGACAAGAGCGAGAATCCGGCTGTAGCTTTATAGACTCTATGTCTGCCTCCGACGGTAACGCTGCAGAGCGGGCGCGGACTATGTGTGCCTGTGTGAGTACACGGCATAGGGAAGGGTCGAAAGCGCGCCCGCTTGGCGGGTGGCGTCGAGATTGCGTCGAATCTTCCGCGCTCGATTGAGCAGCCTGGGCGGGACGCACCGCCGCTGGCTGACCAGACGATCGTGGGGGATCATAAGCGCAGGATCGCGTCCCCGATTTGCCCCACAACCGCATACACAACCGCACGGTCGTCAGTCGGGCGCGCGCACACAGCGGCAGCGCGCGGCCGCCACCGCAAGCCACCGGATTGAAGCCCCGCCACACTCCGCCGCGCCTGCCATTGTTGGTAACCGAACACTACTGTCACAGGCCTCAGTGACGTGCCTGTGCTCGCGACGCGTCTCATACCCTGCATCATAGCTTATTGTCCTGGCCTTACCTCTCGTCGTCCTCGACATGCACGATTCCGCCATGTCGCGCTCAGCACCCCCGCCGTCCGCGCAAGAAGTCACGCGTAAATTATCGGTGCACTCGCGACCGCCGCCCAAGGTCCGTATGCAGCTGCACTGCCCCATCCCGTTATCGCGCCCCGCACGAGCTGACAGCACACGGTGCCTGCCAGAAAGCAGTTACCCCAGGACCTGTCTCTGGGACAGAATCAGACTCGGACTCGGTGTTGTCCCCAGAGGCGTCCACTACGCTTCCCAATGCATCATCGCTCACTGGCTCCCTGCTGGCCACGAGCCCCTCGCAACAGCCCAACCTCTCGTCGATCGCCGAGCGCCGGTCTGGCAGCGGCGAGGAGGAGTCGGAAGACGAGGACGACGAGGGCGGCTGGCGCGAGAGCGACGTCACTGCGGCCCAGCGCGGCTCGCTGGACGAGACCGTGCTGATGGCAGGCTACCTCTGGAAGAAGGGCGAGCGCCGCAAGGTACGTCTGCTCTGCCCCCGGGCCCGCTGCTGCTTCTCGCCTTCTCGCGCTGACGCCGGATCGGCGCGATCGCGCGCGCAGACGTGGAAGAAGCGGTGGTTCGTGCTCCGCCCCGCGCACATCGCGGTGTACAAGACGTCCGCGGAGTACAAGCTCCTGCGCCTCGTCGACCTCGCCGAGGTGCACGCGTGCACGCCCGTCGTGCTCAAGAAGCACGCGAACACGCTCGGGCTCGTCTCGCCCACGCGCACGTTCTATCTCCAGGCGGAGACGCCCCGCGAGGTGCAGGACTGGGTCCGCGCGATCAGCGACGCACGCCAGGCGCTCCTCACGACCGCCAGCCAGACGGGCGGGTCGTCGCCGGTCCCCATCCCCACGCCGCGGGCGGCCGCCGCCCCCGCGTCGTCGCATGTGTCGTCATTGCTCTCGCACTCCCCACACGGGCACCATCTCACCTCGTCCGACTCGGACGACGCGTCCCCGGCCCCTGCAGGGCCCATGGTACACTACGCGGCGACCCCGACCGTGCACAGTTCGTCGCCGTCGAAGGACGCCCCGAAGGTGGTGCTTTCGGGATATCTCATGAAGTGCGGTTCACGCCGGCACAATTGGCACAAAAGGTGGTTCGTCCTTAGTGGCGAGAAGCTCGTCTATTCAAGAAGCCATATGGTAAGTTCTGTTCTATCCGTCTATCCTTGGATATCCCGGACTAGCGCCGGAGAATTCATGTCCGTGACACGCTTCTTACCCGCGCATCGCCTCACACAGGATACGAAGCCGCACCGCGAAATACCACTGGCCCAGATCCTCGACGCCCTCGAATATGACCTCCCCCCGCACCGGCACACCCCTAGTGTGTCGGCGCCGGCTGGGGTGTCCCCACCGCAGGCATCGTCGTCTGTGGCGGACGGCGGGGACGGCACGCACGGTCGCAATACGTTCAAGGTGATCACGACGAAGCGCACGCTGCTCGTATGTGCGCCTAGCGAGGAGGAAGAGATCAAGTGGCTGAGTGCTGTGCGTGCGCTTATCGCACGCCGATCGGGAGCAGGGGTGGTGCCAGGAGATGCGCCGGCGAGGCCGGGGGCGCCTGGACCCGCTCCGAGCCCGGAGGTGCATGGAAGCCAGAGTGGGAACGCAGGGCCTGGGGGCGGGGTGAGTGCGACCGTGGCGCCTGGGCTGGGGATGGGTGGGCAGAAGCGGAGAGACTCGTTCGCGCGGAGGCTGAGTCTGAGTGGAGGGGGGGCGCATTCGAGCCATGCCCCCCAGCACGGGCAGGAAGCGGTATCGGAACGGCAATCTTGACGGGACGGAGCTTGTGTAGTGTGGTGCGTTTGGTGCGGCCGGCTTCGTATCTTCTATGTGGGTCAGTTGGGTTCTGGATCGGGGACGCTCAAGGGGGGATGGTGGCTTGATCACGACATTTGATTCCGTGCAACTCATAATGTACATTAGCAGGATAGCGCGCTGTCATGGATAGTGCAGGACAGGGCATTTGGATATATGGGCCCGGCATCAGCGTTTCACCGAGGGGGGAGACCAGATGGGAGGGATACAGGACCAGGGGACAGGCCATCAGACAGGATCCAGGATGGTGATGCTGGCGTAGTCGGTATCTGTCACGTCAGGGTTCGCTGATTGTGTTGTCGCGGCGAGGGCGTAGCATTACCTAAGCGCCGTCTTCTCTTCCATGGAGCACGCATTTAGGACGAATGCAATATGACACGATGCCATATGGGGGTGGGGGGTGACCACGGGGAGGACTGAGCTTACCGCGGCGTGTGTGCGGTGTGTCTGCAGGGATCGCAATTGTATGTGCGCTACCTATGGCCTGGGCGGCAAGGGATATGTGGGTGATTGTGTGGGCGTGCGTACGGGGCGTGTTGGGATAAAGGAGGGCGGGGAGCGCGCGTGTGGGAGTCGCGCAGCTGGATGGAGGCCGACGGTTCTAGGCGCGAGCGGTCGCGACCGAGGCGGGTGCCTTTTGGGCATCGCGTGATTCCGTCCGATCTCAGCGGCTATGCCACTTATCGGGCAGCCTCATGACCCCGCGAACGACAGCCACGAGGTCCGCTCCCCGCACTGCTGGGCCCTGCCTGCCGTGTGCCCCTCGGCGCTGCTTAGAGTTTCGCTAGCGCCATCGCGGGCGCCTCGCACCTGCAGGCGGGACGCACGGCGGGCGGGGGCGGTCGGGGATGCGAGGAATGGCCGGGGCAGAAAGGAGCCAGCGCGCAGGCTGGGCCGGTGTGCGATCAGAAAAAAGACGCCATCAGGCGACGCGGCGATTGGCTGGCGTGCCGGGCATGGCAGTGAACAAGCGAGGCAGTGACCAATCAGGACCCCACTAGCGCCCGAGAGAATGGGAAGGGTGGCCGGGGGCGCGGAGACAAGGTTCAGTCGAATGGAAAAGGGAAGGTGGACGACACCTCCGTGGACGTTCGCACGACTCCCGAGTCCCCAGCGCCCTGGAGTACATATACCACTCCTCCCTCTCAACCGCCCTCCCTCGCCCTCCGTCGGTCGTCCTCTCCGCCCCATCCGCCGCCCTCATCGCCATCGACACCGCCTTCGTTATGCCCGACGCCCCTCCCAGCCCCAGAAAGACCGTCTCCTCGGTCTCCGCCAACGCAAGATCCCAGAAGAAAACCGGAGCGCCCAAGCCGAAAGGCGCCGTCCGCGCTAAGTCGGGCTGCTATACTTGTCGCATCCGTAGAAAGGTTAGTCGCCAACAGACGCGTCGCCCGACGCTCAATCGCTGCCCCGACGTCGCATCACTGACTATAATGCCTTTTTTCTGTCGCTTTTTTCGCCTCGGCCCGCTTTTTCTCGATACCCAGAAATGCGACGAGCAGCCCAACGGCGAGGGTGCATGCCAGACCTGCGTGCGCCTCCGCCTCCAGTGTCTCGGTTTCGGTGCAAAGCGGCCAGACTGGATGAGGGTACGTAGTCGCCGTCGTGCAGAGATAGGGGCCTCATCACTCATGCCACATCCACAGGAGAACAATAGCGTTACTGAATTAAGAGAGAAAATCAAGTCGTTCCTCGCCTCTCAGGGCATGATAAAGGGCCACTCAGGTTCAGGACCCCGGGCGTCGGCAGAAGAGCCTCAGATGCTCATCCTTGTCGAGAACCTCCGGGCGTCCCCCTCCAGCCCGCCTACCCCTACTTTGTCTGCAAGCTCAAGCGATGGTCATAGACCACACGGGCTTGCAACGTCGTTTGTTCGCGACGGTTCGCACTATCCTCCCCCTCACATGCAACACGAGCCGTCCTACAGCGCTGCTCCTGCCACCAGTGTGTATTTTCTCATCTGATGCCATTTATGGTAGTAACCCCACATCAGGCTGGCAGCCCTCGATTCCAGATCTGAGTCACCCAGACTCTACACTGGCGAGGAGCACTATGCTTCCGAACGTGAACGACATGCTGTACCATTCGCAGCAGGCCTCTTCTATGTTACCCTCGTCTAATAGTCTAGTGCCCATTTCCTCGTCGTCCTCCTGTAAGACTCCGTACCGTTATTAGTTGTATTATGAATGTAGCAATTAATGCCCTCGTTTGTTGGCAGGGCTGGTATCGAATGGCCCGACCTCTTCTGCATACCCGTCCGCGACTTCAGCAACATATCTTGGTGCCGGTGCAACAAGCTCGTTTTCGCCCACTTACAACCTCAGTCTTGCATATCCTGATGATGAGCAGGAGGTGCCGAGCCCAACAGTGGGCCCGTCTATCCCGCCACCAGTGAACGGCTACGATATGATGATACCCAACGATCAGACCGAGCTTGTTCATCACTATTTCAACAACGTCCTGCCCATCCAATATCTTCTTGCAGACGCATCCATCAACAATTTCATGTATAGGCTGATACAAACAAGTCCATCCGCCCGCGATGCTGCATGCGTGCTCTCTGCACTGCACATGCACAGCATACGATATCCATCACGGGCCTACTCCAACGACATGGCGATCGTCTACCGGCGGATCGAAAACGCACTGACGGCGAAACGAACATATCCCAACGAAGGCGATGCGATGGCAGGCCTGCACATCGTCTCCACATTCCTGTTCTCCGGCGGGCGCGGGCCGTGGGGCTTCTACCTCGACATCGCGAGCCAGTACGTGGACACGATGCTCAACAACCCGCGGTACTACGGGCCCGAGGACGTGCTCAAGAAGTGCAGCGAGAGCACGCGCTTCATCATCAAGACGACGATGTGGTTCGACGTGCTCGCGTCCGTCACGACGCTGCAGGTGCCGCGCTTCCTCGAGACGTACCGCCTGCTCTTCGGCCGCACGGGCGCGTACATCGAGGACCCGCTCGCGACCGCGCCCGAGATCTCCATGCTCCCCGTCATGGGCTGCGAGAACCAGATCGTGCTCGCGATCGCGGAGATCTCGAACCTCGCGCACTGGAAGGAGAGCCAGCGCCGCCGCGGGTGCCTCAGCGTGCCGCAGCTCGTCGAGCGCGGGCTCGCGATCGAGGACAAATACCTCGCGCGCGCGGGCGCGGGCCCCGGCGCGCACGCGCGGCTCGACCCCGCGCTCGCGGGCGGCGACCCGGAGGTCGCGCAGCGGCGGCGCCTGACGAACGACATCTTCCGCGCGTCCGCGCGCGTGTACCTGCACACGGTGCTCTCGGGCGACTTCCCGTCGTGCCCGGAGATCGTCGCGGGCGTCGCGGAGACGGTGGAGAGCCTGCGGCGCGTGCCGGTCGCGGACGCGGTCGTGTCGCGGAGCGTGGTGCGGAGCGTGGTGTTCGGGATCTGCATCTGCGGGTGCCTGACGGACGACCCGCGGCACCGCGCGTTCCTGCTGCACCTGCTCGAGGCGCAGCAGGGCGACAACGTCGGGAACGTGAGCGAGGTGCGCGCGCTGATGGAGCAGGTGTGGGCGCGCCGCGAGGGCAACCAGGGCCAGCCCGTCAACTGGCGCGAGGTCATGCGCGAGTCGCAGCGGGACCTGCTGCTGCTCGTATAGGTGCGGGTATAGAGGAACGAACGGTTGCCCCCCCTTTCTTTTTCTATCTTTTTCTCTCTCTCCTCTTTCTTTGTTGCTATTATCATGCTTTGCCACGACGTTCTGCTATGCTTTCTCTCTCGCAGGTACACAGGGACCCTTCGCGCCGTACGCGCTCCGGCGCCCGCGGTTGCGCACTCCCCCCTCCCCCTCCCCTCACGTTGGAATTCGCACTGCACATGCGTCTGCCCCCTCCCCTTCCCTTGCTCCCTGTTCTGCTTTGTGCACCTACCACCTATCTCAAGGCCCGGTGTTACCTGTCTGCGCACGCAACATTAAAACGTCCGTACGTCTGCTTGGTTATCTCTATGCTATCTGTAGCGATACAATGTATTAATTACACTCTGTGCCCACTGCGAGCGGCCCCGCCCGTCGCCGTGCAGTCGACTGTGCAGGTTCTCGCTCCTCTCTCGCTCTATTTTAGACCGGCCCCGGTCGCGAACGGACGTCGGAAGCTCCAGAAAGCACGCTATCTTTGGGCGCGCATGCACCGTGTCGCCGGGACGCCACAGCAGACTTCGGCGTCTGGCACGACCGTGGTGTTCCCCACATGGCGGCTCGCACGGGTCGCGCGACTTGGGTCCCCCCGGCCTGCAACGCGTCCTGTGTGTCCTGCTCCGTGCCCAGAATCGCACAGTCGCACAGTCGCACAGTCGCACAGTCGCACAGTCGCGTCCTGATGTGCCTTATCGCCCGGGCCCGCGATGGCTTTCACCCCCACACGCACAATAGCGTTGAGCCACATACGTCCGCGAGAACCCACGGAGTGACGGGGAGGAGGGCCTGGATGCACGGGGTGCGCTCCGGCAGGCGCGGGATGCGGACTCGGTGTCGAGCACGCAGGGCAGGAGAAGCCTGCGTCGAGTGCTTCGCGCCCAGGATCCAGGATCCTACAGCACCCGGCGGAGGCGTAGGTTCGCGCCATCGTTTCCCCGGTGTATGGGCCCCGCAGACAGCAGACAGCGAACACCATCATCTCGTTCCTGTTGCCGCGTGCGCGATGTCGACGAGGAGCTGCTTCGTCGCGGGCCACGCCCCCCTCCCCTTCCGCCCGGTTGGAGATGCCAGATATGGCGTGTCCAGTGCGTCGGGTCCGAGCGAGCGCGGACCTAGATAGGGATCTTTCATGGACCGGTGCGGGCTGGCGCTGGGCTGGCTGCGTGCCTGCGATCAGGCTCTCTGGGAGTTGCGATCGCAGCGGCTGTGCCGTACTATTACTATTACTATTATTACTATTAATATTAATATTACACTGTGCAGTACGCACAGGCGCCCCCCTCCCCCGCATCCGGGCCCGCTCTCCATCGTGCCAGTCGGGCCGTGCTAGTAGTCAGTATTGATACGGCCTCGAGGCGCGCACTCAGTCATGCTACGAGGCCCAGTCTGCTGGACCTGTCACCGCATTTGTCATATATTACGGATGAGCTGCTGGCCACGAGGCGCGTCGTTTGTGCAGCTTGTCAGAAGTGCGAAGCACGTTCGTCACTAGACACATACGTGAGCGCCAGCTCTGGCGGGAAGATGGCCAGAAGAAGACGTGGGTTCCACCGTCCGCGTCGTCCCCCGCATCGACATCATGCCAGGCCATCGACATCAGTCGCCATGCTAGCAGTGTGGTCCATCAGCCGTTTCCTGATAGGCCCAGCAATCCGTGTAGCTGCCAAGCAGGGGGTCTGCGACGTGCCAGGGCTTGTATATCAGCAACCTGCCACTGGGGTTACGGCAAGCCATCATCCTACTGAGCAGCAGTCAGATCACGGACGGCGAATTTGGCACACAAGGACGCTCGCAGCACCATCAGCGTATTCGACGCCACTGTGGGCAACACACGCACGCACACGCTCTCTGGCTCACACGCGCATGCATTTTGCCCCAATTCGGCGAGAACCCGCCCGGGTGTCCTTCCATATGAGGTGCTAACTGCCGGCCGTGCGCTGGCGAGGCCAGACCGCGGACACGGCCATCCCCTGCGCGATGCAGTACGTCATTCCGCGCGCGCCCGCCCATCGCCGCCGCCCATACCCCCCTCGTCCCGCTCGCGTTCTGTGGGACGCTTCCATCGGGTCGCGCTGGGCACGCAGATCGACGCGCGGGATGCGCGGGCGCACCGTGCAGAGGGCAGCCAGCTTAAAACAGGCCCGGCACGGGCGACCGTTCACGCCAGCTCCTCCCTCCGACTCGCACACGCTCGCGCCTCGGGGCTCGCTCCCCTCCGTGCTGCCGGGTCGGGCCGCGCGTGCGCACGCACGCACACGTACATACACCGCCTGTGCTGTTGCGGTGCATGACATGGCGCGGGGACCTGCCGCCTCGCCTGGTTATAGGTATTGCACGGTACGGTGAGCCTTCGAGAACGGCGTGTAGCGCGCGCGCACGGGCCTATTGTGTTCGGAAGACGAGGCCCGCGTCAAGGCCGCGCAGGTGACTGGGAGGCTGTGATGCTGCGGCAGGGGCTCGCGCGAGATTAGGAGAGGGCCGCGCTCGTCGGGGCGGGGTGCGAGCGGGCGGAGGACGAGCGGTATGCGGAGCGTGCGCGATGATGGACAGCTGCGTGGGCGGACATAACGCACATAGACTCGAGACGGGCATGGATACGGGTCGCACGCGATCGACGCCCAATCTGAGTTGATGTGATCTAGGTACGAGATGCAGACGGGCATTTTGGCTGCAGTGGGCGGCGGCAGACTTGGACGGAAGGGCGAGAACGCGTTCGCAGGACGACGAGAGGTGGTCTGGGATTGGCAGGGGCGTCCGCAGAGAAGACGTGCAGAGTGCCGGGACGGAGGGAAGCCGCGAGGAAAGCGGTGCAGGGACGTGTCCGGAGGCGAGAGGGGCGAAAAGTAGCGGGTGCGCAGGCGGCAGTGTCGGCGGCAGTGCAGGGCAGGAGCAGCCCACGGCCATGCCATGGCTGAGCCTCCCACGGCGAATAGAGTTCGCTGCCCTCTGCAGATCACGGCGAATCGCACAGGTCGACTGCACGATCCGTCTGAAACTGAAACATATGGTCCCATGATGGCCAGCTCCTCCGCATTCGCGTGTCCACGCACCGAGGCGGAGACCCTTAGTGACGACTGCTTCTCGCCGTCCGCCAGTCGGTATCGTAGATTTGTCACCCCGGACATAGCTAGAAGTACCTGCGCCCCCCCGGCTCGCCCTTTCCAGTCACAACTGCCGGCTCCCCTCCCCTCACCGCCTCCGCACGCGCCAACGCCCCCCGCACGCTACCATACAGCCATCCGTCGGCCTACCCATACTTAATCCTTCCCCGCGACCCCCGTGCCACACCATGGCCGGCCACGCATCCGCGTCGCCAGCAAGCAGCGGCAGCCACTACCCCTCGCCCGAGACCTACTCCGACATGGCCTCCAGCAACGCGTCCCCCGCCTCGGGCTCCCCGTCCCTCTACACCCCGCGCGCACACGACGACCCCGACGCCGCCTCCCCAGACACACGCAGCCCCGAAGACCCCGCGGCGCGTCCCCCCGCAGAGGTCGCGCGCGCCCATTCCGCAGGCAAGGGCGGGTGCTGGTACGTCGATCGCCGCTCCCGATCACCGCGCCACCTCATGTGTGCCTTCTCGTCGTCCTCCTCCTCCTCGTCTCCGCCCGCAGGACCTGCCGCCTCCGCAGAAAGGTACGCCCGGCCCCGCGCCTCCCCTCCCACCCGCGTGCTGACGTGCTCACGCCCCCCTCCCCCGCCAGAAATGCGACGAAGAGCGCGAGGGCGCGAACGGCGCATGCAGGACGTGCCGCCGGCTGGGCATCGACTGCCTCGGCTGGGGCGCGAAGCGGCCGGACTGGATGAGGGTACGTCGTACGCGCAGCCGTGCCGCGCAGCCCACTCTCCTCACTCACTCACGCCCCGCTCCCGCTTCCCTCCCCTCAGGACAAAGAAAAGGTCGCGCGCTACAAGGCCAGCATCAAAGAGCAGCTCACCAAGGCGGGCCTCATCCGCGGCCAGCCCCGCGCGTCCTTCATGGGCGTGTCGCACCACGCACACGCGCACACGCACAGCACGCCCGCCGTCGCCGGCCCCGGGCCCTCCTCCGTCGCCTTCGCGCCGGGCGGGGAGCGCCCCGCGCGCGCCTTCCGCCACGCGCCGTCCGCGGGGAGCCTGTCCGCCATCCCAGGCAAGCCGCGCCCCCTCCTATCCCCGTGCGCAGGCGCTGACCTGCCCTTGTCCCTTGTCCCCGCGTGATCCGCAGGCGCGGCGAGCGCGCGCCAGAGCCCCACCACGCCCCTCCATTATACTAATAGCGCGCTGCCCGTGCCAGCGCACGCCCCGTACCACCACACCCACACCCACGCCCACGCGTACGCCCCATACCCGCCCGCGATGTCGCCTACGATACCCATCCCGAGTAATGACGACTACAGCACGCCGTATCTCTCGCCGACGACGCCTGGTGCGGACACGCCGGTGCTCGGCCTGCACCAGGGCCCGCAGCCCAGCCTGTCGCACGAGGACTACGTCGTGTACTACTTTGACCTCGTCCGAAAATTACAGTACCTGTTCGCGGGGAACTCTCTCACGAACACCCTCTATTCTGTGAGTCCCGCGTCGACGTCGCGGAAGCGTCGTGGCATCTCTGATCGTGTCGATCCTGATCCGTTGTGTCTCTTTCTCAGATTGTCGTGGCGGACCCAAGGGGGCCTGTCGCAAACACGATCGCGGCGCTGGCGAGCTTGCACCACGCGAGCGTGCGCATCGCACAGGGGCTCGACTCTCCGAATGCGAGCCAGCAGCAATCGATATCAAAAGACTACTACGAACAGGCGCGGCTACAGCTACAGCATAGCAGGACGCTCCACGGCCAGTACACAGAAACCGACGCCGTCGCCGCGGCGCAGCTCGTCAGCTATTCAGTGCTCTCCGGGGGATGGCGGGACTGGATGGCAGAGTTGGAGGTAGCGTGTGACTGGCTCGCGCAGACCCGGATACATGAGGAGCAGAACCCAAAGCTCATCCTGCTCAACATGACCGCGGAGGGCAAGTTCGCGGCGAAGGCGACCATGGTACGCACGCCCTCGCTCTTCACTAGACAGCTGCTGACAGACCTACCTCTCCGCTTGTTTAGTGGATTGACGTGTTGTCAAGCATAACCTTCGCACAGCCGCCACGATTCCTCTCGCTGTACCGCCGCCTGTTTGGTGGAGGCGCTGGTTACTGGGCGAACACGCGCCAGGGTAACCTACGCATGGATGCGCTCACAGGCTGTCCAGAGGAAGCGATGTTGGCACTCGCCGAGATCTCCGCCCTGGCGCACTGGAAGATGTCTGAACTGCGCAACGGTAGCCTAAGCGTACGCGAGCTCATCCGCCGCGGCGACATGATCGAGACCCAGCTCCGTCAGCGCGCGGCGCCACGACACGCGGGCGAGGGCAACCTCACGCCGCTTGACCCACACCTCGCCGCGACAACGATGCAATTCTCCATGACAATGTCAGGCACACCCAGCGCATCAACGTCGTCAGGCGTGACTGCGCACGCAACAGCCATCTCAAAGGATGAGGCCAGCACTGTCGTCGCTGACATCTTCCGCGAGACCGCTGTGCTGTACTTGCACACGATCTTGAGCGAGGCTTTGCCCGGTACGTCCACTTCCATGCACAGAGTTTTTCGGCCGACTCACCGTATGTTGCAGGGGTACCGGAAATCCACGGTGCAATTGCGAAGATCATCTCCCTTCTCCACATCCTGCCATCCTCCGAATATGACCGTGCTATCATTTTCCCGCTCTTCCTTACGGGCTGCATGTCAGATGACCGAGGTGTTCGGGATATGATAAAACGGCGGTTCTTGCTTTTGGACGACACCTTTGGCAACATCCACCAGGTATTGATGCAGCTAGAATCGATTTGGAATGAGCGGAATACAATGCTCACCCATCACGGTGGGACCGGCATCGTTCACTGGCGCGAGAGCCTCCGCAGCCAGTGGGCGAACCTGCTTCTCCTCTAGATGCTCTTTCGGAGCCGCCTCCAACATACATTATGCTCCACGCATGCGACGCTAGTCGTCCGTGCCGACCAGTCTCTCGCGCTTCCCGTTGATTGTACACCCACCCGTTATTTGTGTTCTGTAGCATTGTCCAATTGTTCTCATATTAGAATTGGCGCCTGTTGTTGTAAACTCTTTACGTTATCCCAAATGAATGAAACTATAATCTTACCTGTGCTCATGTGAATCCGTTTGCCACATTGCTTCGACATGCGCGCTCTTCTCATCACATCAGGTTCTTGCGGCAGATGCAGCCGGAGTCTAGGGAGGACTAGCGACATCGGCAGAAGACCCGAGAGGCGATGAGATAGCCACACGCCCGAGCGTAAGTGTAAGAGTCGAGCAAGACACGTCACACCGGCTGTGAAGCCGGAGGGTTATCACGTTGTCCGAGATGGTGAATAACCCGTGCGTCCCCGGCCAGAACGACATAGCCAACGGGCGGGGCAGACGCAGTTGGCGTCGGGATCAAGAGCCGGTCCCAGTGCCGAGGCGTCCCAGGAGGACCCAGGAGCAAGGCCGGTAGCATGAGGGGCGAGCGAGGGTGCGGGTGCGTGAGCGGGGCATGGAGGCAGCAGAGAGGAAGGAGAGGGCAGAGACGGACACTTTGATTCCTGGCTATATAGCCATTTCCCGATCAACCGGCATATCCCAACAGCCAATCATGCCGCCCTGTCTGCCCGCCCGGCGCCTCGCCCTTGCATGCCGGATCGCCGGCCATCTGCCGTTCGCCGCGCGATCGCCTGAGCGTTTGCCGCGGCGCCCCGTGTTGCTGCCTGCTGCCTGCTGCCTGCCTTCAGCCGCTTTCGACGGTGAGCAATGCGCCCGCGCACTGTCTCAGGCGGCGCGCGCATGCACAAAGGTAGGGGAGCCTCACCTGGCCCCCTCCAGCCCTTGTATGAACTGTGCTTATATACGCTCGCCCATGAGCGCCGCATCAGTCGGCGCTGAACATTGACCGTCGCAAATTTGTGCAGTGAGTGTGCCGCCCAGCCCCCCACAGGCAGCTTCACATGACACATCACCAACTTGGCATCTCCATTGGAGCGTCTCTGCCACGGGTGCAGTGCCCGACGCGCGCCGCCCGTCGCGAGCAATCAATGCACGGAGCGTCTTGACCGACAGCGCCCTCGAGATCCATGCGCCCATGTCACCCAGACCGCCTCCGAAGCGAGCGGAGTTGACGCTTGTTCGCCACTCCACCCTGCTCCTCCTCCTCCAAAGTGTCGGGTGGCGTCCGGACTTCCGCACCTTGGACATCGCCGGGATCTGCACTTTCTAGTAATGCGTGCGACATTCGAGAGCGTTCTCGATTTCTTATTTCCTCGACGGCCCGTTGCCGCCGCCTCAACGGTCAGCGTAATTGCCACTGGGCGCTGACGGCGGGCGCAAAATGAGCCCTTCCATTCCACGAAGCCGCTCATCGAACCTGGCGCTGATACCGAGTACGTGTTCGACGTCGAACAGGAACTGTCAAACCTTGCAATTATAAGCAGCGCATCGCGGTGCCGACGATGTCAATGAGACGCCGTCTAGAGAGGCGTGTCTGTCACTCAAGAATATTTGGTGAGCAAGACCCTGCTTGCTTACTTTTCTACTCGCTATTGCGCCTGCTTTCTGGTCTCGTCCCAGACGGTCTATGCCACCGGAGCTAGTATACTTTTATGACCAAACACGTAGGACAGCAAGCAAGGTGCCGATCAGAACCCATATTCTGTTTGGCGGGCTGCTCATACGCATGACATATGGAGTCCACATCGCACCCGCCCGCCTGCCTCTCAGTTCCGTATCTGATGACACCGCGTACTATCGCGCGTCCACATGGGCTTCAGCACACCGACGTTTGTGGCGACAATCCCCGGACCCCTCCTCGGCTTCCGCACGCGTGCCTGAGAGCCCGTGTCGTCCGCGGTCGAGGGCTTGCGTAGTAATCAAGTGTGTTGCTACGCGCTGCGCCCCGCCTCTTTAGCGGAGCGTGTGTTGGTGGCGCAGCGCCATGGGATCGGTGTCAGACAGGTTAGACGTGCCTGATCCGCGGCGGATCAGAGACGCCACCGTGTTTGTGACATCCCGCCTCGCGGGGTTTTGTGCTGTGTGTCCCCGGGTCGTAACGCAAACAAGCCAACGGAGGCATGAATATTTGAACTCCCGAGACTGCTCTTGCGTCTTTCTGCAGACTACAACCTCTTCTGCCACTATCGATGAGCATGCCCGAGTTTCTAAGGGTAGTTGGACATATCCCCACCACCAGCCTGGAGTGCGGGGCGGCCTGCCGGGCGCTACAGCATCCCCCACTATTTCCAGATCCGATCATCATCATTGTCATGCCAAGTGACTGGGCCAGCAGACACGCTGTATCAACATCTGCTCATGCCCTCCGGGCCGCCATTCGTCCTTGTTCCAACGGACGACGCGCGTCGACGGGAACGAAGGAGCGCGGGGTCGAGCACGCAAATAGTCGGGCTAAGTATCCTAGTTGCGCCGTATCCCGACGAGTGATCAATGTGGGTCCCCGACGCCTTTGCTCGTGGTCCGTGCCGAGTCTCTCGGACCTCCGATCGTTTGGCCTTACGAGCACGCCTTGTTGGCGTCCTGGCCATGCCCCGCAGGCGAAGTTTGTCTATACTGGCACCTTGAGCCGACCGCACCGACCGCACGGAGGATCCGAGGGATGCCGCGGATCGGACTCGCCGCAGTGTCGTGCGGACTCCACAGACGTTCGCGAATGGAACAGAAAGTTCAGGGCATATTCTCCGTCTTCCGCGCGCGGGCGCATCGTGGTGCTCTTGACGACTCCATGTGCTCTACATCCGCGTCCTGGGAGCGGTCCGGTAACAAGGAAGACGCTATGGCTCAGTTTGTCTTTTATTGTTATTGATATTTAGATCCAGCAGTTTCATATCCGCTTGAGGGCGTAGCTGGTTCGTCTTTGTCGACAGGGACTGGCTTGAGTGTAGAGTCGCGCCGCTTGTTTCCGTCGCGCACTGCATGCGCTGGAGCAGTGCTCCCTAGAGAGTCGATCCAACGCACGCCGCGTCCGCGTCCCGACGTGGGCTCACGCTGGTATTCTCGCCATGGCACTACGCGCGCGGCAGTCGGCCACGTCCCTCCGCTGACCTCACCTCGGGCTGAACGAAGAGCGAAGAGCGAATGGGGCCCCGCCGCCGCCGCCGTCTCTGGTCTCTGGTCTCCGTCGGCACGCGCCCCGCCGCATCACGCTCAAGCACCAACAGCGATGTCAGATGCGGTTCGGTAGCAACGTCGACGGTGCCGCGCTCTGCATCTGCATCTGCATCCCGACGACGGTGCTGGATGCCGAACGCTGACTGCGCTGCCCCAGAGCCCCGGGAGAGGAGAGGCGCGCCCCAGGCCCCAGGCCCCAGCGCCGCACTGCCACATCAAGCTGCCGAGGGGGAGGGAACAGGAAAAGAAAAAGGAAAAGACAAAAAGGGGCCTGCGCGCACAGGGTGGGCCGGGGCCGGGACAGGGGCGGGGGCGGGGAACCGCACGGCGCCGCGCGAGTCACGCATGGCCGTCAGCCTTAGATGCAGCTCTCCGCGGCTCCCTGGCGCACGCCGCAGCCGGCACCTCTCGCGCGGCCGTGCGCAGACGCAGACGGAGGCGGGGACGGGGACGGAGGCTGCGCCTGCATCTCCATATCTACACAAAGTCACGCAGATTCGGGACTCGCGCGCCTCCGGGCGCGCTTCCCCCGGCCCCGCCCTCCTCACCCCGCCTCTGCGACTTTGACACTGGCGCAGGTCGTGGCTCGCAGTGGCCTCCGACGCTTTCCGCCCCGTCGCACGCCACGCTGCAAGGCGCCGCGTTCTTGTCCGCCTTGCTCATTGCGCATTGGCCGCGGACATGCCTGCGCGACGGGCGTGTGAACGGCACATACATACACCCACGTCCAAGATAAAAGATAAAGATGCGGACGCGCCGCCGCCCAGCGGTGTCGGGTGCCGGGTGTCGCGGTCGGCTCTTCCAAAGTGGTGCCTCGTTTCTTATTTCGTGTTGTTGCACATTGCGTTCGTGATACACAGGCTTGGGGTTATATGATCTTGGCGGAAACGCCGTGTATTCGAGCTGGAGCCCCGGCCACGCGCCGGGGCGGTCGTTGTAGTAGGTGTAGCAGTTGTAGTAGGTGTAGCAGCCACAGAGCCTTGGCGCGCCCCGACGGGGGTTCGCGGACCGCCTTGGACGGTGGACCCGGAAAGCCATGCGCTCCGCTCTGCAGGACGTCGAAGCATTATATATATATGTATATGTATATATATCGCTGCATTGCGCCAATCCAAAAGACAACACCCCAACATCGAGCTGGACATGCCGCCCGGGTGCGCGTCTCCCGGCAGCGTGTCCGCTCGCGGTCGGCGCGTCTGCGCCGCCCCAGCCCAGCGGCCACAAGTCCAGATCCAGCGCATCTGTGGCGCATAGATCAGGTCAGCGAAAAACTATTATTTTCGATCGCTCTTCAAGTCTCAAGCTCTCAAGTCTCAAGCTCTCAAATCTCAAGCTCTCAAATCCCCAGCTTCAGGATTCAGGATTCAAGACAAGGGATGTGCGTCCCTCCCGATACCTCACAAAGCCCGGATGAGGAGTGCCTAGCCGCCGACCGCCAGCGAGGGCGGCAGGGGCGACCGTGACAGGCATGCATTAAACAACCCTACGGATACATATACGCAGCGCGGCGATAGATACTACAATATGGCGGGCACGACACGAGAGCAGATGCGGGGGTCCGGGTGAGGAACAGCATGACACGAGCATATGCGGATAGCGGGGTATGAGTGCATACATGCGATAGCAGGGCGGGGCGAGAGTAGGGGAGTGGCGTGGTCCGTGACAGGTAGCAGCGGGCAACTACTTACCGGAGAAGCAGGTGTGGAAAAGCCGTAGCATGAAAGAGTCCACCAGAAAAGGAAACACGGGGAGAGGGTCCAGAATCGCACGTACCATCACGCAAGGGCCGAGCGGGAAGAGCGCGCCCCCCGGCTCTCGCCTACCGGCGCCGCCCCCGCCCTCCGCGCGCTCCCCGGCGCGTCCTCGTCGATGCCGAGACAGCGCACGAGCAGCGCGAGGTCGAGCTCCGCCCAGCCCGCATAGTCGCCGCGCCGCATCTCCGCGAGGCGGCGCTCGTGGAACGCGACGTGGTACGGGAGCACGACGGTCCAGTGGTGCTCCTCGCACAGGCCGACGAGGCGCGCGACGTACGCGGAGCTCGCGGCGCCCAGGCGGTGCACGCGGGCGAGGTCGCCCGTCGCGGCGGCCGCGGCGAGGAGGATGCGGAAGTAGAGCGAGAGCGGGTTGACAAGCGCGGAGGGCGAGGGGTAGAAGCGCGTGATGCACTCGAGCGGGGTGAGGGGCAGGGCCGAGGCGGACGGGAGCGGGGAGGGCGCGCGCGCGCTGTGGCTGCGCGGCAGGGAGAGCTTGTAGAGGTCGTGCGGGCTGAGTGTGTGCTGGGTGATGGCGCGGAGGAGCGCGGGGTCCAGCGCGGGGAAGAGCTCGGGGAGCGAGGGGCTGGAGCTGGACGCGGACGTGGGCCTGGGGAGCGGGTATGCACGCGGGGAGTGGTGGTGGAAGCGAGAGTTGAACTCGGAGCGTGTTTTGTGCAGTTTGGGACGGGTGGACGGGGGCGTGGGGCGCGGAGACGAGAGGGGGGTGATGTCTGATCGAGCCTGGGACTGGATCATGGACAGGAGGTGTGTAAACTGATCGGCAGAGAGAGTGACTGTGCCTGGCGAGACAGCGGTTGCGGCATCGTCAAAGGTGTCGTCGTATTCGGCCTCTGCGCTGTCGAGGTCGTCAAGCACGGAACGTGGCGGCGTGGGGGCCGGCATGGGGTATACTGAACCAGTTTCTGGCGTGGCGGTGGGCTCTGAGATGCGATGTGTGGCTGAGCTGTGTGCGGCGGTGAGTGTGGCTGTACGCGCTTGCATGGTCTGTGAGTGGAGATGGTTAAGAGGAAAGAGAGTAGGAGGACGAAGGAGAGAGAGAGAGAGAGAGAGAGAGAGGAAGATGAAGATCCGAGGGAGGAGCGTGTGCCGCGCATGGCTCGCGCCAGTTTTGGGAAACCGACGAGGGAAAGTCAGCGAAAATGATGGACGTGCGACGCGCCGTTCGCGCGCGTCCCAGTCACGCCCCCCGCTCCACCTCCAATCGCAAGCCGCCCATGACGTATGCCTGTGGCCGCCGGCGTGGGCTTCCAGCGCTGGCATCGCTTGCGCTTGGGAGCCTTCGTACGTCTGGCTACGTCATCCGCCCGTCGTCTTCTGCTGAGCCACACGAGCCTGGGCGGCCCAGAACCTGTCACAACTGAATGTGTGTCGTTCTTCGCGCTGTATCAGACATCGGTGCTACCTGCGGGCGAGCAAGCGTGGGGTCAGGAGATCAAGAGCATGATCGCCAGTGGAATGCCGACAGTCTGGTATACCCACGTCGACGAAGAAGCACAATCAACCCGACGTCATAAGTCGTTCTCTCGCGTCCATCATGCAGCTATCCATGTCAGGATGCGGTGCTTCTCCTTTCGCAAGTCATCCTTCCCAGACCCAACGGCGATCGGCGCATGGCCACCAGTCCGGATTCCTGGTTAGCATATATAGTGCTTGATGGATGTCTTCCCACTACGCAGCGGACATTGAGCGCAAACCTCGTCATTCACATCCGCTGATTCAGGATCGGCAACCTAGTGCCAGCAGTGGCCTTCCTCGAGCGCCGTATGACTTCATCGTCCACTGATTTCTGCTCCGAATGTTTCAATGCACTGATTGTGGGCTCACTTTGAGGTATCGTGGTTGTTACAGGCACTATGGTCGATCAAGGTGGTGACTTTCACCCAGCGCATGAGCCAAAAACAGCTTTCACTCAACTGGTGGGCGAAATAGGCGGTGAATTGGCCTGTCGGTGAAGTTTGTAGTGCAATCACTACTATGTAGGTCGAAATTACTCAAACAGAAAACGGGGGGTAGGTGGTTAATTCGGTCATATGAGAGATCATTTTCAACATCGCAGTTGCGACTACTCAGTTGTTGAATATCACCACAGGGGGGTGATCTTCACCCATAATGTTGGATTTTCGCGACTACTTCACCAACTTCGAAGACTATAGTGTAGGCGTGAGCAAGCGAGGGCTCGGCATCTCAACTTAGTCGGCCCCTCGGCCTCGACTGTGATAATTGTCCCTCATATATAGCGCTTGATGGGTGCCTTCCCACCTCATCGTTCATATCCGCTGATTCAGGATCGACAACCTCCTAGTGCCAGCAATGGCGTCGCATGACTTCGCCGCCCACTGATCCATTCTCCAAATCCTCTCACTGCAGTGATCGCGGGCCAACTATTGGGTATATCGCTGTTATTTCAGGCGTGAGCAAGCGAAGATTCGGCATCTCAACTTCTCGGGAAGCTCCATTGTTCGTTCTTGAAGCGGCCGATCAGCACTGCGGGCGCCCATGTCTGCATTGCGGACGCATCAATCCTAATCCAGTCGCATGGAGCACAACTCTCCTCGGCCTCGACTATGATAACTGTCCCTCTCGCGCTCGTGACCCGCGCACTCGACGTTTCCCCCATCTTGCGAGATCCAACACAGAAATGGCCCCCCTGATAACAGTCCTATTGCACCATCGGATTCAGGGATGAGGTGACGCCCACACGCAGCTGACATACCATTGACCCCTTCGCCATCATTGCTCCAGCTTCTCTGTTGATAAGCCATTCCTGCGCGCACAAGCCCATGGTATTTAAGCCAGCTCGAGAGGCTGGTGACTGTTATAGGCCTGGAGATCCATATCCCACCTAGAACACCCACCACCTACCCATAGCCCGGCACGCACCATGCCCGTTCCCGCCCCCGAACTCGGCTCCTTCAGCTTCGTCCCGGAGACAAAGGTGCGCCCGTGTCCTTCCGTCTCTCGTCTGTTCCGCGATCGTGAGCTCACGGAAGTGGTACGCGCACAGGAGAACCTCGACTGGGCGGACCTCGTCACGCTCGACTTCAGCCTGCTCGGCACGCCCGAGGGCCGCGCGCAGCTCGTGGCGACGCTCGTGCGCGCCGTGCGCGAGGACGGCTTCTTCTACGTGAAGAACTTCGGCATCTCGCAGGAGCGCGTCAACCGCCAGTTCGCGCTCGGCAAGCGCTTCTACGAGCTCCCGCTCGAGGAGAAGCTCAAGTATGTGCCCGAGGGGCTCGGTGCGTCGACTCTGTGCGCATGCGCGCGCGCACGCCAATGATGCCGATGGGCGCGCGCAGACAACGGCAAGTTCAACGGGTACATCCCGGCTGGGCGCAGGATGTGAGTCGGGCCTGTGCGCGCGCGGGGGCGAGGTCTGATGTACTGACAGCTTGGACGAGACGTCGGGCCTGCGGGACCGCGTGGAGATGTACAACATCCCGAGTACGTAGCCCGTCGCGCCTCGATGCACACGCACAATCAACAGGCGGCATTCACAGAGTTCGACGGATATTTCCCGCACGAGCACCCTGCGCTCATTGAGGAGCACATCGCCGAGATCGAGGAGTTTGCGAAGGTCGGTGGTGGCATGTTTGCTGGCGTTGAGTACTTGGATGACAACAAATACACCTGCAGTCTCTGGACAGTGAGGTCCTGGAGCCCCTCCACAGGCTGCTGGCCGTCGCGCTCGAGTTGCCCGAGGACACATTCCTGCAGCTGCACAAGTACGAGAAGAAAAGCGAGGTCAGTCCGGGCCTCGAAATGATCCGCGCCCCCTTGCCCTCACCGCTGACGCCCGACCGTCTGCGGACAGGACCATCTCCGCTACATGAAGTACACCAAGTACAGCCCCGAGGAGAACCTCAAGCTCGGCAGGATCTGGGGCCGCGGCCACACCGGTATGTCTTGCCTTCCCTCAGACACGCGCGCGGAACGCAGCAAAGACTGACGGCGGAGTCCGGACTTGAGACCTCGGCACCTTCACGCTGCTCTTCCGCCAGCCCGTCGCCGCGCTGCAGATCCGGCACCACACGACGGGCGCGTGGAAGTGGGTGAAGCCGCAGGACGGCACGCTCACCGTGAACACGTGCGACGCGCTGTCGTTCCTCACGGGCGGGTTCGTCAAGAGCACGGTCCACAGGTACGTGCATCTGTTCATGTGGCGCTGTGGCGCGGGCCGGGCCGAGCTGAGCGCGCCACGCAGGGTCGCGGCGCCGCCGAAGGACCAGGAGCACGTCGATCGCCTCGGCCTTCTGTACTTCCAGCGGTACGTCGTCGCCGTGCATACTATCCTGCCCGCGATGCCGATGTGTATGCGATCCCAGCCCCAACAACGACGTCAAGCTCGCCACCGTCAGCGCCTCGCCGGTCCTGCAGCGCGAGGGCCTCACGCAGAACGAGTTCGAGCGCACCGGGAACCCCGTGCCGACCATGGAGGGTGCGTCGCTGGCCTGCATGTTATGCGCTCTTGCGCCCAGTTCGGTGGCTGACTTTGAATTGGCGCGGGCGCTGCTGCAGAGTGGACGTTCGCGAAGCAGAAGTGGCAGCGCACGAAGAACATCGTGTCGACGGACCCGGCGTTCCAGACGGCGCAGATCCTGCCCGGGTGGAACGAGAAGGTGTATGCATGAGTGGCGGATGGGGATTTTGTGCGCGAAGCATGTGTCGTTGTCTGTGTCTGAGCGAGGAATCATGTACATGTATAACATCGAAGCTCTGGAATGGGCGGTAACCGTGTACGTGGCGATGCGATGACGTCCGACTAATGACAGAATAGAGACTGACAACACCCAGTCCTTTGGTCTGCATAACAGCGTTTCTTGGGCCGCTGCCTCTCTGTAGCAGGATCTGACGATGGTAAAGCAATGTCACGAGACATATATATTTAAATAATGGTGCCGGCACGAGAATTAAAATACGGGCGTATCCGAAGAGCCAATAAATACTTGCGCACTCCCGCCACATATCGTCAGAGCACTGGATACTAATCCCCACTGCAGTCAGACGAGTCATCGTCTGCCTCGCATGCCAGGTGTGGAAAGCTAAACACAACCTGCACAAAACAAATTCCCCGGTCAGTCAGCCCGTCGGGACGCGCAGTGCGGCCAGAACGAGCACTCACCTCTGCCGACCCCGGTGTCCGGCTGGCATGGCATCGCATTTCATTGGCTACCTCTGACGGGAACTTGTGCGCCTCGTGGCCGTAGCTTGCGCATGCCGTGTGCCACCACTCGAGATGGCCGAGGCATGAAGAGATGTCCCCTGGATGGCGGTATGCGACACACACGTACCGGGCGGAGCCGACGTGACGGATGATGGGGCTATACAGCGACTCGGCGACCGCCCGGAAGAGCTGGAGATCTGGTGTGTCTTCTCCGTCCGGGCTCGTCTCTTCTTCCGCATTGTGGCCAGCCCCTCCTTCGTCGTCGTCGGGGTCTCCTTCTTCCTCGTAGTCAGACTCTTCGCCGTCGCTCTCTATGGGCTGGTTGCCGTGTTCCCCAAGCTCGCCGTTGCCTACAGCTTCGCCGTCGTTTGGGGCGTCGACGCCGTCTATAGTCCCGCCGCCGTGTTCCGCGGCTCTGCGTTCGGGTTGTATATTTCTTCCCGATGATTCGGGCTTCTTGTATTCCACACTAATCTTCAGACACAAGACATCGAGGAACTGCCCAAGAATCGGTAGGACTTCATCCTATCGTGAGGTCGTGAGGATATGAGGAAGTAGCAGAACAACCGGCAGGCCTGCTTACCTTCCAAAACCGCAGATATTCTCCAGAGACTTGTAGCTCCAGCTCCATACATTTGACTTCACGAGCCTTGCGCGCGAACTTGTGCCAGAATTCCGGAGGAGCGGCGAGGTCCATGTCCAGGCTGAGTATGATCGGACGCATGTGGCGGATAGCCCACAGGATTGTACTGTACTCCCTTCGCTCGTTCATGCCCTTCTGTATCCGGTCCACGGTGTACTGCAGAATGAGGCAGTTTACCGGACACTTAATCCTCCAGGTGTAGATGTCACCCACTTGAGCAAGGACGTAGCCCAGCGACTGCCAGTGTTCTATGTCTTGTGCTGAGCGGAAGACGTCGCGGACATGGGCAAGGGAAAGTATACGGAGGTTAGGAAAGAGACGAACGATCTGGCGCAGGGGCGCGTCGGTATTGTATAGGTCCAGTCGTTGCAATTGTGGCAGAGGTTTCCAGGAGTCCATGTAGATCGAGGTTTGCTGCCGATTCTCACTGAGAAATCCCAGCTCTTGTGCCAAAAATCCATTGATACACAGACATGACACGTTGACCAAAGCGGGACTTGTAAACAGGGGTGTGTGATCGACTCCAAAGCGATGGAGTTCACCCAGAGAGTGATAATGGTTTACGTATGCTGGCCTGCTCCGAAGGCGGGAAAAGAGATCGATACTTAGAGTACCGCCATCATGCAATATAAGATTCTCGAGACCAGGGAGCTCGGTGATAGCATGTCCAAGGGTTGGGTCAAGACGAAGTAGGCCCTCGATCCGGTCGAGATTGAGACCATGCAAGCCCGTCGCATTCTTGAGCACCTCTGCAAGGAGACCGACGGTCTCTGCCTTCACATCAGTTGCGTAAGCGAGCTTGAATTGCCGTAGGAAACTCATGCGTCTGGGCTCTCCTAGCATGTACTTGCAATATGCACGCGTCTGTTCGTCGTCAGAGACTTCAACGTCTTCATGGGCCCTCTTGTAAGCGAGGCCACGCAGGTATTTGGATGTAAGCGCTAGCTGACGCGCATCGGGAGACGAAAGTAGTTTGATGACGAGGCGGACACAGTCATCGTTCAGCTGTAGCATGCTGTAGAGGTTTGCCTTCTAACGATACGAAGTGATTGAGTGAGTGTGTGGCTACGATGTGGAGACTATTTCGGCTAGATAAAACATTGGAGGTCAGCTTTGAGGGCAGTGGAAAACTACGACACGCACCTGGGTCCTGCCAGTCGTCAATTGGGGTTAGAATGAGTTGATGTCTAATGAGTGCGGATCTGCCGCTTTTTAACCGTTCAGGCAGCATGGGTTTGTTGGTGTTGTGTTTGCCCCCGTTTCCCTATTCGTATTGCCATAGATGTATGCCTGGGAGATCTGTTGTGTCGAAATATGGCTAGGCGCGTCTCTCCTCGATGCTGTGCTGTGTTTCCACAGCGATAGAGTCACGGAGCTCTAAAAAAGTACAATGTGTCAATACCATTTTAAGCATCGGGACATTGTGGGTTTTCAGATACGTACCTCGACTCGGCCCGGTTTTCGCGATCTAGAAGCATGTCGACCCACGGCTGAGTAACAAGCTATGAGTACGATACAAGCTGTTCGGGATCTGGATCGGGTTTCTGAGGACGTACGAGTCGAGAAAACATCCAAGCCATACCTTGACGACTTATCGACAAGATTCGTGAAGATCGGCGCGGTACGGGCAGGACGACTGCATCGTGATGGAAAACCTGTCCGGACACACTGCTTTACAGAGGCAACAACTTACCACTATTGAGCCAAGGCACATGGGTGAAGTAGGCGCCAATTGATTTTCAAAAACGAACTACGCGTGTATGTTTGGCAAGACTGGCATAGGTGTTCCTACTAAATGTGTTAATACGGTCATGATATTCGTGTTCTCGAATCCAAATTGACTTATTATACATCCAGCCGGACATTCAGGTTGTTTCTCACCAAGGGATGGAAAGAGAAGGCAGGCCATGCATCATCGTGCTTCTCGAATTTGGCGCCTGCATTGGAGTTCAAGCTTCAAGAGCCATAAGTCCCCTTATGATTCTGCGCTACTTTCGTGTGTAACGAGATCTTGTCGAATCCATCTTCGTCATCCCGTGGAAGCTAAAGTTGATGCCACAGCCACACTAGCCAGCTTAGCGCTTACGTACCATGCTCGCCTATCTCGATAGCTTTCCTACAACACGCCCGGACGACCGTCAAGGCCTGGAGTCTTGTATCTCATCTCGTAGCTCTCCTCGCAACATGTAAATTTGTCCTTCTGTGCAACCTAACCCACCCCCACCCCCCGTCCTAGATTCAACTACTCTGGCAGATTTAGATTGCACGCCGAGCACTTGTATGTCACCATCCCTGTCAGGCTCACTTACTCCTTTGTAGACACCATGTCAAGTACATATCTGCAGATTGCGACAATACTCGCGAGCGATAACGAGACAGATTTTAATAACAGTACGTGAGCTATACCGCCAGGCGACGACTCCAAACATGACACTGTGTACAACCCTCTAAGTGACGAGGATAAACGAGGGCTCGGATCGCGTGCACGGATAGTGGATGACGATTGAAGCGCAGCTCACTTGCGCAATAAGTCGCTTCATGAATCTATCGTCCGTCTGACGGCACATCCTTCACCTCAACAGTGAGGTCTCTCCGCTTCAGTGCTTGACCTCGCGATAGCGCGAAAAGAGAACGTAGAGGTATCGCGAACTCAGAAAGATCCGAAGACCTTGTGGTGACTCCGATCAGCCGAATGCCACTACCACTTCGCTGCAGCGCTGAACCGGACATCGTAAGCGCCTCAACCGCTTAGCCTTGGTGGCGCACCGTTGTCATTGATTCAGACAATAAAGGTGGCCAAGGCGAGGTCTCTGCAGGTGGACACAACGTCCATGCGGCATGGTTGAAGTTTTAAGCGACATGAACGAGGACCTGCGCTTTGTGGCGGATTCTTTAGCGACCGCATCTCTATATAAAAAGACAGTACCAGCCTCCGTTTCGCTCATCCGGCCCACATTTCTCGTTCCCCTGATCATCGACTTGCTTGCTTTCTTGTCTCAGGTATGTCTGTATGTCATTTATGTTGGTCATGTGAATGGATTATAACCCTCCAGCTCATTCCTAGGGATGTAGCCACTGTCACGATGGCATCCTTGGGTATGGCTATGAATCACAACAATCAGTTCCTCGATCTCATTGAAGACATGCAGAGAGAATTCACGAGCTGGATGGCAGCCCGTGATAGGCACCGTCTGTGGTGTGCTTCAAGAGCACTCCAGAGCGATCCGATCACGCGAGCTGCCTTCACAGACGTCATTCTGACGACTTCGAGACAGGTCTTGCCATTCTCCCGTGACTTGTTCATGAATGGCCCTCGCAAGTTCTACTCTCTCACGAAACTGGAACTCATAGGCCGTGCCAGCCGGGCGCTGGAAAAGTCTACTCTCCAGTACCTCGGGCAAGCGTTAGGTCAAGCCCCCAAACTACGGGAGCTGAAACTCACGAATAGCGAAGGGCTCTTTGAAGCAGAGGAATCACTTGGTCCAGCAATCGCGGAACTGCATACTCTCAAAAAGTTGGAGTTGCGAGATGGCGGAAGACGCACAATAAAGATCCTTCATGATCTTAAAAGCGGCCTCCGACATCTCGTTCATGACACGTGCAGGTCAGTCTATGAAGATGATGCGCACTACGACTATAGCCCAATCCTCCTGAGCAACGCTGTTCGAGAGCTCGAAAGTCTCAAACTGTCGGCTTTTGATTATGATGCTCTGCCGCTAGAGCTGCGCAAGGGCCATTGGCCACGCATTCCATCTCTCTGGTCGCTAGAACTGGAGGGCTCCTCGACACCAATGTTTCCTTTCGTGGAGGCGTATCCGAAGATACGCAAGCTACACCTATTCGAGGTCGGATACCATGTCGTCGATGACAATGACGGCGTCGACGACAACATCGCCGACGACAACATTCCCGCCGACGACAGCGACGACTTCCCTGCTGACGACGCCGGTGGCGATGTTCACATGGACGACGATGTCTCCACAGAGGAGGACGTCAACATGGAGGAGGAAGACGTCGACGTAGACGAGGACGATGTCTACATTGGCGGTGGCGACATCGTCACGGAAGACGACGATCTGGACGTCGACACGAATAACATGTCCAAGTGCTGGACGAGAATCGCGGAGGTCACTGTCGAGCTCAGCACGCTAGCATCATGGCACTTGAAATGCCCCGTCCATCATTTAGAGCTTTGGCATTCAGACTCGGCGGAATTCGGAGACCATGAGAGACCTATCAATACGAACCTTTTAGCCACTAGAGCGCTGACGGAGATGAAGCCATCCGTGTTGACTGTAGATGCGCGCGTGCATCTTCGCGAGGAGGTGTGGGAGCCGCTTGTGAGATCCATGACAAGCGTCAGGTATCTGGAAATAACACTCACTTGCGGACTAGAGCAAGAGAACGACTTTCAGGGATGGATGGTAAGTCCCTCAAATTTTCGTCCTGCGACAACTTCACTGAGCACCATGCAGAATGCCGTCGTACCGCTCCTAGGATCACTCGACCTACAAGTGCTAAAATTCCAACTCTCGGCCTGCCATAGGAATATGCCAGACGACCCGTTGGATGTCGGTATGTTCGAGCGCATGGACAAGGCACGTCATGAGTTGCCGTCGTTCCTCGCAAGCAATGCGGCCTTGGGGTCACTGGAGTGCTATCTCTGTGTGCAAGTCGTCAAAAAGGATTGGATCGGTGGCTATGCGTTAGAGGACGAGGCAGATTGGTATCGCATGCACCGGGACGGAGGACGCCGCATACTGCACAAGATCCCGTCTGAAGTCGGCGAGAAGATACTGAGCGATGCGTGTCTAATGCCCGAGAGGTTAGTCGTGACGTTATATGATCTGTTGGATTCCACTCACCATTCGTTCACAGTGACACCTAGTTCGGAAAGGTGATGATGTCGTGGTTCGTCGCGACGAGTTGTAAATGAATGAATATGGACTTTTGCAAATGTAGCGTGTCTTGATATGGGTTATCTGCATGTCTTAGTAGACTTAGAAGAAAGACGCGTTCAATGACTCGGTACATATAAGGTGAGTGGAGTAATACCTCAGCGACACTGAGATTGTCAGCGGCAACAACTATGATACTCGCAGCATTTGAGGCAGTTTCGTCCTGTGTCTGCGATTAAGGTTGACAACCGCAGTAGGAAGCTGAGGAAAGCGAGATCGCGGATGGAAGAACGTGCCTAGCGAGCGAAATGAAGTGCAGATGACCTAGTGGTGTGAGTGTGGTCCGATGCATTCATGATCGATGAATCCCAATGACACGCCGCATACTTGGAAAGTTGGAGGGTCGAATCGCATAAACATCGACGGTCCGCCGAAAAAAGGATCGCCTTGCAAGCAACAAATCGATCGAGTCGACGGGTCCTACTCGATTTCAGCGGTGACAATGAATGCGGATAAACGAAAGAACTCACTCAAGCATCGCTTGGGTGCCTTGTTTTCTGTGGATGTTCACAGTATTCATCGCTCATCAAATTAGTAGGCCTCATGCTCGTCGCTGCGTCTCATGCCTCCAACGTCCCAAGTCTGCATTGTAAGGGGTCCTCCAGGCATCTGTAAGCGAAACGTGTATGGTGCGGTCGAAGAAACAAGATGTGCATCGCGTTTCAACTCGTGGCATCGCCTGTAGACGACGAATGAGTTCATCGAATGCCAGAATTAGACGAGCGTTCTAAATGCGATCCTCACGGCCTGTCGAGCGATATTATATGCATCCTCTGCTGCCGAAGACGTCTCGCCAGGTATAGGACTTGCAGAACTGACGATGGCGGCGTGAACTGTCGTAGTGGGAAAAACGAGGCGTTGCTGCCGCGATGCAATGCCGCATGTGCTTCAGTAATAAGGGTGACAGACCACCTGATGCGAACAAGTGCCAAGGAAGATCACGGTTCAGCTTCTCTCATATGTCAACCGTTTCTTGCGACTCATACTTAAATATGCTGCGCAACGTGCTCGAGGGGGTTCTCCAACGGCCGCCACTATCGTTCTCCCAGAGTCTTTGGCCCCATCGAATCCTATAATTTTCGCCCGTCCTTACGCGTCCATCCCCTAAGACTAAACATCCAGACATAATGCCGTCGCTCTTTTCAACCGCGAAAGCAGCCGCCGTGTGGACCCTCCTCGGAGCAGCGCAAATTCACGCTGCGACGAATCTCAAAGTTCCCTTCAAGACGAGCCTAGCGTGAGTCGTGAACACGTTCGAGATCGTCTCACAAGCTGAACATCTCGTAGGCCGAATGCCGCGCCATTCTACCGTGAGTTGGCCCTCACTCTTGAATCAAACTGTCCTGTTGAACAACGATTGCAGGCCCATCCGCTCCTCTCACCAATGCCGCGCTCAAAGTGGTCGCCGTAGGTACGTGCTTTCAAGTGACGCGTAACTGATTCCTCTGACGGGCTCTCGGCGTCGCATCGGGGACTGCAGTACAAGCTGGAGATGATCAGACTTTTAATGAAGTCTTGGTTGATACGGGCAGCGCCATCCTCTGGGTTGGTGCGCAGGAGAAGTATATTCCTGGGCCACACACGCAGACGTGAGTTCCATGCCATATCGATCATGAGTGACAAACGCTCACGCATCACCGTCAGGACAAACGAAACGTTCAGCGTAGGGTGCGTCCACATCTGAGGAACTTACGTTCAAGCTGGATTACACCTGTTCTTGCTTAGATACGGCACGGGCGGCGTCAACGGCACTGCGTATCTGGACCGCGTCACTATAGGACAGGCGACAGTGTCCTCCCAGCTCATCGGCTCTGCAGGATATATGCAAGGTTTTACTCTCGTGGAGCCCATTGGTGGTATTGGTGAGTGCCCAACATAGTATCATTCAGTGGTGTACGGACAATGCCCAGTCAGCGATCACGGTCAGCGAGTGATGCCTTCTGTAGTCAAGTGATTTGCCGCTTCCCCCAAAAACATCACGACAGCGCGAGTAGCCGCAGACTTCAGATCTTGTGGATCCCCTTTCCTTTCCGGACGGTGTTTTAAATCACGGGCGCTGTTGATGCATTCCCCGGCGCTACTACTTGCTGCATGGGACAGTCCTTGGAGCGCGGGCAAAGTTATCGTTATTGCAGCCATCTGGCCGTTCATGTCACTGGCCCGTACATCACTGGTATTTGTACTCGTCCCCTCCTTCGACGCTGACCTCGGGGCGCAGTGGGACTTGGCCCGTCCGGCTCGAATTACGGCGAAGTGTCAGGTCACAATACGACGCCGACATTCGTCGAGAATCTGCTGTCGGAGGGGTCGATCGAAAGCGGCGTGTTTGGCATCTATGTCAGCCCGCTGAGCGAGAACGGCGTGCCTGAGGGCTTTGGCGAGATCACCTTTGGTGGTGTCGACCAGAGCAAGATCAACGGTATGTGTCATGGCATTTATCAGCTATCCATATGATCTGATGAGGGACACCGCGTAGGAGATGTCACTTGGCTCCCCCAAAACCAGCCGGTCGACTTCCACTGGGAGTTTAACGTGAGTCTTCCCTGCATTTGCTCTCGAAGAATAGTGTGTCTGATCCGCCCCCGTAGGTCTCGAGCTTCACAATAGGCGAGAACGTCACCGCTGGGCCCATATATGCCCGCACAGACACTGGTGTACTGTTCATCGCCATTCCCTTGTGAGTCTGGAGACCGCTTCTCACTCGTGCTCGAATGCTGAACTCTCCGCAAGTGATTCGTTCGTCGCACTGCTCGCCGATATTCCTAACGCATCGCTCGACCAGTCGTCAGCCATTGCCGGCACCCTCGTCTTCCCCACCAACGTCACCGTCGACTCGTTGCCCGACATGGAGATCGGCATCGGGAACCTGAACTTCAGCATTCCTGCTTCCAAGTAGGTGCTCGGTCGTGTTGTGAGTGGCACGTCGCTTACAATATCTGCAAACAGGTACATTGTGCCCCCGACGTTGCACGCGTCCCTGAATATCACGGACAACCTCACGCACACCTGGCTTGCCTCGGGTGGCCCGGATATGTTCGACCTAGGGCAGAAGTTCCTGGAAAACGCGTATTCCGCATACGACAGTACGTACTCCTCTGTCTTCTCGTGACATTTCTAACGAAAAGCGCTTCTACAATGCGACGTATGTCCAGTCGAGAACCATCGTGAGCTTCCACATCTTTCACACGCAAGGGTGCTGCTGACCTAGCTTATTCTCAGTCGTCGGTTTCGCACAGCTCGCGTGAGACCTGTGGCGTTCTACGGACAGACCCTTTTGTTATGGACTATGCTGTTATACGGACATGTTGTGTAGCTGTCGAAGCTCTCCAATGAACTTTTCTATGGTACAGAGGCTCAACGGGCATTCATTGCTAGTAGAGTACAAGCTGACAAGCACCCAGCACGACCTTCACAAACGCACGAGACGAGACCAGGCGAAGAAAACGAGACATCACGACAGCCAACCTTCCACGGCTTCGACCAGTCGCGTGGTAGTATCCGGCCCTCGCCAGAAGTGGTTTGCTTCAGCAATCCTGACGATCTCTAGCTTTCCTCTGCCGTCAGCTTGCCGTGACAAGTCGTCGGCCCACAAATCGTATTCTTCGACGGATGTAAAGTTGTCCTCGTCACCATAGACAACGAGCACGACGGCTCGCGGATCGCTCAAGAGCGTGTTGAGAGCATTTGTGTAGTATCTCCCATGGAATGCGGTGAGCCAGTGCCGAGGACTGAGGGGATACGAGAGCAGGATGTGCGATATTTCCGTGTCTGGAAGGATTGGGTGGAGGGATACGATCAGCGAGCCATACGAATAACCCTAACATCATCAAGCGTCGGTGATGCGCTTCGCCTGCTGTTAGAACAGATAGAACGCACGACAAGCACGAGGGACCGCACAGAGGACATAGACATCACGGCCCATTGGATCAGTTCCTGCAGGTCCTGGGCTTCGCTCTTTCCTGTCCAGGATGATCGCCCGGTCGACTGTCCTACCCCGCGGGAGTTGTACCGCAGGACGTCATATCCTTGCGCGTGCAATGGGCTCATGAGCATTTGCAGTACGCTAAGGTTTCATCCGGTAGTTTTGCAGGCGTCGAGATCGCGTTAGTCCACGCGAAATGGCAGAGAACCCGGGTCAACCCAGCAGCTCCGGTCAGCCAGGATGCTGAAGACGCACGGATCCTCCATCCTCCCGCCCAGCCATGCCCATGGATGCAGGCAGACAGCTAGTTTGCCCTGGTCGGCGTCGGCGTCGAGTTCGTCGGATGTGTACGCGGAGGCGGGTGCTAGTGAAACGTGGCATTCCAGACGCGTGCCAGAGGGAAGGTCGACCAGTTGGTGGCCGTCGCTCAGTCGTGTGGGCCGTGTGCTTTCCATTGTGCGTGAGGATTGCGGGAACCGGAAGCGAGGGCGATCCTGGGCAAGGGGCTCACGTGCGCCGCCGCAAACGCGTCGACGCGTCGCGATCGCGTTCATCCAGCTATTCCATTGCCTCACGCATCTGTTCTGCATCCTTGGTTCAACCCCACAGATGATCATTCCCATACATGCCTCAAATGTTGGTGCATCCACCTCTCAGCACACATTCCCGCCTCAGCTCGCACAATTCGGGAGCGAAGAGGTCATCCTCATCGAGCTCCAGGGCTCGCTGGAGGCGGAAGGGGATAAGCAGGGCCAGACGGTCGGAAAGCTACGAATAGACGATGCGACTGTAAGCCGAAGACGCTGCTGTATCCGGATGTCCGCCTGACCCATTTTGCACGCGTAGAAGAAGTCCACTCTGCGGATAGGGCACCATCTGCTCGAGGGAAAGCTCGTCAATCTCCCCAAGCCTTTGGCAGTTCTACATCGCCGTCCGAGCGACACTGCTGCCGACGGGGATACGTCGATGAATGACGCGGATGAGCCAGACAGCAAGAGACCACATGCAGGATGGGACGTAGTGGTGATTGTAAGACGTAAGATGGTATTCTCAAAGCGACCTATGCCCATGATGGATAGGGTTGCCACTATGGTCTCTATGGAATCGAAGATGGGAGAAGGAGGGAAGTGAGCTTGTCCTGCCGTCAATGTGAGACATCCACGATGTACAAACCCAAATGAGTCTTTATTGCTGTACTGTCGAGTACACAGGAATGAGCATGAATATCATTAGCTCACCCCTAGACTCCAGTGTCGCTACGTCCACAATGCAGCCCCTCCACCCTGTACAAACAATCGATGACACCGCACTTACATACTTCCTAGAAACATGTCTCCAAGCTCACACTGACAATACTGAAGAGAGGTTTTATATTGTGATGACATGACAAAATCCAAATAATACATGGCGAAAGATACACATCTGTCAGTCTCCCCCAGCAAAGAAACACATCCTCCCAATCCACCACTACCATGTCATGAGCACCAGCCGAAGCGATGCCTCCAAGACAGCAGGTCAACCGGTCGAGCAGATGAATCCCTTGCACCAGAGAAAAACTCGATACCCTGCGAAGATACCGTGGATCGTTCTAGAGGACTGGAACGCGGACAAGGAGACGGAAGAGCGACCACCGAGCCCGAACTTTTGTGTCCTCATGGATTTTTGTTCTAAGGGTTGTAAAGCGCGGTGGCTGGCCTTATAAGGGCGCACTGTACAGCCATTACGTAAGTGTTTCCCACCCTGCGCAAAGCATCGGACCCGCGGTGCCCCAGACTCGATCACGCGTCAGACGCTGCCCCGCGCGGAGTCGGTCGCAATACTCTCGTGCATAAGACTGGCATTCGTCCACGACGCATTCCTGCTCTCGGGCGACCATAGTGCCGTATACTATCACTCACTCTAAGCTCGAGTTACATTGTCGCGGGATCTCATCATGTCCCGACCGTCGAAACCGCTTACTTTGTCCCGGATTGAAGACTTGACACTGGGCTCATTCGCCTTCGTGCCGACGTCAGAAACAATCGACCATCTCGTGAGATATCTTAGTACCTGGAGTGGTAGCGAGTCAGTAGGCATTGCAGACCTAACCGTCTGAACGGTCTGACGCGTGTTATGTGCTTCCTAGCAAGCTGTTCATGGTTAGCATTTCGCCCGTAAAGTCGGTTGACCATGATTGACCCACCTTCCGTGGACCTTACCTCTAACAGATCATTCAATATGCTGTGAAACTTGTGATTCCATTCCTGCAGTTCCGAGCGCGTCTCCAGCATCGTGCTGGTACACGATCGTCTGCCCATAGTGGCGCTGCGGAGAGCCTCACAAAGGTTTACAACTTGATAGGGGATGCAAGGATGTTCTTCCGAATCTGGGGCAAGTACCGTCAATTCATGTCTTCTCATGGCGCTGACTATTATGTCGACTAATGTACTCACCATGATCCCTACGACCCGCAGGCCTATTGCCGATCATACAGTGGCTCACGTCGATAGAACGAAACCGACCGCCAACCCGCCGACTGCTCACGCTTGAGCGACTACAGGGCTGGTCTATGCTTGCGTATTACCCCCTTGAACACCTTTACTACCTGCTCGCACATGGCATCATTCCCTCAGAAATCCCGAAGCCCTCAGTATCCGCGCTCTTACCGTTTACAAAGTCCAAGCCCAGCGAGAAGCGTATCCCGCTGGACATCAATGCTCTGGGGATCTGGTCGTGCCGCTTCTGGGCCCTATATGTGGCTTTGCAATTTGCGCACCTTCGTGAGGATCGGAAATTGCTCCAGATGCGCGAGCGCGACATCAACAAATCTAAGGTGCGAGTCAGTGTCCCATGAACAATAACTCCCAGATATCTTACTCTCGCTGAGAACAGACCGCTACTGCGGTAGAAAAGGAAGAATTGCACAAGAGATGGGATGCCTTTTGGAGTGAGGTGGTCGTCAATGTGGGCTACTTACCGTTGACGATTCATTGGTGCGTACGTGCCCTCACTGTATGCATGCATGCACTGTTCACTGCACCTGTGTTGCTCCATTTCGAATGCTGCCGGGTTTACCAGGGTAAAATGTTCTCCATTAGTGCCAAAAACTGTTGCCTGCCTCGCGATGCTCAGCCGACAGGCTCATCGAACCACGTTCGAGGCGCTTTCTTGCCGACGGCGATTCTCCCATTTGTCTTTAGCTGTGCACTGTATGAAATGAACGTCCTCGCCGAGCGCGTCTTGTGCTCCCGTGCTCCAGTCATTGGCCGTGGATCTGCCTTCTAAGCTCCCACAAGGGACCACTCTTTCTCTTTGGAATGCCTGATATCTCGCACTCCAGCGCGGCGGCCCCACTATAGACGAGGCTGTGCGCCCTGACGGGGCACGTGATCGTGTTTCTGCCACGGATGCTCGCTGTTCGTTCTGCCGTCCACCTGCCTGCAGGTGCGCCGTTTGGACCGTAATATCGGGTCTTATCTGAAGGCTATGCGCGGGCGCCGAGGCTTCGAGAGGAGCCATTGTCTGCTTCGTCCCGCCGAGACGTTCATGCAGCATGAAAGGTCTGCCCTCGTGGCATGCATTTATAGCGTTGCTTAATGGCGGTATGCGGGACGCCTCCTAATCCTTGTGTACTATGTTTAGTCTTCACTGGCAGCCTCGTGAATCTTGTCGCAGGTGCTAGCTGTCGAGAGGCGTCAGCTTCTAGAGCCGGCTTGGTAGCACGCCTATCGAGCATTGTGGTCTGTGTTCAATTTTGTGGCAGGTACCTAACGCAAGCGCCTCCGTCTTGCTCACGATTGCCTGACATTCGTGGTATCATTTGCGGTATTCTCGACTTCTGTACTTCTGTGCTCCATGTTCACAGTCTGAAGTTGCGGCGTATGGCGGCAATCGGCGGAACAAGTGCGCATAGTCTGGAGCATGAGGTTCGTGATATCAGCGGACATGCCGCCTCATCTGACGCGGAAAACACGGCACTTGTCGTTCCCCTCTTGGCCGTCGCTAGTAGTTTGGGCTGTGCATGATGGCTACTTCGGATCTCTTTTCATCCTGTTCTTCTAGACTGCTGCGTGCATATGCGGGCGGCTTGTGCTGACAATACTCCGGTTCTTTCGTTATAACAGGTCACTTGAAAAGGGCTTATTCAATAATGATGTGCGTGTCTCTTCTTATAGTCTAAGCCGCGTATTGTTGTTCCCTTGCTAGCATGACTCTGGATATGGAGACCTCGAGCGAGACTAGGCGGATTTAGTTGTGTAGTGTTATTGTCCTTCTGCTGTAGAGCTTTCATTTTGGGCCTCTATCTTCTCTGATAGCTCCGTGCGCTGATATTGTATCCCGCAGATATGGGTCGGCGTGTTCGGTCTTCTTGCAGGACTCGCCTCGTGGAGGAGCGGTTGGAAGGCGACTGCATTGCCTCAGCCTCCTGCGGAAACGCCGCGGCCACTCTCCGATCAGGATGTCCTTCCTGAACCCGCGGAACCTGTTCCGTACGATGCTACAATGGACCCTGATGTCGTGGCGCCCTTGGTGATACTAGACCTCTCCGGGTCTGCCAACGCGTAGGAACATGCAGGCTCAGGTGGTAACTACGCGCCTGCTCCCCTAGTCTCATGACTGCTAGCTGCTCTTGAGATTCGAGCCATCCTCCAGCATTCTACTATCTCTCATACAGTTCGCTTACCCATAGCCTTGGTGCTTGCTATCTAATGTAACTGTTTTTCCGAGTACGATGCGGGGACGATCACCTTTCACTTACAGTACGTATCGCGCGTCTTGTATCTTCCACGTGTTCACGTGTATCACAATGTCTTTACTGTGAGTGACCATCGGGTTCATAGATTTCAGTGTTGACCCAAAGCAGGAGCGATCCAGCCGGAATGTAACTCTTCTGTGCTTAGAAGTTCTATATGTTCATCCGACTGCTCTGGACGATTGTAAATAAAGCGCGAAGCATAGCTTATTGGCATCTTGAGAGCGTTAGTAAGACCACGAGACTAGAAATCCTGACGACTGTTCTGTTTTGCGACACGCATGCGAGGTGCCCCGTATGAAAAGCAACGGAGGTTGTCGTCCTCTGTACTCAATACAGGACATTCCTGTTTAGGACAGATTCTCGCTGCCATCATGTGGTCCTGTACCGCCACTGCAGTCGTGAAATGGCAATATCATCATCTAATTATCGATGAATCCTATGTGGTGTACGACTTGCTTCCCGCAGACATACTTACATGTCTTCAATATCAGCTCAGAAGGCATATAGACCATTTCGATATATTCACGGTGAGTGGTGAGATCGGTGTCTGTAACGCTTATTGTCTCAAACTTTGCCCCAATGTGTTCATTTGTATCAACAGGCTAGCTCATATGAAATACTAGTTTGTGAGTCTTTAGAGCTCGCTTGCTCTCATTTGACAATATATCCGCAGCATACAGTACATGCCGTGTCCGATTGCTATGTCGGCAGGGTGACGCGTCTGGCTTCCTCCGTGCCTGACGCCCGTCAGGGCCTACCGTTGTCATGGAACATGACGATATTATTGCAGCCAAGTATTTGTCTGAGCTGCGTTCCATCTGGTCGATGCGGCTGCTCTACGGTTTTGGTGGAAGGGTGCAGAAGCTTTAGATGCCAGACAAACGTCAATTTTTGCGTGTACGTGCAGCCGTGTACTGGGTACAGTTCATGCCTGACTTCCTGTGCTTCCTGTGCAAATACTCGTATACCACACATGAGCAGCGGCGCTATTAGTTAGACCAACTACTCGAATAGCACGTCCATGACTCATGGCCATCTCACCGCACTTCCTTTTAGAACAGACAACAGGAAGCACTCCGCTGGGTATGACTGCGCCGTGGCAAAGATCTGGCCTTCGGCTGTTATGAGGCTATATAGCCGGTGGGCGCGGATGTCGATTCTCGTCTCCTTGCATTTGCAATGGGTGGGTTCATTGATCACTTCGAGATGTCGGCGCAATGCCCCGTTAATGCATCCGCCCGTCCACGTTTGCATTATGCTAATGACTCACGATGGATGATGTGCGGGTATTCATGCCTTTTAGCAAATCGACGATTCATGATAAAAAGCGGTATATTGTCAGAAGATTAGTCCAGTAGATTCGCCAGTGCCTCACGAGGTATTTGTCAAGGTATGAGGAACCCAAGAAGAAGCACAATAATGCTAACAACACCATCAGACGAGGACGAGTAACGACGTGTTTCAAAAGACGTAAATCAAGGTGCACGGTCCGTCATGCGAATGATCCGAATACAACGTGTGCTATACCCGTCATCGAGATGCTCTCGATGAGCCCTGAATCTCATGCCAAGTCGTTGGTGAGAGTCTGGGCCGTCGTACAAGGGTAAAAGCAGCACATTATGAGCTAAGTGCACCGCCATGATGACGCATCGTGGATGTGTGCGCTGATCGCAGTCAAATGGCGTGTCCAACATGCGTGCATTGTGTCTCAACCTGCCCGAAATGACGGCCTTAACCTTTAATCCGAAATTGGTATTATTGGCGGCCTGAAATGCGTATTCAGAGAGATACGTAGATCACATTTATGTTTCATTGGCCAATCGTAGGCGCTCGAGTATTTGGAATCTAACTAAGTTGCTTGCATGTCGTAGCAAGATGGTCTGGTTACAATAAATATTATCTCGGTTTAGACCTGTATGTACACGATCGTCCACAATGTGGACTGCAAACCACCAGAAGACCGTAGAAGAGCGTCCAACCGCATCAACTGCCAAATATAGTAGCAGATAATAGGTCGCCGGGTTCCGGTTTACCTTCGTAGGTTCTGCCAGCCCTGTCTGGACGTACATGGATGGTAGGGGACGGATCTAATGTTCTTGGAAAGTGTATTATACTGCGCAGTGCAGTGTACCATTTTCTATTCGGCAAGGGCGGTGCTCTTCTTTGGGGCCATGCGGGCCGTTAACAGAACACATGCACCATAATCAATATCAAGCGTAAAAGAAGGCGCGACCGCTCTAGGATAAGACGCACAGTACCTGTGCTATGTTATGAAATGCCACGGGCGGTCGCGACCAAGCACATTTAGCCGCCGCAGAACGAGGATCAGCATCTGGTGAGAAAATGACATGGTCAGTTTCCCCGTAAAGTCTGTTTGGAATTATGTTTCATGTAGTGAATTACCTTGTAGCTTTACTTCACCCTGTCTAGACAAAACGAGCCACGTGTCAGCACTTAAAGAAAATGAGTCAAAGTGGACCGACAATGGGCTTCTACGCGAGGCTCTGTTATTGTGAATGCAAGTCATTCATACCGAATTATTCCATGCATCTGGTTATGCATGGAATGTGAAGCTCCGCGATCACCTTCTGCGGGATTCCATGTCCCGACCCGAGCCATCAGTACATACACAGCATTTGACAAAAGGGAAGCAGCATTGCGATGCAAGCTGCGCATGATTTTCTTCGTTTCTGCTGAAAATATGCATGAATAGAACACTAAAAGCGGGAACAAGACTGAGAAGGACGTATCGGGCCTCTAATTTTGCGCACCATTTGTCATAATGCGATGCCGGGGACAAGGATACTCCGGATATGACTCTTCGGAAAATGTACATCTGCAAATGTTTTTCTGTCAATACAGCTCATAGTTTCGAGCTATGCAGTCGAGTCGCCGAGTCGACCTACATGCGTTGCGGCGACAGTATGTCGTTTCTGCATCAGTGATTATCTGATAAGGGATCACGACGGCAAGACGCGCAGATAATCACGCGCCATTGTACTGGATCTAGATCCGTTCAGGCGGCGCTTGTACTTGAACTCTCTGACCATCCCACTCTTGCTCCCACCGGCAGCTGGATACTGTGTGCGGCTACGGGGCTATTGTGTTGTACTGGCCGATTTCAACCACGATGTTGGTTATCTGAGCCAACTAGCTGCCAAGGTGATCTATCGCGGGCTCGAGCTCCACTTCGTTCGTTCATCAAGCTAAGACCGCCTTCTCATGATGAACAGACAGGTCCAAGAGTCACCAGGGCAAGAGACTCCGCGATACCGACTTGTGGGATTGCGCCACCATATATCTTGACACAGACGATGCGCGGATGGCGTCTTGGACACAGGCCGGAAACGCTGAGGATGCTATATAGGGACCTGGTACCTTGGACACTCAATCGGCTTGCATTCAGACACCCTGACAGCCGCGAAGCGTTAGGGCCGCCTGAACGCCCACCAGTGAGCGCCAGCGTGGTTTCGTAGACGCTGCGCCCACTGAGCGAGGGCGCAAAGCCCATCTCTCGCGTACCCACGAGTGAATATCGCGTACTATCCCGACTGCAACGAGGATTCATGATGGCGAATATGATCGCTATCTCGATCTTGCGCCCGTCCACTTTCTCGATCGGTGCGTCATGGGCGCTGGCGCTCGCACTCGGGCGCCAACGCGACGTTGTGCGGCCTGCGTCCTGCAACACGCGACCGTACAGTCGTCGACCACGTTTTTTCATAGACTCTGATATTCGACCTGGATCTTGGATACAACAATCACCCCGCGATCGTACACACGCAGAGCTTGTAATGTGTAAGCGGGAAGGTGGGGGGGGGCAACATGCTGGTTAGGCATGGCGATAGGGGTTCCCCCCGATAATGAAGTGTGTAGGGTACTCTCTCAGGAGACGGGGACTGGGGTTACTAAGAGCACGACGGGGAAGTGATAGGAACGTGCACCGGGAAGCAGGCCCGGGCGGACTGGAACTGGAAGGATATCCTTATGCATGAGGCGCAGATTGCGAGCAGGTTCCCTTCGTTCGGCAAATCTGCGGTTGGTGCGCGAATTGAGCTGTCTTTATAAGAGCAGATGCGATGATGATGCTACGAAGCCTGCCAGATGAAGACATACCCTCCATACTCGTCGAGCGAGCATCATTACATGACACCGAGGCGAAGATCATGGGACTTAATTGATGATCATGGCGGTGGCGGATATGCTCAACGATGCATGGTTTCACGAGGTCGCTCTGGCAGATCGAGATGCATACATACTCGGCTTCGCTGATCAGAAGATATGACTAGAAATAACCTCACCTGTATCTACTGCGCATGAAGCTCGATATTAGGCCCAAAGTCCACGGATTGGCTGCGAATCCCAACAGCCAAGTAGCAGTACTATGTGGTATACATCACGATCACGATGCTGAGAGCTTCGACACAGATGGCTGTGTTCCTGACGAATATCTACTCCTATGGAGGGTGTACTAAGATTCCGAGATGGAGCACCACTCACCGACGTAAATGGCCGAGGATGCTGTCAATGCGCTCCATAAAGTGGCTACTGGAACCGTCATACGGAACAAACGATGCTGACTGACCTCATTCGGGTACAATGGGGCAGCAGATCGATCATGACTTCTGGATCCGCTCTCAGGAGAGCCGAGGAGAAAAGAGAACAGCCTATTAAAAAAGGAGCACACGTACATAAAAGCACATGAGCTGGTATTTATTGTAGGCTGTCCGCCCAGATGGTCTCGGCGCTTCGAGAACAAAAACATGGACTGCGTGCACTGGACTAGAGCAATTTCAAGGATTGGAATGCTTGGGTGAGCATAGCACAGATGTTGAGTCACCATAGGAGAACACATATTGCGGACAGCGGTATGTAGCGGACAGCGACGGTGCGAAAGCCGCGCCTTCCGTTCCTTATTTCGGCAAAGCGCGTGGGGTGCGACTGCCGAATTTAGGCGATCAAGATCGAGCCAGCGGTACGGTGATACTTCCGCCAAGGCGGTAACCGCTGTTGTCTCGACACCAGAGGGTTAGAAGGGCATGAAGTGCAGCTGCACGACGAGAAAGAGACATGGTGTTGCGGCACATGGAGTGGAGGAGGGAGGGGTGCTGGACCGGCGCCGCTTGGAGTGAAACCTTATATGAGCTTGTCTTGGCACCGAGCGAGATCTCATTGACCCGATCTGACGAGGCGGTGCCTTCCACTCGAAACTTCGCCTTAGGGCAACGTTGAAATAAGGCGCGGCCTCCGCACATTCCCTTTCTTAACCCTGTCCATCAGCTATCCTACTAAATGCTGGAATCCTCCTCTGGTGCCCCTCACTTCTTCGCCTCTCCTCTCAGCACACTTGTATCATGTCTCAGTTTCATAGCGGACCAGAAATTCCTTCTATAGTCACCACAGACCTTTCTTCCTCTCTCGATGTTTCTGACGCTCATGACGAGGGGTATCTTCAGCCCTCAATGCCGCATCCGGAATATGGTTCGCCTGGACTGCATGTACATACTCCCAATGACCAGCTCCTGTCGGCGAGCCCGTCGCTCCTCTCGCCATCCCCAATCCTGCGTCCCTTAGCTAGGTCATCTCTGGAAGTGCCATATTCACCAACGCTCTCGCCAACACTGGGGCCACGTTCGCTGTCGCCTTCATACACTGGCTCTGATGCTGGCTCCTCGGTGCATCATGTGCCACCCTCGCCGACTTTGTCCAACCGCTCCTCCGTGCATTTCGCTAGCACACTCGCTCTCAGGGACAACAAGCCCGAACAAAGAGATGGCATCTCCTCTCTCCAGCTCTTGACGCCCAATTACAGCGGCAAGCACCGGCGCAAGGGCAGTGTGGCTAGCTCAATTGGCTCCAGCGAGGGCACCGAACCAGACTCACATTCGCACTTCGGTATGGTGCCAGTAAGCTCCCCGCGTTCCGGAAGCGACTGGCACTCGCTCGCGCCGCCCTCACCGACGCATACTCATTTCGACGGCGGTTCCATCTCCGGTGGGTCGGAATATGATGGCACCACAGTCCGCTCCCGCTCCGGTTCACAGCACAGCCGCGCCAAGCTCCTAGACCATACGTCGGAAGGCCAAAATGCTGCTCACCACGACGACGACCGTAACCCGCTCAAAGACCCGTCTGAGCAAGAAGATGCGGATCTAGCCAGACCTGCTCTCGATCCGTCGGCGGACGAGAACCTTGATGTAAGGCCATTCGAATTCAAGCCCCACAGCCTCGCGGGGCTTGTCGACCCAAAATCGCTGGACGCGCTCGAAAAAATGGGTGGCGTCAAAGGACTGCTCAGGGGCCTTGGTACACACCCGAAGCACGGTCTGTCGGCGCGTGCGCTTGGTCAGCCTGCTGCCGCGCCCAAGCCTTCAGAATCCGCAACTGATCCCAGATCTGGTGCTGGTGGCCAACACGGCGCGGGCGAAGGTGTGAGCCAAAGGCACGACCGACAGCAGCCTGATCCGGGTGGAAATGAGGAACGGGCTGTGCCGGGCATCGTGGTAACTGGTCCGGGGAGTGACGACAGTTCCAGCTATGCGGGGATGCCCAGTATCCAGGGGGAGTCCCAGTCCGAAACGGCATCGGAACACATAGACGGCGACTTCCACGACGGGCCCACGTACGACGTGAGCATGGACGAGAGGCGGCGCATATATGGAGCAAATGTGCTCCCAACGCGAAAAACTAAGAGTTTGTTGCAACTGATGTGGTTAGCGCTCAAGGACAAAGTCTTGGTGCGTAACGGAAAATATGCCCTCACAAGGCGTGTGCTTACTTACGTATGGGCGCGCAGGTGTTACTGAGCATCGCGGCAGTTGTGTCCCTCGCACTGGGATTCTTCCAGGACTTTGGGACACCTAGACCGCCGGGCGAGCCCCCCGTAGACTGGGTGGAAGGTGTCGCAATCATTGTCGCGATTCTCATAGTCGTGCGTACACCCTTTCTCGTGGACGCCCCGGTACTGATCAGCTCGAACTTGTACACTTGCCTATTTGGGAAATTCGGCAAATCCCGGGTGCGCATCGGAATCTGGTCGCCGCATGCAGGTCCTCGTTGGTTCCATCAACGATTGGCAGAAGGAACGGCAATTCCAAACACTGAACGAGAAGAAGGAAGAGCGTGGCGTGAAGGTTATCCGCGCGGGTGTCGAGCGCGTGATTGATGTGCACGAGGTCGTTGTGGGCGATGTCGCGCTTCTGGAGCCGGGCGAGATCGTTCCGTGCGACGGGGTGTTTTTGGGCGGGCATAATGTCCGATGCGATGAGTCCGGCGCAACGGGTGAGAGCGATGCGATAAGGAAGGTGGATTATGACGAGGCGATGCGAATACACGGGGAGCACGGCGACGAAGAGCATGGACCTGGGCATGCGGGCGCTGATTGCTTCGTGGTGAGTGGTGCCAAGGTCTTGGAAGGCTACGGCAGCTACGTGGTCATCGCGGTTGGTCCAAGGTCATTCAACGGGCGTATCATGATGGGTGAGTTCTAAGTCTTTCATATTCCCTCTACCGCTCCACCGTCGACTTCTACTATTGAGCGTGCCATCAGCACGTGGCTTATTAAATCACGCTAATGGGCTTTTACTGAATGATTCATCTACAGCGCTCCGCGGCGACACGGAGAACACTCCCTTGCAGCTGAAGCTCAACGACCTCGCGGAGTTGATTGCGAAAGTTGGCAGCGCGGCCGGAATCCTGCTTTTCACGGCGCTTATGATTCGATTCTTTGTTCAATTGGGGACCAACGAGCCCCCGCGTACCGCGAACCAGAAAGGCATCGCGTTCGTTCAGATCCTGATCATCTCGGTGACCCTGATCGTCGTCGCTGTCCCTGAAGGTGCGGATTTAGTGCGGCGAACGAAATAAAAAGCTTATCTCGAGATCTGCAGGTCTGCCTCTGGCGGTGACGCTTGCGTTGGCTTTTGCCACGAAACGCATGACGAAGGAGAACCTCCTTGTGCGCGTTCTCGGTTCGTGCGAGACCATGGCGAATGCGAGCGTGGTCTGTACGGACAAGACGGGAACGCTCACGCAGAACGTCATGACGATCGTGGCCGGCGCCGTCGGCATCCACTGCAAGTTCGTGCGCAAGCTTGAGGAAAACAGAGCCCGATCCAATGTGCATGGCGATGAGGGAGACGAGGATAGGCCACAGGCCGGTCCGAGTCGTCCCAGCCGCAGCGGAAAGCATACGGAGGACTTCTCGATCGACCAGAACCAAATCAACGACGTTTTCTCCCCGCAATTGTGTGAGTTGTTCAACGAGGCAATAGCGGTCAACTCTACGGCATTCGAGGACACGGATCCGGAGACTGGTGAACTGGTCTTTGTGGGCAGCAAAACGGAGATGGCGCTTCTCAAATTCGCCAAGGAGAATGGCTGGGCAGACTACAAGGTCACCCGGGACGCTGCGGATATCGTGCAAATGATGCCTTTTTCAAGCAAGCGTAAGGCGATGGGTGTCGTCGTTCGGATGAAGGACGGGAGGTACCGGATCTACCTCAAGGGCGCAAGTGAGATACTGTCGAAGAAGTGCACTCGATATGTCGTGGTCAAGTCCGATGGCACAACGAAGGCTGGCCAGAACGTAGAGACGGCGGAGATCGACGACCTAGCAAGCGATAATATTTCGCGGACAATCATTTTCTACGCGAACCAGATGCTACGGACAATTTCTGTGTGCTATCGTGACTTCGAGACCTGGCCGCCTGCGGGTGCTAGCTACACCGCGGAAGACGAGGTAAGCTTACTGGATACCGCGGTCAGAGCTCTCGGTGACGCGTTTATAGGTTGAGTACGACGATCTAGCACAAGACCTCACTCTCATTGCCATCACTGGCCTCGAGGATCCCCTCCGTGAGGGTGTCCGAGAGGCCGTTTCCGACTGTCGGAAGGCTGGCGTCAGCGTCAAGATGTGCACCGGCGACAATGTCCTAACCGCGCGATCTATCGCGGCACAGTGTGGCATTTTCACGGCAGGCGGTATAATTATGGAAGGACCTGCCTTCAGGTCCCTCAGCTCGAATGAGCTGCTTGAAGTCGTGCCACGCCTTCAGGTCCTCGCACGTTCTTCACCTGATGACAAGAAACTACTCGTGGAGAAGCTCCGCGAGCTTGGTGAGATTGTCGGTGTAACGGGTGATGGCACGAACGACGGCCCAGCGCTCAAGACGGCCGACGTGGGGTTCTCTATGGGCATCTCTGGAACCGAAGTTGCAAAGGAAGCGTCGGACATTATTCTCATGGACGACAACTTTGCGTCGATTGTGAAAGCCATCATGTGGGGGCGGTGCGTCAACGATGCGGTACGCAAGTTTCTGCAGTTCCAAATATCCACAAATGTTACTGCTGTCGTGGTGACGTTTGTGTCTGCTATCGCGTCTGCGTCGGAGACTTCAGTGCTATCTGCTGTTCAACTCCTATGGATTAACATCATCATGGACACCTTCGCTGCGCTAGCTCTGGCAACCGATCCTGCTTCGCCCGCGCTTCTGGACCGCAAACCAGAGAAGAAGACCTCACCGCTATTCACCGCGGATATGTATAAGCAAATCGTCGGGCAATCTATTTATCAAATCATCATCGTGCTTATCTTCCATTTCCTGGGCAATCGCATTCTGCGGTTCGACCCGAACACGAATGCGTCTGTTGTGCAGACGTTAGTGTTCAATATTTTCGTCTTCGCCCAGATTGCGAACTCGGTGAACTGTCGCCGACTAGACAATCGTCTAAATATTTTCGAAGGCATTACTCGAAACTACTATTTCATGGGTATCACTTTCATCGGTGCGTCCATAATTGCCGGTAGGATGGTCGAGTACTGAAGTCCTTTACAGAGATCGCGGTCCAGGTGCTCATCGTTTTTGTGGGCGGTGCTGCATTCCAGGTTACTCGCATTGGCGGTGCTGAGTGGGGTATTGGGCTTGCCCTTGGCATCGTCTCGATACCTCTTGGTGCTCTCATCCGTTGCATCCCGAATGGACCAGTAGAGCGCGCACTGATCGCCATGCGGATACACTCCAATCCCGAAGTCCTGCCTACGGTCAGACCAGACAACGAGTGGAACGCGGCCATTGATCTCGTCAAGGACAACCTCAGTACATTTGCCCATGTTCGTGGCGGCCGTATGCGTGCTTCATCATACGTGGGCAAGAGCCGCAAGGCTCGGCCTCTACCCGAGACTCGTATGCCTTTGTAAGTTGTTCGTTGACTTTGTATCATCGGCCTTCCGACTGATCGTCACGTGCAGGTCTTCAATCATGACGATGGTCCCGACACTTGTCGCATCTTCAATTGGCTCTGCTGGCTGGACGCCTCATACTCCGAACGGTCTGTCGGATCCCGCGCATTTCGACCCGTCCAAGTCATCGGCGGCGCTGTGGGAAGGACGGCTACAAATACACCCTGACACAAGGCCAGACGACCCCGCTTTGCGCAGATGGGGGTCCTCCGCTCAGTCAAACTAATCGCATGGTCCTGCTTCGCATCCTCACATGAACACTCTTGTTGCACATCACTGTATCACTACAACTGCACACTCACGTACCTGTCAGACGCTTGATACACGTCCGGCTTCTACATCACGCCAATTCCTCCGACCCGCATGACATACTTCATGACCTCTTTGACCTGCTCTGTTCCCGCATATACTCTATCATGTGGTTTTGATGTACTTAATCGGCCTTATTCATTCAGGCCGTGACGTCGACGAGAACGTAATGACCCGCACGACTTCCTTGCCCCTGACATTACATTTCGAGCTTCATACATACGCAGAAATAATGCTTCTTCATGTTCATTATTCTTATTTGTCCCCTCTTCGTCACCGTGGATGTTGATAGACTACGACACATGTGCCTGCTATAATGCACAATAGAGCTAGTGTGTTTGTTCGATGTGCCTCCCCGTGTGCCTCCAAATCACACTAATGTTCGGACGCGTCATGGAATTCCCATATGATCAAGGCGTAATGCATGACGCGACGCGCATCATGTGGCTAAATGATTAGTTTGTCCGGCACTCCATCCACGACAAGGGCTTCACCAGCGATGCAGCTAGGAAGTAGGTAGGCAGGAGTGTCAGAATATACCACTGCTTTTTATCAAGCCTGCCCAACTCCGCCCGATGTAATTCGAATAGGTGCCGACGTCATGTATCGCGGACTCGACTCTCTGTGAGGAATGCAGCAGACTCTCTAGGAACTCATATGCCGTCTTGGGGGAGGTGAGTTGGTGTAGCTCTGCAATAAATTAGTCAGGAACGATCCCTTAGAGACCCGTGCCTTCGGATTCTCACCCGCTGCAGTATAGATGGCTGCCACGGACGCGCGGCGTGCATACCAGGCTGGCTAAAGACGTGCGAATCAGCAACCCACGACACAGCCTCTCTGCGACAGAATGACGTACACCTATGCTCGTGTCACCAACTACATGACACGCTTCATCAGCTACATGGGCAGCGTGGTGAAGAACTGGCCTGGGATCAACAGGAGGTAGACCTGAGGTCGGGGAGACGAGTAATGCATATGCCTGCGCGAGTCAGGTACAATCACTCTTCGACAGATACGACATTACATGCCTCCGGTAAGTACCCGAGAACAGGCTCGTTGCATCGTAACCGCGTGCTTAACACGTCCTTGATGACTGGTGACGGTGCGGAGCGCATTTGCAAACGCGCGTCGTCTAGCCAGGCGTTTATGAGCGTTCTGCGCGCGTGGTCACCGTCCCCAAAGAGAGCTGATACAGCGGCCTCAGAAAGAGGTTCCGGGTGAGGCTCAGGGAGAGACAGGGCTGAGCGAGCCAATGCTTCTCGAGTGAATCCATGTGTTTTCACTATTGGAAAAGCACACTTGAGCAACTGCGCGCGTCTCGAATACATCTCAGACAGATGCCCCAACAAGGATTTAGAGTGTTACACCCACCGAGACATGCTAACTCAGACCAGTGCTTCAGCCAGACTCGTTGCAGAGTAGTGCCAGTTCAGCGCTCGGAGCCTCAGGCTTTTGTCAGTGATTGCCGCCTTAAGCTATGACGCAACCATGTGACCGTGAATACCATTACAATATTCACAGTCGTCAAATTCACCAGCCTGCCCAATCAATTCCATACACTTTACGCCGGATGCCTTTTTTTTGACATCGCTTCAAGGATTTCACCCTTTAGCGGCTGCGTCGCAGTCCTGCAATGGTCAACAGTGTTATACCAGTGGCCCCACCGCATGTTTTAAGCAAGTATAGTGCTAGTCGTTTTACGCAAGGCAGATCGAGGACGCGTCCCTCCGATAGCGGAGGAAGCGAATGCGATGGCTCAAGAGGTGTACTAACGCAGACTTTGTAGTGCTGGCTGTGCTGGTCGTGCAACCCGGCGCTCACCCACTCCAAACGGCGGATGCGAGTATTCGCCACATACTGTAAGAGCCCAAACATTTATGATAGCCTATGTAAGCGTGATTAGATATTGGCTACGGTATGGATGCGTAGGATTTGTCAGTCTTGTACACGGTTCTCAATCCAGAGACCTGCGGCCCAGCAAGGTCGTGATCTCGCGGTGCTCCTTCAACCACCTCGGGAATGTGACCTCCTCTGACTTCCCTTCTGTCTCCTTCATTTCGATGAGATAGTTCGCGAACACGATTAAAGTACCGTAGCGATACCTGTGTGGAATAAATAAGGTCAATATGATGAAAGGCTCGGTTGCACGGATCACCTACAAGTAGTTGACCCCGATGTCCATGAGCTTGCGTTGCTTGGCGCTTCCTTTCTCACAAGCGTTTACCTTGAGTCGATAGCTGCACAATACAGGTCAACAACGCATTTGCCTCCAGAAGCATGAGTATACGTACTCGTAAATTGCCTTGCGCAAGTTTTGCACGTCTTGCATAAGGTCAACAGCGCGATCCGTCAAGCGTTTCGCCATCTTGCCGTGCGAGAGCACTCCAACAAGCTGGAGGATCGTCTTGTATTCTCCTGTGATACAACTTATTGATTAGAAAACAGGATCAAGCATATATAGGCTTGGTACGCGCACCCTGCAAATATGCCTCTTCTTCTGACGGGCCATCAATCATATCATACTGCTCGAGGCCACCCTGGTTTTCTTCTTCTGCATGCGGTAACAACGCAGATGTCTCCAGATCGTGGTTCCACTTCATTGTCGTAGCGATCAAGCAAGCAGTGACCATGCCGGTGGTCGTTCGGCCCCGGCCCATCTGACAATTGAAGATAAAATCGCCCGCCTCTCCTGAAACCAGGCCAGATCGGACACGATCAACAAGCTGCGAAAGTGCAGCAGGGAGCGGCGCTTGTTCGTCGGTCTATCAGACAAGCTCAGTACGTGTAACATGTATGCGTGCTGAACAAAGTTCTTACCACAGCAACGCGGTCGTAGTTCACCTGGAGAATACTGATCAGACAGGTTCATGCCAAAGCCAGTCCATCGCATACCTTGTACCCTTCCTTGGCCATGAGGTCGTAGACATCTCTGGGGGTCATGATATCGTCTTCGGTAACATCTTCCCAGATAGGGATAATCGAGAAAACGCCTGGACGCTCCTCTACTTCGTCGTGCAGGAGGATTCGGCCACCTCCAGCTCGCACCTCCTGTATCACGTCTCGCTTGAGGCTCTCTTCCATGGCCTCCACCATGCTTGTGGTAACACCAGTCGCCCTGAATAGATGATCGCGTTAGACCGGATAGATACATCGATAGCTGCACACCGATTCCTCACTCGACATTCTCAAGGGGTTTATTCACAAGCCGCAGCACATGGGGTCGGCCTGCAACATAAATGACTGGTTCCTACAGCGCAAAATGTCAACATGGAACACCGCAGCCCCGGATACAGGGACTCACCTCCCTAAGGGAGGTCCAGTAAACCATATTACTGCCATTGGGATGAGCGTTGACTCGAGTTAATGCCCGTCTCAAACTGAAGAGGAACGCCATAAATATTTGGGCCACGGATGTAAGACATATACTTACCCTTGCACTGTCGGCATGCCGCTATACGTGCGTCTTATTAGCCACTGCGCTGATGAATTATAAGGAAGAAACTCTTGCCTTCCACAGATCCACTTTCCGTCGTCCGCCGTCTCTGGTGCAAATTCTGCGTCGCCCGAGGGTGATGACGTACCCGACGATACAAGGCGCAGACTTAAGGGGACACGTCGGAAGTTAGGCGCGCCCTCAATTCGCCTAGAGTGTTATCAGATTTAAAACTTCTGACGATATGATACCTTGAACTTACTCAGACAGACTCATTTTTTGCAGGTTGGAGAAAAAGTCGCTCTTCAAAATTGTAGATGCTGAGAGAATACTCCCAGCACGATTGACAACGATCCTCTTGACTTCATCTGGAGCAACGCCCTCGGTAGCATCAACGCGCTCAAGGGGTTTCAGAGTGTTCATGTCGTCAGTTACCAGCTCCTTTTCGAATGTCTTGATGACTGAGGCGTTGACATTAGACGTATACGTGAGCGGACTAGCACTGCCAGCGAGATGGAGGTGTACAAACCTGGTCGTCCTTCAACGAAAGACTCGAAGCTCTCGAAGGTACGCATAGTGTCTGGTTCTATAGATTGCAAATAGGCCTGGAAAATGATCAACTCGAAGTACCGCCTGAGGTACTGTAAGCCTGTGCATTGGAAACGATGCTATCAGCAAATGAGCTAATACTCTATTATGTAGAGGTCAGACAGGCCTTTGTGCGCCCACTGTCTGCGCTGCCACTCGTCCGTTGCCTGTTCCGCGCGGGATCTGGCATCTTCGATAGAGTCCCGTAGATTCACGACTTGCGCGCATTGATCAATAGCGTTGTCGACTATGTTCTTCACAGCAGGGCCTTTGCGAATTACACGTAAAAGGTCTGATGAATTCAGAGTTAACATTGACGCCATTGTCAATCCGGAGCGACTCACTATTGATCACTTGGTAGGATTGGCGTCGTGCGGGATGTTCATTGTCCCCATCATCAGTCATAGCCAACGAACGTCCGAGTCTATGGGGTGACCGTGATGTCCTTGACTTGGCACCATTCTGTAGCCACTGTTGAATCAGAACGAGGATCACCTGATGTGGTGTAGTCAGCGCCGTGCTCGGTTCACTCAGGAGACTGAAAAACGCTTACGGCTGTCATAGTACTTCTGCCACGTCCGAGTTGGCAGTTGATCATGATAGGAGAACCCGTCGCATTGCTTCTGATGACAATGTCGATGAGTTCGCTAAGATCGCTGAAATCTGGTGGTCGCTCCGCTGTAATGGGTATACGAGTATAAACAAACTCGGTATCGTCATCGATGTGTCGGCGAGCGGCCATGATGTCCTTCAACACACAAACATTCTCACTCTGTACCTCTTCCCAGACAGGGACAACAGAACCATCAGGTGTTTCCGTGTGCAACAGGAGTCTACAAGGCATACATCAGCGGCATTCTTCCTGTGGGCGGGTAGAATACTACATCCTACGCACCTTCCTCCGAACTGATTGAGTTCTGATATCACATCGTCACGAAGACGTTCCTCCAATACCTCCAACCGCGAGGCAGATATGCCTCCGTAGTCTGCGGACTCATCATGAACATTGTTCGTCATCCATATGAAAACGCGCGCACCTTTCATATTTCTTAACGTGAATCGCTCGCGTCGCAAGCAGTACGGAGCTCCATTTATATACACAATCGGTTCTTCGCGCAGCGCAAGCCATAGAATTCGGTTGGCAGATGAATGCGCATTGCGCACTCGAGCGACCACTTCATCAATGGCATCTAGGGTTGGTTGTCCGAGTGCGTAGATCTTGGTGCCTGGAATATTGCGGAAATTGATCGCCCCACGCACGCCATTGGAGACTTGGAGTGATTGACTGAGCCATTGGTCTGACTTGAGTAAGGTGCTATAGGAGGTCACATGAACTTGACTTGGTGAACGTGAATGGCCTTCGTCAATACGTACCCCTCTCGTAAGATAATCCCACTACGATTCTGGATATGTGGACCAATGTCAGTTACAATTGGGTTGTACTGCGAGAATTGCGGCTTTACCCTGATGACGTGATCCGAATACTCGTCGCCCAGAATCTGCCCTCCGGCAATGGCAACGTCATTCCGCTGCCCGGGAACCAGTGCCTGATCCTCCGAACCCGACTTGGACAAGTTTGAAAGGTCGTTGATGGGCGCAAAGACATTTAATCGAGATCCATATGACTTGCGCAGGAACATCACTTGGCTAACGCGTGTGGTCAGCAAGGAATCTGCATACTAGGGTCAGACTTACTTCCAGATTTCTGTCCTCGCCTAGTAATGGTGAGCTACGAGTCAAAGGGGGTGGTGGTAAACAGCGCACCTTCAGCCAACCTGAGAACGTCTGAGTGGTTTCATGCTGTGAGTCTATGTACTCGGCGAATGCTATCGCAAAGAAGCTGCACTTGTAATCAGTGTGGCTGCTCTAATGTCGGGTTGAGACCTCACGCACTACTTCTCGAGGGACCGAACCGCCTTATTCAAGAAGCCCTCACGCTCGACCTCGCCCATCGTAGTTGTCAAGGAATACTTGATTCGATTCACGAAGATGTCTTCCCTCAAATTTGTGACGTGATCACCTACGAGGCTGGGTCAGCCATGAATGAAAGACTCCAAAACAGTACGCACACGTATCGATGATTCGGTCGACAAGCTTTTTCGACTTGAGACCATGATCCAGGCAGCCCAGCAAGCTCAATATCACACCATAGTTCCCCATATGCGCTTTGCGTAGGCTCTCAAGGAGCGTAGGCTGTGTCAAAAGAAGTTCTATAACAGTTTGAGAGCTGGCCGGCTCAAGGCCTGTGTGATCGCAATCCAGGTCAGCGCAGAAAAGACACAAAATACGTACGCACATTGTTGCAGAATGGATGTAATACGCAGGAGCGACCTGTTGAGGTCTTGCTGCATGCTTACCTGCTCGAGTGCTTGTTGCAGCTTGGGACTTGAAACCTATATATGGCGTTTCAACCCAACCTCCTACGACACATCAAACAATGCGCATATATGCACCTGACCGGTTCCGTTCTGCAGAAGAAAGACCGATTTTAATTGAGGCGACCATGAACGACGCTGATGTTCGCTCACTAGACTGCTACCGTTCTTTGGCACGACCGTCTTACTGACGTAAGGGTCGTCCAAGCCCTTCGAAATAAGCTGTTTCCTACGGATGATGCATGCCGCAACCATTGCGAATGTGGTCCGAACAGCACCCATACCGCAGTTAAAAACAAGCGCAGTGGTCAGAGGGTCCGTCTCTTTGATGACACGGAGATACGCGTCAAGGTAGTTATCCTGTGTGATTCAGGTCAACGGTAGGTTTGTGTCTAGAATCGGCGAGTAAGTGCATGTATGCGTACCTCTATCGGGCGTTCGGGTGAAATGGGAATTCTAGGCATGTCGTGAGAACGAGACCGCTTCGTGTGAGGATAGTTGTTTACCTGTGGTACTGTATACGTTGTTGCATTGAGAAATCATAGAAGACGTCAGATGTGAATCGTACATACCTCCACGTTCCAATCATCACGCCTCATGTTTTCCATCAGTTCACGAGTGGTCCGCACATTTGCGGAGTCAACAGCAGTCCACGTAGGTAGGATAGCTCCTTCTCCTGCATCCGAAGCTTCCATCGCGGACCCATTATGAGTCCTTTGCAGTTAATTGCAGATAAATGTTTTTCTAACCAATCTCGTTGTGAGTCAGGATCAATCCGCCAAATCTACGAGTCCCAGAGGATCAGTAATAGGTGCTTTTGACGGCAATCACGCTCACTTGTTAGCCTCGAGGAGTATGTCATTCTTCAAGCGCATTTCTATGGCCTCCAGATTCTCAGCTCTATCGGACAGCTTCAGAGGGCGTCTGGGTTCGGAAGCGTCCCGAAGGACGAAGGGGCGACCAGATATATAAACTGGAATAAGAATGATTAACGATTCGTACCATGGAAATAGTATGTGCATCGGGACTTTTGGAACTCGTTTCAACAGTCCCAGGGGGGTTCTGTTCTTTTGCACTCTCGTCTCACATCAATTTTGATTAAACCTAGCATACCTATAGGTTCTTCACGAGTACAGAACCACACCACATGAGTTGGGTTGGTTATGTTCGGTCTACACCTTAGTACTGAAAGAATTCCACGCAGCCCTTGAGTCCGCGGCTGAGCAACACCGAATACATTCAGATTGCTGTTCCTCGGTGCTCGGAAATTGGGTGCTCCGTGAACGTTCAAATCCAGATCAAGTGCACGACCTGTTACACCATAGTTTCAGCACATGTCTTACAGGTGCCCCATTAGCCAGAAACCTGCCTGAGGGGTAATGGTCTGTCTTCAAAATGAAGCCTCGAGAGAGAACGCTTCCGGTTCGTGTCTTCACGACAGAGGGCCCAGATCGTTGGAGCTGTGGCATTATGTCTAGCGGTGCACTTCCGTAAAGACCTGAAGAGTTCGAGCGCTGTTGGCCTTCACTCGGAGGCCTGTGCAGAAGCGAGTGTGTGCCAACAATACGAATACGAGACGTCATAAGTGAGTGGGGCTCGCCGGGGTCTGGGGGCGCAGAGGAGGGGCGTCCATTCTCCAGATGATCATCTGGGGAAGGTGTCAAAGATTGTTTAGGAGTGGACATATAGGCGTTCAAGGAAGATAAAAAGTCGCATAAACTGGAGGCGTAGCGGTGTCAAAATACACATTTTGCCCAGGCGAGGTGTGGTCACGCGCGCGCTACATGCCTTTCGCCGATCAAAGACGATCGGTCCAAGTCGAGGATCAGTCAATTTCAGTCTCTAGCCCCATAGGTGCGCAAATACTTTGAGGCGTATCACTACTGCATCATGTGTTGTATTGTAAGATTTACAGTAATCATTTTGAGATTCGCCCCTCACTTCTCGTAAAGAAAGTCGGATATGAGGTCTATCTGATTAGCGTTGGACGATCGGCTTCAATAAGCTATGGGATGATCTGCAGCGACTAGAACATGCAAGCGGATTGCCCTGCAGCATATCTGTCAAATCAGCTATAGGGGTCACCGGTCAACGATGGGCGGCGGACAAAACGAAAGTCATACTGGTGCGAGAATACATCATAGCCAGGGTAAGAGAAGTACGAAGACCTCTTCCCTTCACCCAAGGACTCATCCCACGCTCGAGATCTCGCCATTCATGTGCAGATGCCAAGACACTGCGTGCGCAGTCATCAAACCTCTGATAGAAATTCGCGACAAACGTACAGATGCATTATGCCTACGACCAGAACGCTGATTCTACTGTGGTCTGATACAAGTACGGTCATTGTTTACCTTATGACAAAACTAGCGTAACGACGCATGGCGATGTCCGTATCTTCTGAATTGCTCACATGAGGACAACTCTGAACGATTCTCCTTCGGCTAGTGACTCTGGACCTTAGCGGCATCGTAATGTCTATACGCGTGCAAGCCAACGGCGTGTTCATATCGAGTAGATGTACAGGCGCCTCCGTGGTCGCCATATTCAACAACGCCACCCATTGACCCCTGCTTTGAGTTGATTCCTCATGTATACGGAGCACTAACAAGTACAGGCTTGCATGTTCGATGCTTTGCCTCGGTCAAGAGCCCGATGCTCTGCTCACCGATCGAGTAGCTTACTCATTATTCCCCACAACTGCCATTAGTTGTTCGCATCACTATGGGGATCCAAGCCCAAACCTAGTGGGGCCCGGGATTATGCGTTGTACAAGGATGACAATGGCGGCAGGAAGGCCATCGGAGCTTTTGTCCTTTGCCACGTATCGGATGATCCTTCGGTTGCGAAGTAGACGTGCAGTTTTATGCGATTGCGTGTTAGAAGCAAGAAACTTGAGAGGCGTTTGATACTGCGGCCTCGGCTGTGAAAATTGCTCGATCGTACTTGTAAAAGTTGAATTGATGTGCAAGGCCCCGACACATACCTACCGTCGCGGATTCAAACCGTTGGTGTAGTTCCCTGGGGACTTTAGCTATTCGATCTGGCCACAGGTGTCAATTGGGAAGTAGTACTCCATCCGACGCGCCGCATAGGCCGAATGAAAGATCAAGGTTTGGCCCTGCGTTACCGAAGAAACGTGAATTTCCATCGATACACGAAGAAGAGGCGTGTTGTTCGACGTAAGATTTGCCTTGGTAAACGGTAGCTTGAGAATTGTGTTATCAGTAAGGAATTGTTCAAATGCGACTTCCTGGGGCATTAGACGCCGTCCCTAAGCGAAAGACTTAATATTAAGCGCTCACAAGTCTTGGGGTTGTGGGGAACGTTTCATCCTCTATAAAAATTCAAGGTTGCTTGCTGCCTTCCATAACGTCGACGTCGCCGACAACCTCGAGGACGACCACGACGATGGCCAGTACACGCCCAATCTTGATCCAGTCGGGTCCCACTAGAGTATGTAACAATCTCAATGTATTCGGTCAGTTAGTCTGACCCTCTTCAGATTTCCATTCCCGTCTCCACGCAATGCGATGAGTGGACAGCGGCGGAGGTCCTTCGCGATGAATTCTCCACTACCAACACCGTAGATACCCAAGTAGATGACACAACACAGGCGACCATAGAGCTTTTCGCCCGTTTTCTTGGGTACAGCGCACAATACCTAGACGCGGATCCGCATCGCACAACGATCTTACTCCGAGGTGTGAAGGAGTTTACATCCACCTACCTTTCGCAACAAGATGTGCACACGCTCGCGGCCGCATTCGACACTGACGTGCGCAAGACCGTGCTCGCAAACTACTTCCGGGCGTTCGCCGCGCTGGAGGCAAAGAACATTTCTGAAATTCCTCGCGCGCCATCACCAGCGCTATTCACGACGCAAGACGCGTCAATCTATGCAATTTTTGGCGGCCAGGGGACGAACGAGGTCTATTTCGATGAGCTGCAAAACCTCTATGACACGTACACGCCGTACGTCGCGCCATTCATCACTTCACTAACGGAGGAGGTGCTGCTGCCCCTGGCTGCGGAGTATGGACCTACGACATACTATGCGCACGGTCTTGACGTGCTCTCATGGCTCACCGGCGCGAGGCCGCGCCCACCAACGGCATACCTGGCCTCCATCCCCGTCTCATTCCCCCTGATCGGCTTGACGCAGCTGACGCAATACTTGGTCGTCTGCCGGACGACCGGCCTGACGCCTGCAGAGATGCGGTCGCGGTTGGCTGGTGCGACTGGCCATTCACAGGGGCTAGTCTCAGCGGTGGTCGTGGCAGCAGCGACTACAGTGTCGACGTTTGTCTCAGAGTCGCTGAAGGCGATGAAGTGGCTCTTCTATTGCGGATACCGAGGACAGGAGGCATTCCCCGTGCTCGCACTAGAGCCGAGCATTGTCGAAGACGCGATCGAGGGTGGAGAGGGTGCGCCGAGCCCAATGTTGTCCGTGACTGGCTTGGGTTTGAAGGAATTGGAGGGGCACATCTCGAAGACGAACGCACACCTACCGCCCAAGTCGCAGCTGCAGGTGTCTCTACACAATGGTCCGAAGACCTTCGTCGTGACTGGCCCGGCACGCGCGCTTTATGGCCTAGTAACGCACCTGCGCAAGGTTCGCGCGCCCAGTGGCCTCGATCAGAGCAAGGTTCCCTTCTCGCAGAGGAAGCCTGTGTTCGCGGTGCGCTTCCTGGTGGTCGGCGTCCCCTACCACAGCGAGTATCTCGCGGGAGTGACGAAGAAGATGTTCGAAGAGGATTTGGAGGGCGAGGAGCTTTGGACGAAGGAGGATCTTGGAATTGCTGTCTATCACACAGAGAACGGTATGCAACTACTGCGCAATGTTCCTGAGCGACGCTAACAGAAGCTATTCACGCCTAGGATCGGATTTGCGGGAGCTATCGACATCATTGACGTGCGCCTTGTGCGACCAAATCTTCACGCTCCCCATCCATTGGGCACAGGCAACTGACTTCCCCGAGACGGCTACGCACGCGATTGACTTCGGTCCTGGCGGGCTCAGCGGCATCGGTCCTCTCACAGCGCGGAATCTGGACGGCCGTGGCGTACGCGTCATCGTCGCGGGGGACAAGGCCAAGGGCATCGTCGAGTTGTATAACACGCAGAACGTGAAGCGCGAGGAGTGGTGGGCGAAGAAGTTCACGCCCGGTCTTGTGAAGACTAGGTCAGTACACTGTCTTTATTTGCTGACGAACAAGCTTTAATGCGTTCACAGCGACGGCACCATCCACATCGATACCCCATTCTCTCGCCTGCTTGGCAAGCCCCCAATCATGGTTGCTGGTATGACGCCGACTACTGTCCAAGCTGGCTTCGTTAGCGCGGTTCTCTCTGCTGGTTATCACGTCGAACTTGCCGGTGGTGGGCACTACAATCCCGCAGCCCTGCGCGCGAAGGTCGCCGAAATACAGGCGAATATCCCTGCTGGCGTCGGTCTGACGCTCAATGCTCTCTACATCAACCCTCGTCAGTTCGGCTTCCAATTCCCACTGTGGCAGGAGATGCGTCGGGAAGGTCTTCCCGTTGAGGGATTCTGTGTCGCTGCGGGTATCCCAAGCACAGAGAAGGCGGCCGAAATCATCGACGCTCTCAGGAGCGCAGGCATCCGTCATGTTTCCTTCAAGCCCGGCTCTGTCGACGGCATCCGCCAGGTCGTGAATATCGCTGCGGCCAACCCCGACTTCCCCATTATCCTGCAGTGGACAGGCGGCCGCGCAGGCGGTCACCATTCGTGTGAGGACTTCCACCAGCCGATTTTGTCGACATATAGCGCGATCCGCCAGCAGAGCAACATCTCGCTGGTCGGTGGTTCTGGCTTCGGTGGTGCCGACGACGTCTGGCCGTACCTCACGGGTGATTGGTCAGTGGAGCGCTATGGCATGCAGCCAATGCCCTTCGACGGCTTCCTGTTCGCGAGTCGGGTCATGGTTGCGAAGGAGGCGCACACGAGCTCCTCTGTGAAGGACCTCATCGTCGCTGCGAGCGGTGTCGATGACGCGCAGTGGGAAGGCACCTACGCGAAGGAGACCGGCGGCATCCTGACCGTCAAGTCGGAGCTTGGTGAACCGATCCACAAGGTTGCAACGCGTGCCGTCAAGCTCTGGAAGGAGTTCGACGACACGGTGTTCAAGCTGCCAAAGGAGAAGCGCGTTGCGTGGCTGACAGAGCGTCGGGCGGAAATTATCGGGAAGTTGAACAAGGACTTCTCCAAGCCGTGGTTCGGTTGGAAGAAAGACGGGTCGGTGGTTGAGGACATCGCCGATATGACATACGAGGAGGTTGTCTTGCGCATGATTCGTTTGATGTATGTCGCGCATGAGGAGCGCTGGGTCGACACCTCGCTGAGGAACCTGACTGGCGACTGGCTTCGCCGCATTGAGGAGCGGTTTGCGGGTGTGAACGGTGGCGGGGCGAAGTCATCTATCCTCCAATCATACACATCCCTCGACAAGCCCCAGGAATTCGTCGCATCGTTCTTTAAGGCTTACCCGCTCGCGACCGAGCAGATTCTTGCCTCGGAGGACAAGGCCTTCTTCCTCGCAATCTCTCAGCGCCCTGGTCAGAAGCCGGTTCCGTTCATCCCTATCCTTGATGCCAGCTTCGAGGTGTGGTTCAAGAAGGTATGATTCACTCGGACATTTAATGCGTCACAGCTACTGATTTTCGAGTAGGACTCCCTGTGGGCAGCTGAGGACATCGAGGCTGTCTTCGACCAAGACCCGCAGCGTGTTTGCATCCTTCAAGGCCCGGTCGCTGTCAAGCACTCCACGAAGAAGGATGAGCCCATCAAGGAGATGCTGGACAACATCACGTCGATGCTCGTCCAGAAGCTGGCGGATCGTCTCTACAATGGTGATCTGAGCCGCGTTCCTACTGTCGGCTATCTCAGTCCTTCCTCGTCGCCTATCTCTCACAATGCATTCGCTTCTCTTGGCGTTGAGCGTGCTGTCAAGGGCAATGCCATCACATATGTTGTCGGCGCGAACCTTCCCGATGCTACGACTTGGCTAGAGACTCTGGCGGGACCAGGACAAACTTGGTGGAGGGCACTCCTTACATCGACTACCATCGTGCAAGGGATGTCCTACGTCGACAACCCAATGCGACGACTCTTCTCGCCTCGTCGTGGGCAAAAGGTCGTTGTTGAGACTGATAAGGAGTCGCCTGTGGGAGTGTCTGTCTTCGGCGCTGCACGGTCTTATGGTCCGCACAAGGCATCGTTCAAGGCAGTTGAAGTTAGCTTCGACAAATCGCAAAATGTCATTAACGTCACGCTATTCGAAGATCGTCGCGATGCCTCCGTTCCTCTTCATCTACAATTTGTCTACAAGCCTGCGATGGGCTTCGCTCCCATCCACGAAATCGCTGAAGATCGCAACAAGCGCATCAAGGACTTCTATTGGCGCTTGTGGTTCGGCGATGATCAGGTCCTCCCTGAGATCGACGTTCGGCAGACGTTCACCGGTCCTGACGTCACCATTAGTGCGGCCGAAGTTGAGAGTTTCTGCACAGTTGTCGGCAACGACGGCGAGTCTTACAAGACAGCTCGGGCAGACCATGTCCAAGCACCAATGGACTTTGCCATTGTTACGGGCTGGCAGGTGCGTTGCTATCCTTGCTTTATTCATGTCAAGGGATTAAGCAATTTTGCAGGCGATCATGAAAGCGATCTTTCCCTCGTCGATCGATGGTGACATACTGAAGCTTGTTCATCTGTCTAACGGGTTCCGTATGGTCAACGGCGCGAGATCGTTCCAAGCGGGCGATGTTTGCAACGCGGAGGCTCGTATTGTCTCAGTTGTGAACAACGATGCAGGGAAGGTCGTCAAAGTCAAGGGTTTCGTGATGCGCGGTGGCGAGCCTGTCGTTGAAGTTATATCATCGTTCCTCTACCGTGGCCGCTTCGCCGACTTCGAGAATACCTTCGAATTGATCGAGGAGCCGGACTATTTCGTTGAGCTTGCAACAGATGCGGACATCGGTGTCCTCCAATCCAAGGAGTGGTTTGAATGGGATGACGAGACGAAGCCTATCCATACTGGAACTACTCTCATCTTCCGCATCCAGTCCGACGTCACCTATCGCAACAAGACGTGTTTCAAATCTGTCTCGGTCTCCGGTGATATCTTTGTTCGTGATCAGCTCAAGCGCCTCGTTAAGGTTGGGAGCGTCGATTTCCTCCAAGACGACAGCCGCGGCAATCCCGTTCTCGCCTACTTGCAGCGCCATGGTCAGCCTCAAGGACTTCCAAGCCCTCTTGCGAACGATGGCTACACGATGACGTCTACGGGTTCAACTATCTTCAATTCCCCTGCTACCAATGAGCCGTATTCCGTCGTTTCGGGTGACTTCAACCCTATCCACATCAACCCGTACTTCTCGGATTATGCGTCGCTTCCTGGGACCATCACGCACGGCATGTGGTCAAGTGCTGCCACTAGACGCTATGTCGAGACAGTCGTCGCCCATGGCCGTCCTGACCGTGTTATTGCGTATGTTCAATTTTTATCTCGATCAATCTCGTTTCTTACATATTTATTTATAGTTATGATGTTGCGTTCGTTGGTATGATTCTCCCTCGGGATGAACTCAACGTCAAGCTCAAGCACGTTGCCATGCGTGACGGCAACATTGTCGTCAAGGTCGAGACATTTAATTCGCAAGGAGAGAAGGTCCTGGAAGGCACCGCGGAGGTTGCGCAGCCTACCACTGTCTATGTATTCACCGGCCAAGGTTCGCAGGAGCCTGGTATGGGCATGGATCTCTACAACAATTCCCCTGCTGCTCGCTCTGTGTGGGAGGCTGCCGACGCACACCTTACTGCTGTATACGGATTTTCGATCGTCGAGATTGTCAAGGCCAACCCGAAAGAGAAGACGATCCATTTCGGTGGGATAAAGGGGCAGCAAATCCGTTCACGCTATATGGAGATGACTTACGACACCATGGACAAGGACGGTAACGTGAAGACGCTCCCTCTCTTCGGTGACATCAATGCCCGTACGCAGAGATATACCTTTAGCCATCCATCCGGCCTGTTGTACGCGACGCAGTTTGCGCAGATCGCACTTGTCGTGACTGAGCGTGCGGCGTTCGAGGACATGCGCTCGAAAGGTTTGGTCCAAACTGGTGCTGCTTTCGCCGGTCACTCTTTGGGCGAATACTCGGCTTTGGCTTCGATCGCGGATGTTCTGCCAATCTCGTCACTCGTCGACATCGTCTTCTACCGTGGTATCACCATGCAGCGCGCTGTGGAACGCGACACCCAGAACCGATCTAACTATGCAATGTGTGCCGTGAATCCTAGTCGCATCTCGAAGTCGTTCACAGATGCTGCGCTCCGTGAAGTTGTGGATGATATCGCTCAACACACAGGTTGCCTTCTGGAAATTGTGAACTTCAACGTAGAGGTAAACTAATGTTATTACCTCGCTTGCGAGTGCTTGCTAACAAGCATTTGTAGGGTCAACAATACGTCTGTGCCGGTGAACTGATCGCGCTGCAGACGATGACCAATGTCTTGAATTACCTGAAGGTCCAGAAGATCGACATCCAGAAGGTTTGTAATCATGTTTCGCGTTACGAACCATCGCTGATTTGAGTTATGTAGCTAACCGAGAAGTTCACGATCGATCAAGTGAAGGAAATGCTCCGCGAAATCATTGACTCTTGCTACACACGTGCGAAGGAACAGCAGGCGGCTGAAGGCTACATCAAGCTCGAACGTGGATTCGCAACGATTCCCTTACCCGGGATTGACGTACCCTTCCACTCACGTTACTTATGGGCTGGTGTCATGCCATTCCGAGCTTGTAAGCCTTCATTGGTCAAGTTGCATACTCGTTTGGCTTATAGTCTTGCTCAGACCTCTCGAAGAAGATTAACCCCGCGCAGCTCAATCCCGATACCTTGGTTGGCAAATATGTCCCGAATCTCATTGCCAAGCCTTTTGAGATCTCGAAGGACTACGTGCAGCTCATCTATGATCGCACCCTGTCTGTACGATTGGACAAGGTCCTCCGGAAGTGGGATCAAGACAACTGGGATGCACCGGAGCAGCGACAGAAGCTCGCCTATATCACGCTGGTCGAGCTGCTCGCGTACCAGTTTGCGTCACCTGTACGATGGATCGAGACGCAGGATATCCTTTTCACGCGTTACCACTTCGAACGCTTCATCGAGATTGGACCGTCGCCGACGCTTACCGGTATGGCCACTCGCACTCTGAAGGCGAAGTACGAGGTACAGGATGATTCAGTCAGCCGGACGCGTGCAATCTTGTGTCATGCGAAGAACACTAAGGAGGTCTACTACCAATTCGAGGATGCACCAGAAGTTGCGGAATCCGATGCACAGGCTGACAACGCGGCAATACAGGCTTCCGTTGTTAGCACACCTATCGCTGTGTCTGCTGCCCCTGCGCCCGCTGCCAGTGCCACCCCGGCCACTAGCGTAGATGATGTTCCCCTGAAGGCCATCGAAATTCTCAGCGTCATCGTTGCGCAGAAGTTGAAGAAGAAAGTGGACGAAGTCCCATTGTCGAAATCGCTGAAGGACCTATCCGGTGGCAAGTCTACCCTTCAGAACGAGATCCTTGGTGACCTCCAACTCGAGTTTGCGTCTGCTCCGGAGAAGGGTGAGGAGCTCCCTCTTGAGGAGCTAGGCTCTGCCTTGAGTGTGGGCTTCTCTGGGAGTTTGGGCAAGTACACCTCTGGTCTCGTCGGACGTCTCGTTGGCGGCAAGATGCCTGGTGGATTCAACATGTCTTCAATCAAGGCGTATCTTTCTAAGGCCTGGGGTCTCGGTCCTTCTCGTGCTGATGGCGTCCTCCTCCTTGGTACCACTATGGAACCTGCTAAACGTCTCGCTTCAGAGGCGGACGCGAAGGCGTGGCTGGACTCGATCGTCGCGTTGTATGCCCAGCGTGCCGGGATCTCCCTTTCTGCAGCCAGTACCTCTGGTAGTGGCGGAGGTGGTGGCGGCGGCCCCACGATCAACAGTGAAGAATTCCTGAAATTCCAGGCGGAGCAGGAATGGTTCGCCTCGCAGCAGGTCGAATTATACATGCGATATCTCAAGCGCGACTCTCGAGCTGGCGAGCACAAGTATGAAAATGAGAAGGCCAATGTCGATGCGCTTCAGTCAAGACTGGACGCCATCGCGAGAGAACACGGCGACACCTACATTGATGGAATTCAACCCGTCTTTGACGCTCTGAAGGCCCGCCACTTCGATTCTTCATGGAACTGGGTTCGTCAGGATGCACTCCTCATGTTCTACGACATCATCTTCGGCCGTCTTACTACTGTCGACCGGGAAATTACCGCGCGTTGCATCGCTATCATGAACCGCGCCGACCCAGAGCTAGTGACGTACATGCAATACTATATTGACCAGTGTGATCCCAACCGTGGCGATACATACAAGCTGGCGAAACAGTTCGGCCAACAGCTCATCGACAACTGCCGTGAAGTGGTCGGTCTACCTCCTCTGTACAGGGATGGTAAGTTGTTTCACGTGTGACGCATTGCGCTTGCTAATCCACTTTAACTCGTTCTAGTTACGTTCCCAACGGCGCCGCACACCGAGGTGACTGCGAAGGGAGACATTGTCTACTCCGAGGTGGTTCGCGAGAACGTGCGCAAGTTGGAGGCATATGTAGAGGAGATGGCCAGTGGTGACACTATTTCGGCTCCCACCAACATGCAGAAGATCCAAGACGATGTTCTCAAGCTGTGGACCGTCGTCAAGTCTCAGCCGGAGATCAGCGAGGAGCAGAAGAACCGTATCAAGGCTCTGTACGAAGGCGTCGTTCGATCTCTCCGCAAGCGTCCGGAGTCGCGCGCTCGTCCTGGAGCACCAAGGACTCGCCGTTCGTCTTCGCAATTCCTTCGGCCCCAGATCTCTGGCATCGCATCCGTGTCTGCTGACAAGGTTCCACTCTTGCACCTAAAGCGCAGAGTTGGTACAACTTGGGAGTACAGCAGCAACCTCACTGGTGTCTATCTCGACATCTTGCATGAGATTGCCACGTCTGGCACTACGTTCAAGGACAAGAACGCTCTACTCACCGGTGTTGGTAAGGGATCAATCGGAGTCGAAGTGCTCAAGGGACTTCTCTCTGGCGGAGCGCACGTTGTCATAACCACTTCTCGCTACAACCGGTCGACCGTCGAGTACTACCAGAGCGTCTTCCAGCGCTTTGGTAGCAAGGGATCTGGACTGACTGTTGTCCCCTTCAACCAAGGCTCCAAGCAAGACGTCGAAGCCCTCGTCGACTACATCTACTCTACCCTGGGCCTTGACCTTGACTATATTCTCCCCTTCGCTGCCGTCCCTGAGAATGGGCGTGAGATTGATGGCTTGGATGACAAGTCTGAGCTCGCACACCGAATCATGCTGGTCAACCTCCTTCGTTTACTAGGCGCAGTCAAGGTGAAGAAGGCGTCTCGACATATCTTGACTCGACCCACTCAGGTGATCCTGCCCCTATCGCCCAACCACGGAACATTTGGACGGGATGGCCTCTACTCCGAATCCAAGATCGGTCTGGAGACGCTGTTCAACAGGTGGAATTCTGAGAGCTGGGGGGAGTACCTCTGTATGGCTGGCGCCGTTATAGGGTATGTGTGATCAACGTTGTTTTGTATTTTCTACTGATAGCTTGTTTCAGGTGGACTCGTGGCACGGGCTTAATGGACGCAACCAACATCGTAGCGCAGGAAGTCGAAGGCAACGGCGTGCGCACCTTCTCCGCGAAGGAGATGGCCTTCAACCTCCTCGGCTTGATGCACCCCCTCTTGTTCAGCATTACCCAAGTCGAACCGATCTGGGCCGATCTGAACGGTGGCATGGATCGTCTCCCTGATCTCGCTGAGATTACGACCCGTATACGTGGTGACCTCAACAAAAAGAGTGATCTTCGTCGTGCAATTGCTCGAGACAACGCAGCGGACTTCAAGGTCGTCAACGGGGTCGAGGCCGAGCGCGTTCTCCAGACAGTGAACGTAACACCTCGCGCTAATTTCAAGTTCGATTTCCCTTCACTAGAGTCTGTGGAGTCTTTATCCGATGTTGCTGCCCTCCGAGGAATGCTGGATCTTGACCAGGTTGTCGTCGTAACAGGCTTCGCGGAAGTGGGGCCTTGGGGTAGTTCGCGTACCAGGTGGGAAATGGAAGCTCGCGGTGAATTCACTATCGAAGGCTGCATCGAGATGGCGTGGATGATGGGCTACATCAAGCACTTCGACGGGCGATTGAAGGACGGCTCTCTGTACGTGGGTTGGGTTGACTCCAAGACTGAAGAACCTGTGGACGACAAGGATGTCAAGAGTCGCTACGAGAAAGACATTCTCGGCCGTGCTGGGATTCGTCTCATCGGTAAGTGCTGTCTCTATGTGAGTTGAACTTGAGCTCACTGGAGTCGTTTCAGAACCGGAGCTCTTCCGCGGATATGATCCCAAGAAGAAGACATTCAATCAAGAGATACAGTTGATTCATGATCTTGAAGCGTTCGAGGCGAGTCAGACTGAAGCTGAGAAGTTCAAATACGAACACGGCGACAGCTGCGATATATGGGCTGGCGAGGGAGGACAGTGGTTCGTCAAGCTCAAGAAGGGTGCGCGCGTCATGGTGCCGAAAGCCTTCAAGTTCAACCGTCTTGTCGCTGGTCAGATTCCTACCGGATGGCACGCTGGTCGTTACGGTATCCCTGCGGACATCATCTCTCAAACCGACCGTACCGCTCTATGGACTCTGGTTGCAGCAGCAGATGCGCTCAACACGTCCGGTATCACCGATCCGTACGAGTTGTACCAACACATGCATCCATCCGAGGTTGGCACTAGCATTGGTAGCGGTATGGGCGGTATGGAAAGTCTGGCGAAGATGTTCAAGGACCGCCGAGACGAAAAGGACGTACAAAATGACATCCTGCAGGAGACGTTAGTTCATTCCCTGTCCTCTTTTCACTGTTTTTCTCATCGGTCCCTTTCAGGTTCATCAACACGACCGCAGGATGGGTCAATCTCCTTCTGCTTTCATCTTGTGGACCAGTGAAGATTCCTGTCGGTGCCTGGTAAGTGCCTGTGGTCTGCTATATAGCCCTTTTGTCTTCTGACAAGGTATCAGTGCGACTGCTCTGCAATCGGTAGAGATCGCTTGTGATACACTCTTATCCGGTAAAGCCAAAGTGATGCTGGCGGGAGGATACGATGACTTCAGCGAGGAAGGCTCCTACGAGTTCGCGAACATGAAGGCCACTAGTAACTCGGAGACTGAGTTCGCTATGGGTCGAGAGCCAACAGAGATGTCGAGGCCTGCCACCACGACTCGTGGAGGAGTAAGTCTTTGTCCAAGTGCAATCCACGATTGGTGTTGACTTACTCTGAACAGTTCATGGAAGCACAAGGCACGGGTGTACACGTCCTCATGAGTGCGAAGACAGCGTTGGAAATGGGTTGCCCAATTCGTGGCATTGTCGCATTCACATCGACATCCACGTGCGTATATATTAACGCTATTTTCTACGCATAGCTAACACGGATATACAGTGATAAGGCAGGAAGATCAGTCCCTGCTCCAGGACGCGGTGCGCTCACCATCGCCAGAGAGATTCAGTCGAAACACCCTCTTCCTATTCTTGATATTGCATACCGTTCACGACAGCTCGCGTTCCGTCGTCGCCAGATTGCTGATTGGTTGGAGAATGAGCGACACCTACTGCAAGAGGAGCTCGAGTTCCGAAAGAGTCACAACGAGCCCGCCAGCGGAGACTACCTCGCCAGTCGCGTAGCTGACCTAGAGAAGGAGGCTGCCCGTCAGGAGAAGGATGCTTTGGCAACGTACGGCATGCTTCAAGGTGTTGACCCTCGAGTGTCCCCTCTCCGTCGCGCACTAGCCGTCTGGGGGCTGACTGCAGACGACGTTGGCGTGCTGTCCATCCACGGTACCGGTACTGGTGCAAACGTACGTGAACTACTCGTCGTATCGTAATCAGCCTCGCTAATAGTGGTCGTTACACAGGAGAACAATGAGACACACGTCTGGAATGATGTCTTCGCCAATATCTCTCGCACCCCGGGCAACGCTGTACCTGTCATGGCTCAGAAGAGTCTCTGCGGCCACTCCAAAGGTGGGTCAGCTGCATGGCAACTGGCCGGTCTGCTTCAGAGCGTGGGAAGTGGTATCGTCGCGGGCAACAGAAATGCCGAGTAAGTGCTCGTTTGCATACTACTCCTGCAGAGACCTGACTTGCTCCTAGCAACGTGGACTCGCACTTCAAGGACTACACGTACTTGATGTTCCCGTCGGTGTCGATTCATACCGATGGCATCCGTGCAGGCCTTATGGTGCGTGCATTGCGCAAGTTCGAAGACTGCATAATACTTATGTGTTCTCTAGTCGTCATTCGGGTTCGGTCAAGTCGGTGGAACTTGTCTCGTCTTGCATCCTCGCCACGTCTTCGGTGCCCTCGAGCCGTCTGCATATGAAGCCTACAAGGCCAAGAATGCTCGCCGCTCCCGCCTCACATATAAGGCCATGAGTGAGATGATGATCACCAACTCATTGGTTCGGGTGAAGGAGGGCCCGCCTTTCACGAAGGACGTCGAGGCAGCCGTTATGCTTAACCCTCTCGCAAGGACTTCCTACGATTCGAAGACGGGCAGCTATGTCTTCACGTCCAAGCTGGCCACGGAGCCTCAGGTCGATACGGCTCACGTCAAGGTGGTCTCACAGATCATCTCGGAGAAGGAATCCACCGCAGGAGTCGGTGTCGACCAAGGTCAGTCCTGCTTCCGCTTCTCGTGATTCGGCAGCGACTAATGCTCCCTCAGAACTGATCTCGTCGGTGCCGTCGTGGAATCCCGAGTTCGTCAAGCGCAACTTCACTGAGGCCGAAATTGCCTACTGCCGAGGACAGCCGTCTTCTGAGTCTTCCTTCGCCGCACGGTGGGTCGGCAAGGAAGCCGTCTTCAAGTCGCTTGGTGTCTCGTCGAAGGGTGCCGCGGCGCCGATGAAGGACATCGAGATCCTGCCCGACGAATCCGGCGTTCCTACGGTCACGCTGCACGGCGACGCTAAGTCTGCGGCCGAGGCCAAGGGTATCTCGAAAGTCCATCTATCGCTCAGCCACTCAGAGGTATGTCGTCTGCATTGTTCTCCCATTATGCTCCTCATGTTGATCAATGTGCCATAGAATGTCGCCATCGCGTTTGCGCAAGCCACGTCTTCATGATTTTTATCGCGTTCTGTCTCCGCATTGCTTTCTAGACCGGTTTTGGGTAGTCTCGCTCACGCACGTATCTAATGTCTCATTACGCTTGAATGTATCTGCTGTTGAAATGAATAATATATGATTTCTCCTCTCTTCTGTCGTTTCATGTGAGATCGAAGCACGGAGGTCCCGAGTGTGCGAGACCACGCCTAGGCAGGGGTACAATACAAGCCGTGCTCTAGGATATATTCAGCTACGGACGGATTAACCATGCTTCTCCACACTGAGTCTCCAGTTTTCAAGGACAAACGATTTTTAGTGCTACTGATGGTTTTCTCGAAGTCTCCAATGTCAATTAGAGTCACATGGTTCGTCCCTACAAATTCTTGGGCAGCGCCTGGAACAATGTCGTCGTCCTCGACTTCTTTTCGCATGGCCTCGGAGAGGTTTCGCCGGGCGCATACAACCCGAGCGTTGTCACCGTCTGATGAGAAGAAATTCCGCAGCGCAGCCAGCATGGCGTCTTCGGACATGTAATAGCGGGGTGCAAAAAGGCGTTCGAGGGTGTCCACACCTACGAGAAAGGCCAGCCTCGGGAGCACTGTTCGAAGCATGGTAGCCGGGGTGTCGTTATCCGCAGGCGACGGAACTACGCCTGCAGAGGCCTCAAAGAGGCGTGACAAATGATGTCGTAAGAACTGGAGGAGGGAGCGGGACTTGCCCACGAACGTGGGTTCATCGATGATGGCCACCGCAACATTATCGTATTCGCGGGTGAGGCCTGGCGTGTCATTATTCACGAGGCGGCCTCGCCCGAGGACAATGTCCTGTGCGAGCAGGATCATCATTTCGAGGCGTTGGACGTAGGACGCGTCCCCCGGCGCCAGCTGCTTGTCCGCATTACGCACCGAGAGGAGTAGCAGGGTAGCATCGTAGGCACTGTTTCGACTTTCTTGTAGTGCAGATGTCCATGGCTGCAGCAGGGTCGGATACGGAGCAGTCGCGAGCGCCAAGTGCGCGCGGGTCGGCGGATTGAACGACGAGTCGAGAATCGCAACGCGAAGGTCGTCGCCGCCTGATACCCGAGGGAGCGGCCATCGTTCGTGAGAGGACCAGACGAGCTCCACGGCCGATTCCCCGGCGCGAACACGGTTAATAAGTGTCGACAGCATTGCGGAGCCGATGAGACGAATATGGGGACGAAAGCGACACCTACAGACAGACAAGGACATCTGCTTAGCCGCCATGAGCCCTGAGCACACGGAAATGAAGCATTGCCATGCCTGACTAGCTCGAGACGGATATGAGGGGCGCTGCGCTGAGATGGATTTCCTTGGCTATCCGGGTGACCGACAGCGACGCGAAAAAGGAGCGAGATGAAGCAGGGTATCAGGCAGAAGATATGTGTGGGTTGAAGGGCGTGCGTGCGTCGAGCCGAGCAGGTCAAGACAATATCCGTGGTGGTCGGTGGCGGGATGGCGGTGGTCAGGGCGAGCAAGCCTTGTTTGCGATAAGATGAATTCCGTCTCCGATCTGAGCGCTTTGTCATTTCGCCCTCGGCGCCACTGTTGCCCTCCCTGCTCTTTGCCTTCGTACTACATCGATCCACTCTCCAAGCATTGTCCACGACATGGAGAAGACTGAAGACGGTTTCATCATCTCTGCACCCGCAGGTGAGCACGCTTGAATCACCTATCGAGGCCGATCTCATTCACGCAGAGAACCCAACAGTGGCGGCGGATCTTCCAGAGGAGGAGGAGGCGCAGGCTCCAGAAGACGAAGAGGCACTCTTCGGTACGGCACTGCGGTTACACATTGTATTACCGTCGACGGTGTTTTCTAACCCCTACGACAGGCAATGCCACAGATCTCATCAAGTCCACCTTCGAAGTCACCGTGAGTGCTCCGAGCCGATCGCTGCTATAGCTTGTTCTTGATCGCCTGCGCGCAGGTCACACTTGCAGACCAGCAGGCGGACCCGAACTCGCCGCTGTTCAGCGCAAAGTCATTTGAGCAGCTTGGACTGTGAGGATCCGCCACTTCGCCCCCGTACACAGAACACGTCTCACTCTCAGGATGTAGGCATCAAGACCTGCTCAAGGGTATCTACCAGATGGGCTTCTCCAAGCCCTCGAAGATACAGGAGCGTGCATTGCCTCTGCTTTTGGCAAACCCGTACGTGCGAGCAACATGTCTTATGCACCGACGACGCTCATATTGTACGTAGGCCGCAGAACTTCATTGGCCAGTCACAATCAGGGACGGGAAAGACCGCTGCATTTGTACTCACTATGCTGAGCCGCATTGACTTCTCACAGAACAAGACGCAGGTACGTGATTAGGCCTATCCGGCTCTTAGGAGTTTACATCCGATTTATTGACCGCGCTCTAGGCTCTCTGTCTCGCCCCGTCGCGGGAACTTGCGCGACAGATCATGTCTGTCGTAGTTGCAATGGGCAAGTACACTCCGGTACAAACAGAGTACGCCATCCGCGATGCTCTACCGAAGGGCGCTTCTCGGGTCACTGCGCAAATTATTGTCGGCACTCCGGGTACCATGATCCATCTTATCAAGATGAGAGTCATCGACACCTCGGAGGTCAAAGTTTTCGTGCTGGACGAAGCGGACAACATGCTGGATCAAGGCGGACTGGGCGACCAAACACTGCGCGTGAAAAAGTATGTATCTCATGAGATAGACGACGTTATTGAGCCTAGTCCTGACTGTGGCAATCGGCGTTCAGCATGCTTCCTCGTACTCATCCGGTCCAGATCGTTCTCTTCTCTGCCACCTTCCCCGATCACGTGCGGAGCTTCGCGGCGAAGTGCGCGCCCAACGCGAACAAGATCGAGCTGAAAAGCAATGAGTTGTCTGTTGACAATATTGTCCAATTCTACCTGGATTGTGCCACGGAAGACGAGAAATATGATGCTCTGGTCAACCTCTACCACGTCCTGACGGTCGGGCAGAGTATCATTTTCTGTCAAGTAAGTGATACACTATTTGCGATATCTTTGGATACGAGATTCATATTCGTTCCCCATAACAGCACCGTCATACTGCCGATCGTATCTCACAGCGCATGACCGCTGAAGGGCACAAGGTCGCATCCCTACACGGTGCAAAGGACTCGACAGAGCGTGATGCAGTCATCGATAGGTTCCGTGAAGGCCGTGAGAAGGTCCTCATCACGACAAACGTCCTTGCACGAGGTATCGACGTTTTGCAAGTGAACCTGGTCATCAACTACGACCTGCCTATGCTCAATGAGCGCGAGAATTGGCAAAATAAGAATGACGTGCGACCGGACATTGAAACCTATATCCACCGTATTGGTGAGGATTGCAGAACTCACGTATGGGGGTTCGATCCTGATGTAATCCTCCCCTCTTTCAGGCCGCACAGGACGATTCGGACGGAAGGGAATATCAATCAATTTCGTCCACAACCGCTTGACGCACGAGCACATGAACATGCTCCAGAAAGGGACGGGGAAGCCCATCATCAAGATTGAGACGCATGACATCGATGTAATGGAAGAGGTACATACTCGCTAGTTCCTCGAATTGGTTGGGCGCCGCCATTGACCTTCCCCTTTCTGCAGCAAATGAAGAAGGCCCTGAAGGCATCATGAAAGCGCTTGAGCAATCCACTGTTGTTATATAGCAACCCTGTTGTGTTATCTCCATCGTGTAGCATATCTTGTTCCCCTGTCACGTTCATTCCTGTCCTTCGTCTTGACGGACGCATATGCTGGATACCCTATTTGTGCGCATAGGCTCTGCGATCCGCAGGAAGCTCGAACATGAGGAAGGTGCGCATCAGCCTATCACGACCACTGTATTGTCCTCGAGCCCGGGCCATTGACAATTTACCTTTGATTGACAGAGCGGCATACGACGCCAAGCTGCATATCTAATCACGCGTCTAGCTTTGTCCGTCATTGTCGGTCTAATTCTCCAATGCTGCATTGTTTCATTTGACAAACTTCAAAGTATTACATGGGCGCGTGCCGGGAGCTGATGTCATCATGTGCTCGCGGGGAATGGTCGCTCGACGGCTCTGTGTCATCCTTGCAGAAGCAACGCCTCGTGCCCTGTCCATGCTGCTCCATGGTTAATTACGCTCAGCGCCGGCTGCGGGGCGCAACCTTAAGATTAATATTAAGACTAACGGAGCCGCTAGCTCGCTCTGTGCGCTATTACAAGGCGCTGCCCGAGCAACAATGCGAGTCGCATTATGTCGCAAGCTGCATTCCTTACTCGCTATCGCTGCCTTGCGATCATGATGCAAATATTCGGTCGGCTCTTTTCCCATGACACGGCTGCCACGCTCTGGATGTGACAGTGATAGTCCGTGAGGAATTCCGGGATCCGGGAACGTCCAGCGTGCCTAGTGTAGATGTGGCACGTTCCCGTACGCGAGCTCGTGGATCGGTACAGAGACGTTATGAATCTCGTATATCGGTACATGGTTTACGGCGTGGCTGCCTGAATTAGGTCTAATGTCCTTTCGATGCGGCGTCCGGCGTGACAGTCCAGTGAGGGTAAGCAGGGGTGCGAGCTGCCCGTCGTACCGCGCGGGACGCGTGCCCACACCCGAGCTAAGAACATGTCCAACGAATTAGCTGGATGAGATCAATCTACCCAGGGATGCTTTGGCGGCCCAGATGTCCGCCCAATAGAGTCCAACGGATATGAGCTGTGTGCAGGACAAGGGTCGACGCACCAGAACGCAAGCGACCGCAGGGTCGGGGCGTCTCCGACAGTCGTGAGCACCTGAGACATTGTTCATCTCCGAGGGCAGTCCGAGGGCGCAGCAGCTCGCATTTGTGTCCGCGTGGAGATATGCGGAGGGGCCGACGTTGCATTGCGCTTGGATTGTCGTGGTCGCTAATCCCGGGGGATTTACGTTGGCCCTGCGACGGTAATGGGCTCGCTGCGGAGTACGCGGAGCACTCCGATTGGAGATTGAGACGCTTCCAGCATCGTCGATCCCTGCGGGTGCGGGTGCAGATGTTGCGAGCTCGACCTCGTCGTCTGGGGTCGGCGTGGGGGTCGGGTGAGGGCCACTGTGGGAGGTACGCGCCACAAGGAAGGAACAGCGCAGTCCTCGTGCTGACGTCTACGTCGAAGGCTTCCCGATTGCGGATCATTAAGAACCAGGGCGGTAGAGTTCCTCGAAGGCTTTTTGAGAATTTGATGAGATACAGACAGGAGATTCGCGAATCTTGACAACCCCTCCACGTTTCTCTTCTACCCGCCACGCCCTAATCAAATCTCACGAGAAGTCTGAGTAGTCAAACATCTGCATTTGAATGCACATGGCCCGACTGGCCCTTGGTAACCTTTTAGAACAGCGGGGGAGGTTTATAAGATCTGTAATAATATGGTTGTCGTACGTACCCCGTACATCCGTTAAGTGCACGATCTCCTCTACTCCCGCTCCATTCTATACCTGAGGCAGCATGCATTCCACATTCTACGCATGGTCCCAGGAACACATAAAACGCGTCTTCGAGGCGAAGAGCGCGCGCGATTGTCTTCGAGCCCTCGACGACACATTCTCGCAAACGATCGACCTGTCACTAAATGGGCAGTCACTACCCAGAACGCACCTCCAGACAGCTATTATGGCCATGGTCGAAAGCTCTGGCTTCCGCTTGTCTGTGGAGTGGTTCAGTGGGTCAGAGTGCGCTCGAGATATGTCAAATAGAGTGCGTTCACACCTGGCGCCAAAGTGGGAGATGCGATCTGACGTTGTCCTTGCTCACAGAACGGGACCCTTGAAGGGTACTATGTCATCCGCAACATCCGAAAGCAGCTCCCTGGGAGCCCGGCACCTATGCTGTTCGAACGACACAAGAGGGTCAGCGTTGTGTAAGACGATCTCTCCCGCTGCTGGAAATAGAGTCTGACTTTCCCCCGCAGCATTGAGTCGGAATCGCAGAACCCCACCATCGACAGCCGCCGGATCGTCAAATTGGCCATCGTAGCTACAGACGAGCCCATGAGGTCATCGAGATGATCTCGACTGAATATGCGGGGGAGAATGACGGAGTAACTTATCTATCACGGCACCTTAGATGTATTCAATGATCTCGCCCATGCTATTTGTTGTACCATTGATAGACTCGGAACGCTGAAACGTATCTATTTGTGGGTTGCCCTCCTGGGGCATGTAATCGCGAACATTGCCATGTAAGTGAGCGAAGGTCGATATACGCTTAGAGTTGTGGTAAAAGCTTGAACAACTCAATTCAGATAACACGATTGCACCTTCCGAAACAGCATCACCTCCCGTCGGCCGCGGATAGTCCGCGCTTCGAGATCCTTCTCGCTCGCTTCTCATTTGCAATCGTCACATAGTTTGACCGTGAGGCTCCCGTCCCTAGTGATCGTTGGTGGGCCAAGGCCAGACAGCACGATGAGAATCGACCCCTGGGAGGCTGGTCATGCCAGCCAGCCGAACCGCAAGGGCTCATGAACATAATTAGAAATGCCCGCATGTCTAGACAGAAATACATAATATCAGGGTCGTTAGTTCGGATATGCGACTGGCGATGAGAGCTCTGTCCCACAATGCTTCTTCTTCCGTTAGCGTTATGTTTGAAATTTGCCAGAGTGTATGAGAACTAGAGCGGGCTTGTTATGGGGTCCTTGTCATGGCAAGCACATGGGACAGGGACGGAGGAAAGAAAGTTGAGACAAAGTTCTGGTCGGAGGTGGTGGTAGAACCGAGGCGAGATGACGGACGGCGATTCCCTTGTGATCGCGAAGCTCGAAGCGGCGGAATCGCCAGATCCGATTTACCACAAGGGTGGAAGAAAGAAAGGAGAAAACGGCCCCGTCCCGATGGACGTAGGAAAAAGAAACGTAATGAAGACCTCCGATTGCTGGGTCTCAGGTACACTCACGACCGTGCTGTCGCACTCTGCCGGCCATTCCTGCTTCTTATGGCCTCTTATGGTTCGGTCATCTCCTGCTCTCCGTCCGAACGCCCCTTGCACGCCTCTTCCGTGTCTCAATCTGAACGCACACACTACTTCCGACGTTCCAGGCTGCGCAATGGGAAATACCTATGTATATCCGGACAGACGATCTCAGAACCTCTCCATGCCATGTTGTCCGAGTCCTAGCCGCCAGCGCATTTCAGGTGAGCTGCTTCGTTCGAATATCGAATCCTTACCCGAGTCCGTCGGGGTTGATCCAGGAAAATACTCGGGGAGCCGACCCTGTTTTATTTGACCGTAGGAACCCATGCTTTCCCTCTCCAGCGTTGTCAATCTCTGTCATTCAGCCTGAGTCACGCAACATGGCATCGGTGCTCAGCCACATTCAGGTCATTATCGCAGTCTAGAACTTAGACGATTGTCAGATGTTCTTTCCCTGCTTCTCTTCCACGCCGCTCACGGGTGTCCGCACTTCTACTAGTGCCGGAGCGCCATACTGTCCTTGTGGCGCTCCGGGGCCACTTGCTCTGTCGGGTCATCATAGCAACGTATGGGATTGGAACATCTCTGCTATCCTGCTTGAACTTAGGATTATCCTTGTTTCAAGGGACCGTTTCCATGCTCTGTCACTGTGGACCACCAAGGCTGACTGCGACAGGCGAGTGACACCCCGTGGAACTCCCTCCTTCTGGCTTTATGGCATGGCGCCGTTCGACCGTATTCTGTTCTCTCACCGCGTCCGACATTCTCATGCTTTACGGTTGCATCCTAGACACCTCGCCTGCCCCATCACGAACCACGCTGTCCACCCGAATTTCCGATGGCCATCCCCCGTCGAATTTGCTGCTCGACTCCTACACCACCATGCACCTTGTCCCGCTCACACGAGATCCAGGTGCAGTGCGACATGGGAGCACCTCCGGTCACGCGTCCCGCAGAACGTTCCGACGCAGCACTAGGTCCTGATTCTATGCCGTAAAATACGTCCGCCGCCTTGGGCATCTTCCCTGGCACTCGCGGTAGAACTGCTGGAGACGGCTCCAACCGCGAAGCACACACAGAGTTTCGCAGACTCTGAAACCATCTCGGCTGCGCCCTCCACACCTCATGGTGTCGGATACAGCTCTGATAGCGTGTCAGGCACATTCCGAGCCTGTCACGTTGCTATCAGCTTGTTTGATGCAATGCAAAGCGCCGTCGAGTCCCGACTAAATCTACCCTTCGCGGGACGCGGAAGGCCACACACATGGCGAGTGTTGTCAGCATCGCTTGTTGTAGCCCGCGAGGACCACGCGTTGAGGCCAATTGCTAGGATGTACACACTTCCCCTGTTATTTTTCCTTCGCACCCGAGATCCGCAATGATAATGCCGCGTGCTATTGCATAAACTGGTTTCGACTGTACGAGTGCTATTAAGGTAAGACGACATAACCATTACTCCACCCATTACCAGTTACGCAGTCTCACGTAGAGTATGCTCCACTTTGACACAACTCAAAGCATATTCTTGAGCCGCTTACCTGGTCAATCTGGTGTCCCGTATACCGAACAACCGTCGACGAAAGTGTATAAGTTTGCGCCAGTGAGTTTAAACCCACCATACCGAAGTTTAGGTGCGCGGTAGGTTCTGCCGGCGTGATCCTAGCAGACTGTCCGCGACATGATATCCAGGGGGGGCGTCTCTTTGTATGTCTTAAGCGCGTTCTGACCAATCTTCAACAACTGGTATGTACTAGTTGTCAACTTAATCAAAGCTGTTCCTTGCCCGAGAAAATGGTTCGCCTGCGAAGAGGCCACAGCTCGCGCCGTCTTGCAGGTTAGGTTAGGTTTTGGACATGGCTCGTGTTTTGAGACCGGGAAAAAACGAACCCATCTTCTGCCGCTAACGCGTTATGGTCTGAACAGCCTGGTGGCTTGGTCATTCCAACTTCCACGACGGCAGATAAACGCGCTGCCAGTGATTATAAGAAGGATCAGAAGGATCAAATGGCAGGATATTCCGAGGCAGAGGCGTCCGGTTTTACCGAGCAGAAATGGAAGATGATAGCACCCAGAACGTCGGGGCTCGCTGTGAGCGGCAGCGCAACAGGACCTCGATGTTGTACGTCACAAAATTGAATGACTTTGACCCCGCTGCAGACAGACGGCAGCAAGGCTTCCCATGAATTGGTCTCGGCGTAACCAACAACACACAGTAAGCGCCACCATCTCAGCAACGGCCCGAACCGCCTCCCCACGAACACGCTCACCTCGCCGTTGCAAAATTGTCAGACGCGAGCGTTCCGGCCTGATAATAATCGGGCGCGGGGACGATCGCAAACGGCAGACGCGATAACCTCGGTAGTCACTACTTGACGCACGTTAGTCAAATACTTGCAGCGATGTATGTATTCGCTGGCCCACTGAATGGATCGGCGTAGATCGTCTCGATTACTATTCAGTAGCAAGTGGATCCGGGCGAGAAGGAAGGCTCTTGCTGTCTGTGGACTAGCGTGCGCCACTTCATCGTCTGCGTATTGGTTGCTTTCGCGTCCTAGATTGTGCGAAATTACATGGATAACAGGACGGAGCTAATTATGTGTATAGCTGCAAGCGATCTCACGAAGGCGCCCATAGTGTGCAGTAATTGATATTCATGCGCCACACCGCGTAGGAAGCTGGCTCCCAAAAGGTAATTACGGTATGATAGCAACATAAGTATGCCGTCATCGAGAACCCATGATGTTGAGCATCATGTACAACGGACTAGAGTAATCTATTCTAGGGTGATCAGCTGGAATAACTTACCAGCAAGGTCATTTGTTCTAAGCTTCACCGGATCGGGTGGTCGGTGTCTGGCGGCATTGCAGCAGACGCCTCCTGACGCCGTCAATGTTACTATGACATATGCAACAGCGCTCACACGTCTCCGTGTTCTGGGACGAGATATAGTTCGTTCTGCATTCCCAACAGTGAAGATGCAAAATCATGTTCGTCAGTCAGAAGAGTCTGCCTTAGAGTTTCTATGGACCCTTGCTCCATGCTGGCCGTGACAGATTGTGTGGGTAGCCATCGGAAAACGGGGCATTGCTCTGTTTGACGCTTTCCATGACAAAGTTTGTTAAGGGAAGTAGACTCGTGTGAAGCACGACTGCAAGCACATTCTCGACGCGACTCCAGTGACCCTCGCTGATGTGCAAGCGATTAGAAAGAAGTAAAAAGTGCGGGTGAGCAATGGCCGTGAAGGCCGATCAAGCGAGCGGATGGGTCGAGCGTTAGTACCAGACCTGATGCCGTGAGCGCGCACCAAGAATACGTCCGGGAACAAGCGAAATGAAGTCAGGTTGCTTACAACGCTATCGTTACATGGGCGCGGGCACAGAATAGTGAACGTACGCGGAGAAGAGGACATGCTTCATCTCCGGGTATGCACGTGCATGTGAAATATCGCATGGCGTTAGGAGAATAGGAATGACAGGCCTGGGATGGGAATACTTTTTCGTTGCCTGAAATATAATCAGTCTCCGTCGCCGTATACAGGTGATACCGTGCACTCACAGCTCCCGCACTAAGCAAATGGTACGTAAGATGTCAGCAGACTTCTTCACCGGTCAATGCTGGCCTAGGGCGGAATCACTTTACCTCGTATGACAAAATTTGCGAGCACGGCAAGGAACAGGAAAGCGCTGATTATGACTGGGCCGACAATTTCCACTATAGAAGTCACCGTCGTGGTGTGCATTCAGTATACATCTCCGTTAACGGCACCATAACGACTGACCGAAGGGACGTGGGTCTCGCCTTTGTATGAGTGTGATGCGGTGCTGATAGACTGCGTAGCCATAGACCTATCGCGAGCTCGCAAGTAAATATCTCATATGAAGTAAACTGACCACATGTTTGAAGCGACTGACCAATATGGCCACACTGATCAAAGCATAGGCATATGCAAAGTTGCGTGCAATCTGGTCCTTGGAGGCGTTGAAGAGTGCTAGTGCCAAGGTCCCGACAAGCACGGATGTATTCAGGTACGCAATCCACGCTGGAATGTATCCGTTAACATGGTTGATGTCGTCTACATACACGGTGTGGTACCGACTTCTTTCATTTGCAAACCAGACCTTGCCTTCGACCTTGATAGGCGTCGCTATCTTCTTTGGTACGCGGACCTGCGGTGGCACGCTGTTAATCGCATGATAGTCCCTCACGGTAGGCATTTGGCCGTCCTCATCGCGCCCCGCTTCCGGGACATTGTCGTTGCGAGTATAACGAGGCCGCCGGCGCAGCGTCCTCTTGGGGAGAGATGCGAGAGCCGAAGGTGAGAATGGGAACAGAAGGTCAGACATGGCATGCCACGATCTCCTGAGGAGTGAATTGCGTCGCTCATCATCGTGAGCGTCGTCGCCGTTCTCTCTCGTGGTCGTCTCCGTCGGCATCGAAGCCATGATAGCAACAAGCAGCCTTCCAGCTGGGACGGACGACGTTAGCGCAACAACCGCGTTGCGTGTGGCAAACCGTGGAGTGATCGAGATTGAATTCCTGCGGAGTTTCTGAGTCTGAACCTACAGACGTCAGGGTGGCAACGCGGGGGTGGCTGAGCGTGATCTTAGTCCATTCTAGTATGTTCTAGCAATGCCGACACTCCTGGAGCGGCTTCCAGCCCTCCTCTGCCCCTATACTTATTCCCTTTCTGCTCTCGTATCTCTGCTCACTCATACACTGCATTCACGACATACCCTACTTTTTCTATCTGCTTGCTGTCTTAATCCACTACAATGGGAACCGATTACTATAAGCTACTCGGAGTCGACAGGAATGCCAATGAGGATGAGATCAAGAAGGCGTACAAGAAGATGGTGAGCAAATGTTGTACCCGTCGCTACTGACTTGATTGCTCACAGCGCACAATAGGCTCTAAAATGGCATCCAGATCGCAACGGGGGGTCAGAAGATGCGAACAAGAAGTTCAAACAGGTAAGTTCGGGCTATCTGGCTGGCTTTTATGGGGCTACGTCACAGGATGTTCCCAATGTCGTCGTATCGACGCAGTCCCTAGAGCATCGCTGTCTTCCCAGCCGTGTCGATGGTGTGTAGTGACTTTGGATTTACATGCGGCGGGGAGCTGTCTGCGCGTTCCGGTCTGGCGGTGCAACCCTTTCCGCGAATGATGACCGTTGGTCATTATGCCGGCGCGTGGTATGCGTTTGCGTTTGCTGGCGCCCGACGCACAGCGTCTAGGCATGTAATGCTTGGATTGCAGGTAGGCTGAGCGTCAATACGAAGCCTACAGGAGACTACTGTTGATACTTCAGCGGGACTCGTGTCCCAGTCCTCAGTGAGACGGTGAGCACCCCTATGTAGATACATTGGGTATGTCCAGCCGTCTCGGCCTTAGAATTGACGATCAATCAACAGTGGAGTGTGTCGGGTCGCTGCGAAGACAAGATCGCCATGTATGGATCAGAATATGCTTACTTAGCTCGTGCCGAGTTGACTGTCACTTCACTCGGTCGGTAGTATACAGTCCAAGTGGATCAGGTTTGTTTCATTCTACGTAGGTGCTGAATTGAGCACCAGCGGTGGATATGATCTTCTTGTCATCCGGGCGCATTCGTGACGCCCTTAGGGCACAGGCCTGGGTTGTAGTTTTCATCATATCGCTGGTGCCAAGTTAGCACTGCAAAGTAACATTAACCGCAGCGGGTACGGATAATGAGAAGGGTAGACCCTGCTATGTAGCTCTCTATCCTCCAGATGTCTTCTTTCGTGTCTCTCCCCTGAATGGTTCAGGTGCTAACATTCTATGATTGTTCATCTAGATTTCAGAAGCCTTCGAGGTGCTCAGTGATAAGCAAAAGAGGACCATTTATGACCAGTTCGGCGAGGAAGGACTGAAGGGCGGTGGTGCACCGCCACCAGGTGCAGGAGGAACCCCGGGAGGCGGCTATTCCAACTTTGGCGGCTTTCCTGGCGGAGGCACTACATTCTCGTTCACGTCGGGCCCAGGAAGCGGTTTTGGTGGACGCAGTAGTTTTTCACCAACAGACCCCCAGAAGATATTTGAGTGAGTAACGCACGACCCTCCTGTACTATGTTTGTGCGTGCTTACATTCTCTTATAGACAATTCTTCGGTCCGGGCGGTTTGGGAGGAATGGGAGGAATGGGCGGGATGGGCGGTTTAGGTGGCGGAGGCCGCAGTCGCATGGCCAACGTCTTCGATGGCGACGATGACATGTCTGGCTCCTTCTTCAGCGGGATGCCAGGCGGGATGCCAAGTGGCAGGCCCTCACCACGGCCAAGCCCACAACGGCGACCATCAGCCAGCCCACCGTCCGAAATCACACGCGCGCTGAAGGTTTCACTAGAGGACCTTTACTCTGGCACAACGAAGCACCTGAAGGTCGGCCGCAAGCTCCTCAGCGGCGACACGGAGGACAAGGTGCTCGAGATCCAAGTCCAACCTGGCTGGAAGAGCGGCACGAAGGTGCGCTTCCCCCACGCAGGCAACGAGCAAGCGACAGGCGAGGCGCAAGATCTCGTGTTCGTCGTTGAGGAGAAACCACACGACCGCTTTGTCCGCGAGGGCAATAATCTTGTTACGCGTGTATCAACATCGCTCGTGGACGCGCTGACAGGCGACGGCGGCAAGAAGACGGTCGAGGTGCTCGACGGGCGGAAGCTACAGGTCGCGCCTCCGAGTGGCATCGTCAAGCCCGGCTCGGAGACGGTTGTGTCCGGTGAGGGCATGCCAATCCGGCAGCAGGGCAGTGTGCGGAGGAAAGGTGACCTCATCGTCAAATGGGACGTCGCCTTCCCTGAGCGATTAACGCCCGCTCAGAAGGACGGTATTCGGAAAGTGCTTGGCTAGACTGCATGATGCTAGAGGACGGTTCAGGACAATGCCCGTGATGTATTAGTATTACTGTAGTAGTGTAGGCGCAATATTTCTCCTTAGTTCCTTTGCAATGATACAACAATCTCATGCAGCGCTGCTCCTTACCGGCACGTTGTGCTGAATTGTTGTTTCAGGCTGCGATGACCGTCATTGTCAAGTTCCCAGCTTGAGGCACACGGAATACAACAAGCCCACACAGCACTCATTGACCATATCATGAAATAGGTATCTTGATAGGCTAAATCTAAATGCAAGCTATCACTAAGAATGGTACATTTCGAGAGCAGAAAGGACGTTGACTGATAACCCGTGCATGTCAAAGTGGTCTGTTAAAGCAAAAAGACGTGTATCCAAATGCTTGAATGTTATGTCAATGGGCCCGGATAGGCTGCACTTCACTTGCGATGGAAGGTCGACGTGTAGCAACATAGCGGTAATTCTGCGTATCCTACACTATAAACGTCTCAAGGCGGCGGTATACCTGCGTCCTGCGAGGCTCCCAGAGTCCAGATACTCGAAGTCTCAGACGTGCTACTGGGATCACTCTTCGTCTTCCTTGGGCAATTGTCTCCCTCGATGACGCAAATCATGGTATTGGGGTCAAGGTAAAGTTTGTCTCGTACCCAGCCGGTTTCATCCCGCACCCCACCACCGCTGATGAACCGTCTGGGGCATTTTGATAGAGCCCTCCCCCCTTCCGTGTAGCGCCCGTTTAGCGCGCATGTAACGGTCACATATTTGATACCGCATCATTCCGTCAAGCCACCTCCCGCTGCACGGCGGCGCACGGCTCGACCCCTCACATTCGACCTCCCCCCTCCTCGACGACGATCACCGCGTGCACCGGGGGTGCTATCCCGGCTAGGGCTCTCGGTAGAAGACCGTGGAGTGCTGATTCTGGAGGGCCCGGCTTTCTTTTCTTCTCTTTTCTTCTCTTTTCTTTTTCTCGTTTTTCTCCCTCCCTCTCGGACATTGCGATCGCATCACGCTCTCCTTATACGTCCATACCGCCCATCCGCACCTGTACATTACTACATCGTCCTACTCTATAACCCTGTAGACACCCCGTACGCCAGGGGCACTGTCGCCCGCGTATCGCGGGCCGGCGCCCGCCGCGTCTTAGCACTACCGTGTTTGCTTGTTGCAGCATATAAATTGAGAATTCATCATCATCATCCGTCAAGCCACCTAGCCTATTTAGGTAACTCCTCCTAGCAGCTTTTGCGTGCGCACCTGGCCTTCTGTTCTTCACTGTTGCTAATTGACCAGATGTAAAGTATGTAAATGCATAGTATTGGAACTGAAAGAGTATACGGCAGATTCCAAAAGCAGTACAAGACAGTTGTATTTGTGACTCAGCAATAGCCTGGTATAATTATGGTTAAGGGGGCTCAATGTCTATTTTCCTGCCTTGATGAGATTCCGAGAAGTGAGGAATATATACAGCTCGCATACCATCTCTGTGACACTACACTCGCAGCACTGAGGGACAGGTGCGCGCGCAAAAGCTGCTAGGAGGAGTTACCGAAATAGGCTAGGTGGCTTGACGGAATGATGCGGTATCCGACATGTGACCGTTACATGGGCGCTACATGGGCGCTAAACGGAAGGGGGGAGGGCTCTGTCAAAATGCCCCAGACGCTTAGTGCGCGGTGGTGGGGTGCGGGACGAAAGCGGCTGGGTACGAGACAAGGTAAAGTCAGCATTCACTGATTGGCGAAACCTGACATGGCATATGCTTCGTAGCGGCCCTTGACCTTGACGAAGCCTCGGATATTGCGACTCGAGAGGTGAGGACATTCAAGGGATGTCGGGCAATGTAAGGTTGAGACATAGCCATCCGCTCTCCCTGTCCTTCAGTCCATGGTACACGTCCTCTACGATGTCCCCCGCGAAATTGGGACACCCGCTGACGACTAGCTCGATACAGCGATTTTTTTCCCACAGATATTCCTTGATGTACTCTTCCTCGATTATACTGGCGGCTCTCAGAACAGTGATGCAAGAGGTGCGAAGGAGAGGCGCTGCGCAATTCATGAATAGCAGCACTTCTTTACCAACAATGCCATTTCGGAGCCTTAAGAATTGGAACAGGACCTGTGTGCCCAGATATGTTTGAAGTGCAGGTATTCCAAAATGAGATGGGAAAATTGCTTACCAGTCGCAGCGACGGTCCAGCTCGTTGCGAGTAAGTATATTCGGATTCGAGCTGGAATCGACTTAGTTACTTACGAGACCAATCCCCAATATGAAGGATCGTCCTATTTCTCAACGTCAAGACGTGTTACAGTCGTCGTAGCTATGGCAACGCGCAAGAACCTGGACCGTCACAGATCACATGCTTTGTGACTCACCGCGACGAGGCAATAGGTCGCAGGAAGGCCTACTTGGTTTGAGCCTCCTAGGGCAGCCTACAAAGAGCTCTATGTTCGGGTGTACTCGTCTCCATCTATGCTAAATCAGAATACACTCAAAGGTGATACAACATTATTGAGATGACTTGCATTGCACGATGCATCGCAGCAATCCTGGCGGTAATTCAAGAAGACTGGAACCTAATCATCAGCGCCGAGCTATGGCGTGAATCTAGAGTTCTTTTGACTTCTGACGTGCAGCATATTGCTCTAGCAAATGTCTCCAAACATACCAGACCGAGACAGCATTCACCGATGTATCAATTCGCAAAATTATCGACAAGTATGTGAACAGACAGGGTTAGAGCTTATTCGATGGCACTTGGCTCAATCGACTTGTCGAATAGGAGCTGCAGATAGTAAGGTAATCTCAGTCAGTCACTAAGTATAGTTCAATAGTATCGCGTCTGCACTGACCTCTTCTGCACCTGGCTTAGAACAAACCTCCTCGAAGAGGGATTCACCTTCGTGGGTTGAAATTACCTCCGGCATATGTTCCCCATCCTCCGTTAGGGATACTCTCCACCATGCAAAATGGTCTACATCCATCTCGTCTTCATCCCCTTCTTCATCCTCTTCTTCATCCCCTTCTTCATCCCCTTCCGCATCCCCTTCTTCATCCCCTTCCGCATCCCCTTCCGCATCCCCTTCACCCCCTTCTTCACCCCCTTCTTCACCCCCTTCTTCATCCCCTTTTTCATCCCCTTCTTCATCCCATTTCAGTCCCAGCGAGAGATATCGGAGTGTCGGGATAAGGCATGCAAATTCACTTGCCAAGTCAGGAAATAGGTTGCTGCGGGCGAAGGCAGATCTATTTCTAGCTGCTCGTGGTGTTAGTCGATCAATCTTGGTTAAGATGTGGACTTTTAGGACTGCAGGTTGCAGCCTCGCTAATTGATGAACGCAGTCCATCTGCGCTTAAGGTGAGTGCAAGCACTTCCAGGCTATAATGAAGCGAGACTAACCCTCCACATAGGCAAGTTGATCTCGCGTATTACCACCTCTAAACCGACCAGACCACCTGCTGATGCCGATAGGTCTTTCCAGAAAAGCAGCTCATCATTTGGTGTCAATTGATGATTCGGAAGACTGAGCACCGTGGGCGATGTATCCCTCACGGTTGCAACCATAAACGACATTTCTTCCATCGGCTTCATCATCCCCTTTGCCGGTCCGGTCGTCGTCTCCACCTCCAAGTGGTGGACTCGAGACCGCAACTCCCAGGTCGTGAGATCATGTAATTCCGCACATAAGCTATGCAGTGATGGCCAATCAGCTTCGTGGTTTCCTGTGTCGCCGAACATGTCGGTCACATCCTCCAAGGTGAGTCTTTGAAGGTTGGGGAACAGCCGCGCAATTTGCTTTTTGGGCAATTCGGAAGCCCCCAAGACTAATTCTCGAACAGACGGTATAGGCTCCCAATCCTCCATGATGCTCGCTGACTCCCATGGATTGGCTGTGCGCGGCCCCAAATGTTCGGCGTTAAATCCATAGATATGGAGTGATTCGACATCCCTGATGGCCTGGCTCTTGAATAGTGGCGAGAAATCGACCTCTCCTTCTTTGTGTTGTGGGTCGTTCAAGTAATATATGTGCTTCGGTCTACTGCGCATTTCTGTGAATATGTTGATTGTATCAGGTCCACCATAGTCCAACTCGAGAGATGTAAGGCGTTGGAGGCGAGCAATCGCTCGACCGAGGGGAGGGTGGATATTGACCAATTTCTGGCAGTCGTGCAATACAAGGTGGCGCAGGTTCCAGGCGTTCAGCAGGATCGTGCTCAAAAGAATAGCCGCGTTTTGGTTCCTTGTGCTGCCATCCATAAGTTTGAAACTTTGCAGCAAGAGCGATTGGGGAAGCATGTAAAGAGGGCGCTGCAAGTAATATCTCATCAAGTCCCACTCTCCCGCAAACGACAGTTCGAAGTCGGCTGCGCGTGTCGTCAGGTAGCGAAGGCGCCTGCAAGTTGATGCCAGCCGTCTGATATCTCTCGCAGAGAGGAAGGTTATAACGATGACCAAGGCCTCCAGACTCAGGGCAAGAAATCCTTGCTCGGGTGCACGATTGAGTCCCCTGTCTGCAGGCATTCTATGCGGCCAAGGTAGGGCCATTCAGCTGAAGACAGACGAGCGACGAGGCTACTCACATCAAGGTACGCAAAGTTAGCGATCTCAGTGCGGGTGAAAAGTGCTGAGACGTCTCGATTGCGACGAGAGAGACTTTATACCCAACGAGGAGAGCGTATATACTGCAGCTAATGTAACCTTGACTTTGGTCACCGAAGATCACCGCTTGCCTGGATACCATTGTGCTCGCAACCTCACGACAGCCGGTACTGGCTGAATATCAGGTGCGTTTCATTGTCAAGATGCAGCCCACTATGTCGACCATGCGTACGTTGCAACACTTCGGCATGCCTTTCCCCGATCCATTGTTCCTGGAGTGGTCGCAGTGGCAGTGGACAAGATAAAAAATCAGCTTCGCAAGATTCCATAACATTTGTTCCTCCATGGTATACGTCAAGCAATGATGGTCTTTGAAGAGAGACCTAGGCGTAAGTACTCAGATAAGCCGACCATAATAATCCTTGACATTCTCACAAAAGTGGGGTTTGCTCAATCTGAGCTCGTACTAGCGGATGTAAAAAATCATGAAATGGGCGCGCATATGTTCACGGGCCTGTGTCAAGTCCCGGCGCGGCGCGTCTGCTTACACTCCAGCTGGGTGGCAGGAGGCTAGCGTTCATGTTCTAGTGGTTCTTATGACAAACTTGTAACGTTGCTTGAGCTCAACCCCTAGTTTCACTTCGCCTTGTGGCGTCATCCACTGACGTATTTATGTTTATGCCGGTACGCAGAGCCTCCACAGGGATCCACTTATCATCGTATAGTGGAATAAAGTCATTGTGCAAGTTTCAGATCCAGTATGATTCGGCTTGCGATGCGTGTTTGACAAGAGTCACTGACAGATACGTCTTTCCCCATCTCCGGGAGAATAAATGCGAGTCGATTTTTGTGCCAATGGAGGCAGAGATGTCCCTAGCTGGAGGACGTGTGAGCGACTTGGAAAAAGTGGGACGCCAACAAGTATGTGCCGGTCCGGGCTGAGGTATTCGAGCTTATGAAATTTTAGACAGGTAGTGGCAAGCCCTGGGAAGTATATACGACATGCGTGAGCGAGGCAGAGCAAATTGGATTGGACAACTTCAGACCTGCCTTAGAGTTGAAAGCTCCTCAAACTGCAATCGTTGCAGGACCGTTAGTAGGTAATTTTGCGCTGAAGGATACACGAGGAGCAAAGACAGTAGAAAGGATTCTTACAACTGTAGCGTTTTATTTCTCGATTTTCACCAAGTACTGGGTGGCGTTGTTTCAGCAGAAAGATGCGTAGCTATTGGACCGGCAGCTGCCGATTCGCTAACCGGGTGGCTGAAGCGCGAGGTCCAATCTCGCATCCCGGGCCAAAGGCGAACAGGCTGCCCTCAGACTGTTACCACTATAACACCAGTAACTCCTGGAATGTTATGCGAGGAACGATTCTACCATGGCTGATCAAAGCCTCCACAGTATAGCGCCATCCATATTCTACGACTCTGCACCGCCCTCGGAAGCGACGCCCCCGTTTGACAATGGTTCGGCGGATACCATTCTCTGTTCCTCCGATAATGTGTACTTTCATGTACACAGCGCGCTACTACGCGAGGCATCACAGTCCTTTTACGGGATGTTAAAGCACCAGGACAACTCTGATGATGATATTACGCGTACGCACTCCACGGCTCGCGACGGATCCACACGCCCGCTCATGACCTCCCTGACGGAGACCAGTCATATACTCGACGCGCTCCTGCGTTTCTGTTACCCAATTCCAGATCCTATTCTTGACAGCCTAACGGACATATCCGACGTCCTGCAGGCTGCGATCAAGTATGAGATGGAGCAAGTGGTCGTCCTGACCAAGAGGCTTCTCCTCTCATTCGTCGATGACGATCCGCTGCGAGTATGGACTATCGCCTGCCGTTCGCGACTCGAAGCGGAAGCGCGCATTGCCGCCATGAAGGTGCAGGACACGTACCCGGACAGCGGAGCTCCCCCTGAGATGCGCGATATCTCGGCAGATGCATTTCATCGTCTCCTGCGCTACAAACGCGCGAACGGCGAAGTCGATGACGGATTCATGTTTTGTTCTCCTTCACAGGCTACCGCTACTGCGACACAAGGCGCCGACTTGGTTTCCAGGCAACCTAGCCCCAACGAATTCTTCGCTCATCCATTCGCCGACATCGTCTGTCGGTCGTCAGATAGTGTTGAGCTTTCTGTGCACAAAATCATTCTATCCATGGCATCTCCGGTTCTTCGAGACATGCTCACTGAGCTGACGCACGGAAAGGATGCCACATGCGGCGACTTGCACAGTGGCCGTTCAAGACTGGAATTTCCAGAGCACAGCGGCACGCTATGCGTGCTGCTCAGATTGTGCTACCTAACGGAAGATGTAGACATCACCATCGACTATTCCCTCATCACTCCAGTCATACAAGCCGCTACAAAATATCAGATGGACAGGGTCTTAGACCTCATGCAACGGATCCTCAAACGCATGTCCAGTTCAGATACATTACGCACCTTTCTTGCGATCTCTCAGTCAAGTATAGACAGTTTGATAGTACGCTCCCTCGACACCGCCCGTCCCGACATCGCCGAGGAATATGTGGCGGAATTGGAGACCACCTCAGCCGACCCCTATTACCGCATGCTGAAGTGGCGTGAGCTCAGTAGCGACGCCTACGCGAAAGTAAGCAAAGAAACAGGGCTGAATGCTTACTGGGACAAGTCCTCCAAGGACGACAATCCTATTGTCGACTTTGACCCACGGTGCGGGTGCGGGAGGGAACCGACTGTCCAAACGACTCTCAAATCTTGCCTGCGGGACGCCCGAAAACGTATCAACTACCATGCACGGGTCGAGCTGGAGGAACGGGCGAAGGCACCAGAAGCGGACCTGCCGCACCAGTACAAGAGCACGTTGGTTAGCTCTGTTCAGAAAGGGCGTCTGTGCGGAGAGTGCGAGCAGATTGTGACGCGGTACCTGGAGTTGGACGACTATGTACAGAACTGTTATTCCGATGCTGCAACCGGTGTACGTGTACATCCGCGCTTACTCCTTTGCCTGATTTCAATTATTGAATATTTGCGATCCGCCCACAGATTGATTATTGAGTATCAACTGTATGTTGCGCTTCAATCTACGTCTTTGTGTACTCCTCTATCCAGACCACTGGAGGAATGCGCTAGAAAGCAATCTAAAGCTTTGCACCCTTCTTGAGAGTATGAAATCGCTATACAATGGTCTACGTGCCATAACTTCAGTCGGAAAATTGATCTATTGACTTGGAATTATCAAATGGGCTACGTCGGAAGTAATACTCTAAGTCGTCCTCTAAACAGTGCGTAATAATGAGGTGGAACTTCATAACTTGCTATGCGATGTATATTCCAATTGAACCAAGTGATCGATCGAGGACGATCGGAGATTTGGCCACACCTTGCGGCTACTCGTTGCTCCTTGCTATCAACCTTTGGAGAGCGCTTGGTTAACCGGTTGGCTGGTGCTTTAATGGCCCTCTATAAACACGGAAACTCTTCAAAGTCTGTAGCCGCGCCAGCGACCACTGAATTCGACATCTTAAAGGCATCCCACAAGTACGTAGGGTTCTCAATGATCGTATCGACGCAGAAGAGGCAGACACATTTCTTAGATTCCTACGCGAGGACGAGGAGGGCCCGAAGTTATCTTGGAATGAGCAACTTGCTAAGAAGTACTATGACAACCTGTACCGCGAGTACGCGGTGTGCGACCTAAAGCATTACAAGACAGGAAACGTCAGTGCTCGCATTCCCATTGCGAGCTAGCTCACCGAACTGCTATGTCGTGTTCTGCCTTATTTTCAGTTTGCCCTGCGGTGGCGCACAGAATCAGAAGTCATCTCTGGAGCGGGCGAGACGACATGTGGCAACACCCGTTGTCCCCTCCACACAGCCTCCTACGCGGAGCGCAAGTCACTCAAGACGCTCGAGCTACCGTTCTCCTACATTGAGGATGCAGAGAGCAAATTTGCGCTGGTCAAAGTGGTCCTGTGCGATAAGTGCTTCAAAAAGCTGATGTGGAAGCGGAACAAGGAGAAGGAGAAGGCAGGGGAGAGTTTAGAGAAGGAAGGGGGGCAAGGTGTGGCGGTGCAGAAGGTCAAGCAGGAGGAAGTTGAAGGCGATGTACCCCCGTTGAAGGCCAGCCCTTCGCACAAACGCAGTGGCAACATCAACGATCGTCCACGCAGAAATGAGGAGGAAGAGGAAAGTGACCGGACACGTCGCCGAAGACACTCGAGATCTCGCTCTCCATCTTACTCCAGAAGGCATGATCGTACCCGGGACCATACACGAGGTTAGCAAGCTCCGCTGTCTTCACCTCGCTGTGCTTTCGTCCGACACAACTCGCGGCAAAGAAGCGTGCACCGTATCTAGAGTTGAATTGGTCTAGCAAAACTCGACACCTTGTCACAACGCCCATCGCAAACAACACTGTATGACACCCTCACTTAACAAACGGCCATAGCTCCTCATCGCTTGGACCTGGCTCCCTCACTCCCACCACGCCCATGACCTGGTATTGTCCACCCATTCCAGTCAGATCCACCAGTCTCCGCGCGGCTCTCTCTATGTCCGCTTTTCGCTCTGCGTCAGATGACGCCTTCTTCAGCGCCTCTACCCGTGCTTGCAGACCCATGCGAGTGAGGAAGGCAGCTTGTGACAAGGGTCCTAGCGGGAGAGCTGTGGACGAACGAAGCGACAAGTGAGCCGGCGCTCACATATGATCTGCAGTCGAAGACGTACCTATGTCGCGCACGGCTTCTTTGAGGTACGCGAAGTCGACATTCACCGTCAAGTCGCACTCGCCGGGACGGTGGAAGACATCGACGATTTTGTGGTCCTTGAACGCGCGGAAGGAGCTCCCATATGCCTTCTCGCCACCGTAGTCGACAATGAGCGCGCAACCGGCAGATCTATCCTTCGCATTCTCTGGGTCGCGGACAAGCTCGCCAATTCTGCGTGCAATCTTGAAGGCTGCAGGGGAGACTTCGACTTGACTGCCGACGGGCAACGATGTGTAGCGAGGGGAGGACTGGCTCAGCAGAAGGGCGGACGGGTCGGGCTCGGGTGCGAGGACCCGATGGAAGCGTGCTGGTGCTTTTGCAAGTGCGGTAGGAGGGGGTGGAGACGTTGTGGTGAAGTCAAGCAAGGGCCTTTTGTCCGTTGGCACGAAAGTGTCGGGATTAGCTGCGATCAACACCTCCCGCCAGCCTTGCTGGGTACGCTGTTCATGGGTTGACTGAGCCGAATATATTGTCGAAGTTGATGAGAACTACATACCTGAATGAGGTGGAATGGCAGCGCGTCGAAGAACTCGTGCGCCAGGATCATGGTGAACGCGCTTGGATCTGAGCTTATTTCGTTTAAGGAGGAATTCCATTCTAGTTTCCATCCCTGCTGCTGTGCTATTCCAGAGAGTTTGTCTTCTTGCCTGGAACGCATTGCCGAGCTAGTCTCAATCAGCTGGATTTCCCGTATCGCTGTGTGCGCGGCAGGGAATTGTGACAAGACCTGGTATGCGCTTGAGCTACCAGACGGACGCTACAAGATGGGAGTGATGCTTACTCTGAGTACATCATGAACTAGGGTCCCGCGTCCAGGACCTAGCTCGACCAGCCGGATGGGGCGTCCATTCCCGGCGTGCATCCACTGTGATAGCAGCCATATTCCGACGAGCTGTCCTCAGGCTTGGCAGTCGTTATCCCTACAATTCCCTGTCCATCCAAAAGCCAACATACCTCGCCGAACACCTGGCTGATCTCAGGGCTAGTCGTAAAGTCCCCCTTAGAACCAAAGACGGGGTGTGAGGGGTTCATGTAATAGCCTTGAGTCGGGTGCGACAGGCACATTTGCATGTAGGTCGCGAACGACACTGGCCCAGCGGCCTATGAAGATCTTAGCATGGCGCATATATGTATCAGAAGCATGAAAGTACTTTTATCGCATCCCCGAGTATCTTTTCCACCTTAGTGACGGGTGGGTTGACAGCAGACACATACGTCCTGCGGGGATTACGCGCCACAGATGCCGGCCTGATACACACTCCTGCTATCGCACGGGTAGCAGAAGACTTGCATCTACAGGGCAAGACTGCCGCATGGCGAGATAGCATACTGACAGGTCTGACTAGGCCTGACTCGTTTTGTGTACGATTCGCCCGCAGATGCACGGTTGTCCTGCTGTCCTATCCTCTCGGCTGCGCACGTCCAGACAACACAGATATGACTCGAATTTTGATAGAAAGAAGTACACGGTGCAGGAGTCATCCAGCACAAGCGAGCGGGCCTGGGAGTGAACGAGGATAGCGTCGAGCGTCAAGGAGTCGACGCCGGTACCGTGATCGTGCCGCGCTGACTGGAGCGCGTCTCACCCGCGTCCATATAGCCACTTCGCAAATTTTCAAAATCTACACATTCGCTCGAGGCTTGCCCAAAAACAATATCCCACCCTTGCTCTCGACTCTAGCCAAAATCACCGCCTTTACCACTCAGTCAGCACAGACACAAGCATAATATGGCTACCCGTACGATCAGCATCGAGCAACCAGAATTCTTATCAGACTGATCATTTCGCTTTCCCCGCACGCAGGCATCCAATTCGAAAACAGCAGCGACATTGGTGTCTTCTCCAAATTGACGAATAGCTACTGCCTCTGCGCAGTCCAGGGCAGTACGAACTTTTATTCCGCCTTCGAGAGCGAGCTTGGCGATGTTATTCCGATCGTACACACCACCATTGGTGGTACCCGGATAGTGGGACGACTCACCGCAGGTATGCCACGCTGCCTATTGGTCTATACTCTGTGATTTTTATGAAAGTACAGGCAACCGCCATGGTCTCCTCGTGCCCTCGACAACCACCGACCAAGAACTGCAACATCTCCGCAATTCTCTTCCAGACGCCATCGCAATCCAGCGAGTTGAGGAGCGACTATCCGCGCTCGGCAACGTCATCGCATGTAACGACTACGTCGCCCTCGTGCACCCCGACGTCGACCGCGAGACGGAGGAGATCATTGCGGACGTGTTGAAGGTGGAGGTGTTCCGGCAGACGATCGCAGATAACGTGCTCGTAGGCAGTTATTGTGCGATCACAAACCAGGGCGGGCTTGTCCATCCAAAGACGAGCGTACAAGATCAGGACGAGCTCAGCAGTCTGCTTCAGGTCCCCCTTGTGGTATGTTTCACTTATTCCGCCCGGATCGTTTAGAAAACTTGACGTGATCTGTAGGCGGGCACAGTGAACCGAGGGTCGGACGTCATTGGTGCAGGACTGGTAGTGAACGATTGGTGTGCATTCACTGGTCTGGACACAACAGCTACGGAGATCAGCGTCATTGAGGCGACGTTCAGTGCGTGTTCTCGCGTGTCAATTTTGGATACAAAGCTGATGTTTGCGCTTGCAGAGCTGCAAGGCCAAAGCTCCGCAGCAGCTATTGGCGAGATGCGCGACTCCCTTATTGACAGCTGGGCATGAGACTGTATCTCGGCTTGCTTATCGAACCACTGTATACAACATCTGTTCTGGTACTAGGGGGGACATATTGCATGAAGACAACACTTGTGTATCCGTATCGCACTTTGCCCTTGTAGATTCGCTATGCATCTCGCAACCTCGCTCTGGGATACTGTTAGAGAACCTTTGGCACGCTCAATATCGGTCCGCTATCACGTCATCAAAATCCATAAAACGCTGACCTGGTACTCTGGATGCTACATGGCAGTTCCAACATTCACGATCTGCTAGAACCACTGTCTTTTTACACGAATCTGGTACCCCTCCGCTTCACCAGCATTTGTCGCACAACGAACAGGAGTGACGAACCGGCGACCATCACGATCTATCGGATCTTGTCAGACATTTCATGTCATTACGCAGAGTCGAGTCTCATCGGGCGTGAAAATGTTCACAGCAGGCACACGGCAGACACGAACATGGAACTTGGAGATTAGACTCACCCCGCTGAAGATCAATGCCTTGTACCAGGAGTAATCATCACCAAGCAGTGCACCGTCGATGGGTGTTCCAGTCAACATAGCGAATGCAAGGACGAAGAACCCGAGGCCAGTGCGAAGGCTGAAGTATTTATTAACAGCGGACAACGTGCACCGCAGGTATCGTACTTACCCGACCTCGCCCGTGTCATTCGCCAGGTACGCGAAAACCGAAGGGAATAATGACAGACCTGGTGGCACATTCGAATCAGTGTTTTTTCGAGAACCAGACAGGATCTGATTGGCTGAGCACGTACAGGAGCCGCTGAAGAATCCATACAATACCGTCCAGACGACAACGGGTGCCGCACGGACAGCACCAAACAGAGCGAATATAAGTGCACTGCAGATGAGTGCGATTGGTCCAATGACGTTAAGCTGTCCCATGTAGTCCGCAGCGATGCTGGGAATGACTCGTCCGAACACAGAGCCTGCGTTCAAGATAGCGATCTGTGAATGCGCATGAAACATCAGCATTTGTGCATGTATAGATAGATAGGAAAATAGACGTACGGTATAGAAGGCGAGTGTATCTGAAAGACCGTGTTCCCTAACCCAAGTCTGCTGGTAGAAATCTAGGTCGCCAAATTACTGTGGTTGAAATTGAATCCATCAATGTGTGAACGGCGACTCACATGGGAAGTACAGACCCCAATTGACAAGCCAGAGGCTGTTGAGTCCGCTGTATTTTAGCAGTCATACAAGAGACCTATGAATACGGACGTACGCGACGATCGTTAGTACATAGGGAACATCCATGATAACGGGCTTGATTGGAGGCAAAGCACCTTGTTTCCGGTGCTTCGCTCGCGAAGAACGACGGGGACGCAATAAGCAGCACGCAATTAGGAGCAGACCAAGCGTGAGGAATGCTGTAGCGCGCACGCCCCACGCAAAGCCCGCGCGCCCATAGAACAAACGATTCAGCATGATGGGGAAGACGATACTCCCGCATGAAGATCCTAGCAGGCATGATGAACGGCAATCACAGCAATAAATGGACAGCAACTTGCCTGTCTGAACTACACCTAACGCAATGGCCCGATACTTGCGCCAGTAGTGCGACTGAATGGAGCATGCCGGAGTGAGGAGAAAACCTCCTCCGATTCCCATGCCGATGGCTTGGGACAGAAGGAGCTGGTAGTATTGGTGTGGGTTGGCTAAAGAGAGCATGAATATGCTGTCGTTACTGTTTCAGCACTTTGCCAGGTCAAAATTAACACGTTGATGCCTTCTTCACTGACCAGAACGAGAAGAGCAAGGACCCCGATATGAAGATGTATCGAGAGTACCCTGCGTCGAATAGCCAACCCGCAGGTAAGCCACCAGCAGAAAACAGGAAAAGCTACAATCAACTTTCGCTCAATCAATACTGCTTGTTGGGATCCGAGCAGACTTACTTGAATAGACCCGATCCAGCTGATATTGGACGAGGACGAAGACGAGGTGACAGTATAGTAGTCCTGGAATATGCCAAACGACGTGGAGTAACCGAAAGTAGTGAATTCTACCAGCCATCTGAGTATCACCAGTGGTTAACGCTTCGACACGCCGGCACCGACATACGAACCCTCCAAGGATAGCCATGTAAGCCCACATACCACCGTCTGGCACATCGTCGAAGTCACAGTCCGCTGCATTGATACTGGAGTGCTCCACGGCGGGCCCAGAGTCGCTCGTCTCAGCGTGCTTTTGCTCAATGGGTTCCAAGCTGAAAGGTGTCATATCGAGCGCAGGTGAATATTGCGAGTCCTCAGCTATGACTGCACGGTGGAGGAGAAGATATGGGAATGCCCAAGGCTAATTTGAGCGGGTTCATACACTTAGGACTGGAACACTCTGAAATTGAGCAGCAGATATGGTCAGCAGGCCTAATCCCGTGCAAGCGATGCATATTTTGGGAACCCTGCACAGTAAGAAGATATGGGTAAATTTGATCGAGAGGATGTAACATACACTTATGTTCACATGTGAGACGAGGGCTGGGAGATGTGCCTCCGTAGAATGATCGACAATATCAAGGAGACCACGAGATCGGACGTCTACTGTGTGCGAATCCGACAGCTTGCCGATCACAGAATATGTGGTCAAGTGTGTTCATACCATACTACTGGAGCGTCGGCAACCTTTGTCACTGAAGTCATGCCAATCTTCTCACAACACTCTGCTGACGGACACCTCTAGCTGACGAAATGAGAGTTAGGGTCCTCAGCTGAAAATTCCTGATGTGCATGAACATTGTCTGTGGTAGTCATTAGCTCGATTAGTGCTCGATGACTCCCTATTATTGGCAAAAATGCCGTTGGAGGGCTTATATAACACCTTTGAGACATATCAGTATATGTCTGTATCGCACCTTGGGTACTGGACTCACAAATTCGTCCTGAGCGTATTGTATCCAGCCGAGACTGTGTCCTGTATGCGTCGCTCGGCGGACCAGATTTCGAGCTGCTAGACGCGTCGCAGCCTCCTGGCGAGAATCGCAGTGAGCAGCACAGTGACTCGGAGATGCTAGCCCTTGCCAGACGATGCGCCGCACACTAGAGTCGCGGAGCACTGAGGTGCGGGCACCGGTCGGAATTGGGTGTGCAAGCCAGAACGGTTCCAAAACCACCGTGGCACATCTCGAGTAGTACAGTCGTCATCTATCATCGGGTTCCCAATTACTACGTGCATAGGCGCCGAGTTCGCCAGATCACATGGTTCGGCTATTGCGACCACTCCCATGCAAACGGGGTGTGGGCGGTCGATGAACAGGAGTCACTGGGAGTATGGCGCAACAGATCAGATCGGTGAGTATCGCCGCCTTGCATGCTTGAACCCTCACGCAGATCGCGGTCGGTGTGATCGCTTGGGGGCCTGCGCTGCTGCACTGTTACCTTAATTGTTGCGAGGACGGTGGCCATCGATTCTTCCATTGACTGCCAGCGTAACGCCACTCATGACTCCCGTCAGATTTGTACAAATAGTTCCGAATCGTTTCCATGATCTAAGACACTAATCTGCTGTCCTCTGTCTATTGCAAGCATAGCCCACGGCTGCCCGGTCCTTCTTTTAGGTGAGTGAGCCCCAATGGCTAAATCTCGTGCTTGTCAGAAAGGAGGCATTTAAAATTTGTCGGGCTGATTACAAACACGACCCCTCCCACAGAACCATTTGACCAGTGGCTCGCAGCCACGAAGCTCCTGGATATGCGCGCCGCCCGTAGGCTGGATCCCCAGGGCTCGACGAAGCCATAATTTGCCGTCTGTCAGAAGTCGGCCTGTGCACATATCAAGTTATGCAGGCCCATTGGTATGGAGTTGGCCGTCGTTAGGTCATGGCACACTTCGCTCAACATTGTCGCCAAATCCATTGTATGCAAAATCGGCGAGACTAAGAGGAAATACCAACGGACCATCGTATCAGTACTTATTTTTCCCATCGCTAGACCGTTGATGAACCACGAAACACAGTCCATCTATCATTTCGATACAATCCAAAGCTCGTCGACATCGTCACGCAGCTGTTCTAGCGTCAACAACTCCCTTACTTCCTCCGTCACTATCTTCAGCCTATTCAAGCGCATCCCGATGCTCGAACGCAGCCTTACAACATCCGATAGCGGATTCGCAAGTACGTCCCAGCCCTTACAGGACGTGGCGTGTATACATGTCAGACCTGGACATACGATGGATGTGCCGTCTAGCGCATCGACTATCCCTAGCGCCTGGAAAAGCCCCGCAACGTGGGTGTGATGGCCCCCCTCAATCTCGAGGACTTCCAGCGATGGCATTTGGCTGAGTATGCTGCGCCAATCCAACGCACTCAGGCGCAGGGTGTTGTACCGGATAGTGAGACGGCTTAACGCGGGAAACATCAGAAGGTCACCAAAATGATTGAGGACGTCGTCGACATCGACGTCAGAGGCTCCCCGGAAGTTCTGCCACGCCCATGTGGCTACAAACTGGGTGTCTGTTGACGTGAAGCGAAGGCACGCGGCGGTGTGTATAAAAGTAACGTCACACTGAGCTGCAGTGACGCGCGAAGTGCTCGGGTAGAGGGTGCGACCGCGCTGGTGATTGTCTAGACGATCATTCGGCTGATGTAGGAGAGTCAAGGATATTGACGCATCAGCGGGTACCGCTAAGCAAGAGGCTATGCGTGCTATAGAAGAATACAGCCCACGTAGATACAGATACGTCAGGTCGGGAAGATGAACAGAGGTGAATGGGGCATTCAACGCAGAAGGCCGGCCGCCATTATTTCGTGTTTCTATTCGCAGGCGCCGAAGTGCTTTACAGTGCTGTATGCTCTGAAGCACCTCGTCGGCGGACTGGAAAGAGGACACCATAAGATCAAGATAGACCATGTTGCGGTACGATCGCCACGGCAGCCATACATTTGGAGCAAGCATTGTGCGGAGCGTCGGGGTGTCGTTACTGAAGAGTGATGATGCGACAGTATTACTTTGAACCGGGGGAGGTTGATGAGGATACGCGACGAGCATAACTTCTGTGAGTCGAGGTGCAGGGTAAGTGAAAGCGGCAAGTATATCACGCATGTAGCGCCTTGTCACGTCCACGATGCCGAAAGATATAAAACGTCGTGTATGTTGCGCCAACAGACGGGACATTTGCACCAACAAGCCGACGCCGTCCGGGCGCGCGGTAGAACCATGAATGAGTACAGTTAGGCCCATGTCCTGCGAGCGCGACAGGAACATGCGTAACATAGGTTCGCAGCAATCCACGTAGACGATGATTTTGGACCACAACCTAGGAGATGTGACTGCGATGCGGCGCCAACGCGAGCACGTATGGGTGATTGATAGCCAGCTCGTCTTGAAACTCAAGGAGAGTTGGCTCAGTAGATATATACCTCGCCTTGGCGGAGTGAGGGCAAGAACATAGAAGGTTTCATGCAGAATATCGTCATTGAGGCGCTCGATATACGTGGCCGCTGCTTGCTGTGGAATCGGCTCTCGATAGTTTGATAATCTGAGACACAAGTTGAGCTATGATTCATTGCGGTATGTTTGAGAAGTCTTATGGCGCGACCTCACCTTGTTAGGCTTGCTATCCCAGTGCCAAGAGTTCTGCCTGACTTGGAACTGACTTGAGACTGATAGTATGCGCGCGAACTCAGCGTCCAGCGACCTTGCGCTGATGAAGGTCGCGACGTAAATTGCTGGGTTCAATTTGGGAAGCCCAGACAGTAGATGCGTTCAAAGTTGCCGCTTCAATGGGACTTTTCGCTGCTTTGGAGCGCTCATATGTGGCTGGGGGTCACATGGTTGCTTATGACTAAGCGCGATGAAGGTGTGACCTGGTCACATTCTCGGCTCGCGAAGGCGGAGCAGCCAATCAGGTTGGTGGACTTCGCAAGCGTGACATATCGTAAGCCAAAAATGGGAGCGCTTGCGACAAGCACCTCCATATTACCTCATATATAGGTGCGTTGGACCCACAAATCAGGCGGCAAGGGTCCACGCAATCCAAAACAATGACACTTCCTATCCCCTTCGTCTCGCTGCTTTACAGCAAAACCCATATCGATAGACCTCCCTCGCAAAAAGTACAGTTCGCGGAAGCCATATACAGTAATCTACGCTGACTCTTCATCCGTTTGTTGAGGTATACGATGAGTTCCTTCTGATGGATAAATTATCCATTACCGACCATGACGGCGAGACCAGGGGATTACAGCAAGCGTCTCACGATCTTCACTCGTAGCCCGTCTCTGATCGGCCACCCGTCGCCGTCTCTGCACCGCTGCCGACTCCTGCCACGAGCTTCTGTCCCATCTTGCCCCAATGTATACTTTGCGATGAGAGGTCTGTCAATATTGGTTTTGCTGTAAACCAGTTCCGTCCCAATGGACTACGTTCACGTTCATAAGCACGATTCAATCCGGAAGCTAGGTTACGCATTGATCTGGATACAAGAAATAGTTCGACTGCACACTAAAGCTCCACCAGATCTGTAATGCCACCTGTCAGCAAAGCGAACGCGCGAATTGGCTGAAGTTCTCACTAGGGACAAATGAACACCACTATGCAGACAAATCCATTCCAATGGGTAGCTTAGACTACTCGCTGAATCTAAACACAAATTCGTTAGCATTTAGGTCGCCTTTGAATTTCCATTTCTATTCTAACTCACCTTCCCTGTTTCGACGTCATATACCCACCCGCTGATCGGCGTCTCTTTGAGGAGGAGCGCGTTAGTCCTCAGCCACGCCACATCGTCCCTAACGCTCTGCTCCGTGTCCTTGAACTCCAGGAAGTCGATGTCGTCGACAACGGCGAGCGCAGAGTCCTGCGGGTCGGATTCTTTCACAAGCGTGCGTAACTGCGGGGTAGAAAAAGACGTCATGCCACAGCCGGTGTGATGGATGACGGCGATCTCGCGCGTGCCGAGCAGACGCTGTGAGATGATGATGCTCCGGAGGGCGTCCTTGCTAAAAAGAAATGCAATCAGCGAATGCGTGAGCAGTATCAGGACGATGCATACGCAACACCACCGGCATTCCGTATGATATGAGCTTCGCCTTCCTTTATGCCTAGCTGGGCGTAAACACTAGAAGGCCACATTAGAACAACACACGGAGGCTGCAATGATTATACAGACTTGATACGGGCATCCATGCAAGTGACTAAGACGAGGATCAGTAAGTACGCACGACTTTCACGAATAAATTCACTCACCAATGGCCAACTTCTTGGACGGAGGGATGGGCAACTTACCCTTATCGCCAAAGTCGGCGGCGTACTCCTCGTTGGCCTTCACGAAATCAAGGTGTGCCGACATCTTTGCGGTAGAAGTGGGAGTTAAGCACCGGTGTGCGGCGTTATCTAAGGGGGAATGGCCGTCCACTGAGTCATTCTAGTGGGGGTTTCCGAACACAGCGACGTCAGCGAGAGATAGGGATGATGGTGCGATATGACGAGATTGTCGGGGCGCGAATGGCGACGGCGAGCGACAGCGGGCATTGCCTCGAAGGCCTGCATGTACCAGCACGACAGTGGAGCTTTGGTATGCAGCCACCCGGATGCAATAGACGTATCCGGCAAGACGTCTCAATTTGCCGGAGCACATGAGCAGGCTTCCCAGGGAGCTGGACAGGTCATTGTCCGAAATAACACAGCGCGACCACGAGGCGCACTGTGCACACACCGTGCGTGGGCCAAATGGGAAAATATGGGACATACATTGATCTCCAGGGCGTTCGTCGCACAAAAGCGGACTGCTGGCGGGTGCGCGGCGACGATGTGCGGTGCTCTGTATAGCAGCGAAGAGGCTCTCTTGAGGTGGTTGAAGCCGCCATTGTAGAGTCTACGGACGAGAATTTGCATCGTCCGAATTCAGCCAGTTTGTCGCGAGAGCGAAGACGTCCTGTGTATGACTAGTGCAGCAGGTCCCAGGAAACTTAACGCGCTCTGAGCGTCTACTTGGTGAACCGAGTCAATGGGCGAAAATGACGTTTCCAGATCTATCGGGTCGAGTCTCCTGGCCAATCCGAGCTCGTCAAATCCGTAGTACCCCGTGCGAACAGAGCAATAACCTGTAAAGTATGGTAATATATTATGTATTGTACTTTATACAATGGCATCGTGAGCTGGGTGTGTTGGTCATTCTACAATGGAAGGGAGGTGGGTGCCTAGAGGTCTATCTCCAGTAGTCTAGTGCCGCGGTCAATGCGTCTAAGATATAATCAACTGGGGTGCAGTTAGCACTTCTGTATATGAAGCAATGTGCGAAAAGGTCCTGCTGTCAATAGCGTGCAATAGGTGCAGGAGCCCATGGGCACAGTAAGCGATTCCCATCATCCGTCGGACCCATAGACCACGCATCACAATTTTGGCGGCTGGGTGGCCTGAGCAACGAGATCCAGACGTAGCACGGGGTTGAGAGGCGAACTATGGGTCACGATCTGCTTCTTTCCCCCAGAGAAGCCGGTGCCCGCGATCTGCGAATGCGATCTCATCCGTCCGCCAGCCTTTGTCCTCTAACTCGTGCTTGAACGCATCGAAATGAGCGCGTGTCCACGAAAGAGAGTCCGCTAGCGCCGGTCTGAGTGCAGGAGTGTCCTCGACAGAGGATCCGTCCCCAAGGAGCATGCGCAGGCGGGCGGCATGCATCACCGCACGGAGCATGTCGTCTGATGCGGCGTCCGGATGGAAGAAGACGGCGATACGTTGTGTGGGAGGTGCGACAGGATACAGCACGTACTTCTCGTCCTGCAAATATACACAGCGTGACACTGCCCGTCAGCAAAAACGATTGACAAGCGCCGCACTAAAGCGGTACTACGAACCTGGAAGACACGCGTGCAGAGCTCCCACCGCGCAGAATCGGCACCCACGTCCCGCCCGACGACCTCGCTCACCCTCGGCGCCAGCTCGACTAACCTATCCTCCTTCCGCTTGTAGTACTCGCCAAACACACCCGTCTCATCTGCACGCTCGACTTCCCTCAAAGACCTGACCCCTACCGCCCCGTCTTCGCCGGCATATGCACGCGCGAGCAGCCCGAGCCGCGGCATGGTGAGCACTTCAAACGTCGCGACGCGCATCATGAGCGCCGTCATCATCAGGTGTGCCGGCGTGAGCAGCGTGTAGAGCGCGTACAGGTACGCAGGCGCGTGCGAGACGGAGAGCAGCCCGATGCCCGCGGCATACCCCACGAGCTGCGCGATCGACGTCTGTGACTCGTCCTTCGCTGCGACGTCGCCCATGTTGCCCTGCGCGGCGAAGTAGCGCACCCACTTGATGTGCGTCGTGAACCATATCTGCACCCACCGTTAGTGATATGCGCGTACGCAAGGCATACCGGATGAGCACTCACAGCGTAGCCGACTAACTTGAAGACGTTCCCGCCCGCCGCGCACAATAGAAAGTAGCCAGGCGTCGGCGGGACGAGGAGGGTCGCGATTTGAAGCCCACTGCCGAGCGCGACGAGGCTCTCTCCGGCAAGCGTGAACGACTTGGGGTGGCTGTCGAAGAATGCCGCACAATGGCGGATGAAGAAGAGCTTCGCGATCTCGCCTGCGCCGTCCTTGATGATCCACTGCACCGCGACCGCGCCAAACACGCTGCCCTCAGCGCTGACCCCGACAGAGGTGAGCAGCGCCTGGTTGCAAAGCACAGAGACAACCGTGCCGAACGTCGTCTCGAAGAACTGGAGGATGTGAAACGGTGCATACGAGCGGTGTACGGACTGCGGGTAGTTCGTGGGCAAGAACATCTGTCGCAGCCAGGATGTGAGCCGGCCGGTGACTGAGCCTATCGTAGAGGCTGCCTGAGTTTGTCCGTCACGGATCGTCGGTGCTGCCAATTCGCGCCATTCTTTGGTGATACCCTCCTCCGACCACGACACATGACACTCCCTGCCCCCGACGCGCTCTATCGCAAACGGTCGCGGTTTTGCATTGAGACTGGTGTCAATATGGGTGGAGTCCGCCGCGAACTGCTTTTTGGACTGTGATGTTTGGTAGGAACGACTTCGCAAGGATGCTGTGCGGAGAGTGAAGGCCGGTGAAACCAAGCGCCTGTAGGGGCGCAGAATGTGACCGTACATTATCACTAAGTCATATCCTGGTTGTTTTCACAATGGCCTAAGCATACCGGTCTTTAGCGAGAGTGAGCCCAAAGAGCTACAGCGAGAAACTCACCCTGAGGAAGGTACCGCCGTCTTACTTCCTGTACTCGAGCCCGATATTGTTCTTGCGCAAATTAGAGCGACAAGAAGACGTGCAGGGCAGCAGGAAATACTAGCAATACAGATTGAGGCTGAAAATCAACAAAAGCCGCATATACGTCGACCCTCGGTGCAGGCGACAGAACGATGAGTCCACGCAGTCATTCCTGATCGGTGATCGGTGATCGTGACACGTGGCTGTCCGGACATGCTCCGGCAGGGTTAGTGTTTCCATTACCTTCTTTTCCTCCCGACATTGCATGCTTGCCAATCAGGTGCTATTATCCCATATTCGTGCAATGTCCCGAGTCCGGGCACTATTCCTACCGGAGAGTGCCCGGGCCGTCATGCAAGTACTGGCACAGTTTCCTCCAGTCGCCATTTGAATATCTTATAGTCTACTTTCCAACGCGTCGCCTTACCGTGAGGTCAGGTTTCTGAGGCGGCGCTTTAAATTTGAGTGCGAGGAAGCGGCGGAGGACCTATACTTTGATCGCACCTGTCGTGCGGCGCGGTTGCACGTACATGTACTTGCTCTCGAGTATCTCACCTCTTAGTCACTGCGCTATCGTTTACAAAAGGACAGCCCTTGCTGTGAAGACCTCAGACCCTCGGGATATACTTCTCGAGCACCCCCACGCTGACGGTCGTGTGGTAGCACAGCCAGCTGGTCGACAGATATCACAATATGAGACATGCGATTGTTGTAAATACCAGACCTTAAGTGTATGATCGGGAGCAGACAGACAGGGAGTTTTTTGCTAGAGCATCCAGCATCCTAGCGCGATGCGTCCGAGGTACGGGATGCACATGCGTGATATGCCGGGTGGCGGGAACACGGCAATCGATCATCGATACCGACTTTACCTTAAGACGGCGCGTTGGATAGCAGACGTCAGACTGGAGCCCACGTAGGTTCAAGGAGTCTACTCTGCTCTCAGGAGACTGATATCTTCATGTGCAGAGAAGAGGGGGGAGGGAGCAGGCAGACGACATTCTGGTCAAGACCAATGGTATTCTTCGACAAATCGGCAGCTTGGCAGCTACTCACTATCGTCACCCCACCTTCGAAGACCACTGCGGAGCTTCTGTGGGTTTGTCTCTGGATCCTGCCTTTTTGACACTGCTCAAGGAAAGGTATGCTCATGTCGTTGGCGTAGCACTTCTCTAGGTGCTTTAGCATACTCGCACTGACCTATTTGTCCTCATAGTCTCCCTTTGTTAACAGCAAAGTGTCGCTGATGACCCATCCCCCTGGCATCCACTATGCGGGAGGTAGTGAGCCGATAACGGCGGCGCTCGAAATGCATGAAGATGTCGCATTGTTTGCCATGCAACAGAACGACCGGAATCGCTTGTAAGCCCTCCGTTTGTCTGATCTGGTCTGCCGGAGCTTCATATGCAACAATAACCAATCTTTGTTGTTCCGAAGAATGTGCTGTATGATGCCTCCAAGGCAAGAGCTTAGGCTGTATCACAGCCAAGAATTGCTTCGAGTAAAGCCATCCCTTGCCACTGCCATCGCAGCGTGTCGGACCCTCAAATCTCTCGGACTGTGATTGTGTCGCGTTCTCCCCCGTTATGGTATAATGAGGGAGACGGTGACACGACTATGATCGCGAAGCTCCCCTACATGCGAAGCAAGTTGTCCACGATACTGATCGGACATGATGCATGATCATAACAAGCGGCCAGCGAATAGTCTATTCACTGAACACTGGTAATGATTATGCATTGTTCTTTGGCTGCGCTATCATCCGGAATTTCAAACCCCTCGTTCTCGACTCCTTGGGGTACCACGACGGTACCTTCGGTACCGAGGGCTGGCAGTTCAATTCCCCGGAATTACTGACACTTAGCTACAGCTATGCGCCTGTGGACCACTTGGCACAGCATCTGCTCTCCTCTGCGATCTGACTCTATGAGAAGTCACGTCTTGTGACACGTTTTCGGGAAGTTGGCCCTCTTTGCAACATCTTTGCATCAATGTAATCAGTGTGGCTTGTTTCCCTCACTACGCATGATCACCAGGTGGTGGCACCACCTGGTGATGGTGCGTCGTGAGGGAGCCGAACGCTCTCCTGACATCAGGAAAACCGAGCTGACCATACAAGTTGTGAAGAACACCAAGCCCACCGAGCTCATTCCTGTCGAACTTTAGAAGTTGTAGAGAATGTGTCATTCTCTACCACATGACAAGTTGGACAGGAATTATGGGGAAACCTGGCGGTCAGCATATCAAGCGTCCGGTCTTTGGAGATATGCTTTGAGTCTGTTTTAGCTTCTGGATCGGAATGTTGGGACATGGAGAAATGGATGGTAAGTAGGGATATCACATTCTTTGTTATACACACTCCTGACACCACTGCAGAATGAGGTCCTCCCTCTCCTACGGGGCTCCCACGTCGAGACTCTGACAAACAAAGTACACACTTGGGCCCGTGATACATATCTCCCTATGCATACCAGAGGTCGGCGACGAAGTTTTCGCACCGTTCCGCGACTTCTGCCTGGTGCTGGGTCCGCAACTTTAAGTTCGGAAATGATGTTGGTTAGTTGCCAACTTACCAACGTCATTTCCGAATTTGAGCGTCTCAGCAGACTCCAAACACACACACTGTAGTACATCAGGAGAACCAGAAGTTTTCTGAGATGCTGAGTCAGTGCTTCCAGCACGTCCATTCGGCTTCAACGGGTGTTCTCAGCAAGTCAGCACTCTTGCATGAATGCGGCTTTGCTCACACTGGAATACCTACATTCACCTTCAGTGGTATCTGAAGACGAATCGTATGTAATGCACTGTCGTGCATACGCGATCTCTCCTCATGTATTATGCACGTGAATTTATTGATTGTATGGCGAGGAGGCGCTCAATGCGTCGTGCGGGTGGCGCTCGTTTTCAGTTGGGAATATGCCATATGGGCCAGAAATTATATGCCTAGTATATTTGTGCAATCTAACAAAAAGGCCATTCCGCTCGACGCATCTTTCCTGACTGTCAAGCGTCTCACCTCCCACGGTCTGGCCGAGCTCTGTGCTCAAGTGTCGCTTCAAGGCGGTTTCTCTCTATCGCAGACAACGTCAATTTCTGTATTTCGAAGGCTATTTATTATGTATCAGCGAGTCTGACGAGAGTGGACACGATCAGGGTTAAGTATATGAAGTCCCCTTTCTTAATTCCCGATAGCGTTCGACAATCGAAAGGGGTACTGATTTCTGGAAACACTGCTGTTCCTCTCGAATCATCATAAATGCTCTCAATCCCCCGGTAAACAGGGAGCAGTCGACTGCCTGTTTCCTCCAAGGTGAGTGTCCATAGCCCTATCGGCCTCCTCCTGTCCTCAAGGTCTGCTGTATGCGTAGTCTCCGTCCGATTGATATACTTAAAGTTGTTGGACTTGGCGATTTGATATTCACTCAGGTGCGACACTCCGTCAGAGGCCGTCAGACACCTCGACCTGATGTCATTGCCAGCAGAGTGTCCCAGATAACCGACAATTGCAGGGGACAGTCATGACCGATGTCTTACCTCTCTTGATCCTGGGCTTCGTGGCGTTCATAGTGGCCTGCCCAATGGCGCTGTATTTTTGACGCCGCGGTCCCGTCGCCCTGTATGGACTTCGCTTGTGTGAGATAAATGTAGGTGCCGTAGGAGAGACATGGGAGACCACGATAACTCGTGCATTTATTAAACAGCTCAAAGTGCAGATACTCTCCAGAAGAAGCGTCGTGCAGATACTCTCCAGAAGAAGCGTCGTGCAGATACTCTCCAGAAGAAGCGTCGATGACTGTACTACATAGCGGGTCTCGGAAACCGTGATGTGTGGAACGTCACAAGTTGGTCGCATCGCATATGCTAGATATGCTTGAACTCTACTTCCGTGTTAATAAGGGCCCGCGGGTAGCAGCTACTGATAATAGACCTAATCCTGTCCCTCGCAATCCTAGTGCCTCGCATCGATGAGAGTGATAGATCGCTCTCGAGATTTGGAGTTGTACTGACTTGGAGCGCGGTAAATGATTCTACAGTGGTCTGAGGGAGCCGCGACAATGACCCAACAAAGGCAGGATTTTCATGAACTGGCGGGCGGTGTCGCCCGAACGACTTGAGTGGGAGTACTAGTGGAGAACAAGTCCGAGACGCGACGTGGCCGACGTCCACAGTGGGTCCCAGTGTGTGTCGTTTGCCACGGCATCACGGAGCCACTGCTTACCTGTTCCTGCGGCTGCGTTCTGCTAATTTGGATGCACAGTCGGACTCGGCCCCGCCTGGATCGAATGGTGGCGTGGTCTGCGCTCCGAGGGCTCGATCTCATGTCTATGTCAGCCTCTTGCGCTACGCTAGCGCGCGCGAAGGTGACGAAGAGATCGTACCTTCTTGTGAGCCGTGAACAAGCATCAGGCCTTGCGTCGGCGACAACGTCATCACTGCCCTTCTCAACGACTACACGGATACATGTCGCTTACATGCGGCCATTGGGCTTTTTATAAGTTCCTCGCACGACGTGTCCCAGTCGCACCGTGCAGCATGCAGACTGACGCGATTAGTGACCCACTTGTGGCAATCACCCAGAGCTACGCTTGTGCATCAGTTCCCTTCTTATGTGCTATTAAAAGCACCTCACGCTCCCCTCCAACACCACCGTCAGTCCGCTACCTGGCATTTCATTCTGCATAGGCAACCTAAAAATCATCATCTCGGCGTCGGAGCTGACAGACATTGAATGGGCGACCAGCTACATCATCCCGTCCTACAGATCGCAGACAAC